TTGCACTTTTGTCCGATCTTTTCAGTTTTTCAGTGGCTCTTTTGGAATTAGCTCAACAGTTTTCGCAAGGAAGGAATATGGTTTTTCCCAGGAGAATCAGGACATAAGCAGTAAGCATATTCGTTATCCCTCCACAATTTGCCCCTTCCCAATTTTCACCAGCGCTATATATACGCAGAGCAAGGGGATGGGAAATTTGGACAAGTGGGATCAACATTAACCACATACATTAACGCTCTAACAAGTAAAACAAAAGTACAAACGTCAGCCGATGTTAATACTAATTAGGAGGAGGAGATGGAGAAGTAGCCATTAGATTTTGACGGCGTCAGTTACAACACTGTGACTTAGGTGACCCCACGGTATGTACAACTCTGGAAGCTACCCAAACGGGTGGTCTTTATTTCTTCATTATTATCTCCTCTCTCTCTCTCTCTCTCTCTATTAAATTAAAAAAGTGCCAAAACGTTATCTAACCAAAACCCGACACCGGTTCTCCCGGTGGCGGCACGGATCTAACCACATTCCAGATCCGAACTCCGGGGAGCATGTCCTCGTAATAATGGAGGGAGTGGGACGGGTTTTGGATGTTTGTCCTGGCAAAATTTACTACTACTACCTTTTATTAACATTTGGCTTGAAGCAATGCGCAAAATTGTAGTAAAAAGAAAAAAAACAAAGTTTGACAGGTTGAGGTGTAGAGCAATGTCAAACGTGCTGGCGTTCAAAACAATTTTCATTACCTAGGTTAGAACTATATAGAAGATTGTAACAGGATGACTCGTAAATTATGAACCTGGGAACTTTCGTTGTATTTCAGGAAATATATAAAACATAGTCTATATTTCACATTTTTTTATCCACTCTAAAAAGAAGAATACATATTCCACAGTCTGTGCACTTGTTGTTTACATTTTACCATTACTTCAAGGACAAAATGCAATACTTTGCATATAAGTACAAAGTTGAACGAAGATAATGACAATTGTCTTACGGAATTATATTGCACTGGATATGTACACATAAATTTCCAGCGGGAGATTTTGGATGGAGTGATAGACCATCATTGGGATAGTTGGGCCAAATTTCTGTTATATATGGCTTCATTACTATGCTATGAAAATGTTAACATCCTATGGACCAACATAATCCCCACTATTCGTAAGAGAGTTAGGACACAGCTTTAAATGGGCTACCCTTGCTTTTGTTCTGAAGTTCACCAAAGGGTTACAATCACATATTTCGTTTGGGCTAAATCTCAGCTAGTGAGCTCAAAGAATAATCCCTTATTCTTATGACAAAATAATCCCTGCATCAACCACGTGAGTTGTGGTGGAGTGACAAAGAAGTATAGGGTGAGAGTTCAAATCTTATTATAAGCCCGAAGTAATTTTATATCTTTTGATCAGTTTTCTCAAGTATCTTTTATTGAGATGTCTATCATGAGTGACGGAACTTAGTTACTATAACATTTTGTAATATGAAAAAAAAAAATCCATCTATCTTGATGATTGTTCCGTTTGAATTTTTTATTTTGTTTTTTGAAATTATCGTGTCGTTTAAATTTTCACTTCTAGTATAACAGTGTTTAAGAAGACTATCATTTTTTATGTGAAATAAAGAAATGAAAGTTGTTGTGAGAGGGTTTTAATGAACATTATGAGGCATGAGTAGCATGACATGATTGTAGTTCTAAAACTGTTTATTAAGGACAGAAGAAGTTTTGACGGTTATCCATTACTGTTTTCATCCGTTGTCGCTTTTAAATGAAGTTATAAACAATTTAAATAAAAGTAGTAGTACATTATACTGATCATTGCAATTTATTCATCCCCTGTACCTGCAACCACTGAGAAACATACTTAAATATATACTTGTTCTTCCAAGGACATAATTGATGAACTAACTTGCTTGTGATGATGTTACTCAGATTTGGATCTTCAGTGCGATAAGTTAAAACGAGAGAAGTTTCGGTTATTCTTAACAAATGATGTGGACATGGTCACGTAAGAGTTACAATTAAAAAATGAAAAGGTGGATTTGCAGTCTGTACACGCGAGTATTATAATACTCCTTCCAATCCTATTTATAGATACACATTTGAATTAATTTAATGTTACTATAGATACATAGTCTTTGCCTTCGTTGCCTCAACGTTTACCACTACAAAAGCCAAAAAATGTGATGTAACACTTCCTCCAGGAAAGCCAAATACTAGTTTTTTAAAACGTAAAAGTGATATACAAAGCAAAAAATGTGATGTTACACATTCAAAATACAAAGCAAAACAAGAACTAAACAAACTAAACTATGGTCCATACATGACGATTATACTAATAGTCTAATAGTAGCACCCTTTTTTTAAGAGATAGTAATACCATTACCACCCAATTTACTACAAACAGATTTGCAAAGAAAACTGCAGGGTTGTACTAGGTTGTTTAATTGGTTAGACAAGTTGACCCAAAACCCTTAAATACTCCAATGCTCAATAGTCAATATTCCGTTAAGTAACACTACGCTGAATATTCAAAAGTCAAAAGGTTTCAAGTACTGATGCTACCACTTCTTTCCTCCCAAATTGTTGTGCAGTTTGGATTTCAATTTCTAGTACAAATTGAATTAAAAGTAAAAACTCAATTGACAGAAATTTTGGGAAGAATGTACTAGAAATGAAAATTCAAACTGGACAATAATTTTAGGATATATAAAATATTTAATTATGAGACAAACAACAAAATAATATGCTATTCATCTCAAAACAATTGTTCAGTTTCAATTTCAATTGTTAGTAGTGTATGTATTATAATTAAAAATTTAAACAAAACAATTAGTAATTTAGAATAGAGAAAATTACTAGTATTGTGAAAAGAAGGAATTAGATTCGACCTTCTGAGTCTTATAGCTGGAATTAATTTGGGCTGAAAACTTTGAACTCTGTTATCCTTGTGGAGGAACCGGAGAAAAAGCGTCATCGATTGACCAAAGTCAACCGGAGTATATTTTGTGGCAGCAATCGTAAATCGTACTGCTACAACTAGAAGTAGTAGTAGCAGCAGCTAGTCGCTAATGAACGGCGCAACGGGAGGAGCGGGAAATGCGGGTTTCACTGGGGTCCCCTTACTTGGCGGGTAAATTTTCAGTATCTTCTTTTCCAGGTAAAAGTGGTTTTATTTCGAATTTTCTCCCCCTACCCTTTTTCCAATTTTTACTCATGCTGCCTCTAGAATCTGCAAATTTGGATACCATATGACTTTTCTTGGTTCCTCTATTTTTTCCTTGGAAAACCTCAATAAAAACGAAAAAGAAAGGGAAAGAAAGAACCAGACTTTTGTTAACTTTATCTGTTCGGTGTTTCATGTGGAAAAAGCGACGAGCATTAGTGAAGCAAATTAAGCAAACCAAAAAGAATTAGCTAACCATTAGGCGAACACACCGAAGACAAAGGCAAAAAAGAAAAATAAAATAAAATTATGAAACCAACCTATAATCAAAGTGGCTGGCTGGCTGCGGTTATTGGAAATTTGCCCAACTAATGTTGAATTGCATTTTCAGCAGCCAGGTTTAAATTAGGAGATTAAAATGCTTTAGTTCAATTTGTGGTTGAAGAAAGTAACGCTTAAGTACGCTACTTTTATGTATTTGATCCGAAGCAATTCTCACTTTATGAAGATGAACGTAGTACACTTAAGAGTTCTATTGCTAAAGATCTTAATGTCTGGCTTTTTCCATTTACTTCGATTCATTTACCATCTACGGTTTCCATCTATTTATTATTCGCGGATACCATATATCTCACGTAAAATCCAAGCGTTATGATACGATTAGATATGTGAAACTTACGCAAGCAAATTTACTTCTTGAGTAAATGTGATACAGTTCACAAATTTACTTCTTGAATTATTGATGATTCGTTTGGTACAACAGAGTAAGTATTGTTGGTTGCAGCTTCAGGTTTGAGCTACATATAGAACAAATGATCCAAAAACAAAAACGAGAGACAAATCATGATTCATGATTGAGAATCAAAATACATAAGCAAAACGTATCATTGACCTACCCAAAACAGAATGTTCCCTCTCGAGCTAACTTAAATTTTACTCGGCCCGGGGTTCATGATATCATCTGTCAAAATGTTAATGCATGCCTCCGTTTTGATGGCTTAAAAATATTTGGGCAAGCAGTTGAAAGAATATCAAAACGAAGAAAAAACCCATCAGCCAATTGCCAAATGCAAATTGGACGTCGAATCAGATGCCTCAAACGTTTGAATGCTTTTACAACAGTAGACCTCGAAAGGTCAGTAATCAGCTATAGTAATTACTACTACTACTAATCCAGAGAGAATCCAAGAATAGAGACACAATGAGGTAAAAGTTGAAATTATACCCAAAACCCATAAAAAAAAAGATACTACATGGACCCAAGGGGGAAAAAAATGAAGGAAAAGGAAACAAGAAATTCTAATCGTAAGGATTACTTTGAAAAAAAAGCTCAAGTGTTGGTTGATACTTGATAGTTGATACCACAACTTCCATTTCAAGCAAAGCGGCAAATCGGTTTCATATCTTCATAGTCGACCATGTGAATCTGTGGAGCCCCTTATAGCTATTCCTTAAAAACCTTTCCTTTTACTATCAGATTTCACAACCCTACATTTCTTTTTTTCCATTTTCACCTAATCAGTTTTTCAGAATCCCACAACTAATGCACAACTTTGAATAATAATAAGGCTAAACAAAAATCTGATATTTCTGTTTATAGAATTAAATATATTGGGCCTAATCTGCACATCCACAATTTCCTGATTAGACAAAAGTTGTTGCTGAAAGAACACAAGATTCAAATCAAATTTGATGGAATAAGTAATTTTTATTAATTTCATAGCAGACTAATATATAAGTTATGAGAAATGTCACATCACCAAATACTCCAAGTAGCAGTTGCATTGCATGGGAATAAAGTACTATGTATGGTAATTAAAGGGCGTTGAATTTGGAATTTCCGCCAATATGCGCTTTAATTAAGGACTTAAACAAAAACAGCATTATATTAATTTCTTCGAGACCGACTCATGATTTCCCTCAAAATTCTCTTTTTTGATTCTCTCCTTCTGCTCCCTGCCTCAATAAGTAGCCGTTCACATTTCCCATTTTCTTTCCATCTCCATTTTCAGCCTTCTTCTTCCCATTTCCCACTTCACTCCCTTTGCCCATTTTCCTCCTTTTCTTTTTCAAAATTTGAGCCATATGGCTGCCATGTCTGTCACTTGCATCATTGCTCTTTCTCTGCTTCTTCTTCAACTTGTTGAGAGCAAAATACCCGGCGTTTACACTGGTGGAGATTGGCAAAAAGCTCATGCTACCTTCTATGGCGGAAGTGATGCCTCCGGAACAATGGGTAAACACTATTTTTTACATTTTGTTTCTTTCATTCGCAGACATCAAGAATTTGACTTTGGCCATGTACCATTCCTCTGTTTCGCTCTGTTTCTTGGATGCTCTGTTTCAGTCACACAATTTTCTTTTTCTCCCCTTCAAAATATCACCTTCAGCTACATATAAGCTAACGATAGGATTATTTTTTACGTTATATTCATGCTCCCTTTACATTTCAAAAGTTCAAATTTGAATTGTAGTTATCTCAATTTATACCGTAATTTGCAGGGGGTGCCTGCGGTTATGGAAACTTGTACAGTCAAGGCTATGGAGTTAACAATGGTGCATTAAGCACGGCGTTGTTCAACAGCGGATTGAGTTGCGGTGCGTGTTTCGAGATCAAATGTGCGGATGAACCACAATGGTGTCATCCCGGCAGCCCTTCAATTTTCATCACCGCCACAAACTTCTGCCCTCCAAATTATGCTCTGCCCAATGACAATGGCGGCTGGTGCAACCCGCCTCGCCCTCATTTCGACCTCGCCATGCCCATGTTTCTCAAGATCGCCGAATACCGCGCCGGAATTGTCCCCGTCACTTACCGCCGGTAAGCTTTAGTTAGTTATACACTGTCGGTTCATGATGGTTATTAGTTTAGGCAGTTAAAGTTTGATAGAAAGAGACAAATGATCTTGATGGCCGAAAGTTAAAGGTAGTAAATTTGACCAAAGCAGCAACAATATATTCTTGGTAACTTTGTTATCCTATTTGGGAATAAATAACATTTGGGCCGATTAATTTTTTTTCAGGGTGCCTTGCCGTAAGCAAGGAGGAATCCGGTTCCAAATCAACGGCCATCAATTCTTCAACCTGGTGCTGGTTACCAACGTCGCCGGAGCCGGGAATATAGTGCAAGTTTGGGTGAAAGGATCAAAGACCGGGTGGATGGCAATGAGCCGGAATTGGGGCCAGAACTGGGAGACAAACACCGTGTTGGTTGGACAATCACTGTCTTTTAGAGTTAGAGCAAGCGACCACCGGTCTTCCACTTCATGGAACATTGTACCTTCAAACTGGCAGTTTGGTCAAACTTTCTCAGGGAAAAATTTCCGGGTTTGAAAAAAATTTCCCTAGGCTCTTTAGTGGGATAAGTGCCAGAAAAGAAAGAGGGTAAAATGGCACTTTAAAGTTTTAGGAGTGTGTTTTTTGTGTGACTGTGTCTTTTTTGGACTATATACTACATGGGAAGAGAGGGCATTTTCAATTTTGTTAATGATGGATCCTGATGTTGCAGTAGGAAAAAAAAAAAAAAAAAAAACTACTGCTGTGATAATCTTTAATTATGATTTGTAAGAAAGAGCTTGAAGGTGGCTGATGCGTATTTGTAGCCCGCAGCTTGCTTACTTAATTAATTTTATTAATAGAGTAATGATTTTGTCAAATTTTATCATCGTCCATGTTTTAACTGTTTCAGAGTTTCCAAGTTCTACTTTTCTTTTGGGTTGTTAATGTTTTCCACCCTTTATCATAAAAATTCGACAGTGGGGGGCTCATATCAAGTGTAGATTGGTTAAGGCTCTGTCTTCGTGGGTGGGGGAAAAGACAATCAAATTGGGAGGAGGAGAGATAAGATAAGAGAAGAAAAGGATGAATCAATAAGAAACATTAATCCGAACTCAAGAAAGAGATGAATGATTTTAAGCTGCCAGAAAGCCCCAGTTTAAGGCGGCAACTTCATCCATCATCCTCATCAAGTCCTTCATGGCTTCCTCAAATCCTCTTCTTCTCCAACTATCAAAATCTCCAGCACCAATTCCAGCTTTTCTCACTCTCTCTCTCTCTCTCTCTCAAACAGAAAGAGAGGAGAAAAAACCACCCACTCCAGCCCTCTCTCTTTTTAATCATAGCCCCCTAATAATATACAAACAATCATCTTTAAACCCTAAACCCAAAGAAAGAAAGAAGAAGAAGAAAATTATAAACAAGTGGATACAACCAATTCCATCTTTTTGTTGCCTGCTCAAGATTTGGATTTCCACTTCCACCTTTTGAGGCTTGAGCGCAGAAGAAGCAACTCCATTACAGGCGTCCGATTGAAATTATATATATCTAGGGTTTTAGGCCTTTGAACTTGTACCGACGCACTATTGGGCTAGAATACCGCAGCGGTCCAGCCCATCTTACTATCCTGGCCCATAAGACAGTAAGAAAGAAGAACTAACTTAGCCGACTCAAATTTACAGAAATTCTGCTGATTGTGATGACTCCGATGATGATCAATGGGCAAATTAGGACCTCTTTCTTTTGGATTTGGATTTTAGAGTTTTGAGTTTAGTGAGGACGTACTCAATGATCTCCTTCAACCTGGCTTTTCTCCCTTCCTTGAAGTTCCATAGCTCAGGCACCGGATATCTTCCACTAGAATTGTACTCGTTCAATTCCACCATTGCATCTGCCACTGCTTTGTACACATCTTTCCCACATTTCTCTCTCAGCTCCTTCAGCATCTCGTCTTCTTCATCTATCATTTCCTGCATTTACCCAACTTCTTAATACATTCATTGTTGCAGAGGTTTTACAAAATCAGCAAAAGAAAATTGTCTCAAAAAAAAAAAAAAAAAAAAATCAAGTTAGAAAAAACATACTACTAATTTTCCAAGGATTTCAACTCTTTTGAACGGATGCCAATGTGGGTTCTTCACATTTTCTTCCCAAATTGAACAGAGCTTAGCAGATTTTGCTGCTCCATCAGGGGCCCTTGAGCACATTGCTTGAAAAGGCTTCCCATCTATTTGTCCCATTATTTTGATCCCAACAGAAGTCCGGCTATAGCCAGATAGTCCCTGCATCACAAAGAAACAAACAAGACACACCATCACTGCCAAAGCTGAAAGTATATGGAAATGTGAGGTTTTCATCATATATATGTATGTTATATATGGACAAGAACTTTGATTGATTGCAACTTTTAGTCCTACTTTGATAGCTGCACACGAGCATCTTGCAATTCATCGTTGGAAAGGCGCTCTTTGGATATCAACACTTGGACTTCATCCTTCAGGCTACCATTTTCATCTTGCAAATCCTTTATACGCGACTTCATCTGCATCACTTCATGTAGAATCAAAAAAAGTAGAAAAAGTTGGACCAAGCAGAGCTAGCTGTTGGCCAAAGAGGAGAATCAACAAAATGATGAATTATTGCTCTCTACCTCTTTATTTTCGTTTATCTTATTCCTCAGCTTCTCAAGTTGTTGTCTTAAGCTCTCCCTTTCTTCAATTGCTAAAATAAGTTTATAAAAAAAAATTTAAAAAAAAAACTACACATAAATTTCCATCTCTAAGAAAGAAAGCTCCTATCTTGTGAAAAAAAAACCCATTCTTTGCAAACATGCATATGAATCCTAGAGTTAACTTGTTCATACCTTCTTTAAGCATCCTATCCTTCTTCTCCATTAAAGATTCCAGATCGAACAATTGTTTATCTCTGTAGTCGATATCCTTTGCTAGACCGACGGCGCATCTTTTGAGTGCTTGGAACTCCTCCTCGCAGTTTGCCATTTGGATTTTCCCCTTGTAACTCTAAATTCGGTTGGAACTTCAAATGAGGAAAATGAAAACAGAAAGTTGCTAAAACTTTTTAATCATAAATGCCTTTTTTTGTTCTCCCTCAAATCATTGAACCCTTCACGAATTAGACGGTTCCAATCAAATGCGATGAGCTGTTCTTGACTTTCCGATGTGGCTTTTGTACTGCTAGTAAACACCCCGTACAACACGAGTCTGATATAACTTACATTGGTTACCACTTTTTGTAGTACTCCGACAACATGCGATTTGCTATGGGATAATAAAGGGTCCTGATAATTGCTTCTTAGTGGACAGGATGGCGCCTCAATCTGGTACAAATATATATATTCTGAGTCCCACGAGAATTCGATTTTTTCTAATGGTCACTTCAGTCAGTAAATCTGGAAGTGTTACAGGAAGGCATTTGTAACATTAAGGTAAACAATTGAGTGAAGTTACAAACTAGAACAGCAAATTGATCATAAGGGCAAGCTACAAAATCTACATCATATATGAAATCCCATGAAATGCTGCCAAATTTATCATCTTTTACACTTGCAGGATTTGAGTTTCTTCAACTCCTTCGTCAGACACTGGATTACCTCCTTTAAACTAGCCTTTCTTCCCTCCTTGAAGTTCCATAGTTCTGGGACTACATACCTTCCACTTGGATTGTACTCATTTAGTTCCAGCAATGCATTGACAACGGCACTGTACGCCGCCTTGCCCCACTGACGTCTCAATTCTTTAAGTTCGCTGTCATCTTCGTCAATTACTTCCTGTGATCACAAAAAATGATCATGTTTCTTTAAAAGCGAAACTATTTTTATCGTTTGCAGGCAATCAATTGAAAGCCAATGAATTTTACAGAACAAAGAGAAGTGGAAATAACATGAAAGGAACGCCATGATAATGATATTGTTAGTTTGTTACAACATTCACCTTGTATTCATACAAAGAATGATTATGGCATACAAAACGTACCTGCCACTTCCCATCTTTGCAAATTTTCTTGAATGGTTGCCAATTTGGGTTATTCACTTTTTCTTGCCAAGACGAGATTGTCTCCAATGTTCTAATCTCCCATTCCGAGCAAGGGTATTTCTTGGAGCAGACAGCAGAAAAAGGTTTTTGTTCAATTTCTCCCATCCGTTTAACTCCAATTCTGGATGTATTGATATTATTTGCCAAAACCTGTGCAACAGGAACCACCCTTCAGATTCAGTGTATGAACCTAAAAGAAGGGTCTTAAAAACCTGGATAGAAAATATGGGGTTAAACATCAAATACATCTATAAACATTACACTAATCAATTCTTTTCGAGCATCCTGTAGTTCGAGGTTACTGGAGTGCTCTTTAAGTATAAGCGTTTGATTTAGAGCTTCCATGTCCTGGAGTTCATCGTCTCTCTCAGACAAAGTTTTGTTCAAATCTTCAACCTGAGCTACCAACTGCATCAAAATTTGTAATTTTCAGATCAACAAAAAGAGTTATCTAAAACAAGGGCAAAAAACAACAATGCACAAAGGTATAGTCGTCAATGGAGAAATACTAATCAGGGGAATTTTGTCTTGAAAGAGTTAGATTAAAAATTACACTGAAGAATCTTACTTGTTCCTTCTCAACGAGTAAGGTTTCAAGTTCAGGCTCAGATTCTTTTCCTTCTCTATCCTTTCCATTTTGTTCTTCCTGTGGACGCAACAAGTGTTCCTTCGGCCCTGAATTCGCTTGCTCTGCAAGATATATCTTCATTGTCGGTGGTCCAGTTTATGGCTCAGACATATCATTTTCTTTGTTTTATAGCTTGTCACATTTTCCAAGTACGTGAAGAGTAACTCTTGTAACACAAAGGGTACTTTCTGTGGCCTAAATGTTTGCGAATTAATTCAACCAAACTACTTCTAGGAATAGGATGCAGAAAACAGGATCATTAGATAAAGAAGCATGTGAACTTGACTTACCAAAATTATCAAAGTGATGTACAACAATGGAAAGGTGACTTATCACAATGACTAAGATTAATTCATTCTTTGATCACTAATCAGAACTAGGAACAACAAGGTGTCCTTCGAATGTTAAGGAGTTGGGAACTTACCCTTCATAGTTCGTCCTTTTAATGGACGTACATTGCTGCTTTTTGTTTCATGTTGTGCTACTCCATCCATACTGCTGGAAATGGAAGAAGGCCCACAAATTCCTGATACGACACCTAACCAAAAGTATTCAAACGTGGATCATAGAGGGAAGAAACCAATTTGAACATGGCAACTGGTATGGCATTACAGGGAAGCAAAAAATACAATCACAAAAGCTGCTCACTGATCTATTATCTTAATTTGAGGTACATACAAGGGCTACAAAGGGTAGCTAACTAGATAAACTGATGTTTGCTTCAGTCCTCAAACATATATACATTGATAAAATTGTGCTGGGGCGAAAAAAAAAAAAAGATAACTTAAACCTATGGGAAATCGAAACATACCAGTCCAGTATGCCGCGGTGGGACAAACATCACCACCTGAATTTCTATGTTCTTCCTCCAGAAAAGCCATAAAGCGACTCTCCTCCAATGCCTGATTAAGTTGTTTTACCTCCAAATCTGACAAACCATTCTCACCAACATTTCCATCCATATCATCAGTTACAGTAATAACATTAGCACCGTCATCCCAAGTATGACTGCAACCAAATATACCTGCAGAATCTCTAGAAGAATCAGTTCTATGGTGCTTCTCCTCAATTATGGCCATGAAACGACTCTCTTCCAAGGCCTGCTTTAGCTGCTTTTTCTCCAAAAGTGCTAATTCTTTTTCACTGATATCATCATCCCCATCATCAACAACTTGTATGTTGCTAAACAAACTCTGATTGTAGAAACCACCAACAAATGTTGCTCTTCTCTTCTTCAATGACGTCCTTTCACCTGTACCACCATTTATATGGTTCTTCAACATCAATGACTCATCAGCAGGAACTGCAGGACAAGCTTCCAGTAGTCCAGCAATGTGCTGTTTCAATTCCGTTCTCCCTCCATATATGACCTTCCCGCAATAATGACACTGAACAGTACTTTTAGTGTCTCCAACCCTATCAGGATACTCCCAGCCAGAATCCCTTTTCCGTGCCATTCTTTGTAAAAACTAGATGAAATTTAGAGGCATGAATGCGTTACATTACCAAGTAATTGCACATCTCTTAGGCTCGAACCCTATGCAGAATAAATACTTCTACAGCTATGATATGAAGTACAAATCTCTCGGAATTCAGGAACAAAAAGACAGAAGGTTTATCCTTGGTCCTTAAACAGCAAAGGTAATAATACCCGGAAGTTTTTGAAGATAATTATTGAACTGCAACAACAGTAGAGCTGTAGAGGTGAGGAGTACTTTTGGAATGGTTGGAGTGGCAGAAACAAACTTTCAGAAAGCATGCCTAGAAAAAGCAACACAGATTAGACAAGATACATGAGTCACATGGCACTAAATCACCCAGGGTCCTCAACAGTGATGTTCATCAAGTCAGCTTTACCCATTACTGTACAATAGACCAACCATATAAAATAGGAACATTCATTACGTCGAATAAACACCGAGTTTGAGCCAAGCAGATACATAATTAACTTATTGGATTTGAGAATTCCTCACCATCTAACCTGGACAATATTAATTATTCAGTCCATGATCAGCTCCACTGCCCCATAGGCTACAATATAAGTGGATGAACTGATACTTAGGGCCATAAAGAGCACAAATCAGCCTTGGGTGCACCAATTTTCAGTAGTTGGTTCCCAAATGAAATGGTTACAGAGAGGCTTAATACTAAACCGGTAATAAATTCGCTAAAGACCGCAACTTTTGACATTCATGAATTCAATTAATTCTTCTTTTGGTCGTGTAGTTTCCATTTTTTCACCAAGTACTTTACACCCTCCTTCAGAGTTGCTCTCCGACCCTCAGCATAGTTCCACAAGTCTGAAGTAATGTATCTCCCACTTGGGTTGTGTTCATTTATCTCCAGCAAAGCTGTTGAGACCGCATTGTATACATCAGCGCCAAATGTCTTCTTCAGTTCCTGAATCTTTTCATCGCTCTCATTTATTGTTTCCTACGTAGATAGTCAATTTAGTAAGTGAAAATTGTAGCATAAGAAAAAGCAGAAATTGCAACTGAAGCAGTTTCACAAACCCTAACTTTATTAAGATAACATCTTACGGGCATGAACTAGATTACACAAGGAGCAGAATTGATCAGCAGTAAAGGCAGCTTCTCTTGTGACAAAACACCTAGCTAATAACATCCCCCACCCATTAAAAATTGGCCCTCAAGTATAGTTTTGCTGTATTCAAACTTTAGATTTGTTTTGGGTGACCATGTCCGAATTCCTTCTTTCTGCCTGCAATACCTGCCTCGCACTAGGCTGATAAAAACAAAAAGGTAGACTTACATACAGCTCCAACGTCCTACCCAGGGTTAAGCCACAATTTTGCTACCCCTTTGTGGTGGTAATTTCAGCTCAATACCTACCATCCTCATCATTCTATCTATTACTTGTCATAGTATAATTACCATTTCCAGCTCTCTTTTTCTCCGAGACTCTCCAATTCCTGACTCAAAACACTAAATTAATGCAGCCCCCTCCATAAGAAACTAATTACATGTGAATCGAACGCACATCATTTGGGCAGCTAAAACAATTTTAAGCTTTACCAGGAGATATAGAATCATCATGTCACCTTTCTTTCTGTCTTAGAATCATCATGTTACCTACTTTTGAGTCATTGCATAAGTAGTTACTGAGGATATTTTGACGAAAAGTAAAAAAATTGCATTAAATTGCCATAAGATCAAGACGTAACAAAGCAAATGGAAAAAGTCAAAAAATATGTTAGCCAAAAAAAAAAAGAAAGAAAAAATATGCATGTCAGCAAAAAATTAGCATACCACATCCTTCCCATCAAGCTTAATCCTTTTAAAAGGATGCCATTCAGGATCCTTGAGGTATTCATTCCACAGCGAGCACACTTCAGAAGCCCTCTCTTCTGCTTCTGCTTCAGTTTTATACTTCCTCTTCATGTCCTCATAAAATGGTTTTGTGTCAAGCTCACCCAACCTCTTTATTCCAATTTCTGCTGAATTTGGGTAGTCTTTGAAACCCTAAATAATAATGATCAGACAACTTCGTAAAATGTTCATGTTACGAAACAGCCTCCTTTTTCTAAGTAACAACAGAAGAGAAAAAAGGCAAAGCTATAAACACGTGAACAAAAGAGGCAAATAAATAAATAAAGAAAAATCCCAGTTCCCTTCTATTAAATCCATAAACATATTATTCGCCTCCCCCTCCCCCAAACACAGAAAGGTATTAATATATTTTCATAAAAAGGATGCTTAAGTACTCAGGAGGATATACGTGCACAAGCTTCAGTGGTAACACAAGAACTGTGGAGCAGAGTGAAGCAGTCATAAACGAAGAGGATAAAATGCAAATGTTCAAAGGGGAGGGGAAGAATTTTTTGGAGAATGAGGATTGCTTCTGATTGATACAAATAGATACATGAGTAGGACAGGGTCACTGTGTCAGCATGAGCGAAATAGTAAATGTCACACATACAAAGCGTTAAGTGGAATAAAATTAAAATTTCACCGAAATAAAAAAGTGCAAAGCACAGAATGATAAGGTAGATACCAGTTTGTGCAGTTAGCTTATTACTCGACTACAGCAGGAAAAAAGAAGAAGAAAAAAAGAGCTGTAAAGAGATACTTACATTGACCAATTCTTTTCGTGCATCCTGCACCTCTTCATTGCTTTTGCGCTCCTTCACAATAAGAGCTTGATTCAACCTCTCCATATCATCAAGTTCACCTATTTTTTCTATCAACAGTCTGTTCAAGGAATTGGCCTTTTCAAGCACTTCAGGATCACCTTCATCTCCCATGTGCTTCATGACATTAAGTTGACCTGTCAGACTTCGAATTTCCAACTCCAAGGTTTGTTTTGCCTCCAGGTCGTTCTTGAGTTGTCCAATTCTCTTGTACAGATCTTCTTTTTGTTTCTGACAACAAAGATAACTTGTACATGAAATCTTAAAGAAAAATGGAACATCTCAAGATCACATCTACATCTCAGAATACATCAATATCAAAAACATTAGAACAATTGAAAAGATACCTGCTGTTCTTCAGCCAGTCTCATTAAATCCTCATCAACTTTTTTTTGCTCCTCGGATGCGGCACTGACTTCACAATTTTTGGTAGCATTCTGGTCACAATCAAAAAATTCTCCAATTATTTAGAAGACATAATGAATTGCTTAATAGATAAAATGTTTTTCACAGCCTTCCCTTGACTTATTTATCATTTATAGTTTTGAAGATATTCAGGACAATAAGAATGTAATAATACATGTGAAACAAACAAAATAACAATCACCTCTTTCAGCTCTTCTAACAGTTTTTTTCTTTCAGTTTCATTTTTAGCATCGCGTTGCTCTAGTTCTATGCCCCTCAATTCTAGGGCATTCTTATGGTTTTCCAGCTGGGCCTTCAACTTTAAATGGTCATTGAAAATTTTTTGCAAATGATCACGTGCAGTTAATTGAATCTTCTTCAGTTCTGCAAATGTAAACAACCATATTAGGATTGTATATCATAAATGATACCGTGATCTAATCCAGAAAGTACTTGCCTTCGTTGTAAATTTGATACTGCTTATCCTTTTCTGCCATTAAACTGTCAAGAGAACCTTCAGTTTCCTTAAATTTGCTTGCCATCTCCTTTAAATGCATATCCTTGACCTCAATCACATTGGTCAAATTATTGACAAGTTTATTTGTCTTGCGAGCTTCTTCTTCCATGATATCAGATATGGTTCTGACATCTCCAATCTTACGGAGGTGCTCACCGATAATACTCTCAGACTTGTAATCATCCACACGAGCAACCCAAGCATAAAGACCAGACTTGTTAGGATTACTTGCAAGCCAATCTCTCTTGCCATAGAGATTGCTATTATTTTCCAACCAATGTCTCTTGCCATGTTGATCAGCCTCGTAAGCTTTCTCAAATGACATAGCATTATTGAAACCAAACCAATCCTTTGTAAATTCCACAAGGGCTGTGCCAGAGTGGCCCTGGTAATTCCACAAAGGACGCACTCTAGTTGGATTAAAGCCCCTCATAGTGTACTCATCCCTTAGCTTGGAGCCACTTTCACCAACATACCGCCCATCCTTAAATTGAGTCGCAATGTTGACGACAATTCCAATCCACGGCCAAACAAACATCTCATCGGGTTCATGATCTGCAAGGGGATCAACTTCAGTCACAGCCTCTGATGGATCAGCAAACGCTGATAAATCTTTCTCCAAGAACTTCGCCAATGCAAGATGATTTGCCTTCTCTACAACACTTCGTTTGCTAGAAGTAGAAGCCCCAACGCCGCTTGCATGCTGCAACAGTTCCTTGTAAAAATAATCTCCTTTCTTCCTTTTAGAGCAGAAGGGGCAAGCAAAAATTTCATCAGATAACTTAACTTTATGTTTTCCGCTCTTCAGTGCTTCATATGATAAATCTTTGTACTCATCAAGTTCAGAGTCACTCATATCCGTATCGTCTCCAGAACTGTGGTCCACTGAACTTCCCATTGCAGACAAAACCAAAACAGTTCACCTGCTGTTTTACAAAATTGAAGGAACATTACTGAATGAAAGAGAACTACCATACTTGCAACAATATCCCAAATATTCAGCTTGATAAGACTTTTTTCTGAACACAAGTAGCAACTAGATTAAAGAGACAGTATAATTACATGTCTTTCAGCAAATAGATCGACAAACAGCAAAACTGACAGCAAAATCACACATTTAAAAGATGAACTAATAGACTCAAGGATGAGACAGCCGGACCTTAGGTTTTGGGGCTTATTAAAGAGAAGGAAATAACAGAATTTCAGGCATGAAATACATCCTTATCACAATTTCTGATTCAGCGGAGTAGTACAACAGATGCTCATTCACACAAGTTACCGAATTTGTTCAAGTTGAGAAGCTCCAAAATTGAATCAGCATTCAACAATTTCACCCATTACCCAACAAACACCAAATAAATAATAATAATAATAATAAAAAGAACGGAATTTTCACTTTCCTCAATATCCGGAACAACCTAACAAATTCCGAACAAAAGCCGAGCTAAAGGTTCAATCTTTTGCATCTTGTTCAAAAATCAGCATGCATGCCAACAATTACATCAAATTGACTGATAGCAGATCAACAAAAGAATTAAAATGCAGATAAAATCAGCATGAACAGAGAATAACACTCAACAAAGAAACAACTTTTACCCCAATTTTATTTTATTTTTTTTAAAAAAACAAGTTTCAGACACCCAATTGAATTGATTGACAATCACTCTTACCTCAAGTAGTTTCCGTTTGGGGGTAATTGATCTTCCGGAGTGAACGAGGGGAAGAGTGAAATTAAGAAGGCCTTCTTTCCCTTGGAAAGAGAATTATTGGAAGTGGGGGGTTTTTTGGACTTAGGAACTGTGGCTTTGGGTTTTTGTTGAGTAGGAGGAGTCAGGCAGGCATATGTGGACAAAAGCGACAAGACCAAAGAGAGAAAGAGGTCCGAGCCATGACCCACGGAGTACGAAATATGGTTGAGGAAAATAATGGCCGTTTCGTACGTTTGAATCTGTGAGTCGAGGGGATTCACTTTTTCAGATTTCTGATCCAATGAAAACTGATTTTAGCATCCCCAACAACAATTACAAGTTAACACAACTTTACACTGTTACTTCAACATTTCACTACACTCTCATTTTACACATTTTTTCTTACAATAATTTTACACTCTCTAATCATATAATTTGAGACTCACGACTACCCCGCTATTATTGTCCAACATTTATCCTACTATTAATACTTCATTATTTTTAAAAATAGTTACATTTATTTTTAATAGTAATTACATTTAATTTTCATAATTATATGTTTTCTATATACAAAAAATAATAACATTTATATATGAATTTTAAAGTACGTTATATAATTATATTATTTTTTATAAAATATAAAAATATAATTAAATAACATAATTAAATAACATAAGAATATAAAAAAAGACTAATTATCATGGACTAAAAAGTAAATTAATAAAGTACAACATTAAATTACATTATCGGAAATTTAAAAATATTTAAAAATAATTTAAAAATATTACATTTCATCAAAATCATTTCCAAAACGTTCATAAATCACACAATCTACAATGAAGGTTTTTTTTTTTGTGCTGACATTCAACAACAATTAAATTATTGCTGTGAATAGTCGGGCATTCATATTTCACAGTCCTACTCAACACTCTACAGTCTACACACACATTATTGTGCTACTACTTCTTTTGAATGACTACTCTACTATAGGCATCCGTGTAGTACAAAACTATATAGATTGGGGGAAAAAGTTGTAGTGTTCCTGATAATATTACTGTGAGATCGGATAAGAAAGCATCCTTCCCATGTGGCAATATCTTTTTACTAGCAAATTACCAAATATGTAGAGGGATTTTGCTTTAGTAGGTTGAGTCAAAGTAAAACACATGCGATGATGAATTGATGATGGTTGGGTCATCAAATTTACTAGCAAATTACCAAATATGTAGAGGGATTTTCCCAGTGCATAATTATAACAAGCTCCCGAGCGATGATGAATTCTCTTCAGCAAAATATCATGGTTATCGTGAAAACAATCATACATGGAATAGAATCTAGTATTTATTAGACCGGCACTAATGTAAAGTATATTTAGGGTATGTTTGTTTCGTTTTTTTAATATGTATTTTTAAGTTTTTTTTTTGTATTGAGAATGTAAAAAAATGTATTAAAAATGTAAAAAAAATATGTCGAGATGAGACAAGTATTATTAAAATAATAATAAAAAAATATCCAAAAAACCAAATAAACAGGGTCTTAAATTTGTCCATCACCAATCTAATGAGTAATGACGATAAATCATTTCTCAGCAGGTATGAAGTTCATTATCTTCCAAACGGCTTTGATGAAGTTACTTTGAAAGAGACATACATTTGGGAACTGGGATGTGATTGAGCTTTGGTCTAGAAGCCCAACATCCATGAAGTTACTTTGAAAGAGACATACATTTGGGAACTGGGATGTGATTGAGCTTTGGTCTAGAAGCCCAACATCCATGAGCTAAGCCCAGTGGTTCACCAAAATGTATCTACTAAGCTCATTCATTGGACGATGTTAATTGGGCTCTTCCATATGATTTCTAACGAATAAAAAAGCTCCAAAATAATTATTAGTATACGGTAACTATTAAGCCCTCTTTTAGTCGTACAAATTAAAAAAATAAAAACACTTTGTTTGCAGATTTTGACGGCATATGATTAAACGAGTTGTACAAAGTATTACCTGAAAGATATTACAAGTGCAATATTTGACCATCCAACAAATAATAATATTAGTTTTTTTTAAATATTTCTTGGAACGAAATTAATATAATACTCCCTCTGTCTCAAAATTATTATCCATTAAGATTTCACTTTTAGTGCAATTTGAACTAGAAATGAAAACCTAAACTGGATAATAATTATGGGACGGAGGGAATATAAGTTATTGTTTTGAATTGGTTTTATTTTTTATCCACATACAAAAAAGAAGCATCCTGTGTTTTAATGGTTAATAAATATAATTTGAACTTTTTTTTAAAAAAAAACGAACACAATTAAAAATAGTCTGTAATTAGTAAGATTTAATATTGATATGAAAATACTAAATTTACATGTTGTTTTTAAAAGAAAAATAAGCTGGTCTCAATTGTTACAATTATTATTACAACTAGTATCATAAACTTCGGTACTTATTATGAAATATTTTGATTTATTTTAAGTTTCATTAGTATGTTTTTCAATTGAGAATAAAATAATTTTAATTAGAATAACATAATAACACATTTTTTAAGATTTTATTTTTAATTAGAAGAATATAATACCTCCGTTCCACAAAAATAGTCCAATTTCTAATAGTTCAATTTAGAAATGTAAATCTTAAAATTAGAGTTATGAGATCATTATAACCTCAAATTGATTATTAAATTGAAAATATCCATGAAACTTTATTGAATTTTTCATATCAAGTCATTCTAATATTTATATTTTCATATTTCAAATTAAACTATTTTTTTGGAACTGATGGAATAGTAAATAAATTTATGACAAATAAAATGAAGGACTGATGGAGTATTATCATTTTTTTTTCCTGGTTTGTTTTCTTTTGCTTTTTTCTTAAACCCTGGTGGCCTGACAGGCTGACACCCCAACTCGCATCTTCGTCTTTGATCAGTAAATTTAAAACGGATTATATTTTCCGGTTGCAAAGCTCCGGCGCGAGCTAATGATTGAATTCGAACCTCAGAAATTTTAGAACCTGATCTTTGGTCACAACTTTAAAATATGTTCACACAGTTCGGAGCTACGGCGGAATCGCTCAGCAAGGCCTCAACGATGGTGTTCCGGATCGGCACCGACGCCCATCTCTACGACGATCCGGATGACGTCAGCATTGCCCCACTCCTCGATAGCAAGTTTGATTCCGAGAAATGCGAAGCTCTCAAGCGCTTACTCGCACTGATCGCCCAAGGCTTCGACGTCTCCAATTACTTCCCTCAGGTAATTAACCTTCGGAATTACTCATCCTTCATTCGATTCCGGTCATGATTGTGTCAGCATTATGGTTACCGGAGTGTGGATTTTCGCCGATGACTACTTTTACGAATTGGCAGGTGGTGAAAAATGTGGCCTCACAGTCAATTGAAGTTAAGAAGCTCGTCTACTTGTATCTGCTTCATTATGCTGAAAAGTAGGTCTATCTGTTACTGCAATTCATGTTATTCATGGATAATATTAGTTTGGGCACACATTCACATAGTATTTTACAAGTGTGCTGCAAGTAAAAGAATTTAAATAGTCAAGGAAAACTAGATAATATATCACTGTGTTATGTATGGTTGTGATTGATGACAATGTACTAATCTTCCTGTTTGTATCATTATTTCAGGCGTCCGAATGAGGCATTGCTTTCAATAAATTGTTTTCAGAAGGATTTGGGGGATACAAACCCACTGGTGCGCGCGTGGGCTCTTCGTACAATGGCTGGAATTCGTTTACATGTGATTGCACCGCTTGTCCTGGTGGCAGTATCTAAATGTGTTAGGGATCCATCAGTCTATGTCAGAAAATGTGCTGCAAATGCACTTCCTAAGTTGCACGATTTACGATTGGAGGAAAATGTTGCTTCCATTGAAGAGGTTTGTGCACTATTGAGTAATACAGTTTCATGTCATCTTTCCCCATTAGTGTATGCTCTCAAATTTTAAAAATTGAAATCCAACATTTCTGAGATAATTTGATTATTGATATTATTCGATGCATTCTTGTTCCTTGCGACTTTAAAATGAATTTCAGGCTCTATTATGCAAATCATATGTACAAAATCTTGTGCAATTATAAATGTAATATACTTTCCAGTTTATATTTGTTTATTTCCATGCGCTTATGATTTAATTTAAGCTATCAAAGGGAGCTTGTTATAATTATGCACTGGAAATAAATGTTTGGGTGGGTTGGGGTGTAACAGTTGATTATAATCCATACCAAATATTCTGTTATGTAGCTGGTTGGAATTTTGCTGAATGACAATTCCCCTGGAGTAGTTGGAGCCGCTGCTGCAGCATTTAATTCCGTTTGTCCAAACAATTTGTTTCTGATTGGAAGAAATTACAGAAGGTTATGCGAGACTCTTCCAGATGTGGAAGAATGGGGTCAGATTGTGTTGATTGGGATTCTTTTGCGATATGCAATTGCAAGGCATGGGCTAGTCAAAGAATCCATTATGGTTTTTTCTCATGCTTCAGAGATTAAAGCTTCCGATGAGGAGGATTCTAAGACATATCCTAATGATAGTGAGGATTCTGATGCCATTTTAGAACTTAAAAAAGGTCGCCTCAGCTTTACTGATGGGATAGGTACATCTGAGATTGCGAATATGGTCTCCAGGAGTTACCTCGAGGGACCAGATAAATATATATCTCAGTATAGACATGCAGATAAGCCAGCTCCTAGAGTAGGGGCTTTGCATTATACTTCTGCCAAAGATAATGATGATATTAGGATTCTGCTGCTGTGTACTTCCCCTCTTTTGTGGAGTCATAACAGCGCAGTTGTACTAGCAGCCGCTGGAGTGCACTGGATAATGGCACCAAAAGAGGATATCAAGAAAATTGTTAAGCCACATCTGTTTTTGCTGAGATCATCCAGTGCTTCAAAATATTTGGTATGTGCACTTTCATAGACCTTTTCATGTGCTAGACCGAAATTTTCGGCTTCATTAAGTGCATCCTGTTTTTTTCTAATAACTATGAATCCTTGTAGTTTCTATGACGCTAGTTTAAGATTTCAGATTGGTGCTACAATGAAAATTTTCTGCTTGAATATAAACAATGCCGTCATTCATTCTCCCCTTTTTTTTTCAGGTTCTCTGCAATATCCAAGTTTTTGCTAAATCAATGCCTTTTCTCTTTGCTCCTCACTTTGAAGATTTTTTCATCAGTATTTCAGACTCCTCCCAAGTGAAGGCTTTGAAACTCGAGATACTTTCCTTAATTGCTACAGAATCATCAATTTCTTCTATTTTTCAAGAGTTCCAGGTATTGGTTTTGTAGTTGTTCATTCCAATGCGAAAGGGATCTTCACTTTTGATGCATATGTTTATTCTTGTGAAGTTGGAATGGTATCACATGACTTGATACCATAAATGCTCTCTAGTTGCCGGATATTGAATATTCTCTTTTCATTTTTTATCCTTTTGCCAGGATTATGTGAAAGATCCAGATAGAAAATTTGCTGCAGACACAGTAATTGCTATAGGGTTGTGCGCAGAACGATTTCCAAAGGTAGCAAATACATGTTTGGAAGGGCTCTTGGCCATTGCATCCTCTGGTAATTACAAAGTATCTTTTTCTGCTTCTGTACATGATATTCCTTTTGTTATGTCAAGTTCTCTGAGGTAATAGCTGTCTAAACAGAACTCAATGGTGATATTGGATCAAAGGATGGGGAAGCTCTAGTTTTAATTCAGGCAATACACTCGATAAAAGCAATCATAAGGAAAGATCCTTCCAGCTATGAAAAGGTTATCCTCTTAAAATTTCCTTATCATGCTCTTCCGTGTTATGCATGTAAACCTAGTTTGTCTTAGAGTGGATTTCCATCTTTTGCTATTAATATTTACAAGTTGCACTTACTAGTGCTTCAACGTTTTACCAAATTGAGTGTAGGAAGATTGCAAAGCATTATTCTAACCATTGCAGCGAATTCATAGAGGAGTTAACTTCAATTACCTGGGCATCCATTCATGCGTCTTTAGTCAAATTAAAAAATTTACTGAGAATCTAGAGCATTAAACATTTTGCACTGATTAACTGGGATCCAAAAGTTTCTTGTAATTGTGATGGAAGTAAAGCGGTTGACTCCCGGATGGCCTCTTTTTATCCAGAACAGGATATTCAAATTGTTGTTTCCGTTAATGCTTTGAATTGGAAAAAATGACTTGGGAAACTTGTTAAAACTGAACAATCTTTTGAAGTTGTTTCTGTTCGTGTAATTTTACTGGGGTTCTGCTTCTTAGTACAAGGTAACGTTATTATTTCGTCTTGGTGCACCTGTATTTTTAGCTTGGAACTCCTTTGGTGAACTAATTATTGCAACTAGTATTGGAAACTAATTGTATAAACTTGTAAAACTCATCTATTTTGTTTCCTTGTTCAACTTTTTCATAAAGGTCATTGTCCATTTAATTCGAAAGTTGGACTCCATCCGAGTGGCTGCTGCTCGTGGAATGATTATCTGGATGGTTGGCGAATACAATGACATTGGACCTGTCATTAAGAAAGTCTTACCTGTTGTACTGAGGTATTTAGCCCAGTGCTTTGCTAAGGAAGATATTGAAACAAAGCTCCAGATTCTGAATTCTTGCACCAAGGTATTTTTTGTGAAATTTTTTCTTTCTGCTCATTTTGAATTTCTTTCTAAATTATGGGTGAAGGTGCGAGAAGAAATTTTGCTCCTACAATCTTCAAAAATAAGGTTAATTGTTTTTTGAAATTTCCATCCGGTGGTTGTGATGATATTGCCACTTTTTTAATGGTATAGATGGTTTCCAATTAATTTCTTCTCGTTTTTCTTCATCAATCTGCTATAAAAAATGCGCTAAAACATGGTGAACACATCAGGCTAGAAGTGCAATTCAAAGTGATTTGGAATATCTAGGATTGTTAAGGGTCAGCTTGTTGTTTTATACTGGTATATGTTATTCAGCTACTATCTGAGTGACTTGATGAGAAGAGCCCCCCACATGAAACTCTGATACAACGTTGTATGAGTTTGTCAACTTTTTCTTTTATTTTCTTTCCAGGTCCTATTACATTCAAAAGAGGAAGAATTGTTGGCATCCAGTCAACTCTTTAATTACCTGCTTGATCTTGCTAGATGTGACTTGAACTATGATGTTCGTGATCGCGCTCGTCTTGTAAAGGAGCTTCTGTCTTTCCTAGTTGGGTCAAACCATGCAGAGGGATCAGGAGAACCACAGCACGAGACCAGGAATGTCTCACGTGATCTTGCAGAAAGTATATTTGTGAGACAGCTAAAAGAAGCATTACCTGAACCTCTAAATGCCAGGTTCTATCTTCCTGGATCTCTTTCACAAGTAGTTCTTCATGCTGCTCCCGGCTATGAACCTCTTCCAAGACCATGCAGTCTAACCATAGAGGATTTTGGTACAAGCACATTACAGGGAGTAAAGGTCCTCGGGGATGGTGCTAGTCAAAGTGAGTTGGATTCTGATGATCCTGATTCTGTGTCTGGATCTTTGAACGAAGAAAGTGACTCAGATTATAGCAATGAAGATTCAGTTGTTGATTCAGATAGTTTTGGTGACAGCAATGTTGATGGTTCATCCATTGAAAATGGCAGCAATGCAGGCCCATTGATTCATCTATCAGATTTTGGCAATCCTAGTGAGAATCAGAATGGAGGTTTACCGCAGGATAACTCCAATTCTGGCTCAAATAATCTCGAGGAATTGATATCTGGACGATCTCTTGAATCTTGGTTGGATGAGAAACCGAGTTCGACTCATAATGTTCCTGAAAATAATGATACTAAGATGTCATCAGCCAGAATCTCTATTGGGGATATTGCTAGCCGAGTCAAGCATAGAACACATGCATTGTTAGATCCTGCGAACAGTAATGGGTTAAGGGTGGAGTACATGTTTTTGTCGGAGACATCAACTCTATCATCTTTGCTTGTATGCCTACAAGTTTCATTTGTAAACTGTTCCACAGAGCCAATGTCAAGTATACAACTGGTGGAAGATAACAAACCCCTCGAATCTTCCGAGCAAGGGTCAGGGTTGTCTGAGAGGTGGGTGATATGAAGCTCCACTTTTCTACTGATGGCATTGTTATGTTCAATGTTATTCTAGCACAGGGTTTCGTATCTTTATTATATTGAAATTATTTATTCATATTCAAAGGGAGCATAAAGAAAAAGGAAAGAAATTGTTAAACTTAGATATGAATATGATCCATTCCGCATTTTTGCTCTAGTTATCCAAAAATCTTTGATGTTTGGAAATTATATTAAGCTTTTTTTGCTGATTTGTTTTCTTTTTACGACATTAAACTGATGTATTCAGATGCTCAGTTAATCTTTTTTGCTCCTTTTGTGTCATGTCAATGTTAAAATAATTCTAACGTGTTTCTACTTGACTACAGGACTTCACCTCATGGTGAACTGAGAAGTTTAGTTCCTATGGAAGATATTTCTAGCTTGGAACCTGGTCAAACCACCACGAAAATTATACAAGTTCAGTTCCATCATCATCTTTTGCCCCTTAAGCTGGTCTTATGGTGTAATGACAAGGCTTATCCTGTAAAATTGCGACCTGACATTGGATATTTTGTAAAACCTCTTGCTCTGGATGTGCAAGCATTTTCAAGCAAGGAAGCTCAGCTGCCTGGGATGTTTGAGTACACAAGGAGGTCAGTCGTTTGGACCATTTAATAAAATTCTCTTATAATTGAATCTGTATCGCTGTAATTCTTTTCTTTTTGCAATACATGAAGAAATAATTTGGTAGCTAAATCTAGAATTGAAGATGTCAGGTTAACTTATCCTACCTACAATGGACCTTCCATAATAAGCAAGGAAAATTCAAGATTTCAGGATTCAGAAGTTGTTTAGCTCTTTGAATGTGGTCTTGTTTTCATCTGTGCTTTCAAAATTTAAAATGGCATACGAAACTGGTTCCTCTATGTGTACTGGGTTCTTGAATCCTCTTGTGTTGGAGCAACTTGTCTTGAGGTATTTTGTTCTGCCTCTAATGAGTATTACACTTTAAACCCGTAACTGCTGTGCTATCAGCCATAGGATGTGACGGATTGTGATTTTATCTTGTTTTACGTTAAAACGTTTCTGAATGTTGTTATATATCCGAATATCATGTACCGTTCTTCTGACATTAAAAATAAACTAAATTCCACTCTCTCCTGTTCTTCCTTTCAAATTAAGGAGAGAAGAAATGAAGGGACTTGGAACAGATATTAAACTGACGAGAAAAATTCTCTGTAACTTGACCCTATCTTCCCAGACTTGTTTGTACCAAAAAAAAAAAAAAAATGAAGTGTTGTACGTATTTGTTGCTAAGAATTATTTATAGAAGTCGAATTGAGTATTTGGTTGAATATGCAACAGGTGTATCTTTATTGACCACATTGATGAGCTGAAAAGAGGTGACAACCCAGGTGTAAAGGATCACTTTCTTGTTATCTGTGAATGTTTAGCTTTGAAAGTGCTTAGCAATACAAACCTTTTCCTGGTATCTGTGGACATGCCTGTTTCTGCCAACCTTGATGATGCTTCTGGTTTACGGCTAAGATTTAGTGGTGAACTTCTAAGTAATTCATTTCCTTGCTTAGTTAGTCTTGCCCTAGAGGGGACATGCTTTGAGCCCCTGAATATTACTGTAAAAGTTAATTGTGAAGAAACTGTTTTTGGTTTAAATTTGTTAAATAGAATTGTGAACTCCCTGTCTGACTCAGTTTGATCAACATCAATGTACCATTTGAGATCCAGTGATTTTAAGGATTTGGAGTAATGTATTTTGTGACGGTTTAACTTTTGTTGATGGTATTTCATTTGAATATAAGAACAGATCTTGGAATATCAGAGCTTCTTATGTAGTTTTGCGGACAATTTGTACAAAATTTCTTTACTTCGGAAACAAGTAAAAGAAAACATAAATCATGTTGTCGTGTGAATATGCGCGATCTGTTTTAAGGGTTCTCAGTTTCTTGCACCGTGATTGGCCTATTGCAATATTGCTCACTTAGAGCTGAATGGGCGCAAATCTCAATGATTTGAATGCTCGTTGACAAGTTTGGTTTCTTTGATAATGATGTAAAATAGTAAAAGCACAGGGTAAGGCTTTAAGCAATACATGTCACTTTTGTACCTGAACCATTTTCTTTTTTATTTGAAGACCTTTTGCAAGTAATATACAATCAAGATTTCCTCTCTGTACTTAAAATAGCAATTGAACATCGACCCTAGCTGCTTAGCCACTATCCAGGCGTTAGATAATTTGATTTTGTATAGAACGAGGAACTGAATACTTTCTTTGCTTGGGATTGCCTGATTTCATTCACAATGAGATTACATAACGGAACTCAAATGTGTAAGGTTGAATCTCAATCATTTTAGCCAAGGAAGATTTCCTATCATCATTTAGGCATTCTTTGATCAACCTTTTCAGAGATCCGGATTGTGGCAACTGGCTGTATATCCACTCTAGTAAGGATTGCATGTCATCTGCAAAGTCTCTCATGTGCCACTCCACTAGTTTGGGCACCATAATCTTTTTCTTGTTCGTTACTCCGACAGCAGCTTCCAGGTACTCCACTTTTGCTCTTTCTAGTTCATTCACGATGTCGTCTGGTGTATAAACCCTTAACTGCAGATCATTGTCATTCAAGGTTAGCAGGTTTGCCTGACTGTACTGAGATCATGTCGGAAAAAGAATATACTCACTGCAGGGGAAGACCAGCAGCCTCGACAGAGAGCAAACGTGACTTTGGGTTCTGGATAACCAAGACCGTAAGCATGTCTTAGGAGCATTTCCTTCTCATGTGTAAGTCCCTTTGTTTTCCCCCATGCATCAGCAACAACTTATTGTTAGCATTCACATCTAAATTATTTTCTGTTCTTTTTACATTGACATCCACAGATTTTTGCCTTTCTTTTCCAGTAAATATTGAAATTCAGACTTGGAGAAAAAAGTTCTTTTTTGGGTAAAAGACTTGGAAAAAAGCTGGTATGAGCAAAATTAATGTGTTTGTGTTTCATGCTGTCGTGTCGCTATGTGACTGAGTCATTTACAGTATGACAAACAAGCAAGACTAACCTGTTTATTTTCTGTTGGATGACGAAGGATAAAATGCTCAATTGCCAGAGCATTCATTACGATACCGCCAACATTTATTGCTGCCTAAAAGTACACATATAGGTTAAGAATGATGTTTGTTATTTAGCTTATACTAGAATCTAATAAGTTTCCCAATTACTTTCTTGTGGTTTGTCCACACCTCATTCATGGCTGTCAGTAGTTTGTCCTGGTTTGAAGGAAACCCATGTTGCAGAAATGCCTGAAATACATGACATTTTAATTTATTCTATCTGCCTTGTATCTTAAGAAGAAAGTATAAAGATGTCTTACTGTACATGCATGATGCACGCATTGTAGGTGTTAATCCAGAATGCCAACTTCTGCTTGTAGGTCAAGTAGGATAGGTCCACATCTCTGAGCTTATGCATTAGAACCCTGAAAGAAATTAGAGATTTAGATCAGCTTCTCTAATCAGCAAGCCCTGCTTAAAAAATGAGGGATTATCTAAGTTACCGCAATTTTCTCAGTGCTGGGCGACATTCAGATAAGTGGCTTGTGTCAATTGAATTTCGAGTAATCTGGACAAAATCCTTATAAGGTCCTATGTCTCTAATGGTGACATCCACGTCTTGCAGTATTCGATATGGATCTAGATTTGATTTGTCAGAATCCCAGTAGAATGGGGATGTCCTGCAACTGAATGGTGTTTTTGACCTAAGGCCTCTTGGTTTCATGTAGGAAAGGTTACACTTTGGAAAAAGAGCTGATCCTTTCATCTGGAATGTTGCCTGGTTCAGCTCAAGGAAGATGCCTATTAAAGATTTGATGAGCTCCTCGGACAGCTTATTCGGCTTATCATCATCAAATTCCATGTGTAGTTGGCGATGGCTTCCCCAACTTCTTGAACTTGAGCATCTGGAATTCTGGTCTATTTCCTCTGTGAAGATAGTTTCACTGGATTCAAAGGGGGAGGAGCTTTGCATATCCAAGGAAGAACCAACAGAGGTCCTACCGTCCTGAGTAATGCCATGTTTTTTTTGTTGTGCACGATCTGCACGAAGTTTCTGCTGGGAGATTAGTTGCTTTTTGCGCCATTGCCTGGGTTGGAGCTGCAAGTTCTGTAACCACAGCATTTCCCAATCACTGGTCTGCTTCTTTTCTTGGTACAGTTTTAGCTTGAGTTCGTCAACCTTCCTCTCCAGCCAAATAATTTCTTCTTCCACCATTGTCAATTCAGTTAGCAGCATCTGTACCTGCACAATCCAACTTAACATTAGTACACTGCCTAGAATTAGGGCATTGTGACTTCGGCCTAGTACAGTATATATACTTGTCCAACATGCAACCTGATGTGATACAATCAATTGAATCCTTATATGTCAATGTACGGTATAGATATTTTTTCTGCTACCAAACTTTGAGATAGTTCACCTAATGCACACGCAACCTACCAAATTCTATCGTTTCTGGGCCAAAATTTCCAAAAATGAACGTTTGGGGATGGAAATTTTCATCCGTTCACTGGTTTCTGATTAGGCAATGTAATTTGAACTGAAAGTTAATTCTGGGAACATCGTATACCTTGGGAGGAAGCAAGGAGGTGATGTATCGAGAAGAATGAAATGGTTGTTCCCAGACACATTGCAGAGCCCTCTGTAGTTGCAGCTCCCCATCAAGCTCTTGCTGCAATTTCTTCACCTGTATTGCAAGTAGTACAGTGAAAGGAAAAGAATCAAGACAAGAAAGCCTCTTCCAAAGCACGACCTGAGATTCATATCAAGTTCCTTTAAACCCAAAAAGAAAGGAAAAAGTGGGTGCACTGTTGTAACTCACCTCTCCTTGGAGGTCTGCAACTAGTTGCTTTTCTTCACTCGGCTGCATCAGTAAGTCCTCAAATTTCATAATTCAACAACCTCATAAGATCATGAAATCCCATGCAAAGGATATGAAAGTGTTTTTTTTAATGCAAAAAAAAAAAAAAAGAACAAAAACGATCCCAAGGAAGAATAAGGAGGAGATTTTGGGAATGTAAGAATCCGAGGTTGGGAAAAACCAAGCAAAACAGACTCTTGGAAAGATGGACAGAAAGGGGGAGGTGGTTTATCTGGGAATACGTGGAGGGAAGAGATATAGGGAGAGAGAGCTACAGGAACGTGAGCTCAGCTGTAAATATAAATTCAGTAATGAGGTGTGAGACGTGAAGTCCATGAATAGTTTTAAACATCTAACCGCCGCAAATGGCCTTTTGAATAATACTACTACTACTACAAACTTTTTTAACACTATATATATATTTATTGTTGTTGGAGATGGTGGCTTTCTGGTCAACTTTATTTCTTACGTATAGTTCTCAACTGCCCATTAAAGCGCGGGGCTTTTAGGCTATCTTCCAACCCGAAATTCAGCAAACATGAAATAATGAATTCAAGTCATTGGATCACGGACTTCAGGGTGCTGTTTCTTCTACTTCTCCGTCTCCGTCGTTCCGGGTTTTGGACTTTCTGGTAAAGATGTCAAGTTCGGTAGACAAAAGAAGGCAACCTTAACTAATCTCAGGATGAAAATGGGATGTGCCAGATGAAAGAAGCCTGATTACTGATAAGTTAGTTACGAAGTTGGGCCGTTGCGAAATAAATAAAGCGTTGTCTCAATAAGGACGAACAGCCTGAATTATATAACGTTATTAAGGGACGCCCTGAAACACTGAAACTTCTCTTGCTCAAAGAAGAATATCATTGATCATTTGTTGGATACCTCGGATTGAGGCTGAGGGACTCAATTACATTACCACAATTTTCCTCGCAAAGTAGAAGCAGATTTGAATGTCTTCGGCACTAGTAATTTTACATTAATAAACCACTTGGAGTTGGAATGTTGGAGGAAAAGCCAAGAGTTTTAGGTGCCATTTAACATAAGTACATCACTTATGCAGAAAATTATACACAACAGGATTGAAATATGAAACAGGGGTCTTTGAAACTAGTATTCACTCTCCTTCCATCCACCGAAATCTTCACCCGCATCATAACTTTCCACCTAATCAGAAAGATCATGAAAAAGAAAAGGGCCATCAATCAATAAGCCAGGTTGCATGGATTAAATTCATTTACTTAATTAGATAATGGTGAATTGTGAAGCTTTTGTATTGACAAAGTCTTAGATGATGAATACCTTGGGGATGAAAGAAATTCCAACTTTGATTTCTCCATTGAATGATTGATCACTGGAAACGATGCTGTACTTCTGAGGATGAATTTCAGCTTTCCCATCCTGCACTCCAGTTTCCAATAGCTCCTTCACATAGATGCTGGCATATGGACAACAAAAGATATTTACAATCAAAGACTCCACAATGTTAACCAACTGAATCAGCTATAGTCTGTAGTTAAAACATTGCAAATGTGAGAAGAACTAGCTCTGTCCCTCTTGTTTGTTATACGAACTATAGTAGAATAATCAATCATTTTGGGACGGAAAAAGTAATAACTAATCGAATGAATTACGTGGATTGGCCAAGGTAGTCATCAGCGGAGAAAGTATCATGGTCCATAATCTTGAGGATGAGTTTGTACTCGTCATTTCCGCCAGGGTATTCTGCCCTGAATGTGAACGTCTCGTTCCACACTGGACTGCTACCTTGCCCTGCATTTCACATCCATTATTATCCAGTCAGTTTTAGCAGCAGTTAATTAGTTGGTAATTATTAGTAGTACACTAATCGTTTACTGCTCAAGTAATTGGACCCACCATCTCAGATTTCTGACCCGAGTAGATATTGGGCCACTATATTTGTACGTTAAGGGCCCATTTAGATGATTCAATAAGGTGGCTAAAAGAAAGACTGTACTGGACGGCCCAATGAGCCCAGGGCGACTGGGTCAAAAAGTAGAAGGCAAACTGCAGTGATTCAGTAACTTTTATTGATGAATTCACAGAAGGCTCTCCTGACATTGAGCTTTTAACTGACAAGAATCTTTCTGGCCTATCGATGATTTTCAGCAGCTCATTTACTAATGAATATGGTCAAAAGCTTTCAATTTGCAACTTGCTATAATAGTCTTTTCTTTCCCATTTCCCATGATTTTATTATTCGAGTTTGGTTAAATGTCCGCTTTAACGTACGAAGATGATGATGTAGATTAACAGTCATCGTTGAACACGTACTATCATCACAACTTACAGGGTAAAAGGAACTAGGGAAGTCATTACTCACTACTACTTGTACATGTACAGCATATGGCAACTCATAAAATTCCAACTCATTGTTTATGGAGTTGAGCTGCCTAATTCAAAAACCAACTGAATTCAATGATTCTTTAATAAATACTACTACCTCCGTCCAGAAAAAATAGTCCACATTGATTTTTTAAATTTATATTAAAAATAGTACAAAATTCAAAACTCAATGTGAACTATTTTCGTAGGACGGAGTTAGTAATATTTAAAATTGCGGCGGGGGCGGGGGTTTGGGGATTGAGAATGTAGGAAGACTTTTAAGAGATGATACTCCCTACATTCCAAAATAAGTGTCGTTTTAACAAAATGGAGAAATTTTAAAATAAGTGTCGTTTTCACATTTCAATGCACTTTTTTGTCCAAAGTTTTTAAAATTAACCTCAAAAGAATTAATACTATTGGTGGACATTTTTTTACTGGGGTTGGTTGAGGATATTCAAGTAATTTTATTACCCTATTTAAGAGTTTCTTAAACTATGTGCAAAGTGTAGAATGACACTTATTTTGGAATGGAGGGAGTAGAAAAATATGCGACTCTATTATTGACCGGCCCAAACAGTTAAAAAGGATTGGTATAATACTTGAGTAAAACAATGGGTCATGAAAAAAATTGTGAGAAATTGAATAATCAAAGCCCCCATAGTGAAAATGTAGAAGGTGAGCGCATACCTCGGGCAACGGTGCTCTTGCGCTCTTGCCCTTTGTATTGAATCAGAACATATGGATCAATTCCGCCTGCAAAGTAGAACAGAAGAAAAAAAAAACGAAGGTTAATTTCATCCATTATGATCAATTGATCATGATTTCAAATAGCCCATATACAGAAATAATCAGGATTTGAAGTTTGATCGAGAAAGCAATAATGGTAGCAGTGATGATGGCTAGCTTAATAGAGAGATTCCATTTAGTACGCTGACGACTTAAAACTTAAAAAGTAGTCTCTGACTTGGTCTAATCGAATGACTTGTAAGCTGCCATTGAATACTCTGTTTTGTTGTGTAACCGACGACAATGACAGACTTGCAAAACCATGTTCATCATCATGTACTAATATCGTTGACCCAAAATTGTTCCCATCTCTGATTTTCCTCTCCGGAAAGAAATCAAATGAAAGAAACCCACTTTTTTGATCATGGTAATGACATTTTGACTCGAACATTAACGGGACAAAATCAGAACAAACAGGGGTCTTCTCACGTTTGATAAAAAAAGCCAATCAGAGAAACACCAAATGAAAGGATATGCAATCCCAGTATTCAATCACCATTTAGTAACTAAGAGAGATGCTACATTAGTACTGTAAATATGGAAGGAAGGAGAGAGTTAGCTAAGCTTATATAATTCAAAGTTGCAGATACCTAAGAACTCGGTGTTGTTGAGGCCTCGAGCGCTCACCAGCTTCACCTCGATTACTCCGACCACCATTTTCCTCCTCCAAAGCTGCTGCGGAATTCTGTGACTGGTATTTTTGGAGTAAAGCGGTGTAGCGATTTTGTAACGGCTGGAGTATTAAGAAGACTCCAAGAGAGAAAACGAGAGAAACTTTTTTTTTTTTTTTTGGTATGGAGTTATATTGATGTGTTTTGATTTAAGACGCCAAGTTTTTTTAAATTTATACGGTTTCTTGTTTTATGGACTTTTCTGACCTCTGCGATCGTAACTTGGAAAAGTGACAGCCTGTCTTGATTATACAGTAACTTAAATTTGCACATCAATTTTTTTCTTTGGGAGTTGAGGTCTGGGATATAAAATTACTGTCATTTTCCAATGTAGGAAACTTCACAAATAATACTAACTCCGTCGTCCGGAAAAACATAGTCTACACTGAATTTTAAATTTTGTACTATTTTTTTAACAAATTTGAAAATTCAAAAGTGAACTATATTTTTTTGGGACGGAGGGAGTACATAGTAAAATCCTCTTAGTGAAAATCTTGTCGAATGAATGTAGCGGAAAATTTCCATAGTGAAAATCAAACCTGGGTCAATTTGTGTTGTTCTCAATATTTTAGCTTGTGAGAAAAAAGAAGATTACAGGGGAGGTAATAGATGAATTAATAGTGAAGCGTGGACTTATAGTTTGCAATGAAATGGCTAAAAAATGCACTCTCTATCTTATATTAAAAAAAAAAAATCTGTATTGTAACTTGTAAATAATAACAGAATTTATAATGTAAAAAATTGTGTTTATAAGATGGACGCATTAAAAGATGTTGTAATAGAACACCTAATGATGCTTAGATGCAATCACGCATCTAATGATATGCTACTTCATAAGGTGTCATTCCTTTCAGCATCGCTGTTTGCCAGGGATAATGGAGATTTCTTGGTTGCCCTCACATGTTTTTGAGATACCCTGGTTGCAATTTTAAGAAATCTTTTTCCTCGTCGCACTACCCCAGATTTTAGCGGCCAACAATCAAGTAATATTAGGTTAATTTTGAGAAAGAGAGAGTATTTGAAGTTGACCAACGATGACAGAACTAACTTCCCCCAGTTTGTAGCATCCCTCTTCTCTGTAATACGCTGGCTTGTCTCTGTCTATCTTATTCAACATACTAAGTCATCAACGATACCTTACAGAGAAGAGAAGAGACCTAACCAAAAAAATTAAAAAACATAATATAAAAACTAACAATCTCAACAAGTATGTTACATGAATGAAAATGCTATGAAATCAGACAAGTACCATTCAGGGCTGCTGTTTATTTCATTCATGACATCATCATTAAGAAACATTATTTTTACCTGATCCACCATGATTTGCTTTGAACGACACGTAGAGTAATAGGAGAGAAAAAGAAAGAGAAGTAGTGAGGTGTACAAAATTTTGAAAACTATCTAGCCATATAATCATCTCTTTCATGTCTTCTTATCTACTACACATTCTGGAGGTTGAGCTGTTGATGTTGTGCATGCTTTACAAGCTGGAGCCCCCGGTGCTGGAGGATACTCTGCTACACTAATCCGAACAGTTTGTTGTTTCTCATCAGTACCAGGTACATGGAGGAGAGCTTCCAGCACTATCACTTCCCAGTCACGTGGTCGCAAAAATGTAAACAACGTATCATCTGTTCAACACATAGTCATGCAATCATAAGTAGGTTACCTCCTCCTAAATTTAAAAAAGATCAATAACAGAGTAACCATAATATTCCTTCCTCAACCCCACAACTGGACCAATGTTGTGTCGCTAAAAGACTAAAACCATATCTTCTCATTCCCAAAGATGACAGGAGGAAAGAAACATAGAAATCCATTTGGTATAAAAGAAGATAATACTACAAGGCAATTATAGATGTATGGAATGTTGACCTCCGTTACGAATTGCCTTCAACTGAAAGATTCCAGTGCCCTGTGGTCCAGCAACAGGAAATGTGCATGATACAGAATGCCTCTTATGAGCCACTGCAAGTGAGGCATTATACCAAGGGCCTCTTTCTATAGGCTCTCCTATGGCATCGATAACTGCCTGGTTCTTACTGGCTTTCTCCATTGCCTTGCTGCATGAAATCCAAATAACAATGACAATCATATCGAGCATTAAACATCAAAGAAAGACATAATCCAAACAACAATGATCCAGCACAAAGGGGGCAATGCTGTGGCAGCGCAAAGTGAATGGAGAAAAGAAGAAAGTTAACACGGTTCAGTTTCACTTTTCTTAGCAACAATGAAGAGAATATGGGGAAATTCAAATGTTCTAAGGCATCCTTATATTCTGGTTCAACTACAACAAATGACTCTATTGAAGTAGCCGAAGAAAAAAATGGATCTAGTACTTGAAAAAGGAGTAGCAGATATCTTTAGTGGCTATGCATGCTAGAAGAAACTGAGGATCCATGGATGTGCATACAGCATCCACTTCACAATAAAACTCTAGGGAAAACAGCTTATTTAACTTAAAAGAAGCCAATTGAAGTGAACACCAAACAGGGCAAGCTTACAAGGGCCCTAATACCAAAATATAACTTGATCTCGTGAGGGCTCACAATCTAGTTTCATCACCCCAGACTGTTAAAACAATCTCCCTTATGAGGTTTGATTGATTAATGAAGAGGTGGAGAATAAGTGCTACTCAAGTACCAACTCAAGATGAATCAGATGACCTATTAAAGATGAAAATCCGGAAACGTTCCGCCATAGAAAATAAGGTACAATGTTAGACTGTGAAATTGCAAATTACACACTCGGCCGTCTTGATATAGAATCAAATTTTCATCTTTTCCCTCTGATCACCAAAACAACTTGAAGAACTTCACCACTAGCTCTAGCTCATGACAATTTCACCTTTAACCCCCTGAAATCCAAAACCATCTTCACCCAATTTCCAAATTGCGGGAGGAAAAAACCTAAATATAAACCTAGCTACTTCGTTTCCATACAAGAAAGCGATGGAATTGCAATGCCGCATTAAAGATGAAAAAATGAAATGCAATTAAGAATCCATTTTTTTTATAACTAAAGAAAAACAAAACATGGGGAAGGGCGGGCAGAAAGGAAATACCTGCTACAGCCATGATAGATAGCAAGATCGTCAAGAGCACTGAGAGCAACGCCACCAGTCAAACATATCAGTACACCTGAAACTGCCCTCCGACCCCAGGTTTTGCCTGATTTTCCACTTCCTTCCTCCGCTAAACTGCTCAAACGAACAACAAAAACAATTCAACTAATAATTACAACACGTTTAACTCTCTCGATCTCAGAGATGGATTAATGAGAAACAAAAAGAGGCTGAAAATATTGTTAAATCAGTTTATAATTTAGCTGCTTACGCAGAGGCCGGTGGTATTGGAGATGACGACGGTGGCGTCCTCAGGACGGAGAGAAAACGCCTTCCAAGCATTCCGTCTCTATTCCTTCGCTACAAAGCTGCCGGCGGAGCCCGCCGTTGCAGATGGTAAACAGAAGCTGAGAGACTTCTGATTACGGGTTGGGCTGAAAACTATATTAGAAGGGCCCAAGTTGAGCCTTTAAATGAAGCAGGCCTTAGTTGGTAATATTACATAACTATCAGTTTGATTAAAAAAAAAAAAGATTGCTATCAGTTTTTATTTTTTTTCTAAGAAAATTTCCATTTTTTTTTTGGTCCGCAATTTCCATCAAAGGGAATCGAAACAATCAATGAGTTAAAAATACTCCCACCAAGCCTTACTACAAGGTATTTTGATTTGCCATAAATTCTATTTAGTATATTTTTCTAATTCAAAATAAAATTTTAAAAATATATTTTCACATTTATTATTTTTACTGTGTCGATGAAATTTGTGTTGTAAGAAAGTTTTTTTAAAAAACTAAGTCAATGAAAATATAGACACAATGAAAGTTTAATTTTTTTTTATAATGATCGAAATTTTGTAATATATCCTTGATAAAGGAAAAAGCCAAAACTTGTGAATTTAGCGAAGTAAAATAATTCATTAATTTTATTAAAATTTATAATAAAAAAATAAATTATTATCACTTTTTGTACGAAAAAAAATTAAAGGCGACAAAAAATCAACGAAGATTTTACATAGTAATTTTTTATCTACGAATCAATCTGATGGGTTAAAATACTACACAAAGTCATTTTGTATCAGGTGGAATTTATTTTTATTGATTGGTGTCTTAAAATTAGTACCTTGCCCGAAAATTTAAACTCAGTTATTTTATACTGAACAAATTCAACATCAATGTTTCTGTTTAATCTTGAAAGTTTGTAACGTTTTCTTATTTGTTGATATTTTCAATATAGCTATTGAGTTAAAATGTGCCCAAAGAATTTTTATTTTTTTTTTTTTGGGTGGAAATTGTGCTCGCTTGTCAGTTTAGTGTAAATGAAAATGCCTGCCACTAAAGTCGCGTTGTTATAGAATACACTTAGAATTTTGAACATACCAGTAACACAAGTAGAGTTCTAATTCGGCCAAGCTGACCTGCAGTTTTTGTTAAGAGAATCTTAACTAGAGACACAATGGTTCACAAGACGGTCTGATCTCATGAAAACCATATTGTGCTGCTTAAAGTAAAAATCTTCGAGCTAGATGATAGAACTAAGTAATGTACAACATGGTTAATTAACGGAGTTGGTTCCAAATTCCCGGCGACCATTTGGCTCATCGGGCATGTCTCGGAGATGTGTCTGCAGACCTTGATCTGGATCCAGGTGGTGACCTCGATGCTCGCCCAGCTGGTGATCTCCGGTGGCCCAACGCTTCCTCAGCTTCCCTCTCAGATCTTCTGAAGAGCATTTTTCATATTTTATCAGATATACTTTAAAAAATCACCAGTCAAACATGAGAAATGCCCAGAGACATGGTCAAAACTTATGATTATGAAACAAAAAGCAAATGGAAGATAGTACTAGATGATCTCATGCTTCCCCCAACACAAATAAACAAAACTCCAATCACCCTACACCAAAAACCATGGAATACTGATCCCCCTTGAAGCAACACCATGCAAACAACGTTTAGACTACTTAATGTGACCATTAGAGTGCTGTGTTAGATTCTGGAGCAGAAAAAAACATAAGGCTTTATAAAGGTATACCAACCGACCATGTATATTTTCACTTACTTTTCATATACATTGACACCCTGGTCAGCCATGTCGACATAACCTGGAGAATATGATCTCTGATTATGAACTATGTGTCGGTCCTGCAGATGACCACCTGGATATCTAGGACGATCTATATGCCTTCTATCTGGAGAAACAGAGTAATCTCTACGCCTCCTTGGCATGGGAGAGAACGACCTACAAAGTTACAACCAGACATTTAGTGACATAGCAGAGATAACAAATATCATTAGCCTACACAACTCACCTTGAACGATGACGGCTTCTTGAACCGGAGGGATATCGTGGAGAGCGTGAGCGTGAGCGAGAATACCCTGTCGAGACAGTGGAAAAAAGTTGATACAAGGTACAGGCAAGGGAAAATACTAGACAATAAGGAGCAAACTGTAATTGACTCAACTCTGGTACTAAACAGAAAGGTCAAGGCTAGAAGTATTTGCATTAAACTTGTTTGCAAAGAACAATACTAATCAAGATTTGTAGTAGCCTCTAAATCTAAGCCCTAACCAGTTAAGGACAATTATGAACAGAGAGAATTTTCAGAGTTAGGAAAGTTCAGAAAAAAAAAACTTGCTTTTACCATAAATGCAATACTCATGAGGGGTCTGACATTGAGATTTGAATGAGATACAGAAAGAAAAATTCTCAGTTCAATAGAGCAGTATTATTCAATTGCAAAATTTGTTAAAAGCTTTAAGGTTAGCACTTCAACTCCTGCAACTGACCCCAATCAAAGGGAACTAAACAGACAGATAAAGAAGTAGCAACTTCAATCCACAGAAGTGAGAAATGAAAAACATCTATACCTGTAATGTTGAACTTACCATGATATGTAGACTGTCTCCCTCCATAGCTTACAGGTCTTCCGCTAGAGATTACAGGCAAAAAATGTCAGGATGTCTGAAAGTTGCAGGCTTGCAAAGGAAAGAAGCTAAAGAGCTTTGATTACCCAAGACTAGATTTTCGGCGCATATCTTCAGGTCGTTTCCTCATCTCTGACGCAACAACAACAGAAATCTCCCTGCCAGCAAAAATCCTTCCATTCATTTGATATTGAGCCTCTGCGGCTTCATAAGGATCCACAAACTGCACAAAAGCAAAGCCACGAGGTTCCCTACAGAGAGGACAAAGATTATCTAGTGATGCAACAATCGTATGCGAAGAAGCTACGGATCGGTCCTAAGAAACAAACTTGAGGCCATAGTTTTATTGCTTAACATAAACCCCGAATTCGCCTGAGTCTAAACTTCACAGGACTTCCATAGAGAGGAAAACAGTGAAGCATGTCAACATAGCTAAAAACCAAAAGGCTGAACTTTTCTTCTACATTCCGATACATAGCAACTTCAAGAGATGCAAGTTACTGGAGATTTCTTGGCACGCTTGTAAACCTAGGACGCACTTGAAATCAACGTAGTCCAAGAATTAAAATATTCTCATGTCTCCTTCGTATGTCACGAATCAATCTTCATCACCAAACTTCTATCGATAGTGTAATTTTAAAATTGCTCTTCATAAAGAAATGCTCCTCATTTGAAACATTAACACCCTTGTGGAAAGCCAAGTTACCTCTAAAGTATGCTAGCAACAGCAAGGGACACAAGTTACACCAAAATCATTGACCTGCTTGTAGACCTAGGACACACTTGAAATCAGCAGCCCAAAAATTAAAATCTCTTCATGCTGCCTTCATATGTCAAGAATCAATCTCCTTCATCATCAAGTTTCTACTGACAGTGTAATTTTATAATTTTTCTTCATAAAGTACTCCTTGAAACATTAAGATCCCTTCGTGAACAACAATTTTATGCAATCATTAAGAACAGTGCTTCACCAATTGTGGGGCTCGGGCTTGTTTTGACTTCAAACAAACATACCCCCTACAAACCAGTTCAAAGCATAACTTACCATGAAACAGACAAAAAAACAGAATGGTAAGCCATCACCAAAACTCAAAGAACTTGAGGCAGAAAAAATCGTAAGTTTGACTCTTAACAATGTGGTACTTAACTTCTGATTCATGCACCCACAATAAATGAATGCTTAGTACTCAAAACTACGGAGCTAATTTAGGAAATTAAAGAAGCCATCGCTGTAATCCAAAAATGTCAATAGATCAATCTTGTAGCCTGTAGATACCGACAAATGTTAGACCATATAACCTCTTTAACATATATCCAATGTCATAGACCAAAAACCAAAGCTTTTACATGTAGTAACATTGACACTCGTTTTGTGTACTTCTCCAGTAAAAATGATAAATCAGTACTTCTCTAGTTCTATTCTTTCCACTTCTACCCTTTCCTGAAAGGAAGAAAACTACAAGGGCAGTGGAAACTCTCTTGAGAAAGCTACGCATGCATAAGAGGATCCCAAAAGCATGCAAGAGTCTGCCAAATTTCCCATACGCAATTGCGCACCATGCACAAAAATAGAACTTTAAAAGAATACAAGAGTAACAGAACTCACCCTGTATAATAATCCTTGGGAAGATACACGTCCCTAACTAATCCAAATCTTTCAAATGGGATTCGAAGTTCCTCAGGCCTATATTGGAAACCAACATAAAAAATTCATTAGGTGTGTGAAAAACGTCTCTTCTATAACAGAAATCAATGTCTTATTTGCAAGGTTCATGCCCCAAAATACCTGCAATCTAGAGGAATGTTCCGGACCAAAAGACTTCCATGACCTCCACTTCCCCTTCCCCTTCCATGGCCACCACTGCCCCTTCGAGGAGGGCTTCTAGGCCAACTGCTGCCATACCCTCTCCTTGGAGGACTGTGATAAGCTGGGCTGTACCTCCGCATGTCACCGCCTATAAGGGTTAAAGAATAGAAATTAATCAGAAGTAACTTCAAGAAGGAAAATGACAACAAATCAGAAATGTATATTCTATGCAAATTTTAGTACTAGGTACATCAGTAGGTGAGTCATGAGATGCGGCATTCCATGCACAGATTGTGTCAAGAATCAAAAAATTGATGTTTATCCCCTGGGAAAGGTAACCTGCAGTTACAGGGCATTTTCACAAAAGAATTCCCACACGGTGCAGTCAAGCATAATTAATTTACAAGCAAGTAACACAGATTCCAGTCAAAATGGTTAAGTATGGAAGATAAACATCACAACCTCAGACTGAACATACAGTTAGGTATATGCTCGATTATAAGTGAACGAGATAGACCAAGTCTCACAAAAATGTAGGCATACCACACGACTTTTCACAGCAGGACTCACCCAGGAAAACAATTGTAAGCATTTTCAGAGAGAGTGCAAAACATTGAATCCAAAATACCCGCCTTAGGATGCTGTCTATGTGATTCTAGTAAGTCTGATGCCACAGAGGTTGAAATTTCTTTATCAAAATAACTTCACGGTATACATATAGCTGTACAGATTATGCATTTGTGCAAGTAGCATCTAGAAAAAACCCAATTAATAATGGGGAAAGATCAAAGTATTCTCCTATTCCCTGTAAACATTATTTTAAAATTCTTCTTTCAAAAGCAAAGAACTATCCCATTAGAAGAAGCCTCGGCATTCTCCTTAACCAGGGGGAAGCATGAACAAGCAAAACAAAATCAACCCAAAAAAAAAGAGCAGTTTATCAAAGTGGACCAAATTTGGTATCCTAAAAGACTGAACAAAGAAAGATGAAAACGACGTTAAAAATTTGGTCAACCTGAACTTCAAAAAGCCTTGCTGTCCCTACGTTTCTGTTAATTCAACGAAGAAGAATCTACAACGTAACTAAATTAACTAGAAATCCTTAAAAATGAAAAGAAACATCGACTTACAGTGTTTGTTCAGCGCAAGGACGAACAAGAGAGGGAGTAAATAGGTCCAAGTTTTAACCAGTACAGGTGGTAAAGTATATAAAATGAGTCAGAAAATTGCAGTCACAATGCCCTAGGTTTTACAGTCAACGGCTCAACGATACAGTGATCATGGGAGAAGCGGGAAGGTTGAGAGCGTGGTTCTTTACCGAGAGCAATTTACCACGCCTTTGGATGTCGGCCACTTGTCAGAAATTTCGAGGTATGTAACACACGGCAAATAATATTAAGATCCTAGATACACTTTGCAAGATGTACCTAGGCAGTGCATGAACCACATATGGGGAAAGAGAAATTGGAATAATTGAGTCCAAAAAAAAGGAGTCCACACGCGCATTTATTATGCAAATCATCAGTTTAATTACGTGATCAAATGTTATCCCTTTTTTTTCCTCCAAATTTTATCCTTTTTTTTAGCAAATGTTTAATTTCAAATGTTATCTTTTTTAATGCTTATCGTGTTAGCTTTTATATTATTTTATTTTATGAGATTATTTTTTTAAAACTAGGTTTATTCTTGTTGCGCGTTGCGTAAAGTAATGCGTAATGTATGGTTATTGATGAATATGGTGTTCATTGTTGTTTTTTGACTGATGGGGTATTATATTATTACGATTTTACGATGAATATATCTTATGTTAACTAATGAATAACGAGTTGTTATTGATGAATAATAAAAGTTTTGCTAATTGCACGATGTTTCAACTATGGGAAAGAGTCTTTTGTTGCTTATAATTCTTACACAAAGCACATTGGTTTTTTCAATAAACAAGTTCAAAGATTGGAAAATGTCCAAATCTGGTGTTGTATATTGGAAACAATTTGCATGTATCAAACAAGGAGTAAAAAATTCAAGAGGTAGGTGCGATACAACAATGAATAATTATACCAAACTAATGAATACGACAATTTCAACAATGAATAATCATACCAAACTGATGAATAACCCTCTATATCAATATCTACACTTATTATGGTTTGATTTTTTGCAGATTCAGATATCCTGCTTCTTTTGGCTTTTGAATGTTGTTTTTCGCTCATGCTTCTTTCAGATTGTGTCTGATATTCATCGCTCATGCTACAATATATTTACGAATTTCATGAATAACTTGTCAAATGTGATGAATCCGGCAATTTTAATAATGAATAATTATACCAAACTGATAAATAATACAAATATCTAGTAATTTACGGAAAAAAAATACTACATAGTGATGGTAAACGATGAATCTGACAATTTCAACAATGAATAATTATACCAAACCGATGAATAATGCAAATATCTAATAATTTACCAGAAAAAAGTACTACATAATTAAGGTAAACGGTGAATCTGACAATTTCAACAATGAATAATTATACCAAAACTGATGAATAATACAAAGATATACTACTTTACGAAAGAAAAAATAATACTACGTAGTTATGGTAAATAATGAATCTTACAATTTTAACAATGAATAATTATACCAATCTGATGAATAATATACAAATCTACCAATTTACCAGAAAAAACAACATCCAATAGAAGAACAAAACTCTAAAATTGATGAATCTGATAATTTCAATAGTTATGAAAACGATAAATCTGATAATTTCAACAATGACTAATTATACCAAACTGATGAATAATTCTCAAATCTTCTAATTTATCAAAAAAAATAAAAAACAAATTGAAGAACATATCTCTAAAATTGATGAACAAATATCGTTAATTGAGTGAACATACCTTAGATCTACATAACCCAAACAAAAAAACCACACCAATGATTGAAGAGAGTAGTTGTATTACCTCGCTTCCCCTTCATCCTCCGATTTGCTCATACTCAGTTCGAAATCCTCAGCCATAGACATCTACATAAATATTTTAAGAAAAAAACAACATTCATCAAACTAGAAGCAAACAACAATGGATAAACACAGAAAAATCGATGAATGTGACCAGAATACACCTTAATCCCCATCTTTAGTGTTGTAACTTGTAATCAGAATTACCGTTTTTTATGAATGATTCGATTCAGACTTCGGAAGCCCCGCCGACGGTAGCTTCTCTGAATGTATCGCCCGCAGGATTGATTTTTTGGGGTTTCGGTTTTTTTTTTTTTTTTTTTTTTGATTTGGGGATTAATGGAATAGATCGAATAGAATGTTGGATTATCAATAATGGCTGAAAATTAGGAAATAATGGTGGTTATCAAAATTTGAAAATAAAAAAAATTGCACATAATGAGGGTATTAATGGGCGCGTGTAAACACTCTGATGGTATTGTTGTAAATATTGAGAGTTCTTCTTTTTTTAGTTGCGTGAGTTTCACCTTAGGTACATCTTGCTAGGTGTACCTAGGATCCCTATATTATAATTGTGTAACACACGGCTATTGCACTCTCTCTCGTCTTAAATATGGCCAAAAGAACTTAAGAGTGTCAATTTCTACATATTTTCAACTTGTCCTTTCATTTTGGATTAATTTCACAAACTGATAGTATTATGCTGCTGTCTCCCAAAAATTAGTCCGGGGACATGGAGAGTACTCAGTACTATTCCTTCCGTCTCACAAAAATAGTTTATTTTTAAAATGTACAATTTTTTTAATTTGGTCAACACAACAAAGTACAACTCATAAACTTCCAATTTTACCCCAAAAATTTAAGTCGCATTAGTTTCTCGGCTTCCTATCAGGATTGGAAGTAAATGGAAGTTTCCGGCAGTGTCCAAGACGAGGAGGATGACAGCAGCCGCATGAGGTCGACGGCACTGATACTTGATGGAAAATTGATCGACGGTTACTCGTTGGGAATTGTCTCCAAAGCTAATTTAAAGCCGGAAGGATTTTACCAATTCGTCGTTTCTTCGCCGGAGCTAGCAAGACTATTCGACGACGGCACACGGAGCAGATGACGGTTTTTTGTTTCAAATTATTTCTCCAAAGTTTCTTTCTTAAATTAAATTTGATTGTGTGAAAAAATCAAACCTTTTTATTGTTTAATCCATATGCGAATCCATGGATTTCAGAATCGGAAGAGAGGAAATTTATGGAATTTTGGACTGTCAACTTTGGAGGCTTGTACTCACGCGGTGAAAAAAGAGTGTCTGCAGCTGAGAACGGTGGTTCAGGCACTATTCTTTGAGCAATTACATCTACGGGATATTGCTGCCGGCGTCGGAGATGGGGGAGAAAGAAAGTCACGTGTGGGTGAAGTTTTGGCCTTTGGGGGAGAAGAAGGGTAGTTAAGTCTTTTCGGCTATTTTAATTTTGATTTTTTTAAAACTAGACTATTTTTTTAGTATAAAATTTTTTATCAAACTGAACTATTTTTATCGGACGGAAGGAGTAACAAAGGAGTGGTACTTTTTCAAGAAAAAAAAACAAAACAAAGAAGTGATGAAAGATCCAATCAAATATACTAAAACATATCTTTCAGAATCTGAGCTGAAGAAGTACACCAAGTTACATTACAATAATTTACATTTCAGGAAGACAATGGGTCTTCTAAGATAAGGACTATATCCCCAGTCTCTCTTTCCTGTCGCAACTCGTCCTTAAATTTCAGCCAAGTAACCGACACATCACCAGAAATCATATCAAAAGGGCAGGATATATGTATTCGTCTGACATTTTTAGGATTCCAACGTGGTTAGATATAATGTGGAAGTGACCGTCACCACTCACCACCGGAAATAGAAAACTGCACCGGGCTATCTTTCTGAAGATCCATTTAACTGAAAGAGGATATTGTTTTCTCATTTCTGCTGCCTCTTCGCAATATCAGTGCGCTCATTGACAAGAAAGTGAAATATGCCAGTAAGACTTTCAGTCCTCGTCAAGCGCCACAGGAGTACAAGGTGCTGCAGAGCAACAATCTTCATGAACTAGCAAGCAACTGCAACCTCTAATTCAGATGTCTGATCCTCAGAACCAGGACGTAAGGGGCTCTTCTGGAACTGATTCCGGAGTTGCCCACAGGCAGCACTAGCATCAAGACCTCGCGTCTGCCGCACACTGACTGTAACCTTACGGGACTCTAGAGTAGCTGAAAATGCTTGAATCTGCATTTTTGAACAAGTTATGCAATTAAATCGTATTAACAATCTAAACACTTCATGCTAAAAAATTAAATTAGGACTGGGGCCAGGGAAATTTATTTTTAAGGGGAAAAAAAAAAAGAAAGAAAAGAGAGAAAGGGCACACCGATTTCTTAGATGGCCGCTTGTATTCGGAACCATCAATTGGATTAAATGGTATCAGGTTTACATGATAACCACTACCCCATTTGCGGAGCAATTCTGCTAACTCCACTGCATGCTCGACCGAGTCATTGACTCCAGCTTCAAAATGAAAATATAGAACATCAATAGCTTGTATGGTCTATCAATTCATACCTCGTTTCGAAAACTTCGAATTTTTCTAGGACAACCTTTTACATTTAAAAGACTACTTTCTCACATTTTCACAGCCGAATCACTTTCAACAAAGAGGATTACAAAAATCTTCTTCAGGCAAAAAGTTCAGTATATTACCCAAAAGTGTGTATTCAAAAGAAACCCGTCGACTGGTTTCAAGGAAGTAGTCCCTGCAATCTTTCATAATTGCTTCCAGAGGATAAGACTTTGCACTTGGCACTATACTCTCTCGGAGTTTCTGGTTTGGAGCATGTAAGCTAATAAAAGGCAAAAATGAATATCAGGCATAAAGATCGAAGAGATTTCGAAGATAATGCACGTCCATAATGGAGATGCAAACAAAAAGCCTTTGTGACTGAGCATTCAGGAATACTGTTTTAAATTATATGGCCAGATCCATATAAACATGTTCTCCAAAGGAGAGCTTTCTGGAATACTGAATATAGTGAAAAGCTGCCAATTAAAGCTGCTGTTCAAGATCATTTTCAGCTACATGCCGCATTTTAAAACCAACCAAAAAACGAACCAAACAGAGCCTAATGTTAAGGCATCTTGATCTTTAAGTACCATTGTTCTGCTTGTAATCTGGGGAACCTTTAATCAATTACCTTATAGCAAGTGTTGATTGAAGCTTGTGAGAAGCCAGCTTTTTCATTGTGTTTGGAACTCCAACAGTTGATATAGTGATCATCCTCTGCCCTATTTCAACATCCTGGGAAAAAAAATGAAAAAGGAAGAAAGATTATCAGTACACCGTTCTAATAATACTCAGTTAGGCTATTTCAATGCCACAATAACAGCACGGCTGGAGCAAACTATCCTAACAATTATAATAACACTCAGTTAGGATAGGATAATTTGATGTCAAATCAGCAGAGTAAATGACCTTATTCAGACAACGATGTGCTTCGAGAACTTCTTTCAAATTTAACATGGGTTCACCCATTCCCATAAACACCACATTAGTCACTCTGCGCTGGAAAACATCTTCTATGGCTAACACCTGTACAGACAAGATCATATAAGGAACTCCTCAAAGTAGAGAAAAATGAATGAACATGTACATCCACATCCAAGATTCACCAAAAAACATAACAGAAGTTGTTAAATAACAAATCCCGCGACAAAGAAGTTAATAAACCAGCTGAACTGCACTTTCGATGACAGATAATCTTCCATTTCTCCCCTTATAGGTCTTAACCAGAAGCAAATTATTTGGTTTCAGACTGAACATATACCTGCTCCACAATTTCATGCCTCTTAAGATTCCTTGCAAATCCTCCCTTGCCAGTGGCACAAAAGGAACAGCGTAATGGACAGCCAACCTAAAAGATACAGATAATGAAAAATAATTGAAAATACACCAAAAGAAAAATATGATCTTGTCTTATTGAAGAATTTTGCAGTAGAAAATAACCTGTGATGAAACACAAGCGGTTAAACGAACTGAACCCTTATTATCTTCCACGGGTATCCCAACAGTTTCGACCAAGCGATTGTCATCCAATTTTATCAGCAACTGGGTTGAATTAGTAAGAAGTTATAAAGATGCAGCATATGGTATATACAAATTGACAAAGAAAAGACTACAAAGGAGGGTAACATCCATCCATCCATTAGAAAGAAGATAAAACTTATCAATTAGAATCTGTAAGAACTAGAACCGACACATTCATGCAGTTGCACTGAACACACCAGCATTCCTAACATAAAGGCAGAGTTGAAAGCACCTAATTGGCTAATTGTGTCCAGACAGTAGACTTATAATGGTATTCATGAGAGCAACCAGACACCATAACAAATTTTACAGGTAAAAGAATTTTGAATTCCATGTAAAGCACAAATTCAAGTAACCACAAAACCAATTTTAATGATTTTAATGTCATAGCCTTTTCTATTCACACGCCTAAATATCATCAAATGCTTTTCTTTCATCTCTTTCCTCAACCTCACAAGTGTTGCAAAATTTCAACATTCTGGTTAATTGATCTAAATGCCATCAAATCTCTAACCCTTCTGAATCACAAGAGGAATGCATACTTTTTGAGACCTGATATGTGGTCTAATTATTAAATCGTACCATCCAATTTCTTGCCAGAGCTGGATTGTTTCATATGATTATATTACATTTGGAAAACAAAAGAACAAACACTAATATTAGTTTGAACAACCATTGATTACCTTAACAGTACCATCGGCAGCTGTAACCGACTTATATACTGGTGACCTACCGATTCTCCATCCGGCTTCCTGCAACTCATTCCTGAACGCCAGGGGCACTTCTCTCGGCCGAAATTATAAGAGAAGGAAAGAATGAAGAACATCAACAATTACAAAATCTAAGCTCCTCTCTTTTAAAATTCACACAGATTTTTAAGGAACTAGAAAAGAAACAAATACTCACATTGACTGAAGTCCTCCATTTCTTTAGCTTTCCTTTTGTACAGTAAATGATGCAGTTGTTTCCCTCTATAACGTTCCTGCACAAACGAAAGTACCGAGAAGTTTCACAAATATCCGAAGAGGTGACTTAAAAATCACTTACCACTTGAATTAAAAACAGACCTGTCCGAAGTCGATAGCTAGTTGCTGGAGCTCTTGTTCGGACATGCCGAGGAGGACCTGCGACGGCGGAGATGACTTCTTGAGGTTGGGGGAAGGTGAAGCGACGGCGCTACAAGCTATAGTTAGGGTTCGGAACCTAATCGTACGGGCAAACGGCGCCGTGACAACGTGCTGCAGAAACGCCATATTGCAATTTCCCCGGGGTTTTCAGAATTGCAGTAAGGTTTACAATATCCGATGACGATAAACCCAGGCCCTTAAACCTTCGTTGTCAAATTTACGAAGTAGCCCTCCCACTCAGAAAATGAGCCCATTTGACCCCTATCCTTTTATCATTGGCGAATTTTGGGCATTACAAAACTAACCATTAGTCCATTACATTTTCTTGTTCCTTTTCCCTTTAAATTCTGAAGGGGGTTAAACTAACAATCTAACATACGTTCTTGAATTTGGGCTTTTGGAATCATTGTCCCAGTTTCTTCTATACTTTAATTATGACTTAGTGAACAAACATGTCTGAAATCCTTGAGGTTCCAAATAATTATTACATACATAATTTTGCATGCTAAAAACCTCAATGACCAAAGGATAGTTGAATGCAAACATTTGGTACAATTGTTTTCCTACATAGGATGTTTTTTCGAAGTGCAAACTGGCACCTAAAAGGAAATGAACAAAATGAACACGCTGGACGATCATAGATGCTGATATCATCAGCTGAAATTTTCTAAATTACTCTGCTCAGTCAGCATCTTTGGTTTCGAATTTCCAAAAATTGAGGCTTGAGCAAGCCTCAAATGGATATACACACAAACATGATGGACGAGCGAATAGATTGATAACTATAAATATGCACTAAGCGCAACCACATTTTGCAATTTTACAACAAAACTACTGTTATGCATGATATAGTACAATTCACCTACTGCTTACAAGGTTGCTATAACTATGGGAGCTCCAAGAACGATCCCATCTGTGTATCATAAAATCATCCCAAATTCTATCTAGCATCGGTGCAATTGGAATCATTGATGTGATCATCAAATACTAGAAAAATCGAATATCAGGACTGTACAAAACCAAGATGTTGTTGTTGATGATGATGATGATGATGTAGTTGTTGCTGATGCCAATGGTGCAACACAAGCCCAAGTCCTTCCACTTGTCTGGCTACCTTGCATCCATCTGCACTGTAAGTTTTTCACTTCTATTCCTTGATGATAAATGTACAACAAAAATCTGACATTCAAGCAGCCACAGGGGAAGGAGAAGGTTTCGGATAAGATGCAGCCTTTCTGCTAGATAATGATTCCCTGCCACGTGTTCTCTGATGCTTTCGGGTTGCCTCTGATTTAATGCTTCCTCCGGCATCCAAGTCCTGAAGCTGCTCCAATGCTTTAACCACCTCTTCCATGTTCGGCCTGTACTTGGGTTCTGTCGAAAGGCATTTAACTGCCAGAGCTGCCGCTCTTGCTGCTCCCCTTAATGAATACTGTCCTTCTATTCTCACATCCATTACTTGAAAGATTCTCCTTTTGCTAGCTAGGTAGGGCTTAGCCCATTCAATGAGATTTTGTTCTCCAGGGGGCCGGTTCTTGTCTATAACTCGACGGCCTGTCAACATTTCAAGGAGTACCACCCCGAAACTATACACGTCGCTTTTTGTAGTCAGGTGGCCTTCAAGAAAACAAAATGCAGGATTAGTACAGACTACAGAGAAAGAATCCATTATTCAGTCCAGTTACTGTATCCTTATGCTGCATATTAAGTAAACGTTCAGATGAGGTTACATTCTTTAGTCTGAGAATGGCTGGCACTACAAACTAAATACAGAAAAGGTGGGGGAAATCAATGAACACGTGCTCCACATGGCAGACAGCACAATTCATAACTTTCTAATCATTTACCTGTGGCCATATATTCTGGCGCAGCATAGCCATAGGTCCCCATAACTCTAGTAGAGACATAGCTTTTGCCGTCAATCGGCCCATCCTTCGCCAGCCCAAAATCAGATAGCTTTGCATTGTAATGCTGTAAGTTCATCGAAAAGGATTTAGCAATGGTGGAAGGACGCAAACACATTCATAACTCTATTAGTGACTAAAAGAAAATTTATATGTAGAAGTTAATGCACATACAGAATCAAGCAAAATATTTGAGGTCTTGAAATCGCGATAGATGACTTTGGCTTCCGGGCTGTGAAGATAGCATAGTCCCTTGGCTGCACCTAGAGCAACCTTCATTCGAAGATTCCAAGATAACGGTTGGAAGTAAGCGGTTCCTGTTGAAAATAGACCAAAAGAGACCATGACTATGATGAATGAAAACCCCAAAGAGAACAAACAATTGAAGCTTATAAAGGGTAAAATAACCTACTCCGGAAGAGATGATTTTCTAAACTTCCCCTAGGCATGAACTCATACACCAGAAGTCTGTGTTCATCTTCGAAGCAATACCCAATCAATTTTACAAGATTAGGATGATGAAGGGTGCCGAGGTAATTAATTTCTGTCTGTGATCCAGGAAAATATAAGAAATCAATTCTGTAATCAGAATCTATAGGTAAGGCAGAAATGCAACGGTATTGACATTTGAAGATGGGGCAAATCACTCACCAGCCATTCCTTGTGACCTTGTAGACCTTCTTGGTTTAGTCTCTTAGCAGCAATGACCAATCCAGTTCCTGGCTTAGCAGCCTTAAAAGTATGCTCATCAATCCAACCTTTGAAAACACAGCCGAACCCTCCTTCTCCCAACACACTATCAGGACGAAAGTTCCTTGTGGCCGTCTTTAAATCATTAAAACCAAAACTCTTCAGATTCGAGGATTCCAAAATTTCACTCTCGCTACGAGGGGTAGGCGGAATTGAGGAAGACGAAAGCCGGCTACTTGAGTCCTTTCCGTTGGTCCCTGAAAAAATAGTCAACCCATTTCTGTAAGAGGATTGCCTGAAGATCTTACCATATTCATGTTTAAGAGCATAAGTATGACTGGATAAAACAAAGAATGGAACTTTATCTGGAATAGAAGCCCAAATAAAGAAAAGAAGAGGGCAGGGAATTACAGCAGAAACAAAAAGATGTATAAATGGTTTGCCTCAACCTGCAGTGGAGGCACAGAAAAGAATTGCTTTCTTTATGATTTCTCAGCATTTCTTAAGCAATCGAGGAATTCTTTATGTACCACCATTCTTTTATCTTGTTCTGGTGGTTTACAGTTTACTTCCATGGATTCAAATTGATCACTATCTTCGCCGGTCATAAATGACTGGAATAAAAGACAACCGAACTACTGTCATCAGTATTGGCCATTTCTGAAGCAGACAAGACATTTAGTCCTCCTTTTCCTTTTTCTTTCTTTGAGGAAAAAAGAAAATCCAAAGATCTAACCAGAAAGTGACCTTTTTGATCAAACAGGGAAAAGAAAATCTAAATGAATAGCAAATCAAACTCAATCTGAATCAGGCAATCCGATTCCAAACCGCTATAGTTATAAAAGGACCTTATTACCTGTTATAAACGAAACATACCCTGAACAATTTCATCAAAACATTTCCGTAAAAATACAGTCTTGAATTGGGTATTAAAAAGGAAGTTGCACGAGTTTTTAATCAAATTACCAGCATGAAGAGGAGACTCGGCCTTAATTCGAGCACTTAAGCAAGAACCCATAAATCAAAAACACAAAAAAGAGGCAAACTTTGTTCCAGTCTGATCCTTATTCTTTCCTCCTAGTTCGAGTCTAGAGCTGACAAGCTCACCGTTTAGCAGAACACCGATAACCCAGCTGGGGAGTGTCTCTCAGTGTCTGGAAGCAAAAGGACAAATGATAAACTGAGAAAACTCCCTTTTGGTTTTTTGGTTCTGAGAAGAAAAGGGCCAAAAAAAGGCTGATGATGATAATCAACATAAGCCAAAAACAAGATCAAAGGCAGAAAGGTGTGAACAAGTATTATTTTTTTCGGTCCCCTGTTCTCTTCTTCTCAATAAAAGAGACTTAAGAAATTATATTGAATTTTTTTTCTTTTTTCTTTTCAGTTGTTTGCATTGGTTTGGTTGGGTTCACGAGAAGCTAGCAAAGTAGCAATATTTTTCCAAACCTTCCCGAAGGCCAAAAAGGTTGACTTTATCAGGAAAAAAAAAAAAAAACCAGTCTTGGGTTATCGTCAGCTCTCTCTCTATGTGTTACATGGCAAGTTGCAGACACGTACACACAACAACACAATACAATAAAAGAGATGGGAAAAGGAGAAGTGGAACTGTCTCCGAAGATAGGACCATTTTCCTTTTAGTTTTTTTTTTTTTTGTACCTCTTCTTTTTTTTATTTTTAGGTTGGTTTATCTCTTTATGTTCTAGTGCATTTGTTAGTTGTAACATGACTTGGTGGATTCTTTGGTTGCTTCCATAACAGGACAAATCTGCATTTGATGCCATTGGATCAGCACAGAGCAATAGCCAGTGGTAAATGATTTTATTAAGGTTGTTTTAACTCTGGTTTTGCCACGGAGTAATCGATGCATGATGGTGGATTTATGTCATTCTTGTGTCATTTTTTTAAAGTTGATTGTTCACATTTTTGGTTCAGATATTTTGGTCTTGAATATTACTTTTTCGTTTTATTATGTTTGATTTGAGTGGTTTTCTTTCGGAAAATAAAATTTATCTACCATAGTATAATTTAATCATTGTTACATTTGCATTCGACCTAATTTAAATAAGTCACAAATGTTTCATGATACCGATATGGAATTATTTATTCTAATATTTTGGAGTTCTCAAGCCTAGAAACTTACGTAAAAAGTCCCACAAGATTTTCTACCGTGGACCTCGAAATTGACTGCGCTAAGGGATTGGACACTAATTTTAGTTCTAATTTAGTTTAGTTAAACGAGCTGGGTTGTCTAGTAATCTCTCTCAATGGGGTATACTTAATTAAGTCTTAACAACTTTGAAAGCTACACGAGAATCGATAACTTATAAACAAACATTAATGTGGTAATGTGTGCTCGATGTTTCCTGTTTGGAAAAATCAACATTCGGAAGTTGAACAGATACGCTACAATGACTTGCGAGGACTCAATCTGGATGCATTGAAATTTGAAATTGTAAAATGTCGATTGAAAAGTCGAGTACTTGTTTGCGAGGGCTCAAACATTATATTGTTTGATTTGTGGCTTGTGCTTGTTTACCAATATTGTTGATTGTTCGGTGCCTTTTTCAAACTTTCAATAAAAATAAAATCACATTCAGACTAATTTCATTTTTATTGAAATAAAAAAAAATTGTAACAATTATTTGCAAAATTTGTTTATTAATATGGTTTGATATTTTGTTGGTAACTTTTAGTCCATCTATCTCTACTTTCATTATAATTTAAATGGTTATTAAATCGTATCACATAAAATATTCAATCATTAAACATAAAACCTTCATATGATTAGTTTTAAGGCCGGAGATACGATTTTAAATTACAATCTATATATCCTATTAAAATAATAGTCCAAGTTAAAAAAAAAAGATGACATATTGCACTCTCATGTATTTTTTCCCGCCACCAAAAATTACGTCATTTTATAAAAAATAAAGAAAAAAAAGAAGAAGAAAAAAAGTTTCATTGATCAGAATCAAATTATCACGCAATTAATGTGCCTAATTGATATCATTCCATTTTGAAAGATGAAATACAAAATCATTCATGTCTGTCATTTTGAATTGTGCTATTGAATGACATCTTTGACCAAATAAAATTTACTCCCCCCGTTTCAAAATAAGTGTCATTCTATAGTTTGCACACAGTTTAAAAAATACACTTAAATAGGATAGCTAAATTACTAGAATATCCTCAACAAACTTCATTAAATAAATGCACACCAGTATTATTTCTTTTGAGGTTATGTTTGAAAAATTCTTGACAAAAAATGCTTTGGAATCCAAAAACGGCACTTATTTTAAAATTTTTATATTCTGCTAAAACGACATTTATTTTAGAATGAAGGGAGTATTAAACTAGGAATCATGGTATTAATGTGCATTGATCTGGATTCATACTCCATAACCAAAAAAAAAAAAAAAAAGACACCTCATTAAAATTTTATAATCAACAATTAAAAACGACTACCCTATTGTAAAAAAAAAATTATAATTCGTCCTGCGTAACTCACCATATTTAAGAATATTACACTCATATCTTAGACCTAATCATTCATCTCAAAAACTACTATGAATCAGTATATATACCTCACTTTGGAACATTATTCACTAGAACATCAACAAAATCAATCAATATATATATCTTATTAAAAGAGAAGTCCACGAGAAAAAAAAATGCTGAGGTGTCGCGTTATGATTTAAAATTTTTCCTCTAAAACACCTTAAGTCAAAACTACGTCTTATTGCTTAAAAAGAATTTTAACACCGTATACATAAAAACATATTCATGTTATAAATGTATATAAAAATTTGATAATTTTATTGTTAGAGAAATATTAATAATGTATTATAATCTAATTCAACATTTTATTTTCAAAAAAAAAAAAACCGATGCCTATGGTTAAAAAAATTGTTGAAACTTCACAGGTAAAATTACAACAAAAAATCCAAACAAAATATATTTTTTACATTCAAATTGAATCATTCTAATGTCAACCTTTTTTTTTAAGAAAAAAGTTAAAATTTCACAGGTAAAATTATGAGAAAAATTCAAGTAAAATATTCTTTTTATATTTAAACTCAAAGAAATTAATAATGACCATTTTAATTTTTACATCGTCTTTTTTTAACCTTATTTTTTTTATTGTTATTTTATTCTTTGTATAATCCGTTTTTCTTTAGATTATATTTTATAATTAACCGTTAATTGGGTATGATATTTTTTTCAAAAGCTAATAATTATTTTAATAACGAACGTTAATATATTCGGTGCAACGCACGGGAGAGAACCTAATAATTTAAGTATTTATCTCATTAAGGAAAAGAAACATCAATGCCATGTATATTTGCCGATTACCCCCTATTCTTCAACGAATTGGCAAGGTTTATCCATGTTGTGCAAATAGAACGCAGTTAAGTAGTACAGGCTTCATCTATTCCTACTTTGTCTATATCATCTGATTTGTAAAGAATGGGACACAATTTCGTTATTTATATTTTTGTTTGGGGGACAACTGACAATAAGTCAGTGACCTCCAACCGGCCTTAATCCTTATCGGCATGTTTGGTAGTACTGCATTAACCCCAAAAGAGATTTTAATCAGTCTCCTTATCATTGTGTTGGATAAATTATTAATTTAGGCGAAATCCACAGGCCGAAAAACTAATCAATAACAATTAAGGGAAAGGCATCCTTTCAAATGATGGCACCAGTCAAAGTAATCACATTAATAATCAGCAAGAATCTAGGTGTAGTTAATTTTTTTAGCTTAATTATTATTAGGCCGACGTGGACACATGGGGTAAGAGAATAAGCCAATAAGTTGGCTTTTAGCAAAAAGTTGAAGTAAGTATAAAACCCCCCCAAAAAAAAGAATAAAAAAGAAGCAGTACTTTGGACACACAAATCCCAAGTCCAAACAAAGAAAAAGAGGAACATCCAAATCCAAAGTATCAAACTCCCCAAAGATAGTTAGACAGCTAAAAGCTCGTGATGAACTGACACTTTTTTTTTCAGACTCCTAATTTTTAACTTGACCTGTAGACAGACAGTTTGAATATTAAAATAATAAACCCTTTCAACACAATATTTAATTTATTAGGTTTCTATCCAATGATCATTATTCATTACAGGAAAGCCAGATTGATGAAGAAAAAAAGAGAGAGAGAGAGAGAGAGAGAGAGAGAGAGAGAGAGAGAGAGAGAGAAAAATTGCATGATAGTATTTTCTAAGGAGTTTCGGTGTTGATTGAATCATTCTTAAAATTCGACTGATGTGTTTGACTTTGTTTGTGTGTGACTGTGTGTGTTTCCACAGGCTGGTAGGCAGGCTTAAACAAAAATATTTGCGTCGTTATGTAGGCTTTTAAATGATCATAATATTAACAATACTGGTGGTGGTGGCGGTGGTAACAGGTGAAATTCCACACGGCGTAGAAGAGAGAAGACGGAAAGACCATCCACCACCTCTCTCTCTCTTTTACTAACCAGAAAGGAAGATTTGGATTTTGGAAGAAGATTCACAACACAAATGCATTCACATGCCCCATTCTAGGTTCAACCACGAACTACGACTCCAATTTTTCTTTTCTTTTTTTTTTTAATCTATGCAAAGCTTCATTGAATTTTCCCCATTTTTCTAATACAATGTCACTTTCGTTGTCCGTCCACACAAAAGAAAAACTTCAATTGTCCAATTGAAATTCAAAACTTCATTCATTATTTACTCTTTTTTTTTTGGGGGTTGTTTTTGTAACCCGTTCCTAAACAATTACTACTAGGATTGACTATCGAGATTCGAGAACATGATGTACATTTGTAGTTACAGTTACATTCAAATTTTTATTTTGTATGTGTTATTCTTAACTACACACGTGAAATCCAATCCTCCCGCGGTCCAGCTTCGATTATTTTCCTCGCATTCGCAAATCACTATCGTCCTCTACTTCACTTGTGATGATCATAATGAATTAAAATCCCCACTTGGTATAATACAGACAATTATCAACTTTTTAATCAATACTTTGTAAGACAGTAGTCCTAACACAAAATACAGACGTTTGTCTATTTCATGAGAAAAGCTAGCATACATTGCATCAGGGAATTTCTAGAATGAGTCATGATGTATGAATCTTACGTGCCATCTTACCCAATTCCAGTTGCAAAAGTTTACCTAAACCAGGAGAGATTTTATTATCTTATGGATTGACTTTGTAAGAGTGGGACTGACTGACGACCGCATACACGTAAGCAAACATTCAGATGAGATAACACATTGCCACCTCGCCGATAATCCCAATCAAAAAATAATGTTCCCAAGGACGCATAACCAACATCATCAACATTTGTTTAAACAGGTCAGAACCTCCGATTAATTTGTAGCCATATGCCAAGAGACTACTATTTTGAAAACATTACATGGGCTACACCACCATTCTTGATTTGTGAAGCTGGGATTGAACTGACCCAGCACAACCCTATATGATGATATCCAATATAGCCGGTGTTGCCACCAGATACTCTGAACAAAACTCAGTGCCATTGAACCGCAATTCAAACTACTACTTTTTATTGGAAAAATGGAGGGGGTACTCAACCAGTAAGGAAAACAGTAAATAGTATCACAAGTATTGGTTTGTTATTACATCGATCACTCTAATCAGAGGTGCTGAAAGAAAAAGACCACGGTTTAATCCAAGTTCAAGCCCCCAAGCAAAAGATCCAAAAACAATTCTCACTAACAGCTGAGTGTAGAGCAGCTTAAGCACTCTTCTTCACCTCTGCAGCCTTGATAATGTCGATGAACTCCGGCTAGAGTGGAGGAAAACGGACAAAACAAGGAAAAAGGAGTTAGAACAAAACTCAAACTCACCTAATATCTTCCTTCCAAGTGATTGTATTTAGAGGAATCAAGAAGAAGTATCTAAGCAAATCCCTAACTGAAGTATTACCTTTAAAGAAGCTCCACCTACAAGAAATCCGTCCACATCTGGTTGGCCACCCAACTCCTTGCAGTTGGCACCATTCACAGAACCTGCACAATCCCAAAAGCACCATCAGAAAACAAATGAAGTACTTATCCAACATTTAAGTAACCCTCCACCTTACAACGATAAATCAGAGTCTTAAACTTTCATCTAGTAAAGCTACATATCTAAATTTCAAAACACCAAGAAACAAAGATCCCAGGTATCAATACCAAACATAAACAGTTCATCAACTCCCTATGTCAAAAAAAAAAAAGAATTTAAACTCTGATCCAAGTTCTGGTGATTGGGTTTTATAAAACATCCATATCCAATCATAATATCTAGTCACACAAAATGTTAAAATAATCATATCATTTAATGGCAATCTCAAATACATGAAGTTGCTGCAATTTTATTCCTTCTGTAAATTTCATAAACTAGTATAGATCATTCCTTCATATTAGAAATTTATAAAAAGTAAACCAGAATGGGCAACAAAGCATGTAGTTGAAACAAATGAAGATCTAAAGTAATACTACTATACAACTTACGGTTAAATTCATGAAGCAATACTGATACAGTAAATCAGTTGATGGGGTATTAGCAACATCTTGTGAAAAGTTGTGATTATATCAAATATAAAAGAGACAGATTTAAGAGCAATTTTTACTTCACGAAGTGGGATGTATATAAGATCCGGGTAAATTACAAGTAAGGTTTTCCCGTAAAACTAATAAGTTTTCACATTATTTTGAACATGGAAAACTCAAAGCAATCAGTTCTACCACTTCCAGCAAGAAGTTAGATAGTTAAGCATCCATCGCACATCCTCGCTACTTAACAATAATATTAATAGCAACTGAGATTTCCAGAATTATATAAAACAATCTACTTTGAAAGAGGAGAAGGTGTGGAAGAGGTGGAGGTACCTCCATAGATGATTCTGGTTGACTCAGCCACAGCAGGGCTAGTATTGGCATGAAGCCACTTCCTCAATTCATGGTGTACCTGTCGTGAAGAATAATTAGAATGCGAACCAAAACAATTATCATCCTTAAATTCAGACAATCACCCAGGAATCACATAAGATCTATTTAGGAGAGCTTCTACAGTTCTCCTTTCGCTGGACTGTGCTTGGGTGTTTTATGTGTATGTGGGCGTAACTGTGTTGTCACGGATGGAATGGGAGGCTCAACTCTTCAGCAAACCCAAACTCAAAAGATTTGCAAAGAACCCCAAGAACAACATTGCTTTTGCCTTTGTTTCACAGAAACGTACATATCTAGATAACCAATTTTTACTTATTATCCACCTTACACCAAATCACAAACTTGTGTCATTACAATTCTGTCAGCAAATTTCACCTTATTTCAAGACCGTGGTAAAACTCAGATTAGCAGAGAACTTACTTCTTGAGCCTGAGCAGGAGTTGCAACCTTTCCAGTTCCAATAGCCCAAACAGGCTCATAAGCAATGACAATGTTAGTCCAGTCTGATACTCGATCTGTTGAAGGATATTAAAGTTGTCAGTAACAGAATCAGAAAACCATGCTCGATCTGTTAAAGCACGAACATCACATGAAGGAAACAAAGCCATCAATAAAATATGATCACTACTTAGTCGAGATTCTATATCTCACGCAATGGCGTCAGCTCTACAGATCATATCTAGCCATCATAAAGAAATATTGATTTAAAATCTAATACAACAGGTCTCTTTGGCAATTCTCAATTTTCTACATATTGTCCTAGTCCTGAGTTCATAAAATGCACAAAACTGCAAGCAAGCAGGCCTTACCAAGCAATAAAAGTTACAAACTTTTGCCCACAAAAGTCAAATGGACAAAAAAATGCAGCATTGTTGCAGATAATAACAGCCTTCTAAAAATAAAAACTTTGCACAGATAATAAGAAGGCCGCGGGGGTGGTAGAAAATAATTTTTCCAAGTATTACAAAGCAGTTGGGCTACATTATTATTTTTCCAAACAAGAAGACACATAGATACACAAGCATATGTCCGAGCAATTCAAGAAATCAAACACATTGCAACAGAATTGTCACAAGCCATAGGTTTTGACAAGTAGAACTTCAGAAAGATTATATAACATTTCAAGGGGACTACTAAATTAAGCACCTGCAATGGCCTTGGTCTGAGCAGCAACAACTTCCATTGTTGAACCTGATTCCCTCTGTTCAAGTGTCTCCCCAACACAAGCAATGACCTTCAATCCTTGTGAGAGAGCATATGCAACCTTTTCCCCAACGAACTAACATAAAGATAGAAATAATACACGAAGTCAGCAAACAAATTTGAGATATAGAAGTTTCCGATATGAAGAGATAATGGTGTTCGCCACAGTAATAAAGGAAAGAAGACAAAAACCTCATTTGATTCACCCAACAGTTGTCTCCTTTCAGAGTGACCAATGATGACCCATGGAACACCCAAATTGACAAGCATCTCGGCACTGAATTTATTTAATTCAACAAGTCAGAGTAGAACAATAACAAAGATTCAAAAATTACAACACCAGAGCCCAAATAGATCCATAGAGTTTCTTGTACACACTACCAATATTGGAGCAGAAATAACACATTTAGTTTGAGAAGTACAGGGCACTCTCTACTACGTGAAATTGAACAAGCATGAACTAGGAAATGGAATCAATAGAAAGATCAGCAAAATTTTTAGAAGCATACCAGGTTAACATGAAAGAAACAATCTATTATCAACTAAACTTGTCCCTAAGAAGAATAACTTCCAACAATCCCTACATGACTGGCAAACCATTACCTAACTTCACCGGTGTAAGCACCTCCTTTCTTAACCCAGCAGTTCTGGGCTGCAACATGGAAATCCGGTCGCAATGAAGCCTGGGTCAATGGAAGAAACACGTATGGAGGAGAGACAACCACCTCTGCAGAAGATAAAGATTTCAGTAACAAACGGAACGCAAGAGCCAATCCAAGTCATCAAACACATAACCAAACTTATCGCAATCACTCACCCACTACGTCCTGAGAGGGAACTTCAGCAGCATTAAGTGTTGAGATGATCTTCTTAACCTCATCGGTAGTACCGTTCTACATGGAAAAAACAAGGTTATCAGCTACACAAAAACCCACAATCGTTCGCGCTAAGAATTTAGAGCTATTAACATAGGTACATAACTAAAATCGATAAATTATCGCCTTAATTAATGGAATATCCCAACGAACTATTAAGATCCACTTGCACTGTAAACAATTCACTGAACATGAACTTTTAGTGCGGAGATTCCCATAAATAATACTAGTAGGATTAACAAGATTCTCCAAAGATTAATAATCAGGATCCAGATAATTGATTCAGTAACTATAGATCAGAACACATCACCGGTTGGTAAAAAAGAAAACAAACTAAATCAAACAAATCATGAAGAAAAAAGATCTAAGGGCTTGCAAATTGCAATAAAGAGCCTTACACATTTCCAGTTGCCTCCGACGAAAAATTTTCTACCCATGGCGGCGAGCGATCAAGACGTTGGAACGAGAGAAGTAAATTGTGCTCCAAGAAAAAGTAATTTTGGTAAATTCGTTTGGAGAGGCGAGAGGGAGCAGTGTGAGCAATTTGAGGAGGATTTATATTGTGTGTTTCTTGTTTGTGGGTTTACATTTATTTATTGATTTATTTTTGGTGAAGTATTTTGTTAATATTTGCGGATCTCAGAGGATAGTGTTGTCGAATACCCGAAATGCCCACATTGGCCTCCGCATTTCTCCACCCACCGAGGAATATTCCAAGAATTGTCACTTTCTGTGGGCGTCCCGAAAGGGTAATTAAGTCAAAACTGTGAAGAGACGCATGGGGTGAGAGGTCACACAGTTTTCCTCGTGAGGTCGGCGTGCCCGATAATTCGCTTACAATTATGGCCTGGGCTTTCTTTACAAAGTTTGGGCCACAAGTCTTGACTTGGATAGTACCCAATTTTTTTATTAAATGGACTGGGCTATTGAAGAGATTGTATGCTGTATGATGATTCTGTCCTCGTCTTCCCGCCACCTCCGCTTTCCATTTTCGTTTCCCGCCCTCTCAATTTTAGGGTTCATTCATCTCTAAATTCACTTCCAATGTTACTCAAAATCCACAAAATTCAACTGTTTAGATATTCTGAAGAGAGAGTAAGGGGCTAATACGTAAATTTTATATTGCAAACTGTCTTAAATGGCTGCCCAATCTGATGATGCTCATGCTTCGACATTCTCAGCTCCCGAGGTTCGATCTCACTCTCTAGTCCTGATTTGTCCAAGTCAAATGATATCTTGTTTGATTTCGAGATTTCAATTAATTATTTTTTCGAATTCGTGCAGTTGGAGTTTTTAGCTGAAGATGAATTGATTGAGATCGTACCCAATATGAGAATGGATCCTCTCAACCTCATTTGTGTAAGTAGTTTATTGTTCTTCCTTGCAATTTGTTTTTGCGTCAATGTAAAACTCGAATAAAAAAAATTATGTGCGTGAAAATTTCTCTAATGTTGGTAATTAATTATTGCCGAGGGCAGGGTGATTTCGGTCCTTTCAGACCACAAATAGCTACCCAGGTACCCGTTTGGTTGGCTGTGGCTTTGAAGAAGAGAGGCAAATGCACAATTCGCCCCCCTGAGTGGATGTCTGTAGGTTAGTTCTTCAGTTTCAATTGTTTTAATTTTAACAATCTCTAATTTCATGTTTATGCTTTTAATTTGATAGGTTTAAGTACTTTGTGTTTTGACTGTTACATTATGGAACATTCTTTTGGACTTTGTTCTAAACAATGAACCGCCAAATTACGGTAAAGCTAAAAGGCATCAGGAAATGATATCGTTAATGTGATGGATTTTCTTTTCCTTTTGGTTGCGGTTGGCTGGGTTTGGGTTTCGGGTTGGGGGTAGAGTAAATTGTGTAGGTAAATATTTAACCCCCCTTGAAGTTTTTGAGGGCTTCTTGTGATGGTACTTAATATAGCAATAGATTTGTCTCAGTTTCCACTGTGCTAATTGTTTGTGGCTGCCTTGTAGAAAAGTTGACTGAGGTTTTGGAAGCTGAAAGAGACACTGAAAAGTTTCAACCCTTGCCATTCCATTATGTGGAAATATCCAGGCTTCTTTTTGATCAGTAAGTTGGTTCAAGTGGTATTGTCTCTTTTTAAAACCGTTGCCTTACTTGGTTTCACCTTGTTGACAATAATTTTTTCCTCTTATACAGTGCGGTGGGAGATATACCTGATGTGTATCTGGTTAGTTTAATGGATGCAGTAACAGCGCCTTTCTATATGAGCATTAATTCAGTCTTATTTAAAGTTTTCCATACTCTTAGGTAAGGTCGCTCATTGAGGACATCAAAGATGTGCGGTTTCACAAGATTGGGACTGGCTTAGAGATCATTTCAAAAGAACGTACCTATGCATTGAGGGTAGGCTTGTTTTCACCCTCACTATAAAATTGTTGCTATGGGGATGCTCATTTACCCTAAATTCTCTTTTCTGGTCATCCATTAAGAAAAACATTGAAAACAGGAAGGAAAATATTTTTAGGATAAAAAAAAATAGATGACAAAATAAATACAGTCGCATATCATATGCGATGGAGAAAAAGATAATTTGTGGTCAAATTTGATCTAATGCTGGGAAAAATATACCCACTTTATGCTGTATGTTATAAAGCTATCAAGGCCATTCTAAATGCGTGATTAATTATCCTTGGTTACATGATAGTATTTCTAAACTTTGTTTGTGTCATTGTGTACTTCTGTGGTTGTCATTTTTGTTCATTTGGAAGCACATATATACATATATATTTAGTCTTCCTTGTCTAGCTAAATTTTTCCGTTTTAAAAAATCAACCACATCACTGAGAATTGATTTACCCATCTTCACGTAAATGTAATCTAATCTGCTTATTTCCGCCTTCTTTTTACATACGAGAAAACCTATAGTTGATTGTGATGTTAAACTTGTGATAGTATGTTCTGATTTTTCCAAATTATCTGAATAGGTGTTTCAGTGGTTCAATGATTCTTTTGCTAATTGGGAACTGATATGTTTATGCAAGTTGTATGGAGTTGGTATTTTTACTTTCAGAAAAGAGAACTTCTCTACTTTCTGTTCCTGATTCCGCCACCCATTTGCAGCTTAAAAATCTGTCAGCAATGGAAGCAAATATAGTGAGGCCTTTTGTCACAAGGTCTCTTCAGACATTTTATAAGCTCGGTAGTCCGGACATGATACAAGATCGGGATGATTCATCAAGTCGACAGCCTCAAACTACAAATCGGGGGCCAAGAGTAAGTTGCACTTTAATCTTTCCTCCCTTTTTTTGTTTTGATTTTCTTTTCTTCCCTGATAGACAGTTGCTGAACTAACACACTGGATTTTCTGCATGAAAAAGCGAATTAGCTTACTGGATTTTCTGCAGTAGCAAATATTTGGATCTGTTATTGAGTACTAACAATTTTTTGTTTTGTTGACTCAGCGGCAATTGAAAGATAGATGAGGGAGTTCTCAATAATACTTCATCTTGCTTTGGAATTTCCTCAATGTTGTTGCTGATGTAGTGCATTCTGTATCCTACCTGGAACTGTTCAATGATTTGAGTAAGTTTATGTAATTATTGTTTCTTTGTGACTTTGTTTGTAATATGAAAATGTATTAATTTGATTGTTCTACTGATGCATGCACTTCACCTACAACAATGCCTTTCCGGAAGGGTTTTTTTTTTCAAACACAAGTACTCAAAAATTATTGTGAACTTAAGCTTCACGTATATTCTTCCGTGAAAAGCTGAAAGAATATACATCAAATTTGTATCCTGATAAAGTTTTCATGATTGCTGGAGTTCTTTTGCTTTCAAACTTCTTGGCATGTCATCGGAACTTGGAATTATGCTTTTGTTACTGTTTGCTTAGCATGTCGCTAATTATGATCTTTAATGTAACCGAACTATATGGCCTGAATGATCCTAATAAGAGAGAAACATATACTAATTTGATCAAGATAATAACATGATACAGTACTTAATTCATAAATTTACAAACTAAACCAAATAGTATCATGTTATCTACTACATTAGAGATTACTAGAAAAATAACTTAGGGAATGCTGTTGGAGTATCCTTCTTGTACTAATGGTAGAGGGTGCAGTGAACCTGACACCAAGGAGACGATGTAATAAGTACCACACGAGCACATCAGTGTAGCTGGTGGCCCCATATGATGTGGTTGGTCCACTTAGAGCTCATCAGTTGTAGTTTTGTAGTAAATTGAGCCAGTGATATTGGAGTTTGATTGATACATGGTTTTCCTCTTCAGATTGGAGAGGATTTGATTTTATCTGCTTGTTGTCCCAGTGGTTGTTTTTGATGATTCGAATTCCTATATGGGCTAATAACATCTTTTAACAAATTGTGTTGGTTTGGTTGTTTATGTTGCCTCAAAGAACCAAGTTTTTCAGCCAGCTCATTTTAGCTGTACCAGAAAGAAAGCTCTTTAACATTAGATTCAGAGTAAGCTTTTCTTGTGTTAACTGTTAAACAAATAGTAGCTAACTCACTCCTGTCACCATACCAACTCCCCACAACCACACTTGTTACTTGAACGTTATTTGTTGTGTTCTCTACTTTGCAGCAGGTGTTGCTATCCATTCTTGACTAGGAAAGCTTTAATTGTGTGAGATGAAAGAGAGTCATTTGTCCTACTATTGCTCTCTCTGCTCCAACAAAATTATAGTACTAATTTGCTTCATTTTAATAGATCCATATTGTACCACAAAATAGTTTATTAAAAGTAGACTATCAAAAGGGATAAAAATCATTTTAAGGTCGAAGAACAGTCAAGTCAAGTCAGGCAAAGTTGATTAACGAAATAAAATAAAAGATGTTATTCTCAACTGATGTCACCTTGATTTGTTGTCTCCACCAACGCAGTCTTTGTTAGAAATCGTTTAAGATACTTTTATTTCCACAAGTTCACATGTTAAATGAATAAGTAATGGAAATAATTTTTCCGCACGTTTTATTTCCAGCTCACTCGTAATTTCGGTTCTACAAATCCAAATTTTTTGGTGGTGTTTGCAGTGTCTTTGTATCGATCGTTTTTTCTTTAATTAGAGCCCTTGTAATTTCTCTGAATTCGTTTTCCCTCCACCGACTTTGAAAAAGTGAAATTACATTATGGGTTGTAGCTTGTAGGCCGCGTCTAACCCAATAATACGGTCCCAACTGGACTTAACAAGAGGACAGGGAATCCTGAACCATATTATATATTTGAGCAAAACCATATTATCTAGCATAAGTACATCTTGAATAGAATATTTGGTCGATATTGGGTACACATCCGGCAATTCGAATCCAATGATGATCACTTCTTTTTCTGAATCTTTGTTTACATCAAATATGTCTAATGATGACTTTGGGTTGTTAACCATCATTTTCATCGATAAAATTATCATTTATTAATGATTGTGATCTCGATTTTCTGCCAAATAGACAAAATACCTAACAGTATTCCAAAAGAACATAGACAGGGCACATTGATTTTTTTTATTTTATTATTATTTTACTTTTTAAATTTAGGGGTTCATGATAAAACTGTGTATGATTTTTGATTTAATACTACAGCCTCCCAAGTCCCAAGTGATCTAAAGGCTACATTGTCCGTGGGAGTAAATTAAAGAAAAAAATATTATTGATGCCTGACAAATTTCTATCTTTTTAGTTCCATCATCTTTAGTTGCTCTAATTAGACTTGTAGAGGGCTCAGGTGTACTTATATGATTAGTTAACTTTTGGGACGCCATGATGTACATATATAATAAATAAGAACTACACTGGAAACTGCTTCTTGATCTTACACACGCATGAAGTCTTGAGCAGATACATACGATCTTTAGACTAAGCTTCAATTGAGTTTCTGAAGGACCTAACTATGTTTCGGCTTTGCTAGATTTAGATCTTGAAATTTTGAACCAAGTAGTATCGATTAGGTGGAAAATCGCTATTGGTGAAGAGTGACCTGCATGTGTCGTTGAATCCACGGTGGCCAACTTAAGCGGACTAGTGCCTAATGCCTAATCCGCCAAAAAAAAAAAAAAAGCTTAACAATTCTCAACGTTTGGAAAGCCGCCAGCCAAACATTCATCTTTATACTAATCATCACCAATTGAGAAATTATTTTATTATCACCGTTTGATTAATTGTGACTTATCCAAAAGGTCGTAGTCATGATTATTTTATCTTCGCCAACTTTTACTGGTTTTGCTTTTGAATCCATCAACAGCCCTCATCTTCTTTTTGAAACAGCATGATTATCTTATTAATAATGATCAAGAGTAGGATTTTTGTTTTTGTTTTATCCATCCATTTCTGCCTTCCTGGTAGTTGTTTTACTTAATTACTTTACTTGGTCAAAACAATGCTGAAGCTTTTTTTTTTTTTTTTTGAAACACAATGTTGAAGCTTATTCGAGGAGAAATTTATGGTTTATGACTAGTTGAATTCACAATTAATGTTTGTTGACAATTTCCACCAGAACATTAAACAAATTGTTGGGAATGGTTATGCCAAAAAGACACTGGTTGTCTTCAGTTTCTTCGGTGCAATGCAATTACAATCTTCTTGCTCTAAATGCATGTGCATAAGCCTAATATAGTAATATCCCAAGACTTCAAGCCTACTTTATAGCTATTGGGGCCAAATCTTTAATATATTAAAAGGAGTTTTTATACATGACGTGATATTTTATAGGCTAATCCACGTGACATCAAAATTAGATGCCCAAGTCCACTTGTCACAAGCACATCACTCTATCATTTAATGGTAAATTTTTAATGTAAAAATTGTAAAAAAAAAGCTAAATTAACTAATAATTATAAAAGTTAAAAAGTAAAATTAACTTCCTAATTTTTTAGTAGTATTCTGTCGGTCTCCCCCCCTCCCCCCAACCCACACACACTGATGAAGAGAAACACAATTGATAAAACAAAACAATTTAGTTAACTTCACGAAACCTAAAAAAAAACTTAGCAAAACTTAGTTAAATTTATAAACAATTTAGTCGGGTGCTTTATCTTAGTCATCAATCAAAACCTAAGCAGTAATAAGTTTAGTAAACTTATTGGCTGTAAATTTATTAGATTTTGATAACTCAGCCGAATCTAAAAAAGTAAATAAATTTACTAATTTAGATAAATAAACTTATTAGTTTAGCACAACTTCTTAGTTTGATATGATTGGATTGTTTAGTTCCTCAGCTTGGTGCACTAATTTAAATATGACTGATCCCAAGATTGGTTGCTAGATTATTTGTGTTTATTCCTAGATTTAATATAATTAAATATTAGTATCAAATACAATAAATTAATAAAAAAATTATAAGAAATAAATATTAATTAATTTATGCTCTATAACATTAACACGTCTATATAAAAAAAATAAAATGATAAGATGTATATTTTTGGTTATCCAGAATCAAAATTGTTTTATCCTAATAAAGAGAATTAATACGGGTTCTAAATTTTTTTTTTTAACCTTTATTTTTTTGCATATGCATCTTGGAATTTAAGTGTGATATGTGATTTTCATCGATGAATCTTCTACCTTAATGAAGATTGGTAAGTTGCAACAAGACAATATATATATATATATATATTTATCTTTAGATGATTTATTATATTTTTTTAATTTTTCAATAACATAATGGTAGAAAAAGTTAATGTTATGATGATAAAAAAAATATAAAATTAATAAGGAGAAAGTTTTCCAAAATGAAAAAAAAATAATAAAGGTTTATGTGGGAGACAAATAGTAGAAAAAAAAAGTATATTGAGAATTTCAAAACAATTATATGGAAAAAAAATTATGTAGAGAATAAGAAAAAATGAAAAAAGAAACTAGAGATAACCGTGGAAAATGAAAAAGTTATTACAAATTTTTCAAAAAATGAAGTTTTAAAGAGAGGTCGTCAAATTTAATAAGAAAAAAGTGAAGACTTTACAACCAAGAAAAAAAATAAACACTATATTATATAAAAAATATATGAACAAACCTCCAAAGAAAGTTTGCAATAGATATATAGCAAGATGAAAAATAAAAATAAGTTCATGGAAAAAAATAATGAGAAACTTTCTACTAGAGGGAAAGTTTAAAACATATCACACGGATATAAATATTCAAAGAGATCATTACAAAAAATAAGAGAATACATTTTAAAAGATATAAAGCCATATAATAACGAAACAAAAAGATGGACATTAAGTTACATGAGATGATTTCCAATAATGAAATTTATTCCAAATGTATTTAAAATAACAAAATACATTGACGTTAAAAATAATACAATTGCAATTTATATCATTAATAATATTTTTTTTTATGAATATCACTCCATTAGAAATGTTATATAATTGTTAAATTATTCAACTCATATATATTTGGAAAACCCGTACAACGAGCGGTGTAAACACTAGCTTTATTTTTATTTTATTATTTTGGTTATAAATGTTTGACTTCTTATTAAAAACACATATTAAGAAATTGAAACAATTATATGGGGAAAAACTTATGTAGAGAGTAAGGAAAATGTGAAAAAAAAATCGAGATAATAGTGAAAAATGAAATAGTTATAACAAAATTATCAATAAATTAAGCTTTATAGAGAGGTAATTATATTTAGAAAGAAAAGTGAAGACTATGTAACAAATTAAAAAACTAAAAAATATATTATAGGAAAAATATACAAACAAACTTTTAATTGCAAAAGGTACATAGAGAGATAGAAAATAGATAAGTTTACTGAAATATGTAATGGAAAACTTTTCTGTTAGAGGAAAAATTTAAAAGATGTGACACGGGTAGAAATATTTATGTAAGAGTATATTTTTTAAAAATATAAAGCCATAAATCAACAAAACAAAAAAGATGGATAATAAGGTATTAGATGATTGCGAATATTAAAATTATTCCAAATGTATTTAAAACAAAAAAAATATATTGACATTAAAAATTACACAATTTCAATTTTTATCATTAATATTATTTTTTAATATGTATCACTCCGTTAGAAATATCATATAATCAATAGATCATTAAACTCATTTATATCTTGAACAACCCGCACAACGTGCGGGGTAAACACTAGTGATAATAATAATAATAAAAAAAAAGAAATCTACCGTACTTACTTAAAGCAGCAAACACAAAAGACACGTGTCAGTTCCAGAATGAATATTTTTCCCTCCAAAGCTTCTCAGTTATTCTCACAAATCCGAATCAAGCAAAATGAGACACATGGCACTCTAAAATTTCAGAAAAAATGAAGCCTTAAGTAACCCCAAAGCTTTACTTCTACTTAGGAAAATAAGGAAAACCGTAAGCAGTTTAACTTGAGTAATAAACAAGATAATAATTACTCCACAATGTCAGCCACTATCATTGCGTCCAAAAAAAACTCCCTTTTGAATAGCTTCCACAACACAATTCTTTCAGATATAATCAAATCCCTATATTACCTCCTATCAATCACAGTGCATAATTCAATTTTAAACAGAGAAGATTAATCTTTTTAAATATTTCTTATTTCATATATTATGTCTCTTCAGTGAGAATCCCTAAAGTCCTCTCTCTTTTCTTTTCCTTCCACCGATCAATACCTCCAACACTGCCGCCACTGATGCCGCTGCCGCCAATTTCTCCTCCCCCTCCACAATAGTGTTGTTTCGATCGGTTCTCTTCTTCCTCCCCCGATGAATCACACCACACAAATCTGTTTGAATCGCTTCGCAAATCCGGACAAGATCAATAGCAAACGAAGAAGAACGACCGGAGGTGATAACTCCACGAGCGTGGACAACTGCAATTTTGAAAAGCTACAGCCTCATATCTGAAGAAATCACAAGTAACAACAATCAATCGATAGCAGCTGGTGGCGGGTGTTTGAAAATCAAACGATAGCAGAAGTAGATTTAAATTCACAAGGTCAAATTAATTTCCTCTTTTACAATCATTTTAATTGGAATTTGTAACTTATGGATTTAAATTTGGTCCAAAACACTGATTTTGATTAAAGATTGATGTTTTTTCTTGATTCCCTGTGTTTCGTTTGACGTCTGGAGCAAGTTCATGGTATCCAATTGGGTCAATGAAATGGCAAATCTCTCCGAGTCTATGAGGAGCATTCTGCATGCCTTACTTCCTTAACTTCTTTTTTTTTTTTTTTTACCTTAAGAGCATTCCAAATTCCAGATGATGGGAAATTAAGTATAGGCTCTATACATTGACTTAATTTCTCAGGTACTGCATGTTGTTCTTTACAGGATTGCAGCCAAGGCACTGGTTTATGGGAAAGCTGAAGATGGAGAAGACAGTGAAACTCTGCTCATGAGTTTATCTGGTACTTTGAAACCATTTTTTTTGCGACGTAGGTGTCTAATCATTTGATTGTCTTAAACCAAAAATCTCATTGCCACAAAAACTTAAAAATCAAAAAGAATTAAACTATTCTTAAGATGAATTGAAAATAGAACACCATTTATGTATTGCTATTTCGATATTGGATTTGTGTACATTTGTTAGAGCATTAATGGTGTTTGTGTGATATAATGCTTCAAAAAACCTAAGAAAAAAGATTCCATACCAGGTGGAGTGTCAACAGCATAAGCCTGTGGTTTTGGAAGCGTTAATTGTTGTTTCTGAAAAACTTTACGATTTACATGTTTTGGAAGCGTTAATTGCTGTCTGCTCATCCATGTCTCTTTTCTCTTATTTTTTTTTTGTTTGGTACTTATTTTAAGTCCTTTTTTTTCATGAAATTCGTTTTCAGCCTGACATAAATTATTAAATGGTTTTGGTCTTTGTTTTCTCTTGAATTGATCAAAACTTTTCTTGCTGTATTTTTTCCAATATTGGATGTCTTTGTTATTTATTTCAGAACCTCAGTTTTTTTTGGCATAATGATATTGCCAAACTTCACATGAAGGGTGCATCTTATAAAGCTCTCTCATTTTTCTTTATTAAACTATTTGAGCCCACTCTAACAGCATAAAAGTAAGGTCGAAGATACACATTTTCCATTATACTGCAGGCATGACTCAGTTTTGGGTTGAAGGTCTTCAAAAAGAACTTAATGAAGGCTGGTTGAACATATTAACCTTTAGGTAGGTTGTTGCAATATTGCTGAAAAATGAGGAATCGTTTTCACTAGAATATGCCATTAAAAGAAGTTTTGTAATCAGAAATCAAAAGCTCAAATGTCGAGAAAGTGGTTTAATGGCTCTCTGATGTAAGACCTTTTATATTTGTATTGTCATTGAGCTTTTATATTTGGGTGATATATGTTATTGAATGACAAAAAATAAAAAGGCTTAATTTCTTTTCTTATTCATAGTTATGGCAGATTGGTACTGCTCAAGCTGTGGCTCGGGAGGCGTATTTTACGGCTATCTACGGTGAGAAAATTTGCCCCTTCTAAGGTGATTCTGAATCAATATTGGTCTTTGTATGGTGTGTGAGTATGGTGTGTGGACAATTTTGCTTTCACCTTGGTCTTTCTATTTGTTTACGGCAAACTGTGTGTCTTTCAAAATGTAAAGATTCGTTAGATTTCTGTTATTTGGAAAAAAAATTTGTTTCGGCGTCAAGAATAATAGTAAAATTGTTCTTCAAATTTTTAACTCTTGGTTGTTTTAGGCCACGATCCTTATTCAACCCAATTCGCAAACCAAATAATTGATATGAGTTGATATAATTTTGCAGGGAAAGAAAGAAGCATCCATGGCAATTGTTTTATGCACTTCGAAGGACACAGTGAAAAAGAGGGCCAAGAAGTTTAAGAAACCCGGGACCGACTGCAAAATCTCTATCAAGGCATGCTCTGTAAAACTACGGGCTGCATCAATGAGAATTGACGATTGCAGCTAATTTGAAATCCACTAGGTTGTACTCATCAAATTATATCTCATGAGTATAAGACAGTTACTTCATATTGTTGTTCTTGGGGTTAAACGGCTGTCAAATTATTTAAGATGTTTAAAAATGATTGTGTCATGTATATTGCTGACATATTCTGCTCCTTTACCTACAAAATCCAATAAATTAACTGTTCACAATTTTTACAGGTCTCTATTATGTTCACTGTGCAGTTAATTCTACCATACACGCATATCAATGAGGAAGTCAAGTTGATCACTTGCGAGCTTTGTTATCAAACTCAAATTGGAAGTAGTAATGAATCTCTGATGAGTTCGTTACATCTGCAAAAGCTTACAACCCTTACAAACGGGTAGCGTCTTTTGAAGAAAGACAGTTTGAAGAAGTCCTTACTTACATTTGTTTTTCTTTTTGGTTAATATTACTTACATTTCCTATTTGATAGATTATATTTGACAGTATAGTAGTGTTTTTTCACGGGTATCATGTTCCTTTGTATCAAATTTTACATTTTTTTGTTTTCGATTAGACTGTCAATCTCAATGCAGTAAACATATGATATAAATAAAAAAATTCTAAACTATCACATACTGTAAGTTTTATTGTTTCACATAAATTTTTTTTGTTGTTGTCTTATAAATATAATTGTAACCATTTGAATTGATCCCGATCGCGTTGATACACTATGTAATAAATCATGCCCTCGATCGTGAAACCTTAATATATGATTGTGTTGGATAACACTTTTACATGCTAATGTGTCAAGTAGTGTTAGGCATTTGACGAATGTTAGAAAATTTGAAGATATTTCAGTCAGTGCCGGATTGTGAATAGTAATGATAACAGTGTTAGGAATTTTTGGTTAGGAATGATGATAGTGTTAGAAATTTTCTTGATTTGATTATGAGAATGAGAAGGTCCGTGCCACATTAACATAAGCATTAATTCTGCCCCATGATTTGTTTTGTTTTATTTAACCGATTTAATATGAATGTAACATTAAAAGCGCTTGCCCGGGCCAAGTTTCAGCTTGAAAAAAGAAAACATTTTAATCTGATTACGTGAAGAATGGTTAAATCTGATTAGCTATAAAATTTCCCACAGGAGGTGACCAATTCCGCTAGCGTGTGGAGCTAAATCAACAGTCAACCATTTATCAGTACTATTACAAATATGGGATAAGGACAATTACTCTCCCGAGTTTTGTCCCAAATCCTAAAACCCCCTCCAGTTTTGAACCTCCAGTTTTTATCAAAGGACAAATACCCCCCTGAGTTGTGTCCACAAGACCAAAGCACCCCCTGACACAAAAGAGACTATAATGCCCTCAATATGTGTGGAGTCTAGTTCTTTTCCAGTTTTTTTCTTTTTTTTTTAATTGTCTTTTCTAATTTTATTTAGTTTAATCATTTTTAATTCAGTTTTCATTTTTTAAAATTTGTTTTCCTTTATTTATTTTAATTACTTTTAATTCTATTTTTCTTTCCTATTAAATTTTTTTCTACTTTTTTGTGTTTTCATTAATTTTAGTTTAATTTTACTCTGTTTTTAAATTTTTTTAATTTTACCTTTTAATTCAAAAAATAAATAAAAAGTATATATATATATATTTGATTTTGCCTTAATTTATTCCAGGTTTGTGTAATCATATTTGATGATATTGTTGTCATTTTTCTTTGAACTCTAAATAGCTACAATCCTTTTATAGGTGCAAATTTGATTGTATAAACTTGGAATAAATTCAGATAAAACCAAATATATTTTCAATTTATTTTTGGTTAAAAGACGAAAGAAAAAAATTTAAAAAGAAAGAAAAACAGAACTAAAAATAATTAAACTAAATAAAGTAAAAAAAATTAAAAAAGAAAGAAAACTGAATTAAAAATCATTAATCTAAATAAAATAGGAAAAAAATTTTAAAAAAGAAAAAACTGGCAAAAAAAAATTTGAGCTCACGCAAAATGAGCGTATTATAGTCTTTTCCGTATGTCAAAGGGGGGTGTTTTGGTCTTATGTACACAACTCAGAAGAATATTTGTTTTTTGATAAAACCTCGGAAAGTTTAGGGTTCAGAACAAAACTCGGGAGTAATTGTCCTTATCCCTACAAATTTTACACAGCTTAGTACAGACTATGCTCCTCCTCATCTATAACAAAACAATAATTCATTTATTGAACTAAAATAAAATAATAAAACGATTTTTTTTTAATATATTTTTTTCGGAAGATAACCACCTTTATAGCCACTAGCCAGCCAGCCACGGAGTTGCCGTACGGACTATGCCATCTCTCCCGCTCCCAACCGACCTAAGGTCCAACCCACCGTCTGTATTTCCTTTTTGTTTTTGTTTTTTAATTTTTTGGTTTACCCGAATTAATTTATACTACAGGTCAACCGTTGGCCAGTTTTTTGTCCCAGTTGTTCTGGACAAGCAACTCCAGCTCGCGTGTTTTTTAATGACGTTTATACCCCGTCGATCATTTTGTTCCTTCTCAAACTATTGCCTCCATCATGATTGATTATCAGTACTACAATTATTTAGAACAATAATGTATTCGTTTTTTGATTACTAAGATGATTGCATTCTTTTTATATTAAAATGTACCACCGTGTGCGCTAAATAGAAATGTTGGATGGTTAGAACTACAATTGTATTTTCTTTCGCAAAATTATATATAAAAAAAACACGAATTTTTTTTTTCTTGGCATGGTGCTCCAGCCTACCCTTTCTAGGTCCGTTCCTATATATTGTAATTTATGAATTATTATATGATCTACTTTCCTTAAAATGGAAAAAATATTACTGTATTTTTTTAGTACATGAGTAGGTAAACCTTAGCCGAACACATACCACAATCACAAAAAATTATATATTGTTTTCTTTTTTAAAAAACTGTAGATGGCAAATCTACTTTTTGAGCTCATCATCATCTAAATAAAGCACGGAGACAAAAAAAAAAGAAAAAAAGAAAAAAGCACAAACACAAAGACATCAAAATTTAAAACAAACGTTCATCCCACTTTTTTTTTTATGGGGTTGGTGCTCCTCACACTCAACGCTGTTTGTTAGTTGTTAAAGCTTTTTAGCCTGATTGTCTTTTTAATTTATTTATAAAAAAAAAAACAAAACAAAAGAAAAGAAAAGAGCAAAACCCAAAAAAATGTAAAGAAATGCCTTTTAGCAGAAAATAAGTCAAATTACCTTTTTAAATACATAAGATTTTAAATAGCCGAAAGTAAAGGTGGAGTTAATAGGATTGTGATCTTTAAAAAGGGAAAATAATACTCCATCCAAAAATGAACTTAGGAACGAATATTCTCAGCAATCCCGTCTATATACAAAACACGCCAAAGGTAGGTTTTTGGTAACTGAAATGAAACTTTATGATCCGACTCTCGAAAAACCCCCGTGAAGATTTTAACTTGGCTACCACGTAACGAAAAGCCACATCTCCGAAGCCCATATTCGTCATTTCACCACGGAATTCCTCCCTTCATATTCAATCCCCCATCATTCACCGCGTTCTTTCATCCCTTTGGGTCTCCGGAATATTCTTTACTTCTCTCCCTAACCCATCTGGATCCTTTCTTATTCCCTCTCTGTATATCTCCCAACGTTATTTATTATTATATATAATAGAAACGCCTTCTCTTTTTATCGAATTTGAATTCGATTTCATTTCCTAACACTTTCTCTCCCAATTCTTTCCGCCCGTATTCTTTCAATATATTACCCTCTGGCTAGTCCTGGCCGTCAAATTTGAATAAATACATATTTTGATGTGTTCATTTCTTCGTTTGAATTATAGAATTTGAAAATTTGATGTATTTTTGAAAGTATTATTGTCCGATTTTCATCGGAATCAGGGTTTTTCGATAGCTCAGCTGTCCTCCGGTGAATTCATCTGAAATTTGGCCCAAGGTTTTATGACGGTGGGGGTGATAATGGATTGTAAGGTGTATTCTACGATATCGAGGGACTTGTGGCGGATGAAACTGGGGTCTTCCGGTGGTGGCGGTGATATGGCGACGATCGGCGGGAGGTTTAGTCCGGAGAGTGAGCATGACTTGGCGATGATGGTGAGTGACTTCTTGGAGTATGGGAGCAGCGGCGCCGACTCCAGATACAGCAGCGACAGCGATTCTGGATTCTCTGATACGCCTAACCTGGCGCAGAAAATTTCTGTGAGTCCTTGCAACATTTCTGTGGTAACTTTTTTTTTTTTTTTCCTTTTCTATATCCTCCTTTTTATATAAGAAATTGTACTTGACTGCTAATTTCATTTCATTGTATCTTTTGTCGTTTTGCAACTGAGCAGTATGTTAAATTTCTTCTCTATCTAATTTTCATTTTAGGTAATTTTTTGAAGTTTTATATTGAATTGAACAGAGTCAGTGTTTGTGTAGTTCACAATTTAGCTGGCAAAGAATTTTGTATGATGCTAATGGTCCAAACAGCTTGAATGATGTTACTTCGATTGCTCTATCCCGTCTGTTCGTTTTTTAAAGCTGAGACGTGCAGTTATTTAGATTATTTATGCTTAATTACATTTTTTCTGGAATTATACTCTCTGGAATCGAGTAGGAAGATATGTTGTCCTGCAATTTAGTTGAAATGAAGATTTCCTAAACCTTATAAGATGATCAGACCTTGTCCAGCTCTGTGTAATGGCTATATTTTGGTTAATGCATCCAGCCGTTTGGTATGATGCGTAGATGTCAGTAGTATGGAAAAATGCAAAATCAAAATTCATTTATGTGCACAATACAGTCAGAGTATTGCTTATGAAATTTTGCATGGTCTTTGTTCAAATCCTCTTTTGAATGTATCTGGAATGTGGCAAAAGAGGCCTGTCCACAATGTTATCACCTAGGCTGAGGCCTAACAGTTGTGGCTTACTTTCTTTTTTTTGCACAATTATGCAGTATCTCAAGTTGGCAATGGATCAGTACGAGAGAGACTTGCTTTCAGTTGTTAATTCGCTTCTGTTGTCTATTCAAGAGTCAGATCTGCGGCATACAATGTCAAGTCCGTGCAATGATAGCTGTATACGATTTTCCCTGGTCAAGCTTTTGAGGTTGTCTGGCTATGATGCTGGTGTTTGTGCAGCCAAGTGGCCTGGAAGTAACAAAGTTCCTGGAGGTACATCAGTTCTTAAGATTATTTACTGTTTTGAACATTTTGTCTTTTTTGACTGGAAAACATCATAGTTTTCTTCTTTGTAATTTGTATCGCGTGAAACATCAACACCATTTTGAATTTGTAGACAGGCCCCAATGCATCCAAAGCTACTTCTGTGATGATTCTATTTATGACAATGCTCATCCGCTATATTTTTTATGTTTAGGGGATCATGAATACATTGATGTGGTCAGCCACAATGACACTGGAAGCCCTGAGCGTCTGATAATTGATATTGACTTCCATAGCCATTTTCAGATAGCTAGAGCTGTTGAATCATATGATAGAATATTGGCTTCACTTCCTGTAGTTTATGTCGGATCTTGGAACAAGATGAATCAATTTCTTCAGGTGATGGTTGAAGCTGCAAGAGCTTCACTAAAACAGAACTCAATGCCTTTTCCCCCATGGAGATCTCTAGCTTATCTGCAGGCTAAGTGGCAGAGTCCCTATCAGCGAAAGCTCAGTCCTGATGAACAAAGTTTTTCTGGCACCAATTCCTTTGAGCACAACCAGTGTGGTGGACACTTGAAGAGACTGCAATCTGAGATTGAAATTAAGCGAATGTTGAAGCCTGTGAACAATAGCTGGAGGCCAAAGCTTGACAGGCTGAGGCAGTCCTCATATAGGACACTTTGAGTTACAAAGTTCTTGCTGGGGTTAGTGAGTTCGGTTCTTCGCTTCTAGTGTAACAGCCAAGGCTTTCAAACAGGGAGTTTCAGTTTTCCAACCAAATTCGGAAAGTTTCCGTGCACAGTCAAAGAGATGTTACAGTTTTGTTGTTTTGCGGCCAAGTTTTTTGTTAAGATTCATTGCAGAGTCGGAATAAGAGGGATGATATATCCATATACCGGAGACCATAATAATTCCACGCGACATAGTAGTGGTAAATTTTTCTTTTTTCCCCTTCCATCTGATACTGTAGCTTAATATGAAATTTTTCATTCTTTATGCTCCTCAAGAAAGCAAGAAGACAAGTTTACTTGACTACCGATGGATGTCTATGGGTTTTAGTGGTATGGATGTCCAGTGAAGTGGATATGCTGATTGATGGAGCACTTGATATCTGTGGTTTCAATTGTTTAGTTTCTTCCCACTTTGTAAGTGGCAAATTTTGGTGTGTTTACCACGGCGTGTTTTCATCTCAAATGTCAAATATGAGCTGCTTGTAATATTGAAATTACTGTACTTGTATGATTTTGGCTGTGGTCAAATGATTCATTTGGCCGAATCAAAGTCTGCTGTCTTTATTGTTTACAAAATCTTATCAAGAAGCGTTGCTGAACAGATAAAACCGATCTTGTTGGGTTTCAGTTCTTTCATCTATATTGAGTATGGTCACTGAGCGGTTTCAGAAATGCAATTTTGTCAGCATTTACACATCCATGTAGTTCTTAGTGATTGTAGTATTGTAAGTTCCAAGGATGAAGAGGGGCGCATCAGTTACATGCAGTCTTAATGTTCCTGACAGATTATCTCCTAATTCGTTACCTGGTCAAATGTAACAACATCAAATGCGCTGATTAAGGTCCTTAACTTTTGTGTGTAAAAAGGTCCTTAAAATTATTGCTCGATAAACGGCCCAGAAAGGTCCTTAAACATCAGATCATCTACTACACGCAGACGCCAGAACCCCCCTATTGCAGCTGATCATTGGAAGTTAGATTTGGTCTGAATTTTTCTAGCACTTCCATTTGTCCACCTTTTCCTCAATCTGCATTTCGGGTTTATTTTCGTATATTAAACTGAAAAGATGTCACGTCATCACAATCGCGTTAGGAAGACAAGTATTAAAATTTAGCACGGTTCCAAGTTTCTAACTCATATTGTAAGCTGTAGTTGCTAGCGGTTCCCATGGTTGATTCTGAGATCCATTGCACGACCAAACCCAGTAAGGCAGAAACAGTTGCCGTGTTGGTAACAAGTTTGGTTAATTAGGTGTGAATTTGGAGAAATTATTGGCGTGCAACGTAAGATTGTGCAGTCAGACACAATAAATGAGATAAAATAGTAATTTTAGGGGGAAATAGATAATTTTTACGAGAATAACAACACCAAAATAAAGGGTGCAAATACTTGCTGCACTAAAAATCTGGATACATCAGTACCAAATAATTTTTTTTTTTGTGAATTTGGAGGTTAAAAGAGAAAAGTAGGTGTCCGTGTCTTGTTACGTGTGTCGGTGTATAACTTAATTTTATGCTGTAGAACTTGGGCCCTCGTCAACAATATACTGCAAGGCTCATGGGCCGCCTATCTCACAGAAAATTATTGTAGTAAAAGTCCAACAAGGTTTTTTTTTTGTCAAATACTACTAGTCATCATCAAGTTTTATAATTTCACGATAAGTTCCATTTCACTTTATTATTCGCGTTTCCAATAGCTTCGAGATCAGCTCAAAAAAAAAAAAGAAAAAAAAAACTCGACCTGATTGATGTTAACTCTAGATATGTATTTCCAATTATATGTTGCTTTGAAAGTGTAGATGTAAAGTTATGCCATAAATAACTAGTATTTACTTTGGATATAGTAATTTATACTAGACCGCATTAGTTTGATCAACACTAACTTTCTTTCCAAGTATAATCTTTCCCTTAATTAGAACATAATGTAATTAGTATCTCCTACCAAAACAACACGATTTGCCTCTTTTCTATAAGAACACCAAGTTTTTTTTCCCTTCAAACACATTAAAGAGCTCTTAAAAAGAATGCTAATTTTCTACTATTTGTCTCATCTACTGTGTCCCTATCCCTTCCATTTTTTTCCGCTCCACTGGATATAATAAGATAAAGAAAAGGCAAAGTATTTTCACGATAAAATAAAGAATAATAAAAGAGAAATGCCCACAAACAAAATGACGTTGTGTGCCTTAGCGCGAAACGCGTTTGAAGGAGCTAGAGAATAGTAGTCGGGAATAGACAATCTTGACAACACTTCTTCTATCATTATATTCCTTTCCTTTTCAGCCGACCACTTTTGAGTTTTGACTGTCTGTCCAAGCAAACACACAAGTCCTTCCTCTGTTTCTCACATTTTTATCTCTTCTGTGCCCAAATTTAAAGGTCAGCCTCACGAACGTTCCAATCTAGAACAACACAACACAACTATAAAAACCTTAAATTTGGACACAAATTTAATTCAAGCTCTCATTATTTTTAGATTTGGACATCAAATTTAAAGCCAATAACAATGGAGATGTCGAACAGACAATCTCCATCCAAGGCCCTCTTCCTGATATTGGCTATTATATCCATCCAACACATTTCCACTGTACAATGCATCGGAGTTAACTACGGCACCCTCGGCGACAACCTCCCGCCGCCGGCACAGGTTGCTCAATTCCTCAAGGACAAAACCATCATCGACCGTGTCAAGATTTTCGATGTCAACCCGGACATCATCCGAGCCTTTGCCAACACCGGAATCTCCCTCACCGTCACCGTCCCCAACGGCGAGATCCCCAACCTCACCGAAATCCGGTCAGCTCGCCGGTGGGTCAACCAGTACATCAAGCCTTTCGTCCCACAAACCCGAATCAATTACATTGCCGTCGGGAACGAGATCCTCCACTGGGGCCCGCAGAACCTAATCGACAACCTCGTTCCGGCAATGAAGACCCTTTACAAAGCTCTCCACATGAACGGAATCCGGGACATTAAAGTTTCCTCTCCGCATTCTCTGGGGATTCTCTTGTCAGCTAACCCGCCGAGCAGGGCCAGTTTCCGACCCGGTTGGGATGTGGGCGTTTTGAAGCCGATGTTGGATTTCCTGAACGCGACAAACGGTCCATTCATGGTCAATCCTTATCCTTATTTCGGGTTTGACCCGAATGAAGTCGATTTCGACGTGTTCCGGCCTAATAAGGGAATATACGACCGGTTTACCCGGCGGACTTACACTAATAAATTCGATTTGCTTTTGGATGCCGTGTTTGTGTCCATGAAGAGATTGGGCCACGGGGATGTGGAGATTGTGGCGGCGGAGACAGGGTGGCCGTCGTTGGGTGAGACTTTTGAGCCACAATGCACGGTGGCGAATGCTGCATCCTACAACGGCGGGTTGGTGAGGAAGTTCATCTCCGGGAGAGGGACTCCGTTGATGCCACACAAGAAATTCGAGACGTATATTTTTGGGTTGTTCAATGAGAACCAGAAGCCAGGGTCATTGGCTGAGAGGAACTGGGGATTGTTCAGGCCGGATTTCACTCCGGTTTATGATGCTGGAATCTTGAAACCCGGTGCCGGAGTGGTAAGCAATTAATTATTTTTCTGCCAATTTAATTTTAGTTCATTTTTTTTTAATTTTTTTTTTAATCTCATTCAGCATTATTGCAATCGATTAATTAATTATTCGTTATTGGGGAATTGGTAATTTGGCAAATTTTTGAGTAATTACTAATTTCTGGGGATTCAATTAAGCTTTAAGTTGCGTAGTTGGGAATAAGATGCTGGATTCTTCTAGTTCTAGGTGTAGCAAGTAACAGGAAAAAGGGGAAAGAAAGGCGACAATTAAACATGGAACACGAGGTGATACTGGGTGAATCATCTGTAGAACACTGTAGACTGATGCTAATTTGATACCATGTGGCTTTTCGAGTTTGGACAACCTCGAATATAACTTTATTCCATATTCTTGGTTTGAAAATGGGACCCATGTTTTTCGGTGATCTAGATTTGATCATGTTTCACGTATGAATGTTTGACTATTTTAGTAGTACTAGTAATAGTATCTTACTTGGGTATTTTATCAAGAACTAAATTTTATAATACGAAGTGTTTATTTGGTGATACTACTAAATGTGGTTTCTACTTAATTATAGATTGTGCGTTAACTTGAAACCACAAACATTTCTCCTGTCACAATTAAAGATTGGTGGAGAACCAAGAATGGAAACCCATAGAAGACAACCAGATATTTATGTGTCTGCAAGTAATTTGCAAAGAGATTAATTAAATGCATCAACGATAGTATATAGGATTACTATTTGCTACTACTACAATGCATCAGGTACCACTTGCTAGTTGCTTATCATCTTACAGGTGCACATACCACTCGTTAACATCATTAATTATAATAAAGTACTCCGATAATGATGTTGCAAATTGTCAATTTGAGATTCGTGCAACAACGGTCCTTAAAATTTTATTCATGGGATCTACTTTTCTTACTGATCTCCATCTGTAATTTTTTAATATATCTAGATTTGGACACTAAAAAATAAGGTTTGTATAGAGCGGGCACGACATCTCTTTTCTCTTTAAAAAAAATTAAACATTAAATGCGGACATTAGCCGGGGGCGGACACTACACTACAAGCCCTCTTTGGCCAATAGCAATGGATCAATCCCGCATTTGTGTTTTTGTTTCTGTTAGTTTTGTTTTCTTCCTATCTTAAGTTACATCACGATACAGAAAAGTATATATGTCTTTTTATTACTTGTGTGATTTTATTCACTACATATCACTCCAAAAAATGATGAAAACCAACTACCCAAGAATGAATTAGTAAGCCTTGAATGCTTGTTAATTACTATGATGCTGATTGGAGGGTAACATTGTGTCCACACAGCCGGTTCCAGCAGTACCAGTAACACCAGGACCTGGCAAGAAATGGTGCGTCCCAAGGGCGGGAGCAACCGACGCAGCCCTCCAGAACAACATCAACTACGTTTGCAGCCAAGGCCTGGATTGCCGTCCCATTCAACAAGGCGGTACCTGCTTCAATCCCAACACCGTCCGCTCCCATGCTGCTTACCTCATGAACTTGTGGTTCCAAACTAAGGGCACCACCCTCCAAAACTGTGACTTCTCCGGCACCGGAGACATCGTCACCGATAGAGATCCAAGTAAATTATACCCCATCAATCCCTGCATTTCTTCCTTGTTTTTGTGTAGTAAGATTGTTGAGAAATTCATTCGCATATATATTGTGTTTACTGATATTTGTGCGTTGAATTTCCAGGTTACGGTGCATGCAAATATTAGTGATCTTCTGAAGTGTTAGGACCGACCATCTAATGAACTAAAAAGAGGGTTCCCGACTCTGACTTGCAACAACCGGAATGAAGTTTTGGACTTGATTATTTATCTAATTGTTCGTATTCCCTTGGGCCAATTCACATGCAATCAGTTTTCTTATGAATTCTGATAAGTGCATGGGAGGATTCTAGCTCTAGTTGACTCTGGATTTAGTGTTTTGTTGTACATTTCAGAATTTGTATCATATTACTTAATGAAATATTCGTCGAAAATTGATAATTTAGTTACTTATCATATTTCAAAAATGTATTTTGTATGAAAATTGATATGATATTTGGAAAACATAATGATTGAGATGAAATACAAGTTACGCATGATGCTACTCCGAACACTTTCGCAAATTGGACTGCATATCAATGCAAATAATGAGAATAAATATGTAGCATAATGTAAATTTTACATCGATAAAACACAATAAAAATAAAAATAATAGCTCAAAATGAAAACAAAAATAAAAAAAAAAAAAAAGTGATCGTCGACTTTATTATCTCGACGCATTTCGTTGACTTTATCGTTGACTTATGTATATTGACGATAAAGTCGACAAGTATGATTTCTAACAAAAAGAAGTCATGAAAGCTAAAAATAAATTTTCTCTCATGATTACGACCAATATCAAACTCAAATAATTTCTTGATTTTTATGACAAAACAGTCTCGTCGATTGGTTCGCCGACTTAAAGTAGTCCACGATATAATTCACGAATTTTTAATTTTTAATTTTTTATTTTTAATCATTTTAAGTTATTATTGGTGGTTTTATTGTGTTCTAACCAAATTAATGTATAGGTATTATCGTAAAATTCACAAAATACTATGGTGGTATTTGGATAACGTTTATTTGGATTTGGGAGGAAATTTAAAATATAGTTTAGTTTTTTATTTGGATAGTATTATAGTATAGTGACCATTTATAAAATTAAAATAGTTTAATGACAAAACTAAAAACTATACAATAATTTAATGACTATTGGCACTAAATTTTTCCTCACCATCGGATCACCTCCACCACCACCGGGCCGCCGCCGCCGGAACGTCGCCGTCCGGCCGGCCAGATTCCGGCCAAATTCTGGTAAGTTAGCCGGAAGTTGGCCAGAATCTGGCTGGCCAGTCGCTTGAGTCCCTTGCAATTTTGAGGCTTGTATTTCGAGTTGCTTTCGCCTTGCTTGTGCTTCGCCCTTCGGTGAATATGACGCAAGCTTGATGGTTTGGTCTGGATTAAGAGGCGTGAGGCTGCCCTCATCTTGGATGCCCGCCTTTTTCAGACAAAGTTGTGTGATTAGTTGTGGAAAAGGCAAACCATCCTTTGCACTCAATACTGCAAGGATTTCCTTATTGATGATCCTTTCCCAATGTCTATCCCCCATCCTTTCACGATGGCATAGGTGAGGTGAATTTTTTCTTTTGCACCGTAGAGGAATGCTTAGATGGTATAAGAGAGGAGTTTACAAAATACATCCATGATCTAGCAATCGGATTAAACAAACCTCTTGGCAATGCTGTCCATTTCCCCTCAAGAGAGGCATTGTGATGCTTGAACGTGAACAAAGTACCAAAAACATCTTCTTGGTGCGAGTCCTCATCAAATTTGGCAAATTCATGCGTGGCGTAGCTTAAGCGTCTTTGTCCATTATCATCCAAGATGGTCAACCCAAAGTACTCATTAATGGCCATGGGACTGATGTCGATGGGCTGACCATACATGGTGACTACAAAATCTTTATGATCCTTGACAGCATTATAGAACTCATAAACCCATTCTTTATTGGCATGCTTCCGCTCACCAGCGATCTTACCCGTATTGGTCGATCTAACCTTTGAAAGGCTCATGATACTCCACGGCTCTCTCTTTGATCAATGGTCTTGGTTTTTCATCTAGCTCTGCCTCGCTTTCTGGCTCTTCCTCGCTTGTTGTCTCTGTGACTTTCTTGCTCTTGGTTTTAGCTTTTGCTTTTCGTTCTTTGATCAAGGGTCTTGTTTTTTTCAAATGGTTCACTTGTCTCCGTGACTTTCTTGCTCTTGGTCTTACTAGCCTTTGCTTCTTGTTCTTGGGTTGCCTGGGTTTTCTTTGTGACTTTGTTGCTCTTGTTCTTTGTGACTGCTACTTTTCTTTGGCGTTTGGTTGTGGATTCTAAGGCTGTGGTGGGTGCCATTATGATTGAACCTACACATTGACAGTTCCAAAAGAAACATGTGACTTTCTGTTCTGTTTCTGTATGATCATGCATTATCGACCGACTGAAAGTAGATACTCCCTCCGTCATAATTATTGTCTAACTTTACTAAAATGAAAGATTTTATTTTTTGTCAAACTTAATTATATTTTATCTTGAACAACCGGATATACCCCTGCATAAGTAATTGTTTAACCTCAAAGATTTGATGGATAATGTTTTTTACTAAAGAAAAATGTGTAATTTGATCCATAAAAAGTCAAATTGGATAATAATTTTGGAACAAAATTTTTTGGCAAAAGTGGACAATAATTATCGGACGGAAGGAGTATATTCTAAGATGTAAAGCATACGCTTCAGCGAAAATTAGTAAGCATAAAGATCACAAACAAGTGTTTAATATTGTATATGGAATTCTGAAATATCAGCCTGGAAACCAGAAATTAAATTAAAAGAGTGAAAATGAAGGCATAAAATTTTCTAGAGACAAATCATCAAACACTTGTTCAGGAATTGCAAAATCAATGAATATCCACATCACATCAGAATTCCAAGGGTGAATTTCGCAAAAAGAATAGGGGAAAAAAAAAAGAAATCGGAATCCACACAACTGAAAGCCGTACCTTTTTCTTCCGATGAAAACTGGTGTTTTTTTTTTTGGGGGAGATGGATGAGGGAGGTTCGATTAATCACTCGGAGAGAGACACGGGGGAGAATGGAGACGATAGCGCTGGGGGAAAGATTCGTCGGGCGGATCAGCTCGACGGAGAAAACCGGCGTTTCTTCAGTCGACTTGTGGAACAGAGGTCTCCGATTTGCGCCGACTATGTGGTGACTCGACGGGATTTTGCTTCGTCCCCACAATTCTAAATTAGGTCAGCTCAGATTCAGTCATTCAGATAACTTTGCTGCTGGAGTGAAAGAGTCAGCTTCGGTGACTCCGTATATATATGATAACTAATTTAATGGATTAAATTCATTCCAAAAATGAAATAAAGATAATTACCCAATACTTGAATCACGGTAATTATTTGAAAGATACTTAATTTTCGGTAATTAGTTATAAAGATTGATTGATTCACTAACAACTAAAATAATCCTAATTCATTTCTGAAATATTGAAAAACGAGAATGAGATAATGTTAAAAAAAAAGGAGAGAACAAAAATCACACAATATTTATTAAATTTTATTGAAAAGAATACTTACCAATTTAGTTAGTATAATCTGATTCAGATTCTTATTCTAACCCCATACAAATGACAATATGATCATCTTCCAAACAAAACTGAAAAACCAAACTTGACATTTTTTGTTTTTTAACCTCCTCACCTCTCACTTGTCCTTTTGAGACATTTTTTAGACATTCTAGGTTGTTGTTTGTCGACCAGTTTATATATTGAGTGTATTGTTGATCAATATTAATATTTGATAAGTTTATAACTGAATAAATTTCATAAGATAAATTTAGTTACCTCTTTATTAAGCACAATTACTTAATCATTATTAGGGCGATCCAAATCCAGTTCCGAACTCGATTGTTTGAGCTTATTAATCCTTCGCTCCGCCGTCTTTAGTTAGCCTGCCTTTCAATTTACTACCTTTATTGCTTCAATTTAAAAATAAGAAAATCGGAATTGGAAAAACACAAAACCTGAAACACTTTTAAATTCAACAATGACTTCCTGAGTCTAACTCCTAAATAAAAAATCACTGCACTAAAATAAAGAAGGGAAACAAATAAAAATGAATTCATGAAACAAAATTTTGAAGATTAATGTGTTTTCATTAATGAACTGCGACGAAACCAAACATATAGAAATATTAGGGAAAAAATCACCTAAGATTCAGCTACAATTGAGCGTTGTAGCTGAATATAAAGAGATAATGAAACATTCAAGCGACTAAACTATTTGTTTCCAAAATGTTTTCCTGGGACTAATGTGTTTTCATTAATGCACTGTTGAAATATATATATATATATATATATATATATATATATTTCAAATATAGGTGTGTGCATGACCTCTAGTCATGTTCAATTGTTCATGGGCATTTGCTTAAAGCATTGTTTATCCTTGTCTACGATGGTAGACTAATGTGTTTTCATGTGCATTAAACATTTTGTTTTGAAGGATTTTATATGGCATACAAATCCTTATATGTCTTATAATGCCTTGGATACGCCTTTTATCTAAAATTAATCGACGGGTATTTATTTGTTTGGAAACGTGTCTAGAATAGCATACAAATCATTAAAAATCATCCCATTCTAAATTTTCAGGAAACCATTCACTCATTACAGTTTGCATGTCACAAGCCATACTTTCAATATTCCGTTCTTCCTATCTAGAAACTGGCAATGTAACCACAGGCATTAGAGTTTGTGCAGCTACCCAATGAACTAAAACAGAGCTATATCTCGGATTCAAATTAGAATATCTTAATAGTCAAGAAGTTGGTAGCGATGAGATTAAAATCACCCCATTGATCAACTGCTTGGATTTAATTATCTTTTCTTTCAAATTCTCAATTGTTATAAAGTGCCCAATGGTAATAAGAATCAATTTTATGCCTCGTAATGCACTAAAATAAAGAAGGGAAACAAAGATAGTAATGGTAGAAAACTACAAAAGACTATCTCTGCCTCTTCTTTTCTTTTCTTCACGGTAACAATTAACAATGGAGAGATCATACCAATTTCTCTTCAGCAACTGGTCAAATTGATATACGCACGGCCGTGCCGATGAACAAACTCTTGGATTTCGCCGAGGTCACTATTTTCTCCAATGTGAAAATCGATAGAAAGAATCGATCTTCTCCACCAGAAATCAACCCGTTGAAACAGAGACCCTCGCACTCATCCTCAAGTTCCAGAACAACAAACTCCTATCTGATTACTTACACCCCATCCAAAAGATTGGATGATTCGAATGAAATTGTGTGTGTATTTGTACGTGTCTGGTTTTTTTTTTTTTATAATTATTTCCTCTCAAATTTTTTTACATAACCAGCTGATAAAATGGCAACTCTTGACAAGATTTCGGAGGATAGTGAAAATTTCATAGAATTTTATCTTTCATTAGAACTAAAACAATACTCCTATAACACACCGGGAAAATATAACGTCCGTACTTCTTCCTCTTACAATAAAATTCATTAAAATAACAAGCAGGGAGGTCTAATAACAAGCAGTCGGTTGGACAAAACCGCCTTCATCATGGTTCAAGATCAACAGTGACGCAGCAAGGTGCAACATAACTGACAAAGCGGCCGCGGAGGTCTAATTAGAGATGATAAAGGGCAGTTCATAAGAGCTTTCAATAGGAATCTCGGCCAAAACTCCATCGAGAATGCAGAGGTCAAGGCCATCCTCTTAGCGCTGGAGATGGCAAAAGTCCACCGAATCATGAGAGTAATGGTGGAAGTAGATTCCCAAATTGCCATTGATTATGTGCAAGGTCTCTTAGGGAGTGACTGAATATCCCTCGATCCAGACTTGAGGAGTATTTACAATCTTTTGAATACTAATTGGCAAGTGTATTTTACGCATATAAGTAGGGATAATAATTTTTGTGCGACGCCTTAGTCAAACGGGCCCTCGAAACTAATGTCGATAGGGGCTCTATTCTTTTGATGTTCCCCCGCTTAGTATAACTTTGTTCCTAGAGAAGGACGTTAGGAACTCTGTAGAATGCATAAGTTGAGGAGTCTTTCTCTCCTCTTTTGTTCACCCAAAAAATAAAAAAAATAAAAAATAAACATTAAAATTTATTAACGATATTACCATATTGTATTAGGGTTTAGTAAATGTCTTGTATTTACTGTATTTACGGTGATTTTTTTATCGGTAGTAACTGTATATATGAAACCCTAACTCAATGAGAAAAGGCAAGAAAGCCAATTCAGTCTTCTTTCTTCGGCCGCCGCCTTTGATTTCCTTTATGGTATCAATCGCTGGTAATTTCTTCTTCCTGTTGTAATCCACATGACGAATTCATCCGATCCTCCTCAGTCCAGCAAGTCAGTTTCTCTGCCGACGGATGAGGAAGGCCGTGATCGTCCACATAACGACGATTTCTCTCGTCGTCGAACAATCTCCCCTTATGATATTTCCGGCAGTGATCAGCCGGGTCAATCCATCACTCAAGTTCAGCTTCAAGGCGAGTACAATTATGATGAATGGTGCAGCGCCGTCAAGACTGCCTTACGGGCCAGAAAAAAATACGGCTTTTTGGATGGCTCCATTCCTGAACCGGCGCCGGCATCCCCAAAATTTGAGGATTGGTGGACAATCAATTCTTTGATTGTTTCCTGGATTATGAATTCTGTCGAACCGTCTTTCCGTTCGACTCTCACTCACATGGAGGTTGCTGCCGATTTGTGGACCGACATCAAAGAACGTCTCTTCCAGGTGAATGGTCCGAAGATTCAACAGTTGAAGGCGGATCTGATGCCGTGCAAATAGAGAGGTCTGTCCATGGCCACTTGTTATGGCCGTCTGAAGAAGATATGGGAAGTTTTGGCCACGTACGATCAATTTCCGGCGTGTTCGTGCGGCAAGTGTACCTGTAATCTTCCCGCCGTTGCTGCTCAACGTCTTGAAACCGAGAAAATTCATCAATTCCTTCTCGGTTTGGACGATTCCGTCTATGGTACGGCTCGCTCCAACATTCTGGCGCAAGATCCTTTGCCCCGCCCCAATAAGGTTTATGCGGCAATGGTTCGTGAAGAAAAAATGCAGCAGATTACTCAGTCAGCTGAGACCACAACCGACGTCATGAGCTTCGCGGTTCAGCCTTCCTCCGGCGTCCCTGGTTCTTCCTCTGGCATCACAGCTTCTGCAACGCCTTCTCAGTCTGGGGATTCGTCCGTTTTTGCGGCTGTTGCTGATGTGGTTTCCGGCGGCCGTGGGTTTGCTCGTGCGAAACCCTTGTTTTGCACCCACTGTAATAAGCCAAACCATGATGTTTCCACATGTTTTCAACTTGTGGGTTACCCGGATGGCTGGTCGCGTGGGTCTGCTGGGCGCGGGCGCGGACGTGGGTGCGGGCGTGGCCGTTCTTCTTCGGGTGTTTCCACTGCTTCCTTTGTGCCGAATGGTTATATGTCTGGTCTCGCTTCCGCTGTCAACAATAATCAGATTGCTCCGGGTTCTGGTGTTTCGGTTTCTGCAAATGCTGTCACCGGTTTGAACAATGATCAGTGGTAGACTTTACTCCAACTTTTGCAATCGTCTAAGCCTGTTTCGACAGACAAGTTTTCTAGTATGTCTTGGTCTACATTGTGGATGTATGATTTCGGTGTAACTAGACATATGACTGGCCGTTTGGATTTTTTTACGGATGTTCGTGCTATTCCTGCTATCTCGGTCCAATTGCCTAATGGTCAACATGCTTGGGCCACTCAGGCTGGCACTGTTATTCTCAGCAGCACTATCACGCTACTTAATGTGCTTTATGTTCCCACTTTGTTGTGTCATTTGATTTCTGTTTCACAGCTGTTACGGGATTCAGGATATGTTGCTCATTTCACTCGTGATTTTTGTATTATACAGGACCTCGCTTTGAGGATGCTGATTGGAGCGGGTGAGCAACGAGAGGGGTTGTACTTCTTTCGGCCCGTGGAAATTGCTGCTCAAGTTACACCTGCTGGTGTCTCTTCTTTTGATCTGTGGCACCAATGCCTCGGACATCCTTCCCCTCAGGTCTTAGAATCCTTTTCATTTGTTGGTCCAAAAGTGGGTAGTTATAAGGCTTGTGATGTCTATTTTCGGGTCAAACAGTCTAGACTAGCTTTCCTCTTAGTTCTATGACTAGTTCTGATATTTTCCATTTGATACATTGTGATTTGTGGGGCCCGTATCGGGTGCCTAGTTTTTCTGGAGCACGTTATTTTTTTGACTATTGTTGATGATTATTCTCGTGCTACTTGGATTTATTTGTTAAATGATAAGAAAGAGGTTTCCTCTACTTTATTCCAATTTTTCGCCATGGTTGAACGTCACTTTAGCAAACTTGTGAAAATCGTTCGTAGCGATAATGGTACCGAGTTTATATGCTTGACTGATTATTTCCGCCAACATGGCACTATTCATGAAACCTCTTGTGTTGGTACTACTCAACAAAATGGTCGTGTCGAACGTAAGCACCGACACATTCTCAATGTTGCTCGTGCTTTGCGGTTCCAGGCCAACTTACCTATTGAGTTTTGGGGGGAGTGTGTTTTGACAGCCGAATATTTGATTAATCGTACCCCATCCCGTATTTTGAATGGGAAAACCCCCTGTGAAATTCTTTATGTCAAACCCCCTTCTGTGTCTCATTTGCGTGTATTTGGTTGTTCGTGCTATGCGCATAACCAGGATCGCAAGGGTGATAAGTTTTCTAGCCCTAGTCGCAAGTGTGTTTTTTTAGGGTATCCTTTTGGTAAGGAGGGTTAGAGGCTCTATGATTTAGATTCTGGTACCATTTTTGTTTCCCGCAATGTAATTTTCTCTAAGTCTGAATTTCCCTATCAGTCTTCCCCTTCTCCCGTTGTTCCTTCTTCTTCTGTTCCTCCTATTGTTTTGGAAGATGATGAGTTTGAGTCAAGGGTAGTCTCTTTACCTTCCGCTGCTATTCCTAGTTCTTCGCCTTCTGCTTCAGAATCATCTTATCCCTCTAGTCCTTCAGTTGATCCTTCTTCATGTCAGGGGGGGCAGTCTCCTCCTCCACAACAAGAAGAACTTCTGGGTCGTGGGCATCGGGCCAAGTTTCTCCACTCGTTTAACTGATTTTTTGTCCCATACCATCACTTCTTAAGACCCTTCTCTCAGCTCATCTACTTTGTCAGTCTCCTCATGTACGACCTATCCATTGAATCGTTATGTATCTTGTGATTCTTTTTCTGCTCCACATCGGGCGTTTTTGGCAAGTCTTACTGCAAATACTGAACCTCGTACTTTCTCGGAGGCTGTAAAAGATGATAGGTGGTGTGCTGCCATGCAACAAGAGATTCAAGCTCTAGAACAAAACGGCACTTAGACGCTTGAGTCTCTTCCTCCTGGCAAGTGGGCTATAGGCTGCAAATGGGTGTTTAAAATTAAGCATCGGTCTGATGGTTCAGTTGAGCGATTTAAAGCACGTCTTGTCATTTTGGGTAATAACCAGATTGAGGGTCTTGATTATACTGACACGTTCGCTCCTGTTGCAAAAATGGTTACTGTCCGCACTTTGCTCACTATTGCTGCTACCAAAGGCTGGGAACTTCATCAGATGGATGTTCACAATGCCTTTTTTTCATGGTGATCTTGACGAAGAAGTCTATATGAAGTTGCCTCCCGGATTCTCTTCGTCTCATCCGGGTACTGTTTGTCGACTTCGGCGGTCTCTTTATGGACTTTGTCAGGCTCCTCGTTGTTGGTTTGCCAAGTTGGCTATGGCTTTGCGTCGGTATGGTTTTAAGCAGTCTTACTCTGATTTCTCACTTTTTACCTTACATCGTGATCATTTGCAGCTCAATGTGTTGATTTATGTTGACGATCTTATCATTTCGGGCAATGATCATAATGCCATTCAGACTTTCAAAGATTATTTGAGTCAGTGTTTTCATATGAAGGATCTGGGCGTTTTGAAGTATTTTTTAGGGATTGAAATTGCTCGTAACTCGACTGGCATTTTTCTTTGCCAACGCAAATATGCCCTTGATATCATTTCTGAGACTGGTCTATTGTGTGCTAAGCCAGCTAGTTTTCCTTTGGAGCCCAATCACCAGCTTTCTCTTGTCACTTCCGAGCCCCTCTCTGATCCTGAACGTTATCGCCGTTTGGTCGGGTCGGCCGTTAGATTTATCTGGCAGTTACTCATCCCGAGTTGTCATATGTTGTTCATACTCTAGCCCAATATATGTAGAAACCCATGCAGGCTCATTGGGAGGCGGCTTTACGTGTCGTTCGCTATCTTAAGGGTTCTCCTGGTCAGGGTATTCTTCTTCGCGCTGATTGCGGTTTGCAGCTCTCTGGTTGGTGCGACTCTGATTGGGCTAGTTGTCCTTTGACTCGCCGTTCTCTAACTGGCTGGTTTGTTCAGTTAGGATCTTCTCCTATCTCTTAGAAGACTAAGAAGCAGCAGACAGTTGCTCGATCGTCTGCTGAAGCTGAGTATCGTGCTATGGCTGCAATCGTATGTGAGTTGAAATGGCTTAAGGGGCTGTTACATTCTCTCGGTGTTTCACATCCTCAGCCTGCTTCTCTGTTTTGCGATAGTCAGGCCGCCCTTCACATCGCCGCTAATCCTGTTTTTCATGAGCGTATGAAACACATTGAGGTTGATTGTCACTTTATTCGGGATGAAGTTTTGAAGGGAGCTATTCTTCCTAGTTATGTTTCCACAGATGTCCAAGTTGCAGATATATTTACCAAGGCATTGGGCAAGTCTCAGTTTGATTTTTTTATTCCCAAGTTGGGCATTCAGAATCTTCATGCTCCAACTTGAGGGGGGTATTAACGATATTACCATATTGTATTAGGGTTTAGTAAATGTCTTGTATTTACGGTGATTTTTTTATCGGCGGTAACTGATATATGAAACCCTAACTCAATGAGAAAAGGCAAGAAAGCCAATTCAGTCTTCTTTCTTCGGCCGCCGCCTTTGATTTCCTTTAAAATTGTAAAACTACAAGAAATTGGGAATTACAAATTTACAAGTTCGAAAACTAAAACAAGATCGCTCCATGGGGGCAAAAGGGCTAAAAGACTACACCTACTGATGGGCTTACTTTGGTTCCAACGTTAGTCCCAAGAGTAGCAAGTTCCTTGACAATACTGGATTTATCAGCCTCAAGCAGATCATTGTCAGCCCCCTTCTTATCCATCCTCAAATCTTCAAGAATGAGTTTAATCAGCTTGCTTCGATTTGCGACCAGGATGTTAACAATACATGTGGGCTTCTTCTCGTACCTAACGAACAGCTTGAAAACGTTAAAGGCGTCCACTTTTAAGCCCATCCCGGGCTCCCTCAGGATATTCATAACAAGCCTCAAATTCTCCTTGGAGCTAAGATGTCGTGCCATCACGTTTGAATTTGAACGATCCACCAAAATCACCTCCAGCAACTTCACAGCTTGCCTTCTCGTAACATAATTCGCCGACTCCAGTAACTTGGCGTTGTAACCGGCGAAAAACCATTCGAAATTTTCGGACAGAAATCCCGCGACTGTCGACTTATGCCTAGTCAACAGTAACTTGAATGTCTCGGTTGCATCAGCTGCGATTTCGTAATCCGGGATCTGGATGTAAGCGAAGAATAATTCGATACCCCCGGGTTTCGAATCCAGGATGTATTTCGCGACACACTGATACCGGATGCATTCCTTTAGGATTGCGCTGTTGTGTAACGCCCCGGTCTCTTTATTTTTCTCATACCCCTTCACTAAAATATCGACTATATCCAAGTTTGCTTCCAAGTAATCACAACCGATCAGGGAGTTTCCCAATTTTCGCTTCAGCAAATTCATGACAACGTGGGTTGAATCCGTACGAGTGTCTTGATGTAATTTCGGTAGTGCATCGATCAAAAGGCGTAACGTGTTCGAATTGAAGAATTCTTTGCTGAGTTCAGCACAATCTTTTGGTATTGGCTCGCAGTCAGGAGTCCCGTAAAGCGTCAACTTCAATTGTAGCATGATTTTGCCGATGGATTCCGCGACGTTCTTTTTCGGTTTGAATTTCTGAGCAAAGGAGGCAAAATTATTGTTGTTGTTGACACAAGAGATCAGGAGATCCCTAGCCTCACGGACAAGGTCAGCTGGGGTCTTTGGCTTCGACTTCTTCAACAGAAAATTCTTCATAGTAAGGTTACGTTGTAATCACTGAGAAAAACTATTATATAATGGAACTAAGGAACCCTAACCAGAGAACGTATGCAATGGACGTTTCGTCTCGTTACTAAGCCTAACGAGGTATACATAGTAGAATTAATGATCCGAATTACATCAGGACTAAGGAATGTAGTTGTTTTATGGAATAGGGATTTTAACCTTCCTTTTTTGTTCTTTCTTCGTTTTTTTCTTTTTTTTTCCTAAGAAAGGCAGATAAATACAATCAAAGTAAAAAAAAAAAAAAAAACATGGGAGAATTTTTTAAAAAGGCATGGGAAAGATCAAAATTATTCTTAGGGGTATTAACATTTTTTATATTTCAGATCATAAAAAAAGAATGAATAAACCAGTATAGGGTCATAAAAAGGACAAAATAGTCTTTTATGTTTTCATAAAATATTAACTGAATTTAAGAAAGTTATAAAAAGAGTAAAAAATGATGGCGCCCTTAAGAATAATTTTAATTTTTCACATGCCCTTTTTTAAAATTTTCCCGAAAAACATTCACATAAGCTGTCATCTAATTTTTGTTTATATAAAATACCGTGTGCCGCTTAAATCTATGTAAAGCTCTTGTTGGGTCATTGTGTGTATTGTAGGCTAGCCGGCCCAACCTTGTCCCTTTTACCCTATTAAAGCAGAATACAAGATATTGATGTGGCAACTTCTTATTAAAAATTTTTGGCTCCAAATGCACCATATTGCATTAACCATTCTGCCACGTATCATCCGTTTTTAAAAGAAAAAAAATTCTTATCCGGAAAAACAAAAACTATTTTACAAAAACAGCTACACAATTTTAACTCCTAACATTTATTATTTATCAATCAAATTAAAATAGCATTTAAATTTGCCCATAAACTTATCCTCTTTATTACTCCACATTTTTTGTATGATTTCTGTATCGTTGTACTTTTCAGTATTTTTTTTTTCCTTTGGTAGATGATTTTTTATTTTTATTTTTATTTTTGGCTAAGAAAAGGAAAAAACTAAATGTATAGCTATTCTTTTTTTTTCAAATCAAGAATTCATTTATTTATTAACACAAAATTAAAATAGAGGGGCGCCCAGGCATCTGCCTGGGCCAAGCATCTAGTTTATATTAATGATCATCACTTTATTTTTTATTTTCAGTTTAAAAAGTAAAATAATTTACCATGCGTCTATGTACGTTTTTCTTCTCATTTCACCCTTTGATAGAAATTTAATGGCATCACTCACGTATGATACGATAGAAGTTTGACGTTGTTATCACTCGCAACTTTGCGAGGTAAGATGGGCTGTACCTATAGAGAAGTATAGTCTAGTTTCCTTGAGTCTAGCTACAAAATTACATTGTGACGCCCCATTGGTGTGTGTGTGTGTGTGTGTGTGTGTGTGTGTGTGTGTGTGTGTGTGGGGGTGTGTTCTTTGCTGCAGGGGTATTACGGTCATTTAAAGTGGCTGTTGCTGCGGTGACTTTTCAACACCAAACTGAGATTATAAGCTAAGATAAATAATTTCAAGTTTTAACAGTTAATTAACATCGCCATGTATGAGGATTAACCGTAATGACAAAGTAGTCTTTTTCTTAAAAGAAGTAGTGCTTATTTTGGGTGGATCCCAACCACATTTTGTTTTTTTTTTTTTTTTAATTTTTGAAAAGCCAACCACACCTTGTAAGTTCACCACAGAAACTAGTAATGCATGCAAATTTATTTGCCAATGGGAGTGAGGCAATCTCACCTTATCCACACTCCGACCACAATCTTAATTTCGTATCACTATCCAAATTTTCCACGTCAGGCCCTTTCTCCAGAAAAAAATCAAATAAGTCATCATCCATTAAAACCATAAATTTAATCTAGCTCTCTCCTAGCTGCAATAGTTTTCCACCATTTCTTTTTTTAGTTTTGTAAAAAATCTTGATTTCCCAAACCAAAGAAAAATGGCAACCATGATGAATTCTAGTGTATTGGCTTGCAACTATGCCATAACATCAGGAAGTACTTCAGAATTCAACTCAAGTAAGGTGGTTGCATTCCCATCATCATCACTTCAGAAATTGCCAGTGATCAAGGCACAACAAACTGGTTCAAAAGAATCTGATAATTCCCAAGGAAGAAGAGCAGCCCTTCTCTTCCTTGCAGCTGGAATTTTCACAGCTGCTGCTTCCACTTCTTCTGCCAATGCTGGTGTTATCGATGATTACTTGGAAAAGAGCAAGGCCAATAAGGTATGGTTTTATTTTAGATAAATACCTCCATATCCTGATCTCCATTCAATTAGTATAATTTATTGCTCCTTCCGTCCCCAAATCATTGTACTGTTTGAAACAGATTAATACGTGCTAGCTATATCGATAACGTTACCCTCAAATCTTTTGGTGTTTATAGGAATTGAATGACAAGAAAAGACTGGCCACAAGTGGTGCAAACTTTGCTAGAGCATACACCGTTCAATTTGGCACTTGCAAGTTCCCTGAAAACTTCACTGGCTGCCAAGACCTTGCCAAGACAAAGGTATGTGTGTTCTTCTAGAAAAAATCATCAAATTTTCCAAGACTAATGTAATTATTGGAATACGGTTTAATCTTCTTTTGACTCGATATTTGCAGAAAGTGCCATTCCTCTCTGATGACATAGAATTGGAGTGTGAAGGGAAGGACAAGTACAAGTGTGGTTCCAATGTGTTCTGGAAATGGTGAAAATGTGTACTACAAGACCTTGGGAATTTAAGATTTGATCCATTGTATAACACTGTACCTAAACTTTTTGTGATCAATTTCTTTCCTCATCAAAACATGTGTGATAACTTGCTCCTCATTTCCCTGTCCTCGATTTTGCATTGTCACATTGTCTTTGCTTTTGCCTAACACTGCACATATACATGCATATAAATTTTTTTTTGGAAAGTATAATCATTTTTTCTGTAAGAAATACTCCCTCCGTCCCATAATTATTGTCCAGTTTGGGTTTTTTATTTTTAGTTCAAATTGTACTAAAAGTAAAATCTGAAACTGGACAATAATTTTGGAACAGAGGGTCCCTCCATTTTAAAATGTAAGTCTTTCTAGACTTAGCACGTAAACTAAGGAGACAATCATCCAATAATTAATGTAAATGTTAAATATCTATTTTATCCCTCATTAATTACATTAGAACTATAAACAAGATTAAATAAAAATAGATTAGCATCATTTATTGAGGGTAAAGTTGGAAATATAGTCATTAATATGTCTAGAATTTGTAAAACGACCTACATTCTGAAAAATCTCTCCAAACCTAAAACGACCAACAAATTGAAATGAAAGTAGTACAAATTAAGCAGCAAAATCATCAACAAGTTTACGCGACCCTCTGAAAGAAAACTGGTAATATCAGGACTGTAGACATCAAGAGCTACATATTCACTGAGCCCTTATGTACTGTTAGGAAACTGGAAATTTTAGAAATTTTGATCAATTCTTGGTTCCGTGTACTAGTCTAAACATTAAAAGGTACGCAGTTTCCATCTGTATGCCAGCATCCGTTTACGTGAGACCAATCTGATCTAAGCAGTTTCTGTTGTTGCATTTCGGCCTTTTCTTTTACAATTCATCTTTACTCTCAACTTAATTTCTACCTGGATATCTTTGACTACTTTCAATTAGCTTGGAATGTCCTTCTAAAGATTTCCAGATTTCTAGCATTGCTAGATATGGTAGATACCCGCAGTTTACTGCTACAAAGACACGTTCTGGAAACCACAAAAAAAAAAAAAAAATACAGATACAAAGAGAATTCCTTGCCTTAAATTGGCTATATATATATATATATATATTTAGTAGTGATGTCTGGTCGCGCAATGCGCGACCTTGGCCCAATATATCTGTAGATCTTAGAAATATTTGTATCTGAAAAAAAAATATTTTGTATTTGGCTTAATATATTTTAGAAATGTTTGAAGAATTTAGAAATATTTTATAAGTGTGATCATAGAAATGTTTGTATTTGACATAAAAAAAAAATTGTATTTGGCCCGGTACGTTTTAGAAATGTTTGAAGATTTTAAAAATATTTTATAAGCATTGCTTCTTAAATATAAATAAATTGATCAAATATATGTCTTGAAGTAAATGCTAAACAAAATATAAAAGCATCCTAATAAGTTTAAATATTAGTAAGATGATTTATTAATGTTCTCCATTGGTTGTACCAAATCAATACTTAGTTTTGGAGATTTATAATAGCTCTGTAGTAAGCTTCCTCCAAAAGGTATACGCTTAATTGTTGGAACTATTTATTCTAAAAGTTTATAGATAGTAAAATATCAAAAATATAATTTTGAAACTAGTTAATTGTTATAACTGGTTGATCACAAATATGAGAATGAAAATAACATAAATTTGCATAGATTTCAAGTTATAGCAAAAAAGAATTCACCTTACCATGGTAAATAAAAAAAAAGAAAGTAAAAGATAGCCCATTAAGAATTGAGAAATTTATTTTTTTCTGTAGGTAAACATGATGTATAAAAACACAAATAAACGTAGAAACATCATTCCTTTCCTCTCCAACTCAAATTCATAAAAGGCTTCCCCATAAATTAGTTAGAAAAAGCGACCTGAGCTATTTATATGATGAGGAACTAAAAAAAGTCTAAAAACCAAATTCAAAAAAGTATATTCTTGAAAGTCCGAACACAAAAAAAACGTGCTTCATTTGCAAATAAAATAAAATAATAATAATAATAATAATTGGTCAACTGGGAGTATGAAACAAAATCAAAAGCAATTAGACAAAGAAAAAACACACTTCATAACTGACCATATATGAAAAAAAAAACAGACTCCATAATTAAAAAAAGAAAACGACTCTAATTGAATGAAACATAAAAAAAAAAAAAGAAATTTAAAAAATCACACTATGTAACAAAAACCCAATTAATCAATTCAATCCAAACAGAACTAAAATCATAAAAATTATAGGTTAACTAACCATATAAGAAATCACATCATATTACCTGACAACGGTTACGGTAGCTGTAACGGATGGACGTATAAAAATAATAGCAATAACACTATTATTGAACGGAAAAAACAAAAAATAATAAAGGCCAAACAAATGATTTGTGAAAATAAAATCATTTAAATTTTAATACCTGTAATGGCACCACCACAACGGCCGAAGCAAGATCAATGAAATTTTTTTTTTCTCCTTTGTGTTTATATAGAGAGGTAAAGAGAATATTTTTTAAAGTCGAAATTTTATCCGATTACGTTGTAGTTGATCATCACTAATGAAAAAATTGAATACGCTAATAGGAAAGGAGTATATTTCACCACATATTCTCAATTGGTGATTGATGAGAAATTTGTTTTTTTCTTTTTTTTATTGTCGAGAAGGGATTGATTAGAAAGTCGATTGTTATGAAGATGGGGATGAGAATTTGAGTTTTTATGAACCCGTGATTTTTTATTTTTTTTTTTTGGCGAAAATAGGAGGTGGAGGTAGATTTGGACTGCATTTTCCTTTTTAAGTCTAGGAAATGTGTAAATAAAAATTTATTTTAAAAATATGATGTGAAAATGCCACATGGCAAATGGTGTTACTTTCTATTAAGTGTGGTTTTTGTTTCTAATATAGTAAGATATATTATATTCCATTTGAGTAAAACTGAGGTTATTCCGAAATTCCGATGCTTCCTTAGTACATACAGCTCAGCCAATCCCTTTCCAGCTTCATCCATATTCAAAATCACACACCATTTTCTCACAGCACACAATATTTTCTCCATATAGCAACTCTTATCATTCGTCATTTTATTAACAATAAAAAAGCTGTTTCATTCGTCTTTCGGCGTGCTTAGAGTGACAATAATGCGATTTTGCTATAAATTACTCCTACGTACCCTGGAACTAAATGTTTAAGATGATCAGTAAGGAAGCAGGCTTTAAAAGGGTGGAGAGTTAGAATTGGCATTATATATAGTGAGTCATCAACGACGAATTTTTCCTGTTATGGTAATTATCCACATTAGGCCTCTATTTGGCATAATCAGATAGTGCTATAAAAAGGTTAGGAACCAATTACTGCTGTGAGACAATCAAATTTACGTACGCTAAAGTTGGGTATAGATTATGATTACTATTCCTTCATTCCCATTCCAGTGCGCAGATCGCAGAATGCACAGTAAGAGGTTATCAATTGGTGGGAAAAAAAGAGTGAAGATTCAAGAAACTTTGTGGTTGATGATGAAGAAAAATCAGAGGGGGTCAGTTGGGAAGTCCCTATTATGACAATCTGGAAATGCTTACATCCGAATTACAAAACAATAAAGAAGATATATAGAGGCCATCTTGTACATCAAGTCTGTTGGATTTAGTATCGTATTCCGACGAAGATTTTGGCCTTCAATCACGATGGCCCCCTCGGAGGTTGTCACTTACTTATATTATTCTTGTGACAACATCAATAACTTAAAAGTTTGGTCGGTATAATTAATTCTGTGCCCACCTCTAAAAACATAAGGCTTCCCTAATTATTATTCCCTCCATTCCTTATTATAAGACATTCTGATTTTGTTTTAAGTTTCAGTTAGAATATCTTTTTAATTGGAAAAAAAATTTAAAATATATTTTGACATTCGTTGTGTTTTCTTAATTATTAGAAAATATTTTTTAATTTTTTATTTTAATTAAAAAGACATCATAGGTAAAATTTAAGATAAAATCAAAACGCCTTATAATAAGGAGCGGAGGAGTATAATCAATTCAAAGCCGAGAAAGTAAAGCAGAAACATTCATTGCCCAGAAAAAGATGTATCCCATATTTGTAGTATCATGCACATTGGCCCCTCCTCTGTGGAAAACATATTGAAATAGCACTATCAAGCAATAAGAGTTAATGTGTTTTTTACAATCTTGGTATTCTTTCTAATCGACTGAATTGCTATTTTTCTCATTCAATGATTGATGAATATATGGTGCCTTGCCTTTAGGAAGTTAAAGCTTACATTAGTATGTTTTTGTGGGTTGGCCATCGAGTTTTTTTTTTTTTTTTACCAACCAATTAAATTAATTGTACACATCTTCAAACTCAATCCCAATTCCTAACAACTGATATTAGGCTCTGTTTGGTTGCATTGAATTGGGACCAAAAATTAGAATTGGAGCTCTCTAATTCCAATTCTTGTGTTTGTTTGCTAAAAATAGAGGTCCAAGAATTGGAATTATAATATAAGATAGGGCTCAATTCTTTATTTTCAATTCTTTTGTGTGAGCAAATAATTGGAATCCAAATTCAAAGGACTTACAAAAGCACGCGGGTCATAATCGAATCGTTTCCGGGTTATAACCTAAACGGATCGCTCTATCAATTTTTATATTTTGACCTTTTTTATATTTTTCTTTTATTTTTTCAGCACTGTTTTTTTCTTTTTCTTTTTTTCTTTTTTTTTTTTGCTTTGAGCACTTCCTGGCATTTTTCTTTTATTTGTTTTTCTTCTTTTTTTGTTGTGCTGTTTGTCTCATTATTATTATTATTATTTCATATATATCAATTTAATAATTATCAACAAAATCAATCTAAAATTAATATTGTATCTTTTTTACAAAAAAAATCAAAAGTATAGTTGTACCAAAAAAAATTAATAACTAAATGTTTTAGTTTTAGGTTAAAATTTTTAATATATGATGACATAGTAAACAACATAGTATTTTCAAATTTTTTTATAAAAATTGTTTCATATATACACCTATATTATAATACACACACACACACACACACAGATATATATATATATATTAAAATATTTATGAAATCTTTTCACCAAAAATTATGTAAGTTGAGTTTTAAGTATCTATTATTTCATATATAATTATATACTAAAAATAAAAAAAAAATTAAGCATATATTATATACTAATGTTAATCTATGTATAAATGAACCTCAATATTCATAAACATCAAAAATAATAATTTTTATGTATAGCATAATCTATGTATAGCATATATTATATAATAATTTTTTTTTAATTTTTGATATCAATCAAAACATCAAAAATTAAAAATTTTGAAAAATAATAAAAGAGAGGAAAACAAGGATGTTTTAGGTGTTAGTTGTTTGTGTATTAACTGAGAATTTTAAGTATCATATTAATAATTCTTATACGTAATAATATTTTTTTTCCAACAAAAATGTGTGTACATAATAAATTACACAATTGATATAGAAAATTAATTAAAAATAATAATTTGTTTTAACAAAAAAAGTAAAAATTGTATTAGTTAAACAACCACAAAGTAGTCAAATATACATTACATAATGAATTTATTTATTTTGTTTTTTATACATATCCATAATAAATTAAGTTTTTTTTTATTTTTGACAAGAAATATAAATTGTACTAGTATTAGTTATACAATAAAAAACTAATTTCAATTCTAAAGTATCCAAATTTTTATGCACCCAAACACAAGAATTAGAATTAGAACCTTAATTCTAGTAAATTTTCAAGATCTCCCAAACAAAGAAATTGAGATTGAATTACAATATTAATATCTCATTTTTAATTTAATATTATTGTAATTCCAATTCAATTGCAATTCAATCTAACCAAACGGAGCCTTAGTTTTTTCTGTTACTACATACGACCAATTTTTATACAATTAATATCGAACATAATGGAGGGTAAATTAAGTTGAAATGGAGCTATATATCGGAGAAAAAATTAACAATATGTACATATTTGGTCGGCAATATCAAAAATATTTATTTATGGCTACAAGGAATACATTGATCATCCTAGGCCTGATGAAATAATATTAATAAAATGTAATAATTTGATTTTTAGTTCGTTTAAAAGGAATTAAGGTGGCACGTTTGGTTAATCCAGAATAAGCAGCTGACCGAATCCATTTTATATAAGAAATGTGGTCCTAAGTCCTAACAATAACAGTTGTTTCATTGATACATTTATAGACTCCATAAATTAAGGTTTTGAAGCCCCGATAACTTTTAAACAACTTGACATGCTTGCTTAATAATTATGATATGGGTTAATTAACAGTAACATCATTACTTTAATATTTTTCCCTTAAGTTAATCCCATCTATAGCTGATTTGATTGCACACAACTCATCCTTCATCAGTAGACAGTAGCACTGTTTAGCACTCATGCTCCTCAACTACATACATTCTCCTCCTAATTTGTGTCAGTTAAAAACCCCTAAAAAATCAACAACAAATAAAGTAACCATACAGGTCTCAAATCAACTGACCCCTATAACTGGAAATTAAAAGACTAGTATAGACGACTATGTTTGATTGGTAAGTAATGAAATAGTATGATTTTGACAAAAATTTCTATCTTTTTTTTAATAATAGCTAGAGAATTCGTCATTTGTCAACAACACGAAGAAAATTTAATAACAACATTTTTGGTGTTTGACTTCAGAAGAGTGCACGAAATCAAAATAATTAGAACCCAAATAGTTGTTAGTTAAGCATACAATTCTGTATTAAAATGTGGCATTCAATAGAGCTGAAAACTGATAAGAGTGGAATTGAGGCGACAATTCTTATCAATCCTGGCATATGATTATTTTAGTCTTTTAATTTAATAGATAATGAAAAAGAAAGAGAAATTAAAAAAAAAAAAAAAAAGTAAATGCAAATACAGAGAGTATCATTGTCAAAAGTTGAACATTGGTTTTGGTTTGCCATCATTTCCCAAAGACCCAGAAAAAAAGCAACCCACCACCATCAATCATCATCATTCATCATCAATCCATAACCCCATAACCACCGCTACCCCCACAATATACTATCACCGGAACTAAAGCTTCCTCAGCTCCTTCAATATTTCCATGGAAGAAAAAGAGAAAAAGAACAAGAACAAGAACAAGAAACCAAAACACCAACACCCAAATGACCAAACCACTAAATCCACCTCCGATTTTTCATTCAAGCCTAGCTCTGAAGTCAAAGGCCTAAGATTCGGTGGCCAATTTATTGTCAAATCTTTCACCATCCGCCGCGCTCGCCCCCTTGAATTCCTCAGCCTCCTCTCTCTCCCACCGACAACCACCGCCTCCGCCCACCAAGAAAAGACGAAACCGCCGTTTGCTTCCACCACCGCTTTCCTGCCGACAAACTTCACGATCTTGGCGCACCACGCGTGGCATACTCTGACGCTCGGCTTGGGGACAAAGAAGTCCAAAGTGGTGGTTTTCGTGTTCGAGTCGGAGGCGATGAAGGCCGCCGCCGACAGGGTGTGGCCGCCGGAAATCCCACTTGGGGAAGTGAACAAGAAGTTAATCAGGGGTCAAACAGGGAGTGAAATGGCTCGATTTAAGTTCAGGAAAGGGGCAATCACGTTCTATGTGTATGCAGTTAGGAGAATTGGGACTTGTGGGTTTTCATCGGCGGATGATCTTCGGACAATTTTGCAGTCGGTTGTGGCATTGAATGATTTCTTGGATCATACTGCAATGCTTGCTATGCCCAACCAAAGAAGCATCAATTATGGACCCCCTGTTGCCATGGTTCATTAGGCATGTTTTCTTCTTGTTAGTCAATTTTTTCTTTTTTCAATTTTCCTTCTCAAAACTCCTCCTTTCTTTTTTCTTTCATCATTTGTATTTTCTGTGTTTAGTTGGAACATATCAGTAGTCTTTAATTAGTTCTCTTCAGGGCTGGGGAAAATATTATTTGATTTGTTTTTGAGGGAGGATTCTGATTATTATCTGTTAAGTTCTCTCATTGTAATCTAATCTCGCAGAATAAATTTTTTTTTTCTTTTTTGGTGTAAAATCCAAGGATTTTGTTTTATGAAATATTATATACATTTGACCAACTTCTTTTCCTAATCAAAGATGAAATTAAAAAAAAAATGTTGAATTCTAAAAGGCTACAAAAACAGGGGTGACCAACTTCTTTTCCTAATCAAAGATCTTTTGGGTACATCGGTGCTAATGTCACTACTAATCAAAGTTGGTCACCTAAACTAAACTTATTAGCAAAATTGATGAACAAAATAAAATGTAATTTGACGTCTGTTTCTATCTTGAAACAAACAAAAGAATGGCCTTAAATTGGAGGCAGCTGCGTAATTCCTTTTAATCCTCGTTCATGACAATGTTAATTAACTGTTAAAACTTGTAATTATGTGACTGGGAATCTCTAGGATTTGATTGACACAGAACATATGTATGTATATTCGTACCAAAGAAAATGTAATATACTCGGTCAATACAGTGTCAGTCTGAATTCTAGCTGACAGTAAAAACACTGTTTTTCTTGTGAATTGAGCTGAGATCTACCCAGAAGCCAATTGGGTTGCCGAATTTAAGACATTTAACAGATTCACCCAGTAGGCTTGAAAATTCTGGCATTACTGTTTTGGCATAAGGTTAAAAAGTTCATCGAAAGTGGAAAATGGTTTTTGTCGCCGAGCTAATTTGTTTGTTTGCATCGGTGAGAATCAGCGGTCATCTTTTTCATCTTTAATTTCACCATCTTTTATGTCTGTATTTTTGAGGTGGAAGAGATATGCATAGACATGAGAACGTGAGTGTGCCTCATTGCCCTAAATGCTCTGTGGCGGTATTCTTTAAATTGTCATGTATATAGCCTACTCTTTCACTAATTTTACCTACCTCTCTGTTAACTTTTTTAATCAACCCAAAAAAAAAAAGGACTAAAAATGAAGGAGATTCACAGCTACTTTATGTACCTTGTTATAGATTCCATCCCAAGAAAGCTACAAGATCAAAGATTGGTTTCTAAAGATTCTTAGAGTCTCCGTTCATTGTTAAGTTAATGTCTTAATTTCTAATATATACCTCGCGCCGTTTGTTTGAGATTAACTACTTCAATGCATTGTCATGTTATGGATCTAATGATAAAAAGCATTACTGATTCATGGAACAAAAAAGTTGAGTTGTACAAAATAAAGAAAGAAAGAAAAACAAAGGGGACACACATTCAACAGTGTAGTGTGTGTTGTTTGGAGGCCCTGCCGTGTGTGGAGGCAGCTAATAATAGTATCCACTATCTATGAATATGCCACTTGAAACTGGCCTTGTTTCATGGCTGTATGTGAAGGCTAAAAGTTGAACGAAAAAGGAGAAACTTCTCTTATGTTCTGCACTTGTTCCCCCTTTTCTTTTTCACTTTAATCATTTAAAATGGGAAGGCCCATCATCTCCATCCATTCTCTGTTACTTTTGTCACCGTTGGTCACTTATGAACGCTCCTATCTCCGTTCTTCTTCCCCCGTGCCCTTAATTGGCCTTCAGTTTCAGCAGCAATTGATAGAACTGAATATATTTTACCTTTAAGATAACCGGACAAAAAAAAACCAATTTTATGCAGTATTTTATGTTTTTTGGTGTCCAATTAATTATCACTGGCTGAATATATTTAGCATTGCGATCTTTGAAATTTGCTTAAGCGTTAGCCAAAGGGTCGAACCCACAACAAATAAAACAAAAGATACAAGCTTCGTGCTAACTTTGAACTTAAGACCAATTTATTTCTTAAAGTTTTTTTTCACAAAAATATACTCTTTTTGCTAAACAGTTGAAAAGACAAAAAAAGAAGTAACGCTCACCAAGGGACTCGAACCCTTGACCACCAGATTAAAAGTCTGGCGCTCTACCAACTGAGCTAGACGAGCTTCGTACTAACTCTGAACTTAAAAAATATTAAGTTTTTTTCCACAAAAATGTACTCCTTTTCTGAATGGTTAAAACGGCATAAAAAGAGCTAACGCTCACCAAGGGACTCGAACCCTTGACCACCAGATTAAAAGTCTGGCGCTCTACCAACTGAGCTAGACGAGCTACTTGTTTTGTGTGTGTTAATATAATATTTAATCGAATGAATTCTCCTACACACTGCAAATTACAATTTTAATTTGAGGCAGCGGAAAGTATTTTTTTAATTTAAAACTAGTATTATGCCCGCACGTTGTACGGATTTTATTATATTTTAGAGTAACATTAATATATCATTATTTTTCCATGAAAAGTGTCATATGTTTTAATTTTTCCGTTTTTTTATATATTAGGCATTTGGAGTCCAAATTCAAGAGTGTCATATTGTTTTTTTTTTTTTCATTTTTGGTATATAGTGCATCCGGTGTTCGAAATCATTGTTCTAATTAATCCGTCTTCGAATGCGGTGGGTCACTTTTGCAAGACAAGCCTCTCACAACAATTATTACTACATGTCCATGCACAGATTTAATCATGGATTGTAGTTAACTTTGTCCAATACTGTTACCACTTTGATCAAGTACTTCTTAGTCATAAAGGGTATTTTAAAATGGGATCATCTTAAAGAAAAATAATACTAACCAATATTTAATGTGTCCGGACTTAGTTTTGAGTTATATTCGTAACATAATAATTTGATAACTAAATCTCTTTTATTTTTGATAACTAATTTTTTAAAAAAATTTTGAAAAATATATTAAATGAAATCATTTGAGAAATAATATTAACCCACGTTTAATGTATCTAGATTTGGTATCGAATCGTATTCATAATATAATATTTTATAACTAATCTCTTTTTACTTTTGAAAAATATCTCAATGGAATCATGAAAAATAATGTTAATCCAAGTTTAATGGATATAGACTTGATCCCAATTGTATACATACGTAGTATAATCATTTGCTAACTAATCTCTTTTTAGTTTTTGTAATTAAACTCTTTTTTTTAAAAAAAAATATACCAAATGAAATTCTTTTAAAAATAATATTCGCATATGTATGATGTATCTAAAGTCTAAACTTGATTTTTAATTGTATTCGTAATATAATGATTTGACAACTAATCTTTATATTTTTTATAACTATTTTTTATTTTGAAAAATATATCAAATAGAATCATTTAAAACAATACTAATATATATTTAATGTATCTAGACTTAGTTTTGAATTGTATTCGCAATATAATGATTTGGTATCTTTATTTTTGTAATTAATCTCTTTTTATTTTTGGAAATATATCAAATAAAATATTTTGAGAAATAATATTAATCCACATTTAATGAATCAGACTTGGTTTTCAAATTGTATTCATAATATAATTATTTGTAACTAATCTCTTTTTATTTTTTTAAATTAATCTCTTTTTATGTTTTGAAAAATAGATTAGATAGAATCATCTGTAAAATAATATTAACCTATCTTGCATATATACAGACTTGGTTTCGAATCGTATTTGTAGTATAATTATTTAGTAGCTAATCTCTTTTTATTTTTGAAAAATATATCAAATGGAATAATCTAAAAAATAATATGAACATACGTTTAATTTATCCAAACTTAGTTTCATATTGTATTCGCAGTATAATTATTTGGTAATAAATATATTTTTTTTGTTATTGATAACTAATCTATTTTTATTTTTGGAAAATATATCAAATAGATACATCAGAAAAATATTATCAACTTATATTTAATCTATTCAGACTTAGTTTTGAATTATACTCGTATAATTATTTGGTAAATAATCTCTTCGTTTTGGTAAGTAATCTCTTTTTATTTATGAAAAATATATCAATTATCTAAAGAATAATATTAACATACTTGTAACGTAGGTAGACTTGGTTTCAAATTGTATTCGTAATATAGTTATTTGGTAACAATCTTGTTTTTTGGTAACTAATATCTTTTAATTTTTGAAAAATATATCAAACATAATCATATGAAAATTAATATTAACTTACGTTTAATGTATTCAGACTTAGTTTCAAACTGTATTCTTAATACAATTTATTAATTTGATGATTAATATTTCCTTACATCATATATTTGTCAATAATTACCAAAGACGTGTTTATTTTTTCAAAATTAACTATTAGTTAATTACTTAATTCAATTTAACAATTTTACGTATTAGTAATAAACTTTTAACTGTTTAATGTAGGATAATTTTGGTGACGACACATGGCACAATTGGCTAAACTTACTCCCTGGGCGACATGTGTCAATTAAGAACTTTGCTTTAATATATACTAGTGTTAACATCAATGACATAAATTGTATTATGTAATTTTTAATGTCAATGTGTTTGTTATTTAAGTACATAAGAATAATTTTTATTGTAACTTGTTGTTCATCTTTTTCGTTTTGCTTATCTATGACTTTATATCTTTTAAAAGTGTTTTTTTAATTTTTCATCACGATCTCTCTAAATATTTCTACCCGTGTTATATTTTTTAAATTCTCTCTCTCTATAATAAATTTTTATTTCATCTCTCTACATACTTTATTCAACCTTTCTTTAGAAGTTTGTTCGTTAATTTTTCCTACAATATACTTTTTACTTCATTTTTTTTTTACAACCAAAGCACAATACACTAACCAAAAAAAAAAGAAAAACCTAATTAATGGTTATACTTTAGCATATAACCATAAAAATCAATATTGATCGAATTGGTTTTTCTCATCATGGTTGTAGGGTGTTTTTCTTTTTAGTTTTTTATTTCACTTGGTTATCTCTGGATTTATTAGTTTGAAATTTTTTTGCCACTTCTCTTTTTTTACCATTAAAATTTACCGTTAAGTTTTGTAATTTCTTAGTTACGTAATTTAGTTTTATCAATAAATTTATAATTTATATTAAAAAGTTACTATTAAAAGATGGAGTGATGTGATTGTGAATGAATTATTCTGAATAAACTATAATTATATTTTTAGGACTTTTACGTCTCTCCCCCTCTCTCTCTTAAAAAAAACCTCCGCTGCCTCCTCCCCCAACCTCCATTATCGGTGGTTGGGGGGGTAAAATCTTTGTTTTCTTTCTGCTCACCGGAAAAAGCAGAAGAATACACATCTATCTACCGTTAGTAAAGCCTCCGTACCATCGTCGCGTCATCAACATCAACTTTGAAACTTTGATGTCAGTAATTTGTCCCGATTCTCGAAAAATCAGAGTTCTTGTTAGTTCTATTTCGGTATCGCGGATGCGATCTGTTGATCTGATCTGTTTATCAGATCGACAGCCGATGTTGTGTTTTCTGTTTAATTTATTTTTATATTTTTGTTGTTTTTATCCTTGTGTTTTAATTTAATTAAGTGGAATTTTTCACCCTTAGTATGGATCCTGGTTCAATTCTTTACTGAGTGAATATAGTGCGACAATAGAGCCATGTATGTTGTTTGTCTTGTATGGCTTGGTAGATCTTGTTCGATCTGTTGAGTGCAACACGTCGTCTTTAATAACGGCTAGTTTGGCCCGAGAATTTTCAGTTACGGTGAATCTGTTATTCAGATTTGCTAATTGGTGCTTTAATCTGATGGTTAGTGACCTACTCGAGTTCAGATTTTTAATCTGTTCCGTGGTATGTCCAACAATAGAATAATGCTGTTGGAGGATCCTTCCTCCAGGGAATAGCAACTGGTTGGTGAAAGTTTTATTTTGTATTTCCAGTTGTAATAGTTTGGTGACTAGTTTAGTGATTGTATTCTCCCGTCAGTCGTTGTTGGACGGTTTATATCAATCAGAACTGGCTGATTTCCAACAATCGTAATAAAGTTTTATTTATTTAAAAGAAAAACTATAATTATATTTAGCTATAATATGATCTCCTGTTTTCAAACTAAAATTACATTAGTTTTTATAGTATTAACTCAATTAGGATGATCGAACTTGATATGAGGTGATACAATTAGCCGAATTGTTTTCCTATATTAAAGTGTCAATTGGGTTTTTAGGCAGAGAAATACAAATGCCGTATTGGCAATTGATAGCAAAAGGAAAAAGGTTTACCTTTTTTTTTTCTTTAATTTTTAATTAATTTATATTTATAAATTTATAGTTTTACATTAAAAATTTATCATTAAATGATGCAGTGATGTAATTGCGACATGTGGACTTGATTTTCTAATTTTCCGCCACGTAAATTAACTTATTTAATTTTGCGCCATGTATCCGATTAAAAACTTTCCTTTAATATATACAAAGATATAGATAATTGAAAAACACAAACACCATTTCAGAGATATTTATGAAGATTTCTCCATCAAATAATTGTTCATTGTACAATTTATTAGCTAATTGACGTTAATAATCGGTTAGCTATATATATCTACATTTTCTTCGGAAAATATGATAAGCAAAGACCACCTTTATCTCAATCTTTCTTTCTTTTTTGGCCGAAGAAGCAAAATTGACTCACCAGCAAACTTTTAATTCTAATTTTTCCAAAACTCAAAATGCTATTCAATTTTTAATATAGGTAAAAAAAGAAAAAAGAAAAGGGAAAGCAAAAATCAGAAAAAATAACTCCTAATTCTTCCCAAACTCAAGATGCTTTTTAGTACAGGTAAAAGAAAAAGAAAAAATAGAGGGAAAGCCAAAATTAGAAGAAGAAAAGTTAAAGGCACCGGCCGCTGTGCCGCAGGATTCGTATACGCTACTACCCAGGTTTAAGGACTGCGCTATACCGCATGGATCAACCCAATTTCATGTACTCCCGATGATCTTTATTACAAAATATTTTGATTTTATCATATATTTAATTTAAGATATCTTTTTAATTAAAATAAAATTTTTTAAAAGATTTTATAATGATTAAGAAAACACAACGAATGTGAAAATATATTTAATTTTTTTTTCTAATTAAAAAGATATCTTCAGTTAAACCTATGATGAAATCAAATTACCTTATAATAAGGACGGGAGGGAGTAAAATTTAAGATCCAAAAAGAGTATGTGATATATACCTTTATTTTATTATTCCCTCACAACCAGCGTCATTATGAATAACGGTTTGAAAGCATTCATTCAACAGCTTTCCTTTCATATCTCAAGGAAAAAAAAAAAAAGGAAAAAGAAAAAGGAAATGGAAAACATACGCCCACCGTGGGGCTCGAACCCACGACCACAAGGTTAAGAGCCTTGCGCTCTACCGACTGAGCTAGACGGGCTTGTTGATGTATACGGGCTTGTTGATATAAATCACTTAAATATATTATTTATTATATTAAATTAGAACCCTTGTTTGATTTAGCAATTTCACCGTAAGTCTTCTTGTTCAGTATATTTTAATTTTGATAATTAGTTTGATCGATCGTTCCGTTAGTCAAACAGAATAAAAGAGGAGACAAATTCCAATTCATTGGGATCGATCAAGAAGAGCCGCAGAGAAGTCGAAGAATGGGAATATTATGGGCCACGTTTGAGCTTCTATTGATCCTAGCCTCCATTGTTGCATTGGGATTATTCTCTGTTCTCGTCTTGGAAACTTTCCGCAGGAGATTCAACTACAAGTACTTCAATTCTACTTTGTTTTCCCCATTTAATTTTTCTAATTCTCCGCCTACGTTTTAAATTATCAAATTAGTTGTTTTTTCCCGAAAAAAAATCTTTTTTTGGACTGTAAAAATGTCTTATTGGCTCTTCGCAGTCATGTGGAGGCTCCTCCCGTCTTTGAGGATCCTAATTCGTTAAGACCGGTTAGTGCATCTTAATTTGTTCCTTCTGTATACTCATATTGTATCTCTGTTTTTTCTGATTGTATTTTGGTCCGGAGATTAGGAGGTAAATTTTTGCAATTTTGTTGGATGACAGAAAATAGAATTAGGTATTACAGCTCTTTATGTAATTTCATCTCCGTTAGTACTCACATTTAGGCCTGAGGGTTAGCAGCATTGTAATGTATGTGCATTGTTTGGCTAGCTGAAATTGTGGGGAAATTTCTAATCTTTATTGTAGCATATGCCATAGGAGTATGGTTGTTTGTAAAAAGTTAGAGATTGGACTTTTCGTAATGCTACTAATTTGATACTTTTGAATGTGCTATAGGTTCCCTGTCCTAACATTTTTGATCCTGCTGAAAAGTACATATCTTTGATTCTACCTGCATACAATGAAGAGCTTCGACTTCCTGGAGCTCTTGACGAAACCCTTAAGTGAGTTGAACCATTGCAGCTTTTTGGTATTTGTTCCATATCAATTTCCTCTTTATCTATGCTTAGTGATGATACTGCCTAACCTTTCTTGTGCACAAAATTTAGAAAAACTATTTTTATTAACTACAATTCTGCATTAATAATTACAACTATATCTATTACCTTCTTCTCTCACAATTTTCTGCAGAGGTTTGTACATGGTCATTTGCTCCGTTAGTCTATGAAAATTTTAAATTATGATCACTCTGGCACTGATTGCTGTTTGAATCTTAAACTCTAGTCTCTGCTATGGTTTTGTACTATTTTTAAAAATAAATAGGCGTAATAATCATCTTTTACCTTTTTGCCAGCTATCTACAAGCACGTGCAGAAAAGGACAAGGCATTCTCATATGAGGTATTCATTTTTCTGCACTTGTGCGCAGATTTAAAAAATGTGGAATAGATGATTCTTTTAGAGCTTTTATCTGTTAAGAATGAGTTTCAAAGTCAATAATGTTTAGCAAAAGAAAGAACTGTTGAGTGGATGAAAAAGTTTCCCTGCATTGCCTCAGAAGCTTTGAGAATACTGTTTCTTTGTTTTCTGGCAAGTTTGTTTTATCGCTTCATCAAGTGGTCGGAGAGACTTGAACGGTGCCAAAGTGCCAATTTAGGCGTTTCATATTCAAGAGTAGACTGTTGTAGTTTTGGTTGATTTGGCCTAAGTTTAAAAGATAGCTCCTTTTTGACAGTATTCTTCTTATAATTATAGATAAATAGCGTTGCGCTATCTCTCGAGTGATTTGAATCTGGGAAATTCTTGGATTATGTTTGCATTGTAGAAAATGGAATCTTTCGAACCCTAATCAAGTAATTGGTTCCCCAATTTATTTTCTCCCTCTGTCCTTAAATTTTTAGAGGATATAGATTGTTAGTTTGGTCCTGTACTCTGTGTGATGTAGACATAGGTTTTTGAAGTTGGATTGGATTAAGAAATTTAATTTACTGGCACCTGATGAGATGTTTTAAAAACCTGTTTTTGTTAGAATTAAACTGCAATGGAAACTTGATGGGTTGTGGCAATTTCTAAATTCTAATTGCTTTTGATACTTCAGTTGATACTTTATTATGGTGTAAAAAAGTGGTTAATTGTTTGCTTAGGTGATAATTGTTGATGATGGTAGTGGCGACGCAACCACGAGAGTAGCTTTTGGCTATGTCAAAAAGTACTCAGTAGAGAATGTGAGGGTTATTCTCCTTGGAAGGAACCATGGCAAGGGAGAAGCTATAAGAAAAGTGAGTGGAATCAGAACAATACTTTATTTTTTCTTGTTTGAGTTCATGATGTGATTGATTTTGTTAGAGTAGAAATTAACTAAAGCTTGTGCTTCTGCGAAAGCGTTGTAAAACAGGGAATGCTGCATTCACGTGGTGAACTTCTTTTAATGCTTGATGCGGATGGGGCAACAAAAGTGAATGATCTTGAAAAACTTGAAAATCAGGTTGGTAGCTGTTATTTGAGTGAATTCTGCTGTAGAAAATTACACGTACTGTATGTCTTTTCTTTTCTGTTTGTCTCTTTTGGGGTGAAGCTTCTAATTATATTCAAGTCAGATACATGCAGTTGCTCAGAAGGAACGTCGATTTGGAGAGTCTGTGGATAGTGATTCAACTGTAAGAATCTCAGATATACCAGTTGCAGCATTTGGTTCTCGTGCTCATCTTGAGGAAAAGGCTTTGGCAACGGTTAAGTTTCTTTTCCCATTCTGTATACTGTTTCCAGTTCTTGCCGCTGTCTTTATTCCAAACTATTTGAGTTAAAGTTGTTCAAAATTGTATTTCAGAGGAAGTGGTACCGCAATTTCTTGATGAAAGGTTTCCATGTTGTCGTGCTTCTGGCTGCTGGTTCTGGAATCCGTGATACACAGGTTAGTGATGTCCACTTTTGAATTAAATTTGTCCCTGGGGTCATCTTTTTTTATCTATGCTGCAGTTTGTGCTTCCATTTATTTCTTTGTTTTTTAATGTTTGGACAGTGTGGGTTTAAAATGTTTACTAGAGCTGCTGCGCGGAAGCTTTTCATGAATATCCGATTGAAAAGGTACCAGCATTTTATTTACCATTATTTTCTCAATTCAATTGTTAGAAATGTCATTTATCTCCCTGTTATGGAAGTCGCACCAGACTTTAATGTTCGTGTTTTGCTAATAGATCTCAAAGATTATTATAAATGGCTTCATACAGTCTCTACTGTTGTCGGTTTTGTTTTCCCACTCTATCCAATGATATCCATTTATCCTATAAGCTGATTGAGGTTCATCAATCAGAAAAAGTACTTTTTAAGTTTTGGTATTCATCTGAGATTAGTAAAAAGTATTACATTGTATTCCGTAGAAGAGAGTACAAATATTTCTAGATTAAACCCCGCATTTCTGCATGTTTGTCTCACTTAGAAAATCTATCCCTTTCATCTCGTGCTGAAATCGTGGTAACTTTTTCTTTTACAGGTGGTGTTTTGATGTGGAACTGGTTTACTTATGCAAACGATTTAATATTCCAATGGTGGAGATATCTGTAAACTGGACTGAGATTCCGGGATCAAAAGTCAACCTTCTCAGCATCCCCAACATGTTGTGGGAGATCGGACTGGTGTCATTAGGTTACAGAACAGGCTTATGGAAAATTTACAGCTGAGTTTTGATCTGAGGATATAGATGTATCAGATAGTTCCCTTGACAATTTTAGACAGGAAGAGGAAATATTTAGATGGCCTCCGGAAAGTTTTACCAGCTTCAAATCTAGTGAAATTTAATTTTACATGGAAAAACTTGTTTCTTAGCCCACATTTTTTGTCATTTTTTTTTTTTTGTGAATCTACTCATAGATAATTTGGAATCACGTTGACTTTTAAATTTGTGAGGAAACTAAGAGCAAAACTGAGATTTTGTTCCCGTTCTTTTTCATTTTGTTATCATTAAGTTATAATGATGTGCAGTGTGCTTAAAGGTTGGGCAATCGTATTCGAAACAATATTTATACAGTGTTTATAAATCAGAAGAAAACGCTGCTAATGGATTCCGATGGATATCTTACTTCTGTTGTCTTAGTATATTTCATGACGTAATTCAAGCTGCTTCTGTAGCCCAAATGAGAACTGGATTTTGGGACACCTGCACGGTGCTGATTTTCGGACTAAAACGTATGAAATTTCCGAGTGTTTCTTTGAATATCAGGGCCAATTGCCTCCACTTTCTGATCTTCAAAGTCAGGAAAAATGAACTTTGATCGTATTACGTTAAATAGAAAGGAAACATAAGCAAAAAGAAGGCAAGCCATCGAAAACTGACACGGCTGTGGTAAGAGTTTATTATCGTCAAAGATTTAACAGGTTGGTAATTTTGTATCGGGATTAATATAGTTTCAAAGCAACTTTATAGTCTTCGCATTACATATGCAAAATCCACTTTTAGAGAGCAGTTGAAGTTTGCTAATCCTTTTATTAATGGAGTAGTTGCATTTCATACGTTGCTGCTATATGTGATCAGGAGACTTAAACTGTCGGTCTTATTCCCCTAAGATTAACATTTTGTTAATCCTGAAAAGGCAAACAACATGGATAGTAGTCATTTCCTGTATGAGTTTAAAAGGCAAGCTTCATTATTCTTCAAAGACAAAATCAATGCTGCTCGATTGGCCCTGCTTGATGCTACACCAGCTCAGATGTAAGTTTCAATTGTCTGTCAAGTACATATATATCGTCGTGTACTTAACTTAAAAATCATTTGTCTGGCGAGTTCTTGATTTGTTTCTGCGTTAAGATTGACAGAAGAAGTCACAAATGGAGATTCCTCGGCACCAGATACGCGTGCATTGAGAATCATCTCGCGAGCAGCCTTTGAGGTCGATGATTACTGGAGGATTGTCGATATTCTGCATAGAAGGTTACTATTTCATAGGCTTACTATAGAGTTCATCATGCATAAAAAAGGATCAATAAATGAGTAAATTCCTTTTCGACACTTGGTTATTCTATATGCAGGTTGCTGAAATACAAGAGGCTTGATTGGCGAGCCGCTTACAAGGCCATTATCCTGTTGGAACATCTCCTCACGCATGGACCAACAAGCGTAGCAGAGGAGTTTGAAGGGGACAAAGATGTCATCACAGAAATCGCCAATTTTCGTTATGTTGATGAGAAAGGGTTTGCTCAATTTCGCCTTCTTTTTTTTTTTTTTTTTTTCTTCCCTTTCATTTTAGTAAACAAAACATGATGAGCAGCAGCATCTATGGTTCACATCCAGGTTCAACTGGGGAGAAAGCGTGCAAAGGAAAGCCGAGAGGGTGGTGAAACTGATTGAGGATGAGTCCTTCCTTAAAGAAGAAAGAGCAAGAGCTCGGAAATTGACAGTAGGGATAAAAGGGTTTGGAAGTTTCACCCAAAGAACAAGCTCTACAGACCAAAGCTGGGGAGAACCAAAATCTAGCAATATTTTGAGATGGAATTCTCACTTTACTCATTACCAAAGCAACGAAGACACAGTTCTGGCTTCAGAGAGGAACACTGTGCCACAGATGACTGAAGGAAGAGGAGATGAGCTCTATGATTCGAAACCTAAAAGGCAAGCACAGTTTTTGGGCATTGATGAAAGCCATAAAGAGGGTGATCATCCCTTCTCTTATAAGGATCATCAAACTCTGGTCTCCCTGCTCTCCTAAACTCAGACAGATTGTTTTGAGGAAGGCTTGTACAAATCTTTGGCATTGTATGTTGTGGACTCTGTATTTGTACAAATCTTTGGCATCACATTTTGCAGAAAAGTTACTCGGATGGCTAAACATGATTTTCTTCTTCTTATTTTTTTTCCTGTTTATTGTTCTTCTTCATAAATGCTACGTGATCTTGTACTGAGTGGACTGTAATTTTTGTAAATAGAAGAGAGGGGACAGTATAATTCAGTACGCCGTAAATTTGTGATGCATCGCATAAACACAATGATAAGGTTCATTTGATCGCATAAACAGCAAGGGAGAACCGCAGAAACTGTTTAAACCTCAAAAAATGCAGAAAGGGGGAGATAGGCAAGGACTGTTTAAACTTGTACATTGAATACAATGAAAGAATTGTAACATATAGCATTAAAATCCAGACCATTTCGAGGCGAAACATGCTACTGATACCCAAGAAGAATCCTTTGGTATTCATCTGAGATTAGTAAGAAGTATTACACTGTATTCCGTATAGAAGAGAGTACAAATATTTCTAGATTAAACCCCCACATTTCTGCATGTTTATCTTGCTTGAAAATCTATCCCTTTCATCTCATGCTGAAATTGTGGTAACCTTTTCTTTTACAGGTGTTGTTTTGATGTGGAACTGGTTTACTTATGCAAACGATTTAATATTCCAATGGTGGAGATATCTGTAAACCGGACTGAGATTCCGGGTCAAAAGTCAACCTTCTCAGCATCCCCAACATGTTGTGGGAGATCGGACTGGTGTCATTGGGTTACAGAACAGGCATATGGAAAATTTACAGCTGAGTTTTTGTTTTGAGGATATAGATGTATCAGATAGTTCCCTTGACAATTTTAGAGTTCCCTTGACAATTTTAGACAGGATGAGGATTTTTTTTTTTTTTTTTGACATATTTGCAGGGTATCTACCGTTGGCAACAGTGACTAATTCCCCTTACTGAATTGTAGGCATCTCGATGGATAGAACAGCTTTAGATGACCTCCCGAAAGTTTTACCACCTACAAATCTAGTGAAATTTAATTTTGACTAAAATATCCAAATAGTCCTTTAAATTTGGGATTACTTGATTTTATAACCCTAACATTAACATTTCAATTTCGTGGTCTCAAATATTATGTTTTCACACTTTTTTGGTCCCATTTCACTGTTTCGATTACTTTTCCGTCCAACTCGATGTTGACCGGTAGTTGATATACCGGAATCAGGGGTATTTTTGTCTTTTCATATAATTTGAACTTATATTAAAATTTAAATCATTAAAAATATTATGAAAATTCACATTTACTATTTAATTGTTAAACTATTTTTTATTAATTTAAAATACTATTTTAAATTATTTTCCGAACGCGTAGGTTGAATCGAATCTGGGTATTACTTTAAAGAAGGGTGAAAACGTCTTCAGAATACTTTTTTTTTTCGCTGATGTCATATATACATCATCATCTATTTGATAGTTGACCCGCTGGTGAGTGGTCAGGGAGGTTCTCAATATATTTACAAAAAGTGGGGATGTTTTAGATAATAATAGATGAAGCCTCGAGTGTATTAACTTATCTAATCCTACGGATGTGATGATTCGTTTTTCATCCAAAGGTTATTATTATCTGAATGAACAACTGTAGTTTATTCCTATACTGAACCAGGGCTTCTATATAATCCTTCCCTAACCCTCAATTTTCTTCTCCCTTCTTACTTTTGACTCTTAGGGTTTGTTTGTTTGGTTTTTTAGTGTGTGTTTTTACGTGTTTTTTTTATTGTGAATGTAAAAAGGTATATTGAAAATATAAAAAGGTATGCTGGGATGGGACTGTTAATAATAATTTAATTTGAAAATACCAGCAAGAAAAAGAAACAAACAAAGCCTTACTTTCTTCCGAGGTATGATCTACTCCCTCTGTCCAAAAATTATTGTCCAATTTGAGATTTCACTTTTAATACAATTTGAACTAAAAATGAAAACTCAAACTGAACAATAATTATGGGACGGAAGGAGTATCTAATATCATTTGTTTCAGTTTTATTTTTGCATTTAGTTTTTTTTTTTTCGTTGGGCCATGTGCAAATTTATTTTTGATTGTTTGTTTGTTTTCTTTCACCTTACGTTTGGGGTAAATGCTTATCTTGTCAAGTCTGTGAGCATGACTTGCCGGGTCAGAGAGAAGATTAAGACGGAGCTTGGCAGGGTTAATCATACGTACTGCTCAAACTACGACTTTCAAGAAGAAGAAGAAAAAATTACACGCTGCCAAAAATTGGTCGGATGATAATGAAGATGGTCCATTGTAATTTCGGCAATCCTCCTTCTTGTTTTCTATTTCTGAAATAATTCTGTAGCGAAGTAATTATTTTTTGTGGTATTGTCTAATTTCTTCTAGATTATACTTCAAGCTGAATAGGCTTCGAGCGTCCCGAGCACTATTGGATCCAGATTGGTTTTCTCCTATAACCTTTGGAATCTGTATGGATTTGTATTCCAGACAATATCTCTAGGATTAGTTATTAAAAAGGAAGGGATTTAGATTCAAAATTTTGATGTTTCGAATATTGTTGAGGGGATGTCAGAACTAAATATTAAGGGAGGATTGAGCTCTGAAAAGAAAATGGCATTGCAATTGGAAGTTCCTTTCCATAAGTTTTCACAAAGCGTAAGATAAAAGTTGTCATTTATTTATAGTACTCCCTCTGTCCCAAAAAAATAGTCCACATTGAGTTTTCAAATTTGTACCAAAAATAGTAAAAAACTCAAAACTCAACGTGGATTATTTTTTTAGGACGGAGGTAATACTATTTTATTCATACTTTGGCGCTTGCAGATCACTACGATTCTGATGCTATCGGGTGTGGCCTCGATCTTATATCCTGCCACGGGATGTTCACTTACCTATAGTTTTCCAGATGTAAATTCCAATTCCTATTCATTCATTCAGTTGTTGCCAAAATATTTAATCTCACTCTATTTAGTTGTTGCTGACTATATTCTCTCCAACCTCCTATAATTTATAGGAAATTGATGACAACGGGCACCCAATGACATTGACCTTAAGGGTTGCAGATGAATCTGGAGACGGAAGGGATGCCATCAGGCTGATGGATGCTAAGGAAATGTTGATGATTCTACTTCCAGGTGTTGGGCAAATGAGTAAATGTTCCTTCCAGTGCAAGTGACGAGGTAAAAACTAAAAAGGATGATATTTTACCAGTGCAAATCTCTCTCTCTCTCTCTAACTTGTTCAATGTCGCTTTACGATTTATAGTTGAAAGGTGTTCGATGATGGCTATGTATGACCAGAGATCACTTTGGATGCTCAATTTTTCTGACTATTTGCCTTCTAATATAATGTTTATTTTTGAACACGATGATGAATAGACGATATGATGTTAAAGACATTAGTTTTTTTACAGTTTTACACTTATTGGATGCTGGTTGTCAGCCCCAGATAGGTAAAATTGTTAGGCCGGAAGTATTTGGATGTTAGCTAGTTTGAGCTCATTAAAAAAGAAAATTTTGAATTTGAGGTAATACATAAAGGTATGACGTTTCTGTTCAATGAAGGAACTAAATCTTGAGTATTTAGATCACCTTCTTTGATTTGAAGATGGGCACCGAGATTTCCAAAGAGAAAGAAGACTTTGAACTTGGAATTTGAAGTTTTAAGCGAAAGAAAAATAAAATTATATCTTGATATTTTTCAACTATTTTTCAATCTTCGTTGAATCTAGTAATTCTGAGTCTTGAATGCACCAATTGTTCTGTTGGTCTGATTGTGTGAAGTCAGTTCTGTTGCATCAAATGGTTTGGAATGAAGTGATCAGTTAGGTACTTATTTTTTCTTAGCAAAAATGTGGTTTCTTGTAGTTGTAGCTATGATATTAATGTGTACCACTGAACTGTAACTGGGCTACTTGAACTGTACTAGTTACATAATTTGCAGCTTATGAGAGTTGTTCTTATCTTGTAATATGTTTCATTGTTTTCTGTCAACTACTCAACTGCGATTAACTGATTTTAGCTTTAGTTTATGACTGTATAAATTTATTACTTGTTGCTGTGAACTGTAACTAGAATGTTTTATTTTTTTTGTTTAGATGTATGATTTTGATGAAGATGTGTTTAAGGAGATTGAAGTGGAGGAGGGTTCACTGCCTCCTATGCTGGATTTGCCTACTGATGATTCAGTAATGGTAGATGTCGAGATTGAGATGAAGGACCAAAACGAAAAGCCTAAAGGTGAAGGCCGTCGAGCTAAAGTTCCAAAATCTCCGAAGCGGCAGAGGGTAACTCGCAAGAGGTCTGTGGTATGGTCACATTTCTCTAGTTCTACACTGCCTAATTGTGAAATATTGGCTACTTGTAGTTATTGTAAGAATATTTATACGTTGATCCTAAGAAACATGGCACAAGTAGTGTTCATAGCCATTTGAGTACTTGTAAGACGTACTCAGCTCAGAAGCATGATCCTGGTCAGTCTAAGCTAATTATTGAGTTTGAGAGGGAAAATAGGAGAATATAGGTAATTGGAAGTATGATGAATCAGAAATCATTAGGGTAATGATTAGTATGATAATAATTGATGAATTGCCTTTTAGGTTTGTTGATAAACCTGGTTTAGGTATTTTGTTAGGAAGTTGCAGCCATTGTTTACTCATAAGGGTAGACAAACTGTAGCTAATGACTGCTATAACCTGTATTTATCTGAAAAAAAAATTGAAACTTGAGCTTAAGGGTCTGGTTAGTAGAATCTGCTTGACAACAGATACTTGGACTTCTGTGAAACAGATTAATTATATGTATTTGACAGGATATTATGTGGATTATAAATGGGTTTGGAGAATTTTTTTTAAAAAGTTTTTGTCCCATTTCAAGTCACATGGGGGTTGATATCGGGACTGAAATTGAAAAGTGTTTGATGGAGTGGGGGATTGAAACTGAAAATGTCTTTTCTATAACTGTTGATAATGCTAGTTCTAATGATGCTTCATTGGAGTAACTGAAAGAGCAGTTTGCTGTCCTAGAAAAGTGTGTGTTGGGTGCAAAATGGTTGCATAATCGTTGTATCGCTCATGTGATTAATCTAGTTGTTAAGTGTGGTTTGGCATATATAGGTAAGTCTGTTGAAAGGATTAGGGCTGTAGTTAAGTATATTCGGCTGTCTCCTAAAAAAATAGCAAGCTATAAAAAATGTGTTAAAATTGAGAAGTGTGGTAGTTCTAAGAATCTAGTATTAGATGTTTGTACTAGATGGAATTCCACATATATTATGTTGGAAATTGCTCAACATTATGAAAGAGCCTTTAGGAGATTCAAAACTTGTAATCAGCACTATAAAGATGCTTTAAAATATGATCATGATGTGGCGAATTCAGTTCCTGAACTGCCTACGATAGTGGATTAGGTAGAAGTTAGGAGGGTAGCTGGGATTCTTCATCATTTTTATGAGAAGGTTATCTCAAGGTTATCTCGTACCAAATCTATCTCCTTGGATTCTTTTTTCACTGATATTACTTGTATTGATGTATTGTTGAGGAAAATCATCAATGAAAGTGATGATCAGGGTCAAAAAATGATGGCTGAAATGATGAAGGAAAAGTTTGATAAATACTATGGTGAGGTTGAGAATATGAATGTCGTTCTTTTAATGGCATGCGTTTTTTATCCTAGAAATAAGTTGAGGTATTTGGATGCTGTACTTGCTTATGTTTATGGGAAAGTGGATGGGAAAGCTATATATAAAACTATTAAAAACACTATATATGAGTTGTTTGTGGATTATGTGAGAATCCATGCCCCTAAACCTAGTGTTAGTCTGCCTTCCTCTCAGCCTGATTCTCATACTTCAGCCAGTTCATCCTCGAAAAGGCCTTCCCCTATTGATATCCAGCCTTCGAAGATGCTTAGAGATAGATTTAGGGTGTTGGCGCAGCAGAAAAATGAAGAAACTGGTGGCGAAACTCAGTATAATAAAAGGTCAAAATTGGACAAGTATTTGAGGGAGGATGATGAACCAGGTGGTCCAACTTTCGATCTGCTGAAGTAGTGGTGAGTTAACAACCCTAGGTTTCCCATTCTTTCACTGATGGTTCGGGATATTTTTGCCATTCCTGTCTCAACTGTGGCTTCCAAATCCTACTTTAGTACGAGTGGGAGGGTATTGGATCTATTCTGGAGTTCTTTGACTCTAAAGACTGTCAGTGCTTAATTTCACTCAAGATTGGCTTCGGGGAGAAGTTGAAAAAGAGGGTGTCGAAGAAAGCTGGGAAGAACTCTTACAGATTGAAGAAGGTTACACTTTTACAATTTGTGTTTTCATTTGATTTTTTAACTATTTGTTTTCATTTGATTGAATATTGACTGTTACTGTTTGTTTCCTCTTTTCAGCTGCTGAGAAGGAAATGAAAGCTGGTGAATCAGACTCTGTGGTTACTTTGTGATGATCAAACTATTTGGACGCTTCAATGATAGGTCAAATTTAGATGATTGTTACCTGTTGCATGAGTTTCTTAATCTTTATTTCTAAATTTACTTACTTGAACGTAAAATTCTAGATTGTTGAATGTTGATTGCCTAATACTTGCTGCAAGCCTGCAATGCTGCCAATTGAAGCGTTGAAATTTTGAAGACTGAAAAATAAAGTTGAATTGTTGTTCTGTTCTGGTTTCATTTCTGAAAACACAAACTATAACAGCGTTGAAACTTTGAAGATTGAACAACTCAGTAACTCAGTTTGGGAGATCATTTCTGTAATTTTGGTTTCAGTGGTTTGTGGTTTCTGGTTTTTTACTTTATGTGGTTTCTTGATTTCTGTAACAATTCTGGTTGTAGTTGTAGACAGTAGAGAGTAGACTCAGTTTAAAAATTGAGACAATTCTGGATTTCTGTAACTCAGTTTGAACCTATTTCGGATTAACTGATCCCCGAATCAAAAAACCAATTGCTTATTCGGCTCGGTTTGGTTCGAGAAATAATAAACTTCGGCTCGATTTCGGTCGGGTTTAGGAAGTGAAAAAAACTGATTAATCTGAACCGATTAACGGCCGAACCGACCGAATTAGCAGCCCTAAATTGGAGGAGGAGGAAGATGACGATGAGATGTCAGTTAATAAGCTTGCTAAGGATGATAAGGAGGCTAAGGAGCAGGCCATGGATGAAGCTAGGAAATCTTGTGCCTACAGGAGGCCTTCGCAGTTTTTGGAGGACACTTTCCAGAACTCCTATTCTAGAGTTCCCACAATCAATGTGGTTGTTACCATTACCTATCCGAATTACACCAGATGCATTTACGACAGTGAGAAAGATCCCTACGTTTTCTTAGCCCCTGCTCGAAGCCAGCTTGGAATTTCAGCCTCCTCCTCTCGAAGGTGCAAGTATGAAGCACTTGTTCCTCTCAAGGGGGGAAAAGTCAAGCCCCAGACTAAACAGGATCAGAGGTACTTTCTGGTGCTGGAGGGTTTTTGGAAAATTTCATAGTCCATGGTTTTGTATCTTAGACAATTTATTGCTCCTTAATGTTTGTTACAAATTACTACTGTCGAATGTTTGGTACAGTTTGTTGCTGCATGTCCTTCCTAAGGAAGTCTGGTCCAGTAATTAGTCATGATCATCCGTCTAGTTAAAAAATGACTATCATTGTTGTTTAGTACAGTTTGTTGCTGCAAGTCCTTCCTAAGGAAGTCTGGTCCAATAACTAGTCATTGATCATCTATCTAGTTAAAAATGACTATCATTGTTGTCCCTCATAAATAACATACATGTTTGTCAGTTTATTTGTCCGTACGCCCGATTTTTTTCATCCATAACCCCTTACAAGAGTAGATTCATCAAATTTACTAAAAGTTTGTACAATAAAACATGAGTGGTAAACAGTTTAGATAACTTTGCGACTTTTTCTTGTTTTGAATTCTCTCATTTGATAGAATGGTTGAAGGTAAAGTTTCTTAGCGGAGCACTTTATATGATGGATAGTGAGGTTGGTGAGTGGTGACACATACATGCTGTTTTGAGCAAATCTCGTTGTTAGTCATGGAGCCTAGTCATTAGTCATTGCTTTATTCATCTTCTAGTGAATCTGTGACTATAATTGTTAATTCCATGGTAAGTGGTAAATGCAAGTATGACTTACCGTACATATTTGGTACTCTACTATCATATATATTTATTTGTTTGTTTCTCTGATTCTATAATTGTAGTGGTGGTGTCAACGGGGTGGTTTTCGGACGTCAATGGTGGTTTTTACTGAGGTAAATTCTTTAATTTAATTTTCTTTTGTTATTTTACTTTTCTCGTCCTTATTTACTTCTTACTTGTTTTATACCTGGTGCTTTCTTACTTGTTTTGCCAGAAGTCCAAGGAGCTCCAAGGCTGTCTCCAAGCTTTGCTAAGCAACTACGACACCACACTAATACCCAACGACGCAACATCCTACTTCGTATGGGTCGACTATGAAGAGGCACAACAAGAGGAACTTGTTGGTGCATTGGAACTTTTTGTCAAATCTCTCAAAGGATTTGATGATGTGAGTCCCGAAGATCCATTGGGAAAGTCGAGTATTTAGTTAATTTCTTAAATATGTTAATTTCTTAAATATGTTAGAACTGAAAACTGAAAGATCTTGTGGTATGACCTTGTCTTAATGAAAGGTTTTGAACGCATGCCTAACGAATACGAGGTGGCTGTTGACTTGGTTATCCCACTAACATTTTTATTTTAGTTTTCTCTCCCTCTCTCCCTCTCTCTTTCTCTCTCTTTTTTTTTTTAAAAAAAAATTTTTTAAGTCTTAACTTTCTTTTCGATTTCCATCTCTACTGTTGTTTTTTCACAAAATCCGATCGATCTCCTTGCTCCAAAGTCCAACCCAAATAAACCGAACAATCCCAATTTTTCTCTTTCCCCTTCCCACTCTTCTTCCTCCACCACACCTTCTTCCCAATCCAAATAAGATCTATCTAAAGCCTAAACGAATCAGAGATGAATATTAAATCTTCCAATCGGAAACTCAATTAAACAGTGACCGTTCAATTGAATCAATTCAAAAGTATTATTCGTTGAGGAAGAACAAATTAAAATGAATAAATCTGAATCTACGATTTAGCTGTGGGAAAAGCAAAACATTTATTTTCTATGAAAGTTCCACCATGATGAAACTCAAATAGATCTCTGAGTTTTTAAGTATCCATAACTTGTCCTGACCAGCCTTCGGTTCGAATTCATGAAATTGACTCATTGTAGATCCAAACGCTAGCATTTTTTCCCGATCGGCGACCTAGGGTTCGGGCGAAGTGGATGTCATAGTCGAGTCAATGCAGCCGGATATTACCAAGAGCAATTGGTGATGGGCTTTTTGAGTCTGGGGTGGCCGAGTCAAGGCGAGATGTGTGGGATTGGAGGAAGGAAGAGAGCTTTTTTGAGTTGAAGGAGACAGAGTAACAAAGTTTTATAATAATTATAAAAGAAAAAAAAATATAAAATAAGAAAAGAGAGAGAAAGGCAAGTGATGTGGAGGAGTCACGTTGGCAGTACACATGGGTTGTGATGGATTCGTTTTTTTTAAAAAAAAATCGTTGAGAGTATCAGAACTCCTTTTGAATATGACATGCAATGAAAACCAGTCGTAACCATTTTTATATAATAATTGTGTGGGATACTTTATCTTATTGGTTGTATACTTTGCCTAAACTTCAAATTCGTGGATGTTGAGTTCTCTTGAGATTCCCTGATGATGATAATGATTGCTGAGAGAATCCTAGTTATTTGAGTTGGGATAACTCTCTAAACCGTGACTATACTTCATTTGCATTTCTTTTCTTTGGATTTTCAAGTTTCAACTAATTTAACTATTATGTGCAATTATTTTTTTGGTCTTTGAAATTTTTTTTGTAACTAATAGTGTGATTTTCTAATTTGTAACTGTTTTATTCGGCCACTGCTTTAATTCATAAAAATAAATTGAAAAACTTCTTTTCCATCTTCCTATCAAATATTGAAGTTTTGTGTTTTTGGATTATAAATTTATGGTTTAGGATATAGCTTTCTGCTAAAGAAACATAACGGAAAAAAACCCAAAAAATTTCTCTTTTTTTAAACTCAAATTGATTACAAATCCTGAAATAATTGCACACCAAAGGCATTGCATCTATTGAGTTTTTTTTTTTTTTACTTCCTTCTAACTGGAGAACTCCTTTTGTAGTGTTATTGCTAAGAATTGAACTGGATTTCAATCTCAATCCGTTTCCTGGGGAAAATAAAATGGTGGAAGTGATTTCCTTAGTAGAACAAACCAATTTTAATGTCAGCAAATTATATGTCTCTACTTACAACTAACTTTTTAACTAAGTTACAGTACTATGGAAGAATTGCAGAGGCTGCAAATCAAGTACCCATTGCCTTCTTTCTGAGTTCAACGCGAATAAAAAACATGATCGGATGTTCCAATAAGTCCACATTGATCATACGATAGCATCATCTGATGACACATGTTATAGTTCCATGTATCATAGGACCAAATGCACAATTAAGGATAATTACATAGCAAATCAAGGGAAAAAAAAAAAAACAAATGAAGTGGTTTTCATAGCAACTCTACAGTAGAATCAAACGAACAGCTCTTTGCTAGCTAATAGTGTAATATGCAAAGCAAAAATACAGAAATGTTGCCGCAGTTTCCACTCAAGTTAGCACTAATCTGAGCAACTGTTTGCTACAAAATGCCAGCCTAAAAAATACCAATCAGTGTGCTTGCTTTGTACCCTTTAGTGGTAACCTAGAAAGTAGTCAGTCAAAAGGTAAATAGAACAACAATGCGAGTATAGCACCCGATATCATGCATGATAAGTAAGTAGTTCAGAAGAATTCATAAATGGCCTGTAGATGGCTAGACGGACAGATTGTTATGAGATTCTGCAAGGAACGTGATTATACTTGAGTATTTGACTCGTACAAATCTTTGTCAAGGACTGTTTAAACTTCTACATTGAATACAATGAAAGAATTGTAACATATAGCATTAAAATCCAGGCCATTTCAAGGCGATCAACCGGACAAGACAAGTTAAGAAAGCAAAGCTAGAATAAAATGGTTCAAGCTGCGGCATATATGACCCACAAAAAAAGAAGTTAAACACTCCTCTCGAAATTAGAAACACTTTCTATGCACAATGGAAGGACCTGATTCATCATATTCAGCCTTAGCAATCCACATCTGCAAACAAGATAATCAAAATATTAGAATCACAGTGTTACTATTTAAAGTCATGTTCTAAACTCCACGTGGTACTGAATGGAACAAACCTGTTGGAAGGTGCTGAGTGACGCCAGGATGGAGCCTCCGATCCAGACACTGTACTTCCTCTCAGGAGGTGCAACCACCTTGATCTTCATGCTACTTGGAGCTAAGGCTGTAATTTCCTTACTCATCCTATCAGCAATACCCGGGAACATGGTGGAACCACCACTGAGCACAATGTTGCCATAAAGGTCCTTCCTTATGTCGACATCACACTTCATAATGGAGTTATATGTGGTCTCGTGAATTCCAGCTGCTTCCATACCAATCATTGAAGGCTGGAAGAGGACTTCAGGGCATCTAAAACGCTCATTACCAATGGTAATTACCTGACCATCGGGGAGTTCGTAGCTCTTCTCAACAGAAGAACTAGTTTTTGAAGTCTCTATCTCCTGCTCAAAATCAAGGGCAATGTAAGCCAACTTCTCCTTCAAATCTCTCACAATTTCCCGTTCTGCGGAGGTTGTGAAGGAATAACCACGCTCCGTAAGGATCTTCATCAAGTGGTCGGTTAGATCACGGCCAGCCAAGTCGAGACGAAGAATGGCATGTGGCAGGGCATAACCCTCATAGATGGGGACGGTATGGCTGACACCATCACCAGAGTCCAACACAATACCTGATATAAACAAATTTAATTTCTTCAACCTTTTCTTGGGTTCAAACAGATCTATAAATTAAAAAGAAAATTCTGAACTAAAAAGGACTTACCAGTAGTACGGCCACTAGCGTACAGGGACAGAACAGCCTGGATGGCAACATACATGGCAGGGGTGTTGAAGGTCTCAAACATGATCTGAGTCATCTTTTCACGGTTAGCTTTAGGATTAAGAGGTGCCTCTGTTAAGAGGACAGGGTGCTCTTCAGGGGCTACACGAAGCTCGTTGTAGAAGGTGTGATGCCAAATCTTCTCCATGTCATCCCAATTGCTAACAATACCATGCTCAATGGGGTATTTGAGAGTTAAGATACCTCTCTTCGATTGAGCTTCATCACCCACATAGGCATCCTTTTGGCCCATGCCCACCATCACACCAGTGTGACGGGGACGACCAACAATGCTTGGGAACACAGCTCGTGGAGCATCATCTCCAGCAAATCCAGCCTTTACAAAGAGGTAAAAGAGGACATTAAAAAACAATCACAACATAGAATCTCGTCTCCATTTCGAAGCAACTTATTCAGCAACAAATAAAAACAAATATGATGCTACCTTAACCATTCCTGTCCCATTGTCGCACACGAGTGGCTGAATGTCCTCTCCGTCTGCCATTTTATGCTATACCCTAAACAAGAACAGCAGCATTAGTAAAAATGTTGCCTAAGTATTACTCTAGTGTATGTTATCTGTTTAAAATCTTTGCAACAAAGTATCCTAGTCAACAAAATAAATTCATTCAGACTGCAGTGGAAGCAAAATCAAACCCACTAGACGGTACATACAACAAACATTCTTGAAAAGGGGAAAAGAAATCATTTCATACCAAATGCCACTCAATTAAGAACAGAATCCTCTCATAAAGTAAGGAAAAAATTAATCGCCAAAGTTGAGAATCTAATTCAACACTGTAATCAAAGATCTCTTTTATTTCCCAACAAAGCATTAGTTTCCTAATCTATACGAAAGATCCATCAAAATTTAAGTACTAGCATTGCAAGTGCGGAAATAACATCATGGACTTGTTCGACATCTACAACTAAATAGAGAATTGCATGTACGCAGGAACCGTTACGAATCAAAATGAGACGTCAGCTACAATTACACAGATCAAAAGCTATGTTCAACAAAACTACAATTCCAAAAAAATTGATAGATCTACGGAAACGAAAAAAGGAAATTGAAACTGAAAAAGTTTGGGTGACAAGAAAATCACCTTGTGGAGAACCTCAAACGACAATGGGAGAGAGAATCAGAGAATGGCAAAAAATCCCTCCGGTAGAGTTTGCTGGGAGACGATAACAACGTGTTTGTTAAAATGTCTATGTGGGAATGATGAACGATGTGTGTGTGTGTCTGTGTGTGTGTGTGTGTGTGTTTTTCTCTGAGAAATAAGAATATTGGAGGGGCGGGGTTTATAATAAGGAAGAAGAAAAGATTTGAACCGTTGGATTAAAATCAATCAACAGTGTGGATGCACGGGCGGGGATGACACGTCGTGGGTGGAGGCTATCATTAGTCTTCTCACCTCTTCATTCCTTTCTTCCTTCTTCGTGGCTGGCCACTGCTCCTCCTTTTCCGCTTTTTTCTCTCGTTTTCAAACATTTTAATTCTTTTTTTTTTTATTGTATTTACAATCTCCAGTTCTCCACTCAAATTAGATTAATTCTCTTTTTACTACTCTCTTACTTATATTTTTCTTCAGTCTCATAATTATTATCCAGTTTGATTTGAATTTTCATTTTTAATACAAATTATACTAAAAATGAAGAACAATAATTTTGGAACCGAATGAGTATAATTTTTAATCAAAAGGAATTTTGGGTGTAAATTTCAGACAATGTCAGGGACACACCAAGTCCATAAGGAGTATGGAGTTTCTAGTAAATGGACGAAAAATGACGGAATTAGACTTAGGTGAATCCATGGAGATAAATTTACCAATTATAACGGGACTATTTTTATGTTACTTTTTCCTAAAAATTTTGGTGGATATTAGTTGATTTATCTCCGCCCTCTTAATTCTTTTTTTTTTTTTTTCCTGTGTGGCTATTTACTTCCATGTATTTGGACCTCACGTAGAAAATTTAATGTTTTTGTTCTTTTCTCCCGGGAACCTTTTTCCCCAATCCACAAATTAAAATAAAAATTCAAGGAATTAAAAAAGATCCTTTTCATTTGTCTGCTATATCATGGGTTTGATTATTACATAATGATATAAACTTCTGTTGAAGTTTGTGGAAAATTATCAACCACTCTTCAGAATTCTTAGAAGTTAAAGTTAATAATCAAGCCATAGAATTTAATTGAGAGATGGTAAAGAATATAAAAGTAGAGACACTAGAGTAGGCATAACTAGGTGTTTAGACCCGTCCGATGGACGGGAAAGGCATACACATTTAGACATTTTTATATAAATTTTGTATTTTTATAAAATATGTAATGACTTCAGTTTTAAACATAATTACCTCTGGATTTACAGGAATTTGTTTTTTTTTTAAATGACATTTTAAATTTATTGGTGATAAGGTTTATGCAGATCTCTCTAAAATTTGTTAGGATTTGGTACTCTCTCCAACCAATCTCTGTGTTAGGATTTGGTTCATGAAAATAAGGGTTCGGTTTTTATTATTTTGTTTTTTTTTTAAATTATTTTAGTTTCTTTTTTTTTTTGGTTTTATTATTTTGTTTTGTGCATTTTTAAGTCTAAGAAATTAAGAAAATGCCACATATGATTAAATCCACCTGGCATGTACTCCATGCCTTTAGTTTTCTCTCTCTTGTTTTTGCCTTAGTATAGCATACTAGATAGATAGATATAGATGAGCAACACTAATTTTATACATTAACCCAAAAAATTATACTCTCGTTCCGAAACAATTGTCTAAATTGCATTTATAGTTTTAGTTCAAATTATATGTATTATAAATGAAAATCCAAACTAATCAATCATATCAGAATAGAAAGAATATAACGTTGCGAAGGTAGGAAAATGAGGGGAAAATGTGGTACAGAAATACCCAAACAGTTGGTCAAAATATTAAATACGGTGAATAGTTTTTTCACCAAATTTGAAAGATGTTAAGGTGAATTTTCACTGCGTTTCATGGTATTATTCGATAATTCTGTTCATCATAATTATGTTCAAGTAATATAGATATAAACGGTAAACAAAGCAATTAGATTGGGTAGGAGATAATATGATTCACATTATATGTTTCAATTCTTCCCGGGAAAGATTGTTTGAACTTTTGAAGGAGTGGGACGACTGAGGGGTGAAGCCCGAAAATGAGTAGACAAACGGTGTCTGGGTGCTGGCATCATCACATCATTCACTAAAACATAACAACCTAAAAGATGCAAAACCCATGTGTGCTGCCTTTTTCTTTAGGGGAAAAAAAAAAAAAAAATCTCATAGCCCCCTTTTGTTTTGATGGATACTAAGGAGGTGCAAATAGATCACGGATGCATTTAATATATATAGAGTAAAATAGAGATACCGTATCTGCCACTTTGGTGACTGCAAATGGGCTTTGCTTAGATCGAATCAGAATTGAATCTGATAGCAGAGAGTTGCTTTTTCCTCATGATATTCCATTCCAACTCTAACACAGTTGTCGTCATGGCTTTGCCTCTTTCTTCTTCTTCTTCTTCTTTTTTTTTTATGGGAACGTTCTTTGCCTTCCTTCTTTAAAAAAGCTTATGAGAATGGTCAGTAAGTAGCACTCCCTTCGTCCCATAATTATTATCCACTTTGTCCAAAAAATTTTGTCCCAAAATTATTGTCCAATTTGATTTTTTATGGATCAAGTTACATATTTATCCTTAGTAAAAAACATTATCCATAAAATCTTAGTGGTTAAACAATTACTTATGTAAGAGTACATATGGTTGTTTAAGGTAAAATATAATTAAGTTTGACAAAAAATAAAATCTTTCATTTTAGTAAAACTGGACAATAATTATGGGACGGAGGGAGTAGTACATCATAATAAATTTTAACCCTCACCTCCATTGAGTCCATTCACCAACGTGCATGAGATGCCACTCCACTCAAATGATTTACAAGGCTGTTTCAGTAGTATTGGTCAGACATGATGATGTTAGAATGGAATTGAGGGATTAAAGGAACGAGTCAATGAGAATCAAATGTGCACTTTTGCGTTGGGATAGTTCATTTGATAGAATTAAGCCTAGCCCAAGGGAATCAATTAAGTTTTTGCTTCTGGTTCGATTCCCGGGGATGTCACCGGAGTGATCGAGGCCATGGAAGTACATGTATGTTCCTCAAAGTGAAAACTAGTGCCAAACCCCAACAGTATAGCATTTGCATACACAAGTTAAAACCATTGATAAACCAATCATTCCTTTATAGCAAGAATTTTAATAAAAATTTTGAATTACATAATGAGTTAATTTAGGTCCTAACATGGAGATCAAACTAGCAATGACCATAGAGAGGTCAACAGCTTTCAGTGAAAGATCAAATGGAAAGACAGCTAAAATAATCTTATTATCAAATGCCGTGTACAGTGATTACACAAAAGCCTCTCTTTCAGATCGATTTCATCAAACTTCTGACAAATTACGTGACATGCTAAACCTCTGCTCGTATCTCGGCTTAGTTCTACCCCGCCACTTACAGGAATGGGGGCAATATCACCCATCTTCGAGGATACTTGGGGCGTCCATCTTTTCCATCAAAGAGCTGGGAAGCACAATGAAATGAAAATCAAAACAAAAGAAATGTACTGCAATTTTCTCACGAACAGTACAAGAGTAACATCAACTGCAGCAGTTGGTGATGGAAATTATTGGAGCCACTAGAAGCAACAATCAATCAAGATGACCAATATAGATCAGTGAGAAATTGATATGAAAACGAACAATACAGTCACTACGTATGTGAAACACAGATGAAGAGGGAGGTCTTATAAAAAACTAATCATAGCAATAATAAGATAAGGAGATTCCTAATTCTAGAAGTAGCAGAAAGAAACATCAGAGACCAGACTAAAAGCAAAAAAAGTTGTAAGCATAAGTGGGTGATGAGTAACTGAAATGCATTGACAACAATAACATAAAAGGAAGATTTGAAATCTCCATACAATTGCAAAGACATTAGACACTTCAAGATACTATAGCTTCTGCACCCATTTACACATGGAAGCAAGTATGAAATAGAGAAACCAACCTTTCTCAAGCGCCTGTGCTTTGCAAGTGCCCAATTAGTCATTATAGCAGCAGCAACAACCATGAAAACATAGCCAGCTACAGTCTGTGTTGCAATATTGAATCCCAGCCACTGATATATTTCTGTGGTGTAATTAGCACACGTAACAATATTGAACAGAAAACCACGAGGGATTTGGTATCCTCCGCTACCACCAGGACCCCGAAGGTTTCTCAACAATATGTGGCAGTAGAAGTTGGCTAATTGACAGACCACTCCAAATCCAAAGCCAATTTTCATTTGGAGATCACTCACTGGAGTGTAAAGTGGGTGATTGACATAGTAAGCAATATACGCCCCAAAGCTCCAGTAATAAGCACAGTTTCTAAAAACATTTGAAATTGGTGAAGTGGCATGACTGAAACGGTGCACAAAGAAGGTTTCCATGATACGTTTGAAGTAGTGAAAGCACCAGTAGTATAATGCATAAGTCTGAACTGGGCGGATGACACGCTCCCCTTTGTAGCCAAAAAATTGATACACATTGTAGTAGTAGAAAAGAGGATAAAGAATAAGGGGACCCAAGTATTCCCAGAAGAAAAGTGTGCTGTAAGCAACCTGTGGACCTAGGTCCTTAAAAACTAGAGTTAACTGATCTGAGCTTGCACCAGTGTACTCTGCAAGTCTCTTGTTGTATTGAAGGACAGTAGGCCTCTCTTTGGATCCAGGAGGGAGAGGAAAGGTCAGTCGTTGTCTTGAAGGATAGAATTTCTTTGCTGTGAACAAAATGTAGTTTTTGTCAGAAAATGAAGACCATATGCATGGGAAAAAGAAACAGCAAAAGAGAGATAGAAAATAACTTAAGTAATTAGTAATGTCCAGAATCCATTCAGATTCAGCATGATTTCTGGATATAAATTATTGAGACGTAACTAGAAATGACTGGAATATTTGGATTACTGGGCTTTAGTTGTGAATATTATCGAAGAGATCTACAGAAAAGCTTTTACTCCAGTAATTGATTGAGGACTTGCTCTCCTTAAGGAAAAACAGCTTAAATCAACAGACTTTGAAACCAATTACGAAAGCTGTTGGGTTTTTCACCTATCTAATGTCGAATTTTAAAAGAAATAACAAAAGATTCTAAGCTAAACCCATGAATCCCATGCAGTTAATAGTTATTGAAAAGAAGCCAAACTCAAACATCTCATGCAGTTGATTGTTATGAAATATCAGAAGATCAAACTTCAACAGGGCAGGGATTTAAAATCAAATCGAGCATAACAAACTAACTGGTAGAACTACCATTTGGAACTATTTGAGAAATTATAGTGGTTACTGCTTGAATGCCTTTTTTGACAATTCTCCTCTTGTGCATCAGATTTCATATCTTATAATCAGCCAGATAGCCAATCTGAGTAACCTTCGTATAACTTGTATTAACCGGAGTAAAGGAAACCAATTCCAGTACTAGCACAAACAGGTGCAGAGTTTATATCCTAATAATTTCTTCATAACAAACATTAACATCCTTGTAAAATTTTATCAGACAAAGTACTCCTTCGATGATATCAGGAGTCAAGAAAACGATAACCATTTAACACAATAAAGCAAATCCACAAATTAAAGAGCTTAGAAAAACTCCAGTCCCAAGAGTTCCCGTGTGCAAGCTTAGGTAAACAAGCAGAACATTTGTTTAGTATAAAATTAAACACCGAAAGAAACAACAGAATGGTAGCAGCAAAAATTGAAATTAATTTTAAAGCAAAACAAAGAACCCGAAATCTTTTACTCATCCATTGAAATCACTCACTTCGTTTATGGATAGCCTCCTGAAGATCAGCAACAGTTGCCTACACAAAGTAAAAGAAAACACCAACATTAAGGAACCCATCTAATAATTCCGAAACCATAAGCCAATTTCAAAATTGAAACCCATGACAATCCCAATGCAGATGAATTTTGAATTACACATACGGAATCATTGAGTTCGAGGCCACCCTTGATGAGTTCCCGGCCGCTACGCGTAACGACAGTCACCTTCATCCTCAACAAGAATCCGAGGAGGTAAAACACACAGAGGTTTTAGCTAGTTTCTTTTTCAGTGTAACAAGATCTGAAGACTCTCTGGTCACGGGATTTTGGGTAATATTTATTATAGAGTACCACTACTGATATTTTTTTTCCAGTAGTTAAGTGAACTAATTTTTAAGGTTTTTAGTTCAGGATGGGCTGCAAATATGGACATGAAATGCAAGTGCAGACGACCAATTGTATTTGTATGATTTCGAAGGGTTTGACAAGTAAATTAATTGCGTGTGGTTGGGGCAGATGAGCAAACCGCTGCACCGATTAACCACCCTCTTTAACATTCATTATTATTATTATTATTATTATTATTTTTGAATCCCTTTAACATTCATTATTTATTTATATTCTTCACCACCATTTTTGCCTAGCTCTTTATTATTTATCATAGTTTATTCCTTCAAGTTTCATAACAAAGGTAATAATCTTAATTTAGTAGTACTACGTTCTTTTTATTCGTTCAAACCAGGGATTATAATTAGAAATATTAGGTTAGCCCGAAAGAAAGAAATATGCCCTTGCGAGGAAATTTGTATTGTGAACATTTGAGTATCTCGTATTATTTTTGACGATGGTGGGACACACTGTAAATATGCAAAAAAAAAAAAAAAAAAAGAGATCATTTTTGTCACTTCGGCATAACATTTTTTCAACAATTCTTATAAATTTATCTATGATTTATAATCTCGTATAGAATCCAATGCATTCATTTGTTCATATTTTGATCATTAAACTCTAAAATGCATTTACAGGATGCAAATAGTGTGTTTCTGTTTGCTAGTTGGCTATAACCATAAATGATGGAAGAAGATTACACAATGCAGCTACTTGATGGGCCCATTGCCCCTATAAATCATGTCCAGAAATTTAAGTTAGGGAAGTAGGCAAGTAGTGGTTGATCGCTCAAAAATCAGAACGATTCATCATCCGTTTGAAGTGATTAATGTCATAACGATCAATGTGAATAGTAGTAATTATTAAAATTACATTTAAATTATGACAAATCTATCAACCCTACTAAGACAGAAAATCCAAGTCAAAAAAACAGCCAACCTTTTTCAAGATACAATTTTTCAAATCTGGTTAACATCAAAGAGATTGATGAAACATGGAAAGATCAATTTTGCATTCTGCATTGCTGGGAAGAAGCAATCAAACGTGAACAAGATTCATTAGGCAGCAGAAATCGCACGAAGTACATCCCAGACCACGATGCCAAAATGTTATGAAGCAATTTGACCAACAATTCCCTTAATCATATACATCAAGCCCACATGTAGAATAGGAGAATAATCATTGCTTTTCCTGGGCTTTTCGCTGAATAGCTTCATCGGCTCCATTCTCAATCGGAGGCAAAGTCTGCAATGTTAAACATTCACCATAATAAAAATAGATCAGGAGTAAAGTCATGAAACTTCGTTTAGACCTTTCATCGAGCATCTGATATGGGTATCAATTCTTTAGAGGAATTCGTTAGAAGGGATTACCAGATTTGGTTTGAAGAAGTTGTGAACGACGGAGGCCCCGGTGAGGAGCGAAGCGATCACGACGACGCAATACCAAGCTAACGACGGCGTTCCGGTCCCTCCTCCAAACTTTTGATTCATCTTCTCCTTCCCACTTCGCCAGTCAATGACACGGTTGCACGTGACGACGACGGTCTGGAGTATGGACTCTGGATTAAATGGGTGGTCACTTCCATTTTGAGGCCCAACAATAAGGGTCAAAAGTGTCTATGACTAATAGCCCAATAGCTTCACTCGTTTCATGTTTTTCCTTGAAGAAGTTCTGGTGTGATGGCAGATTGGCAGATTGGCTGGTTCGTATTTGAGTAACGGGTTAAGATTTTTTAAAAACAAGGATTTTTCGTAATTTTTTTTTGGTACAGTGAGATAGGAAAAAATTACTCCCTCCGGCTCATAATTATTGTTCACTTTTATTAAAATGAAAAATTTTATTTTTGGTCAAACTTAACTATATTTTACCTTAAACAACCGGATATACCCCTACATAAGTAATTGTTTAACCACTAAGATTTTATAAATAATGTTTTTTACTAAGGACAAATGTGTAATTTGACCCATAAAAAGTCAAATTAGACAATAATTTTGGGACAAAATTTTTTGGGTAAAGTGGACAATAATTATGGGACGGAGGGAGTATAACATTACGTAATAAAGGAAAGATGGACAAAATCGTGTTTAAACCACAGGTTTAACCTCATCCGGCGGTATAGGATTATTAATAGCCCAAGGGTTAAATTAGAGAGTTCACTCGAGTGATATTACATTTTCTACGAATCTGTTGGAAAATAGTATTATTTTATTGACCTTTCAGTCTCAAACGTGGCATTTTGTTACTCGTGGGTTACAGCCGGCTTCGGATCAGATTTGTGACGAATGGTTTGCATATGTCTGAAGGCACAATATATACCACATTCAGAAGTGGAGATCTCAATCGGATTCGGAGATTTCAGCTGCGAAAACGTTCAATAGTTTTAAAAAAATGGAGATTTCAACTGCACCACTTAAAAAAAAAAAAAGGCTGAAAATTTCAACACGAACTCCATCTACACGGTCTTTCTAATGTTTCCATCACGTTGGCCCTCTCTTTATATAAAAAAAGGAAAAGGATTTAAAAAAAATAAAATAAAATACAGAGCGAGTTCGAAACCAAACTTGATAAGCAAGCACAAAGGTGGAAAATCAACTTTCAACGTTCAATTATAAATGTATATATTGTGACTAAGGAGAATGGAATAGGTCGTTAATTAGCCATATAATTAATCAACTGTAATAGCGAAATCGGTAGATTACCACGGTTTTGGTAATCCGTTTACGTAAACAGGATGAGGTGAGGATTTTAACGAAAATCCCTTGCATAATTCGGAAACTGCTGACCCGCATTTTTGAAAATGCTTCACCTGTTTGTCATTTATTTATTTAAGTTAGACCTTTTAGAGATCAAAAATTTCTATCTCATTTGAAGTAGAGTACTAAAAGTTTATGGATACCTAAAAACACTATTACTTGTTTCATTGTACTAAAAAGAAAAGTTGAGATTTCTCAATCTTATGATTACATGCATTTCCAATATTTATTCGTGTATTAACCACGCTTATCCGGCGGTATAGGATTATTAATAGCCCCAAGGTTAAGTAAATAAACCGTCAATATTTTATTCGTTTATTGACGGTTTCATCCTATCAATTAAATACAGTTATTATTATTAAAGAAAAACATAGATGTACGCGATTACCGGGTAAGTTCTCAAGGAAAATGGGAGAACCATGTCTTATTGTTACTTGTTATACAAGTAAAAAAAACAATACATTAGTGATTAGTCAAATTTAACACGTCTCCAACACGAATATGTATATATGACGTAGTTCTGTGACGTGGGAGTAGAAACTTAAATAAATTAGTGAGTTTAATTAAGCTGAATCAACAGGAAAGTCACTTTTAATTCTACTTTACTCCTTTCTAGGAATATCTACAAGATAAATTTCCAGATAGCCATCTGCTTTCATCAATAAAAATCCATATACTTTTATAGAGTAGCACAGCAGACCATCTTTCTGAACATATCACGGCAAAACATTCTGTCTGAAGGAGACTTCAGGTCAAGGCAAGGTTAGGTAAGTTCTTACGATTCTTGATCGATCTGGCTAGTCTTTTCAGTTGTGATTAAAGTACATGTTGTCATTTTTATTCGTGTTTTAGTGTATATTCTTCTTCCACCTTCATTCAGAATAGAGATGATGAACATTAATAGTAGGTATTTGGGGTGGAAAGAAATTTCACTGGCTTGCGAAGTTGTACAACCTCTGTCTAGAAAAATAAAACTACATTAGTTTTGAGATTTGTAATAGTTTTAATATGAATTTGAAAACTCATTATGAACTATTCTTTTGAAACAGAGAAGTAAAAATATTTGTATATCGATGTTTACACCAAATATCACATAAAATGTTTTACTTCCGTCCCACAAAAATAGTCTAATTTTAAAAATTAAAATCTAAAAATTAGATGACTTAATCTTGCAAATAATATAAAAAAAAATAAAATTTCATGACGATTTATCAATTTAGGAATAAATTTTAGATTAGGCCAATTTGATAAGTCCAATTTTAAAATTTATTTTTCATAAATTGGACTATTTTTTCTAGAACGGAGGGAGTAATTTCATTAATCATATATTTATTTCATTTTAATAATTAATTATTATCTCTAGTTAAGATTTAAATATGAATTAACCACTCCAATTTTGGTTACGCGTGCTCAATCAGTGTCGCAAGACTAATCTTCGTTTTAAAGATGTGATCAAGATCCTATCTACTTTTTTTTTCTTAAAATAGTTATCACGTTTTTTCTTTTTTCAGAATAGTATATTATATATAGAGTAATATTTTTAGGATGAATCACGAAAGTGTTTACAATACAAATGTTTATATTTAACAAAAATCCAACTGGCTTTTTTATAATTTGGTGTAGTAAAATTTACGTAGCACTGAATTTCTTTTAACATTGCAACTCATGCATCAAACCACACAGCTAGGCAGAAAGCAAATTAGTTCGAGTTGTCCGTACGCGTGGTGACTGGACTTATTCATCAAAAGATGGCATTTTTAGTAGCATCCAAAAGCTTCATCCTAAGGCTCAAGATACACTGCTCAGGCTGCGAAAGAAAGGTGAAGAGACTCTTGTTAAGAGCTCCGGGAGTCCGTTCCGTAGACATAGATCCAAAGGAAGGAACGGTGGCGATCTCAGCCACCGTTGAGCCTTCCGAAATCATGATGTTACTTGACAAGGCATTAAGCCTCAAGGCCGAGCTTTTGTGGGAGCAGCAAACCCCTTCTTCTTCTTCTTCTTCAATAAGGGATATTGGCCAGAAGAATAATGATTTACAAATTGTTCCAAAACCATCAAGGAGAATGGTTGATGATGATCTGCGGTTCAGTCATGATACCGATCCCGATGTCGTTTCCCAATTGCAACAGATCTCTAAGATCAAAGGGTTGAAATCGGTTGAGGTTTGTTATTCCAAGAACGAGGTTTCCCGTTCCAAGGCTATCAAGTTGACTTTCAAAGGTCAAAATGATGATTTCGCCGACAAAGATCATGTGGAACTTATTATTAAGGATGAGGTTCAAAATCCTAGGAGCCGGCCGGGCGGCGGCGGCGGGATTTGTGATGCATCTTCTTCGTGTTGCGGTGGTCACCATCATCATCACCGTGGTGTTTGCGGTTGCGGGGGGAATGGTCCTGCTCCCGGTTATCCTATTAGTTCGAATAATAATGGGAATTTGTACTGGCCGCCACCTTTGCCTACTGGCGGTGGTTATAGTCCATCTGCCCCTCCGATTGGGACCGCCACTTATTATTACGATTATGATGCCCGACCTCCGCCACCACCTCCTCCTCCGGCGACTGATTATTCGTTTTTTAACAGATTCAGTGATGAAAATACTTCGGGCAGCTGCATAGTCATGTAAATAATGTTTTATTTCATTTCTCCGCATCCATTTTGTACATCATTTTTATTCATGGCCATTGTGTGCTTGGCGTGTCATTCGATTGGCAATTTGTAGTATACATGTTTTAATATTTATACTAATAAATCAGATAGCGTGGGGATGTATATACACTTTATCATTAAATTCTTGTGAGCATCACTTGGAATGTAAATGAAGTTTTTTTTTTCCCTCGTTCTTCTCCAAAATTGATTAATCAATTTTTAAAATCATCATTCTAGTCTATAATTAGGTCGATCATATCATTTTGTTCGAAGAACAAATTGAGCTGTATATTTCCTTATGACAAACAGCACAACCCTTTTAAAATCTATATATCTATTCCAAACAAATATAGTAGTTTTGTTCAGTTTTCAAGATGGGTCGGATATAATTGCATACTAAAGTTGCTAGTATTAAAGAGTCTCAATTTCACATCAGTGTTGGGAGACTTTGAGTATCAATATATAAGTTCCATGGGCTATTCCCCTCATTGTCTATTGGTTTTGAGGTGGAACCCATGGGCTGTATGGTATCAGAGCCAGCCTGTCGACATTCGGACTCTAAAAAACCTAACAAAAAATAGGTGTCATGGAATAGGACCTAATTGGCCTATTTCCATAACCTAGGGGGTTAACTGCAATTTAGAGTATCAGCTGGCTATATATATTCAGAAGTGTACTGAAAACGAATTATGGAAAAGATGAAGAATTGAAATGAAAATGTATTTTCCCTTCGGGGCTTCTCTGAAACCCTAGTTCTCTCTCGCCGTTTCTCCATTTTTTCTGATTAGCCCTTCCGATTAAGTCGATAAACCGCCGGTGCATTACATTTGGCCTCAGAGCTGGACGGTTTTTGGCCGTTCTATTCGTAATCCCTATTTCTTCCGCGCTAATTCTCTGAAATTTTTCCTCCTCCACCGATTTCGTTTCATCGAATTCGGACCGTCCTTCGTCTCTGATTCTCGTCTTCGAATCGATTCCCCCTTATTCCTTCATTTCTGGAATTCGCCTTCTCCTTCCTTCGCTTCAGTCCGAACTCATTTCTGGAAATCGAATTCTGTTTTCTCGATTTTGGGTTCAATTCCGAATCGCCCTTGCTTCTTCTTCGTCTCTTCATCGATTTCTGAAATTTTTCTTATTCCCTTCGATTCAATTCAAATCCGTACCTATCTGCTCATTCTTGAGTTCGATTTAGTCCGATTCAAATTGCAACCATTAACAACGATGAGTTTAACGTTCGAATGGACGCTCTGTTGGATAAATTACAGGCTGGGTCTTGGTTGACTCTGGAGAGCGTCGCTCAACTCCGAAAGAAATTTGATGCCATAGATGCAAAGTATCATCCAGCTATGAAAACGTTACCGAAGCCTCAAGATCCCGACAGTGAGCAAGAACCTTTTGAAGTAAAGACGGCGGTTGCTTGTGTTCGTGAATCAGAAGAAATTCTCAGTCCAGAAATAGCATCGGAATTCAAAGAAACTGGTGCTGTAATTAACGAGCGAGGTAAATTCCCTGATGAGTTTTCACATTTTGTTGCTAATGAGATAACACTGGTGGATTTGGATACTAATTCTATGATTTCCCATGAGATTCATGATACTCATGTTGAGATGTTGAGTTTAGTTGATGCCACTAGTATTAATTTGAGTCCCAGTTATGCATATGATGTGGTTAGTTATGTTGTGGGGAACAACTGTGTCGCTAATGCGATTTATGATGATTTGATGCATATTGGTGAATTAAATAGTGTTATGAATGAATTGGTAAATGTAACTGGGGTAGATTCGTCTCTGAATTCCCTTCTTAGTGCATGAACTAGCTGTCTGGTTACATTTGATCCGGGTGGAAGTTGGGAATTCGATTGCCAAGATGGTAGTACGCCTGTGTTTCTCAATGTTAAAGACAGATTGCAACCAGTTGGTATTAAGGTGCTTAATCTGTTTGAAAATCTCTGTTTGGGGAAGTCCTGGGTTAAAGGAGTAACTTGCTTTAGAGGGGGCACTGAAGTTTGTTTGAATTTGACTGTTGATAGCATGGGAGTGAACTATAGCACTGGCCTTCGGTTGAACGTGTTAGATGAGAACTCTGTTGACGTTGGTAAATCATCTCCTATGCCTGTGAACAAAATGCGACGTAAAGCCTGGGTTGAGAATGTAACTGGTTTTAGGGGAGGAACAATGTTGTTGGAAACAGAGAAATGGATGCAAATATCTACCTATTTCAGTGGAGATATCCTAAGGTTCGAAGGTCATATGAAGCAATTCATGCCACTGGAAAGGTCAAGCTTCATTTGGATAATTGCTTGGAGGGAAATGGTGACTGTTGAGACTCAAATTGAATAACCAGTGTGGAATGATCACAGTAATCTCCTCAGAATACAAGGCGCGAGAAGGTCTCTTGGCAAGGGTTCTTCACGTAGTCTTCTCAAAATTTTATTGTGTTGGTTTTGTTGTGTCTCTTTTGTAGGTTTCTTTTATCAGGTGTTAGATAAAATGGTCTTTGTGCTAAGTTCTGTTTTAGTGTCTGTTGATTTTTAAGGTAAATGTAAAAACCAGTGGGGACAAGACTGTTTCTAGAGGGGGGTTTGTCATGAAATAGGACCTAATTGGCCTATTTCCATAACCTAGGGGGTTAACTGCAATTTAGAGTATCAGTTGGCTATATATATTCAGAAGTGTACTGAAAACGAATTATGAAAAAGATGAAGAATTGAAATGAAAATGTGTTTTCTCTTCGGGGCTTCTTTGAAACCCTAGTTTTCCCCCGCCGTTTCTCCTTTTTTTCCAATTAGCCCTTCCGATTAAGTCGATAAATCGCGGTGCATTACAATAGGGTTGAGATGTGAGGCGGTGCCTGGGCTGAAAAAATAAGACAAGTCTAACTCAAAAAAAACGTTGGGCTTGCGGGGGAGTATTAGAGAGTCCTAATCCTACATCGCTGTTGAAAGATTCTAAGTATCAATATATAAATTTTACGGGTTATTCCTCTTATTACTAATTGGTTTTGAGATATTCTAAGTATCAATATGTAAATTTTACGGGTTATTTCTCTTATTACTAATTGGTTTTGAGATAGAACACATGCGCTTCTGTAGCTAGTACTAATTGTACCCCAAAAAAAGCAACCAAAAAAAAAAATTGATACTACTTGAATCACTGAAAACATTGTGATCAGATATGTACTAATATAAAAACACTGATATGTGTGGATATTGGATAATGGATATGGCCAAGAAGGCAAGAAAGAATCACAGACCGAACGTGGGGCCCCGGAGAAATTAGGAAATGTTCCGATGACTACAAAAATCAACATAGAAGAAAGTCGTCGCTTGCGTAATGGGTGCAAATGTATGACGCATATAGCGAACGAGAGCTTTCAGTTTCATGCACTTCCAATAATGTTTGTCTGGAAAAAAATGGCTTTCCTATTTTAACGTATTTTTATTCTACAAGCATAAGTAGCAGTAATTTTATTTAAACAACTAAAACACCATAACAAAGAGAATACTAATAACAAGAAAAGAAACCTCCTCATAGTTCATATCACACAAAAAATAGCAACAATGTCCACTGATGGTGATCTGCATATAGAGCAAGACATATATAATAGGAATAAAATTTTTATTGTCGTTTATGTGATGCTTCATTAAAGTAGCAAAAGATTTTATATAACACTTTTGTGTTACATTTGATAGCACTGATTAAATAAATGATACATATTTAATTGCTTTATTTATATGCGTCCACTCACAATTTAACTAAGGTATTATTGTTAACAACAATGATACGTGCTAATTATTTAAATGATAATGATTCGTACGGGAAAAAATAACAAGGAAAAAATGATAAGAAATTGATCATAACCATTTATTTTTAACACTTTCTATTTGGGGTTTAAGTATTGAGTCCGTATCCAGTGTACCCGGGTATACCGTATACCCCCACCAAACACACACGCTACACACGCTCAACATTTTTCACCTTTACATTAAATGCACAAATAAAATTATTTTCATCCATTTTACTGTTTTCATCCTCACGCACAAATACACACAATTGCTGGTTATCCATAATTTATTGATTATCCATAATTTTGTTACTGATTATACACTAGATCTGAACTGGTTATCCATGTTTTCCTATGTGTGCTATGTGATGGTTGTCCATGCCATAATTGCTGGTTATCCACCCATTTCATAATGGTTATCCAGAAGGTGTAAACTGGTTATCCACAAGGCGTAAACTGGTTATCTAGAAGGCATAAACTGGTTATCCACAAGTTATAAATTGGTTATCCAGAAGGTGTAAACTGGTTATCCAGAGGTAAAGAAGCAAACGACATGTTAATTGGGGTTCGCCCCCCCATGATAAACTAAACGACTCCCGCGGCTACCGGAATCGCGGGTCACCAACCTGCCCCGGCTGCGCCGCCCCGCCGAACACGCCAATGTAGCTAAGGTAATCCTTTTTTCGTGTGGGTGTAAGGAGAGTGTGTTATTGAGTTAAGAGGGGACACAAATTACTTGTATAAATCCCCCCGTGATAAATTAAACGACGGCTTGCAGCCGTGCAAGGCCATCGTGCGCCGCCCCGCCGAACATGGCAAATTTCATAAATAGTATTTAATTGAATGAGGGGCATTTTGCCGAATTATGGAGAACAAAAAAATGAATGAGGGGCAGTTTACCAAATGATGGAAATAAGGTACGTTCAATTGTGTATAACTAATTATCCATATTGTCAATACTGGTTATCCAACTGTGTATAACTAATTATCCATAGTGCCAACACTGGTTATCCACATTGAGAACACTGGTTGTCCATAGTGTATAGATGGTTATCCATAGTGTGCACACTGGTTATCCAGCTATGTTTAACTAGTTATCCATAGTGTGCACACTGGTTATCCACAGTGTCAATACTGGCACAGTAAGATTGTTCGATGGATTTCCTACCACTACATTCCGCATTCATCAAGCCGGAATCCTCAACGAGATAACTCATCACTTGATCTAAACTTAGCATATCGTCGATCCAATCATCATTTTGCCACTCTGGTGGAATCGGAGCCTTTCCTCGATCGCTGAACGTCATCGCCGTCTCAACGACTCGATCACCGCGGCCGTGTACACCTCAACGCCTCGATCTCCGACTCCCATTGCCGCCTCAACGCCTCGATCACCGCCGGCCGTCGCCCAGTAATAATACTCCATCACAAAGTTTTCAAAATTTGAATGAATTCGGTAATTTATATATGTTGCGTTTAAAAAAAAAAAAGAAAAAGAAAGCTGAATTATCTAACGAGCTCACGCTATTCTAAGAGAGTAAAGTACACGCGTAGCCCCACGGTGCCCCCGGGTCTACCAGATAATTTGCCTAAGTATTTAAAATTAGAATATAATTTAGATGATTGACAATTCATTTCTCGTAAAATTTTCATGCACTTATCATTACTTTTATTTAAACAATGACAAACAAAAGTATCACACAAGACCCGAAACCTTTATTAAAATGTGCACTTGACGTAGTCGTTCATTTCGTTGACAATTTCCGGGGGGTGTTGGGGGAGACTGCAGTATGTTTGTAAAAGGCCAAACAAGAAAGCTCCACAACATTGATTAACCAAATTCCGTAAAAGAAATTTGGAATAAAAAACTATTACACACGTAACAGACAAAAATATTAACTAATTAATTAATTATTAGTTAGAAAGAAATACACGACTCACTTGTATGTTTCTATCTTACGAAGTGGTCCTGATATGAGGGTTGCAACTTGCAATTTGGGTTGGAAAACAATACTACTTCTTTGACCAAAAGAAGAAAAACAATACTCCAAAACAAAGAATTTCGAATATGGCCAAACTGGAGTCTCCGTTTCCTGGTTTGTTCAATGAATACAAACTGTGTACAATCAGCTCCAACTAAATCAACATCCGGTGTCATTCTCCATTTCTCCATTCCGATTTCGGAATAAACGTAACGACAAGAATCGGTTCGCAATGAGGGGTCAGGGTTGTCGGTCGACATAATTGCTGCATTAAAATGTGCCACACATTTCTGTTATCCCGAGTAACTTTGCCCTAATGTAGTCTCACATTATCTTTGACTCATAGTCCCAATAATCGGGAATGGGGTTTATCACGCGTTATTAAAGGGCTTAGTTTGTGTACTTATTATAGGTTACACTTTCAATTCATATTATTTCGTATTAATAAAAATGAAGCTATTTTTTTCTAAAATTGAAATATTCAATCTCTCCATCACAGAGAAACAAGTTATTTTAATTGTTATATTGATAAGATAAAATAATCACTTTATAAGTTTATAGAACAGCCAGAAGTTCGTGAAGTTTGCGCACGTTAATTGGCGCTCCGAGTAATGTAGGATGTCGCTGTAATAATTTTGTTCCACGGTCGGACTATATATTAAGTCTAGAGTCTAGACCCTCATTAGGCTTGGTGATATTCTAGTGGAGAGTATTTGGTAACAGGCGGCAGGATTTACATGTTACAAATTCGATATGACACTATGAAATGTTTTTTTTTTTATCTTAAAAAATAGTTTATATTGAATTTTAATATTTTTATATTATATTACAAATTCGATATGACACTATCAAATACTCCCTCCGTCCCATAATTATTGTCCACTTTGCCCAAAAAATTTTATCCCAAAATTATTGTTCAATTTGACTTTTTATGGATCAAGTTACACATTTTTCCTTAGTAAAAAACATTATCCATAAAATCTTAGTGGTTAAACAATTACTTATGTAAGGGTATATCCGGTTGTTTAAGGTAAACTATAGTTAAGTTTGACCAAAAATAAAATTTTTCATTTTAGTAAAACTGGACAATAATTATGGGACGGAGGGAGTATACTTTTTCTATTCTAAGAAAATAAAATTTAGATTATTTTTTCGAACATAGATAATAATATTATTTAAGTCATGTTTTTGAAATCCATGCTCTTATTATTTACAACCTTTTTGAAACATGAGCGTAGGTCTTAAAAAAATTACTTTTCCATTTCAATTTGTAGGTCGTTTTAGGTTTAGAGACATAGGTCGTTTTATAAATTCTAGGCAAAAATTTCTAATTTTACCCTCAATAAATGATGCTAATTTATTTTCATTTAGTCTTGTTTATAATTTTAATGTAATTAATGAGGGATAAAACATGTATTTAACAGATAAATTAATTATTGAATAATTATTTTCTTAGTTTACGTGCAAACTCTAAAGTGACTTACATTTTGAAATGGAAAGAGTAGTTCTTTGTTAATTTAATAACAAAGTTACAAGAATTCGCAAGTTGCCTAGTTTCCTATAACATGTTTATAATTCAGCTAGAAGATCAAGTATTTATTTTATGACTGTCAACATCTAGCGATTCGGGCAAAAAGAAATTCCTCAAATTTCTCTTCATTTTTATTTTTATTTTTTTGAAAACGACGGTAAATTTGATCATAGCTATAAATTAATCTTAATAAATCCGCGAGTTTCTCTCCTCTTTCATCTATATAAATGATAGCAAGCTAGTCAGCAACTAATGTATCTTTCTCCTTCACAACCAACCGAAGTCCAAAGGCGTAGCAGATCCATCGTAAGGGACTACGTCGAATGTAAGTTCTGACATTCTGTTTGCAACCTATCCCCCATATGGTTTAATTCAATCATTCACTTTTTTTTTCCAAGTCTTTTAAGTTATCAGAAAAAAGAATTTTCAGTTATCTTCCGACATATGCATTTAATTAATTATTTTTGGCACGATCATCGTATTTATTGCAGATAAATTAAGTTAACAGAAGTTGAAATGCTTTGAGATGTTAATATCTCTTCGTTCTTGCTTGTAAGGTAAATTTTTTTGTGTGCGCGTAGTCCTAATATCACAAGGCTTCTCCAATAACCAGGGTACCTTTTTCCCTAAAAAGGAAAAAGAAAAAAAAATCCCTCCAGCTACAAACATATTCCCGTTACCGACCAATGGAGACGGTAATGTACAATGTAAATTTATTTGGGATATTTTACAGAAAATTATTTGGTACAGCTAATGTATCCTGATTTTTAGTGCAGCAAGTACTAACACCTTTTTATTTTGGTGTTATAATTCTCGTAGAAATTATCTCTCTCCCCCAAAATTATTACTTTACCCCTGTTATTGTATCTGGCTGCACAATCCTACATGATACAGCAGTTGCACTGAATGCTGAATAAATTCTCAATATTGATGTTGGTTTAAGAATGATAATGAAATTATCTAATTTCATTAATTCTACAATTAGTTCTTTGGGATAATTTTGAATATTGATGTTGGTTTAAGAACGACAATTGAATCAACTAATTTTACAAAATTAGTTCTTTATGGCTTTAGGATTGGAGAGTGTTCCGAGATTTGCGTGGGTAGGATGCGGTCACAAATTGCACCATTTGTTCTCTCCTAGCTAGTTAGATACGTGATTTAGTTTGGGCGTTTGTTTATTTGCATTGGATATTTTCCGCCCTAACGGCTTATTGATTTACATACATTTGGATTGTTCTGAATTTTTTCCGTAAAAAGACTTGGGAGCTAGCTAGGGCCAAGAGTGAACCAAAACTAGTAAGTAAACGTCTGCTAGCTGTTGTCCAGTTGTATTTGATACTTTTTGACTGCCAAAATGAGATGTGACATGAAAAGCTTATCTCCATGATTGGACAAAACTAATATTAAAATATGACTTGAAATTAAGGAAGTCAATGTATTATTGTTACAAATTTCTCTCGATCATATTTATGAGACACATATTAAAATTGAATTCAGCTTAAATTAATTTGTATATTGTTATAAGACCGGAGGGAGCATTTTATAATAATAATAATAATAATAATAATAATAATAATAATAATAATAATAATAATACCTCCATTTCATTTTATTTGTCGCATTAGGGTAAAACCAAATCTTCTTTTTATCTGTCATTTTTCATTCCCAAAATGTATTTAATTTATTTTTTCTAATTTCACTCTTATTTCTCTTCGGTTTTAATCGGTCATATCAATAACAATTACTTGTAGTTTAATTTGCTGCATATATTCCCAATACAATTAATTAATAATAAAAAAGTCAATACATATAAAATTATATTCCCAAACATGTTTTTCTTAATTTGTGTGTTTGTCTGCGGCAGATAATATGAAATGGAGGTAGTAATAAAAGTAGCGAAAGCCTTTACATTAAGTAATTAAAATCATGCGTGAATAAGAAACACATTTAATATCGTATTACAATAATACATTGAACAGTGAATACTTAACTTCAAATTTTGTTATAACTCATAATGAATTATTTTTATGGGTGTCGGAATTGAGCAGTTCATCCAAAATGGCGCACCACCTGCCATTAGAAGCAGCTCCAAGGAACTTTATTCTGAAGCTGAAAACAAACTGCACAAAATGCGAGAGTAAGCTGAAGAAGTTTCTATTACGTACACCAGGGGTCCATTCTGCAAAGATAGATGCACAGCAAAAGACGTTGTCAATCTCCGGCACCATGGATCCTTCCACTGCAATAATGCTAATTGAGAAGAGATTCCGCGGTCTCAAGGCGGAGCTTTTGTGGGATGGCCAGCAAACGGACGGAAATGATGTGCAAAATGTTGTTGCTGAATTAGCCCAACTGGAAAGATTCTCGGGGATTGAAGGCTTAGAATCGGTTGAAATCAAGTTGAGTTTCAAAGGCCAAAACCGGAATCTGATCAATGGCGACCGAAATATGGAAGTAATGTTTCAGAACGAGGCAGCTAGGAATCAGAATCACCGTCATGATCAAGTTCTTGGCTTCCCCTTGAGTCCGCTGGTGGGACCCCCATCGCCATGGTCCGGTGGTTACAGTCCATCAGCACCGCCTATCTGGAGGGCATATTATGATGCCCCACCTCCTCCTCCTCCCCCGGAAAGGTATACTCCCATTTTCAACCCATTCAGTGATGAAGCTACCACTTGGGGCCGCTGTTGCATTATGTGAAGTGATGATAAAAGTTTGGCATATCTTGAATGCTTTTGTTTGTATTGTCGCGCCTGTTCGTAGCGCGCTTTGAATGTATTATTTCTTTGGCATTTTGTGTGCATCTGTAATATCTGTCTTAATCATAAGTCACAAATTTAAATTAAAGTTAATTTGAATTTGTGTCTTATAATTAAAAACTAGAAGGAATAAATGTCTGATATTCAAAAAGTTTGTTGTACGTAGCCAATAAATTGTCATTTGATTGATGAAGAAATCATATAAGTTCCTTTTTTCGTATTTGTCATTCATCCATCCTTTTTTTTTTTTTTGTTTTTGATTAACGTCATTCATTCATCTTTGATTGTTGATTCGTGCATTCAAATTTTCAGATCGTCATCGATCTAAGTCAGTTTTCTACACCATGCAGGATGTATTTATATGTATATCACACGCAATCAATTTATATTATTTCAAGAACTGTTAACAAAAATATTCATCATTTTAAAGTGTTATGATGACAATTAATGACATTCCTTATACAAAAGTTTGGCGCTAGCTAGACAACATGGAGGGTCAGGCAGGGCCGTCAGGCACGTACCACATTTCATTTTCTGCATAGCATTACGTGGAGAAATTTAAAGGAGCTTTATTGTTAATCAACCGAGAGAGAGACAAAGCACTACATATTCTATGATGGACAACATTAATAATCTACCTCGTTAGTTACTCTAATTGAAATAAGAGATAGTATTTACTCCCTGTCTACATTAATTTTATACAAATCTAAATACTCAAGTAAGTTATTTTTCAGGATGAAGCAAATATATCATTAGTTCCTTCTTGATCAGTCGTATATATTATCTACAATACACGTTGCCTTGAAAGCGAAAGGTACATTTTCTTACGGAAATATCCAACTTTTCCTTCCATTCTTTTAGCAATTCAATCAAAAAGTCCCCAGAGATCAACTTATTTAGGGGGCGTTTGGTTTGTGTTTAGGTTTCACTATGAGATTGGGTATAATAAAAGGGTTTACAATATGCATACCCGTTCCAAACAGTTGTTTGATTTATAAATTAGATTTAGGTATTATTATATTTGATTTATTAAATTAATGGCACAAAACTTAACAATGAAATTTAAAAATGAATAAATATTATCATCAAATTAAACAAAAATTTTATTTTTTTTAAAAAAACTTAATTAGCTTGAATCTAATTTTACTTTTTTGTGCATATTTCTGTTTCTCTGAAAGATTCTGCAGCGAACATAATCATGAGAGCGAATAAATGTCATTGAAATCCAAATTTAAACACCAAATAATAAAATAAAAAGAATTCAAACGACACAAATATTCATTGCGGGCATGCGCCATCAAATTATATTGTTTCATGCATCATTAGCAGAATTATCCACATTTTGAAGCTCTATGGTGTATTGGTGACGACTGACCACTGACGATATTCGTCATACACAAGTTTGGTGCTAGCTTGACAACATGGAGGATCAAGCACGTGTGACATTTCATTTTCTCCAAGCATGCATTATGTGGAGAAATTAAGAGCATTATTGTCAACCCAAAAGAAAAAAAAAAGAAAAAAGAAAAAGAAGAGAATTATTATCTATTTTATGAATTTATGATGGATCGTATTCATATTTGATAGTCCACAACATTAGTTACTCTAATGGAATTAAAGAAACTACGGAAATGACTTGAACATGATCTCGTCAGAATTTCATATTTACGACATGTCTTAATTTCTTGTAATTAAGTTTCGGCCTCTCTTATTATAAAAAAAAAACTAGAGAAATAAGAAAATATCAAATCCCTCCTCAGTTGGATATGCATCTACACTACAATACACGTTGTCCTGAAAGCGAAAGGTATGCATAAAGAAAATAAGCCAACTCCAACTTTACTTCCACTAATTTAGTATTAATTCAGTCAAAAGGCTGGAAATATTATCAGATCAACATTTATTATGTGGTTATTAATAATAATAACTAAACATTTATCAAACAACCCCAAAACTTTAACCTGTGGATGTTCTTCTTTCCTTTACTTTCTTAAGATCATTCGCCTATATATGACTTATCTATATAGTAATTCATATCTTTATCTATATCTACGTAAGAGATGATGTAGGATGATTTTATTGCTTTGCGACAAGAGATGGTTCATTGTAATCTCTGTGTCCTACTAGTTCTTACTTACGGTGACGACGTGATAAATGGTATAATTCGGGTGAACTTTCTTAATTTGCATGGGTCGATCTCTCCATAATAATAAGGTTCATGGTTCATATCTTTGCCGTCAATGAGTATGAGTAAATTAAAAAAAGACTTTGGTGCGCCAGTTTTTTCCGTTTAAAGTGTAAACAAAATTAGCAAGTAAACCACCCCCATGCCCCCATTAGTAAGTAAAGACATAAGAGCCTATAAGACTTAAGAAGAGGTCATTTTTTATAATTTTTAGTTGGCCCTCAAAATCAATATTCTACAACTTTCTGTTTGCCATGTGATAAAACACTTCTCCCACATCGGTATCATGAGAGACTTTGTATCAATATATAAGTTACATGGACTACTCCTCTCATTGCTAATTGGTTTTGAGGTAGAACCTCATGGGCTTCTATATGGTATCAGAGCGGGTCAGGCCCAAGATTATAATAGGCGATTGGATTGATTTAAGTTCATGCCTACTGGGCCGGAGGCAATCGGACTAACCCATTAAAATATCGAGTGATCTAGTCCATGCCCGTTGGGCCTGAGGGGATGATAAAACACTTATCCCACATCGGTGTCATGAGAGACTTTGTATCAATATATAAGTTACATGAGTTACTCCCCTCATTGCCAATTGAAGGTAGAACCCCATGGTTTCTATACCAAACAATGAATGTTAAATTTGTATCAATATACAAATTACATGGGCTACTCCCCTCATTGCCAATTAGTTTTGAGGTAGAACCCCATGGGCTTCTATACCATGACAATGAATACAATTTAAGAGAGGAAACATTATAAATCTTTTTGTTTTCCTAGTTATCATTTATAAATCTCTCGTGTCTTAATTTCCTAATAGAAATCGATCAGCAGTACATGTTTCATCAAATTAATGGCGAACTCAATGGACTTGGTTACTTCGAAGAAGTACATTCTCAGGGTGAAAACGCACTGCGGGAAATGCGAGAGCAAGCTGAAGAAATATATATTAGGAATTGCAGGAATCAGTTCTGCAAAGATGGATGAGAAGCAAGGAACCATGACTATTTCAGGCAGCCTGGATCCTTTCTTCAACTATATGATGCTAATCGAAAAAGGGTTCGGCCTAAAGACTGAACTTTTGTGGGAGCAAAAAAAACCTTCTCCCTCAACAAATAATGGCGGCAGCAACTCTTCACAAGATGAAGTTAATGCAGCTAAATCAAGAAAGGTTGATGATCATCATGATCCGCGAGTCATTGTTGTGATAGCCCAACCGGAAAATCTCTCAGGGACCAAAGTGTTGGAATCGGTTGAAATCAAGTTGAGTTTCAAATCCCAGAACGGTGATGTGATCGGTAACAAGAATGTGGAGCTAATGATTAATCAGAAAGAGGTTGACAATAATTCTGACCACCATCAAAAGGCTAAAACCTCCGTTAATACCGCTTCCGCCGCGGCCGGCGGCGGGCTTTGTGGTGCATCTACTTCTTGTTGCGGCAATCATCATCATCACCGCCGTGTTGTGGATGTGGATCAGAATCCGAACAAGGGATTTGTTTGAGGTTTCTGTGGGAATCATGCGGCTACAGGTTATCCCATCTTTTACATGGGGCCGAATGGTGGTGCCGGGGCCGCCACCGCCGTGGTGGTGATAGTCCATCAGCCCCTCCTATGGGTGGGTCTGGATACTATGATTATTATTACCCACACCCTCCTCCTCCTCTTCCTCCGGGAAGCGACACTTCATTTTTTAATCATTTCGGTGATGAATATCCTTCCGGCAGCTACCACACATTATTTAAGGAATTTACCTTCATCGTCTTGATTATGATTTTTCTCCGGGTGGCTTGCGTGCATGTATTTTTGTTTTCACACTCTGTGCAATTAATTGATGTAAGGTTGTTTCTTCATCTTTGTTTGTCCAATAATTAATGTTGATTTGTTCAGATCCTTTATTTGATTTAAACGGTCCCCCACTTCTTTATTTGGTTTGATTTATCCTAAAATCAGACGCCTCTACAATTATTATTAATCATCTATATTGTTTTTGAAGATGATTTGTCATCTATATGATTAAAAAAATTTTGTTTGCTTCAGTTTGCATGCATGAATCGAATAATAGGTAATCAAACTTTACTAGCACCTTGAATTCAATGCGTACTCATTCTCCCTCATTTTCAAAATCTAAGTCATTTTGTACCAAAAAAAAAAAAAATCTAAATCATTTTTATCGACATGCACTTGGTCCAAGTGGTAAAGGCATTGGGCTAGTTTAATTATGACCCGTGTTCGAACCGGGACATAGGCATGCAACAGTGATTATAATACTTGTTGGGAGAGTTTTGTCTCCGAAAGGGACTTATTCGACTCGAATTCGGATTAGTCGAAGCAATGATTTCGAACATCGAATGCATAATATATTCAAAAAAAAAATTAAGTCGTTTTAGACTTTGTAGATAAATTAAGAAAATAATTATTCAATAATTAAGTTATTTGTCAAATATATCTTTTACATTCCTTAGTAAATGTGTTGGAATTATAAACAAGATTAAATAAAAAAATTAGTATCATTTATTAAGGATAAGGTTAAAAAATTAATAATTAATATATCTTAAAATTCTTAAACGATCTATATTTTTTTTGAATATATTTTCTCTTAAATAATGTACTCCCTCCGTCCCATAATTATTGTCCACTTTGCCCAAAAAATTTTGTCCCAAAATTATTGTCCAATTTGACTTTTTATGGCTCAAGTTACACATTTGTCCTTAGTAAAAACATTATCCATAAAATCTTAGTGGTTAACCAATTACTTATGTAGGGGTATATCCGGTTTTTTAAGGTAAAATATAGTTAAGTTTGACTAAAAATAAAATCTTTCATTTTAGTAAAACTGGACAATAATTATGGGATAGAGGGAGTATATTTCAAAAAGTACTAACGAATTGACAATAGTTACACATTGATGCAATCAAAAAGGGAAGCTAAGAATCAGCACTACACTTTTTAATTAAGTTGACCCTTTCGGAGGGAGAAAGATGAGAAAATATAAAATAGTGCAGTGAACAGAGCACCCAGGCTCGAAGACAAAGAACGGAGGCTACTGGATGATCATAAACCCGTCGAAATCTTGTACGGCGTGAGCTAAACTCAAAGCACCACCAGTGGCAAGTAGCAAGGAATTGATCTGCATGCCACCGGTTTAAACTGTTTGGAAGCATTTTAGGATGTTAAGGGTATGTTTGTTTCGTTTTTTTAGTATGTGTTTTTAGGTATTTTTTATATTGGTAATGTAAAAAGATGTATTAAAAATGTAAAAATGTATGTTGGGATATGATATTTATTATTTAAATATTTTAAAAATACCATTAAAAAGGTGTGCTCGGATGGGATAATTAACACTATACAAAAATACTATTTTTTTCTGAATAAAAATTTACTTTCTTATATTTTACTATTTTAATATAACAAAATTATAAAATTTTTCTGGAGCGTGCGGATAGCAAAATTATAAACTAAGTAAACTATTAAAATGAGTACTGATACATGTAGGAAAAATTTACTTATAATTTTAATATGGAATAATATGGTTGAATTTTAACTATTCTTTAACTTTTAAATACTTAAACTCATAAAGGTAAAATTTAACTATAGACAGTTATAATTCATTTCTTATATATTTCTTTTTTAAATTTCGCTTCAGAAATCGTATTCTATTCATTATGTGTGAACAGTAAAAGAAAAGTGTATTTAAGAGTTGGAAATTAAGGAAACACTAAGGTTTAAGAGCTTCAACACTCACATCCATCGAATTTCGTATAACACCATTACTTCAGTTAAGCTCTAGAAGCTGCCTTTTCATATCTTTCAAGCTCAAATACATTATACATGCCTAGTTCTTATTATTCAAGGACGGAATATAATCGACAACATCATAGCAGCACAAGAGACAATCCACTCTATGCGCACCACAAAGGGCTTGGCAGGATGGCTGGCCATCAAAATCGATTTAGCCAAGGCATTTGACTGCATCAGCTGGGAATAAATACAGGATACACTATCAGATGCTAAGATCCCACCAATCCTGTCCAACATCATAACAAGTTTACTGAATACCGGGACAACACGAATCCTATGGAATGGTAAATTAGGAGAAGAGTTCTCACCAAACAGAGGGGTGAGACAAGGAGACCCCCTGTCACCGTATCTTTTCGTTCTAGGAATGGAACGTCTTTCACAAGCCATAGATGAAGAAGTGCAACAAGGCCGTTGGCGCCCAATCCCCTTCGGTAATGGTCAGGTAACAATCTCACACCTATTTTTTGCTGACGATCTGATTCTCTTTGCAGAAGGTACCATGGAGCAAGTAAATGTCATCCACAACACCTTACGTCTTTTCGGTCAAGCATCAGGACAAACCATCAATAAAAGCAAAGCAGTACTTTACTGCTCACCTAATGTCTGCAAATCTATGGCAGCTTCGCTAAGCAACAAGCTAAACATCAAACTGGTGGATAACCTGGGAAACTATCTAGGAATCCCAATAATCCACAACAGGTTACTCAAGAAATCCTACTAGCCCTGGATCTGTAAGGTTAGGCAAAGAACCAAACATTGGAACCCGAAAAGAATCAGTATGGTAGGACGACTAACACTCTGCCAATCTTTCCTAGCCTCACTACCCATCTATATTATGCAAACTCAAGCCATCCTAAAAGGTGTAAGCGATGAAATAGATAGAATAAGAAGAGACTTTCTATAGGGCTCTGTTCCTGGTGAGAAAAAACTATATGTAGTTTCCTGGAATTCCGTATGGCAACCAAAATCCGGGGGAGGTCTAGGCCTCTGAAAGTTAAGGGAAGTCAACAAAACCTTCATGCTAAAGTTGGCATGGGAGCTACTAAGCAATAGACAATGCTGGTGGACCTCAATATTCAAAGCAAAATACACAATCAACCCAAGATACCCAATGCAGCAAACTCAAACAAGGAATGGATCTCACCTTTGGAAGTAGCTGTCACAAGAATAAATGGCGGTAATTCAAGGTACCAGATGGTTGATTGGAGACAGGAAATCCGTGTCCTTCTAGAATGATAACTGGCTCGACATGGAAAACCCAATCAAACACCACGCCACATAGCCAATCCCTGAGGAGCTCATTCATAAAGAAGTCAAGGATTTCATCGACAACGGAGGGAACTGGAAATGGAGCCTGATCCAGTCATGGACACCAGATGAAATCCAAAGGAAAATCAAGGCCATATGGACATGTTTTGGTTTGTGGCGGTACCACTTTTTATGCTTCCTCTACTTTACAGGCTGAAGCCCTTGGTTGTCTTCATGCGTTGGAAGTGGTGGATTCGTCTGCTTTGCCAGATATTTTTCTGTGCATGGATTGTTTGACGTTAGCACAGATGTATTTGGTCATTTGGAATGCTTTTCTTCTTTTACAGTTTGTAAAGTCCCTCGTCAGCAGGTCCAGAAATGCCATGATCTTGCTAGACAGGCTTCTTTTTCTCATGTTGATTCTGATTGACAAGTAGGTCTGGTTGTAATGTTGATGTCCTTATACATATAAAGCACTATGGTGCTGGTTTATCAAAAAAATAAATAAATAAATAAAAATGCATAGCTCTATACAGCATTTTGCAAGCATTATTATATTCACCTAATTGTAGGATTTGTTTTCATTATGCGTATCAGGAGGCAATCAACGATTGAACTTCATTCTTCAAGTATTTGAAGATCGATAATAACAACCTGTGGTGATAAGTACTTGTTAGATCCATATAAGAAACTAAACATTAAAGAAGACAGTGGGAAATTAGAAGACGGGCATGCGAGATACTTTAGACTAGAGTTAAGGCACTGTACATTAGGTTGGAGCTTTTATCATTCAAATTTACATGCAACATAGTCTGGAGACACTTGTAAGCTGTAGGAACTCGCAATAATTAATTAGATATTTTAGAAGACAGTTCTAAATTTTTCCATCTAACTACCTCATTTTGGGATGACATTCTCTATCACTATAAATGGCTTCGTTTAATAGATAAATATATAATATTTGTATCTTTTCCAATACCATGTTCAGATCTTGATTATGAGATGAAAGTAATAATTTTGTTCAATTTGCTCTTTTCCGTTTAAATTAACGGAATTCTATTTATTTTAATTATAAAAATACCCTAATAATTTTAAAACTTATAAAAATAACCCTGAAAATTTACAAAAATAATAAAATAATCTCTTTTCAGTTTTTGTTTAATTTTTTTTTTGTTTTTATTTCTTTTTAATATTTTCATAACTATAAAAATATACTATATGATTTTTTTAAAAAACAACTATTTATTTTTAAACTCTAATGTACAAATTTATAATTTGATATTTGTAAGTCATGTTTAATTTACATAAACATATTATTTTTTTAATAATATGATTTAACGGTAATGATATTATTTTTTAATCCATTTTTTTAGTCTAAAGAATAAGATTATTTAACTAAAACTAATTTTGCACAAAAAAATAACACAATTAGCATAGATTAAAAAAGAAGTTATTGGTATACTTTAATGTATTACAATTTAATTCAATAGACTTTATTTTCCGTATCTCACAAATTTTTTCTAAAAAAAATATTTTATGGATTAAAATAATAATAAAAATATTTAAATAATAAAATTTACACCAAAATAGTAAAATTAAATGTAAAGAATTTTTTAAATATAAAAATTTTTATTTTTTTCACTCATCGCGATTCCCAAGTAAAGCCCCCAAACCCCATTTTTTGATGTAGTAAAAAATGAAGATATCAAAATAATTCTTTCTCATTTTACCTTTAACTGTCTCTTTTACCCCTCCCTTGGTGTTATTTTCTTCTTCTTACTATTTACTTACTACAATAAAATTTTTTTAAAACAAAATTACAATAATCTTTCATGATTTATTTAGTTGAACTACTCAAAATATTACTTTTATGCAATTTTTTTTATAAAGAAAAGCAAAAGAGAAATTAAAACTCATATTTTCTCTTCATCTTCATCCCGTACACTAATCATGTCCTCTATCATCATCCTTTCACTACTATAACGTACATTGTTGGTTGGGTAAAGAAATCCCCAAACTAGTGGCTCGCGTAGTGATTTCCTTACCCAACCAACAATGTATGGGATAATAGTGAAAGGATAATGATAGAGGATATGATTAATGTACGGGATGAAGATGAAGAGAAAAGATGGGTTTTAATTTCTCTTTTGCTTTTCTTTATAAAAAAAAATGCATAAAAGTAATATTTTGAGTAATTCAACTAAATAAATCATGAAAGATTATTGTAATTTTCTTAAAAAAATTTTATTGTAGTAAGTAAATAGTAAGAAGAAGAAAATAACACCAAGGGAGGGGTAAAAAAGACAGTTAAAGGTAAAATGAGAAAGAATTATTTTGATATCTTCATTTTTACTACATCAAAAAATGGGATTGGGGGCTTTACTTACAGTGGGAACCGCAGAGAGTGAAAAAAAATAAAATTTTTTATATTTAAAAAATTCTTTACATTTAATTTTACTATTTTGGTTTAACTTTTATTATTTAAATATTTTTATTATTATTTTAATCCATAAAATATTTTTTTAGAAAAAATTTGGTGAGATACCGAAAATACCCATGTTTACTTGATATTGAAAGCACTCAAACTGTCGTAATAGTGTCAGAGGAACAAAAAAATTATGAACGTAAATGTAGTGGTCCATTTCAAACAAATGTTTAATGTAGATGACAAAAATGTACAGCTGACCTAATGTAAAGGACCAATTTCGGAGTTTTAATATTTCATTAATATAATTATTTTATAATTTAAATTTCATTATTATTATTATTTTATTCAATAAAAAAATCTTGGAAATTTTGTTTAAAATACCAATAATACCCCTTGTTGACCGACGTCCGAAACGGTCAAACTAACGGAACGATACCAGAGGACCAAAAAAGTTATGCACAAAGAAGTAAAGGACCAAAACAGGTAAATGTTCATATAGAGGACTAAAATGTGCAAATGGCCTAATATAAAGGACCAATTTTAGATTTTAGTCTTCTTTAAGTGAGGAGACTTAAAAACAGATTGTGAGAAAAGCGTAAGAAATCATTTCCTCTGCTCGTAAAATAAAAGATGAAATTATCCCATTTTCAAACTAGTTGACCGTATAAACAAAACCAACTTGGTCAACCTCAACAATTTCATTGGTTATTTCCCGGAAATGTATGATACAGATATCAGGTTGACAAATGCTGCTTCGGAACTACTCTTTCCCTGATTTAAACCTTTTTTACAACTTTCTCCTAATTCCATCACAATGATCAGTATGAAATCCGGGAAGGGGAGAACTCCGGCAATCGGAATCGACCTGGGAACCACGTACTCATGTGTTGGGTATTGGAGACACGACCGTGTTGAAATCATTGTAAATGATCAAGGTAACCGCACAACTCCGTCCTATGTAGCTTTCACCGATACAGAGCGCCTGATTGGTGACGCCGCCTTCAATCAAGTGGCCTTCAATCCCACCAACACCATCTTCGGTAGGTCATTTTTAACTAAAACCCCTTGTTTATTTCTCTGTTTTCTTACATATTATTTTGTTTTCCTTCCCCTTTTGGTGTCTGTCCAAATGAAATGACGATAAAAATAAGTCCTTTAGATACTACCTAGACTTTGCATAAGACTTTGGGTTGACTTTGATGAACTGGTAATTGATTGCTATAGCTACTGCTAGCAAACATTTATATTTTTCTGTTATCAGAACTCTGAATTGATTGATGTTTCTGCCGGAGGTAGGGACATTTTTTTTTTGTTTTGTGCTTATCTGAGAACAGGATTCATCATCTTCCTTAAAAGAAAAAACGAATGGAACTACTAAAGATTTTTGACCTGAGAATGTATACCACAATAAACTTCCAAAAGGACAAATTGGTTACATTGGCCGGTCATCAATTTCAGTTTCCAATATGCTATATTTATATTGAGGAACATTGTTTAACATTAGTGATTATTTATTTGATGCCAGAATCTTTGCATTGTAGATGCTAAGAGGTTGATCGGTAGGAGATTTAGTGGTGAGACAGTACATAGTGATATGAAGCTCTGGCCATTTAAGGTCATTTCTGGTGCTAATGATAGGCCGTTGATTGTTGTCACCTACAAAGGTGAGGAAAAACATTTCGCAGCTGAGGAAATCTCCGCCATGGTTCTAACCAAGATGAAGCAGATTGCCGAGGCCTACATTGGATCAGAAGTGAAGGATGCAGTTGTGACCATCCCTGCCTATTTCGATCATTCACAGCGTCAAGCCACAATTGATGCAGGGGAAATTGCAGGCATCAATATTCTTTCTACTATCAATGAGCCGACAGCCGCTACAATTGCTTATGGCCTCGAAAATAGCTCCAGCATCACCGGAAAGAAGAGGACTGTTCTTATATTCGACCTCGGTGGTGGTACTTTTGATGTCTCAATCCTCACTGTCAAAAGTGGTAGCATCGAAGTCGAGGCCACCGCGGGCGATACTCATCTTGGAGGAGAAGACTTTGACAATAGAATGGTAAACCACTTCATCAAGGAATTCAAGAGGAAGCACCACAAGGATATTAGTACAAATCTCAAATCAATCCGGAGATTAAGGACTGCTTGTGAGAGGGCTAAAAGAATTCTTTCATCTTGTGGCGAAACAAAAATCGACATTGACTCCCTGTTCCAAGGCATTGACTTCTCCGCAACTATCACCAGGCCTAAATTTGAGGACATGAACTCTGATTTATTCACCAAGTGCATAGAGATAGTCGAAAAGTGTTTGATGGATGCTCAAATGAATAAGAATGCTCTCGATGATGTTGTCCTAGCAGGTGGTTCGAGCAGGATCCCGAAACTCCAACAAATGTTACAGGACTTGCTGAATGGGAAGGAACTCTGTAGAAGCATCAACCCGGATGAAGCCGTGGCTTACGGTGCAACTATTCAAGCTGCAATGTTGAGCAGTCCCGGTGGCGAGAAGGTTCCGAACCTCGTACTTTCAGAAGTTACCCCGTTATCTCTTGGTTTTGAACTTGGCGGAAACGTCATGGAAGTTATGATTCCTAGGAATACTACCATCCCTACTAAGGTAATAAGACAGTTTTCAACTTCGACCACGACTCACAATGACCGTTCTGTGTGGCTTAAAGTGTTAGAGGGTGAGAGAACCAGATCAACTGACAACAATTTGTTGGGCCAAATCAAGCTGGATAACATTCAAATAGCCTCCAGTGGAGTCCCTCGAATTGAAATCTGCTTTGACCGACAAGTGAATGGCATCTTGAATGTCTCAGTGAGAGATATATATACCGGCGTGGAGAACAGCTTTAGTATCACAAGTGGGAGATTAGCAAGAAATGAAATAGAGAAGATGATAAATGCAGTCAACAAGTTTAAGGCAAGTGACGAGAAGCATTGGAAGAGATATGAAGCACATCGTGGGTTTGAGGACTATGTTAGACGGATGAGGCAAAACGTAAGCCACGGCAACCTGTCTTGCTCTGACAAAAAGAAGGCCGACGATGCGATTCAGAAGGCTTTTCAATGGCTGGAAAAGAAAAGCGCCAGGAAGCTTGGTCAAGTAAGTGAATATGAAAAGAAGTTGAAGGAATTGGACCAACTGATAGGGAGAATCGTTGAAGCAGATCGGTGAACAAGAGCTGGGATCACCAATTGAAATTTGAAGACTTTGAGTAAAAGACCAGTTTTTGTCTAAATTGATTATTGTGATTGATCGCTCTTCTCTATTTTCTGATCACTGTGAATTTGTGATTCCTGAAGAAAGAATTAAACAAGAGGGAAGAAGTAGATTTAAACTTCAAAGGAAAGTGTAAACTCTTCATTTTTACCCCTTTCTGGATTGCCTTGGCTGACATGAGTTAAAGATTGTGTTGTACTACTGATTATTATTAACTGAAATTGAACTAAACCAAACACTACCAATCATAATGATTCACATTCCAGGATTCCACAACTGGAATGAAGCTACGCACTGGTCTCGACAGCAGCTTCTTCTGAGGAATGAACAGAGACTATTAATAAAGGGTTCGATTCATTTTGCTGAACAAATTTCACTTAACTAGCAATCACCAACACACTTCATCAATCATCTCCATTTTGGTTCTATAATACGGCTATCAAACTGCGAAAATCCTCCCCCTCCCAAAAAAAACAGAGTCAAATACCGCGTAAGACATTTACGTGAGAGCGACGTTATAAATGCACAATAATGCGTCTGGAGACGTTGCATATGTGAAATCGTTGATTTTGTTCAATATTCTGCCTTACTCTTAAAAAAATGTCACCATGTGATGGCACACACTTAAACCTGAACCAATCTGAGAAGGCCATTCCTATTTATTCCCCCAAAAAGATTTGACTTATAATTGCAAATATGACGCGGCATAGCCATTATTTATTTTTTATTGGATGGTTCCCTACATAAAAACTTGGTACTTTCCCTGAATGTATAATGAAGATGCCTGGTTGACCAAAACCAGAAACAGGGTATATAATACTTCCTCTGTTCATCCTTAACATTTCTATCTCAGTCTGTCTACTCAGTAACAATCATGCCGAATCCAAGGGTCTTCTTTGACATTGCCATTGGCGGACAAAATATCGGCAGAATCATCTTCGAGCTCTCTGCAGACACAACTCCCCTGACTGCCGAGAACTTCCGTGCCCTGTGCACCGGGGAGAAGGGGGTGGGAAATTCCGGTAAGCCCTTGCATTACAAGGGATCAATCTTCCACCGTGTAATTCCCGGTTTCATGTGCCAGGGCGGCGACTTCACCGCCGCCAGCGGCACCGGTGGGGAGTCAATCTATACGAAGAAGTTCGCCGACGAGAACTTCCTGAAGAAGCATACCGGGCCGGGTGTGTTATCCATGGCGAACTGTGGGCCCAACACCAATGGATCCCAGTTCTTCATTTGCACCGTCAAGACCCCCTGGCTCGACGGCAAAAGCGTGGTGTTCGGCCATGTGGTGGACGGCATGGACGTGGTGAAGGCCATCGAAAAGGTTGGATCAACCAGTGGGAGGACTTCCAAGCGAGTGGAGATCGTTGACTGTGGTCAACTTAACAGTAAGAATCAAGTGGATGATCATGTTTCGCGGCTTCCTGATTCCGATCATCGGAACGATCACATTGATGATCATGCTTCGCGGTTTCCTGGTTCCGACCATCGGAATGATTCGGGTTCTCAAAAGATTTCCGGTAAATTTTCAATCTTTTATGATATCAGTAACATAAACTTCAAAGACATTAAAAATTTTGACACAACCTAGGGGTTAATCGGGTTATAAAGTAGTCTTTTTGCTGGATAGGTCGTCAACTCCTTGCCTAAGGAGTAGACGCGGTTAGTCGATCTAGTTTTTAGCCTCCACATTATGTAAAAAAAAAAAATTAAAAAAAAAGAAAAAGAAAAAGAACATTAAAAATTGAACTGTTCAAAGTAATTTTTTTTTGGGTAAAAATTATTGGTTGACTTTTGACTTTTTTGTTCAGCGATGATTATTTATTGACCAAAAAGAAGGTTGACTTTTTTGTTAAGCAATAATTTTTCTTGTTAAATTTCGGTGAATTTGGTGGGAAGATGCAGAGAACCAGTTGACCAATATCGCTACGATGACTAAGATTATGATGTTGGTGTGAAATGTTCCTTCGTTAATTAAATTCAAACATTTTCTTAGTCTAGCTAATTGATTTGTTCTGCTTCCAAATTGCCATTATCCGATAGGTGGAAAATCCGGCAGTACTCCATCAATTGGAATCGACTTGGGCACAACATACTCTTGTGTGGGTTATTGGAAACATAATCGAGTTGAGATCATAACAAACGACCAAGGCAACAGAACAACTCCTTCTTATGTTGCTTTCACCGAGAATGAACACCTGATTGGTGATGCAGCTTTCAACCAAGTTACCCTGAATCCGATCAATACCGTTTTCGGTAAATATTTAAACCCGTGCTATAATCTTTCCTTTTCCTTTCAATTCTTATTACTTGATCTGTTGGAAACCCATTTCAGATGGATATTTCAGTTAAAAGCTTAACAACGAATCAACTGCATATATGTCTAACCATTAAAGTTGGATTTGCTAATGACTTTTATCTTATATCACCTTCTCTGCGCGTGAAATTTTGTTATCAAATAGAAATTTGGTTTGACACACCATTTTCAGCAGATAATGAGTTAACTAATATTGATGCCGAAGTCTTTTTGTTTATAGATGCGAAGAGGTTAATTGGTCGGAGATTTACAGATGAGACAGTACAAAATGACATCAAACTCTGGCCATTCAAGGTCATTTCTGATACTAATGACTGGCCAATAATTGTTGTCACTTACGAACGTGAGGAAAAACAATTTGCACCAGAGGAAATCTCATCCATGATCCTGACCAAGATGAAACATATTGCTGAGACCTACATTGGGTCAGAGGTAAATGATGCAGTTGTGACTGTTCCTGCCTATTTCGATCATTCACAGCGTCATGCCACAATGAATGCCGGAAAAATTGCAGGCCTTAATGTACTTCGCATTATCAACGAACCGACAGCTGCAGCTATTGCTTATGGTTTTGACAAGAGTTCAAGCATCACCGGAAAGAGGAATGTTCTCATTTTTGATCTTGGGGGTGGCACTTTTGATGTATCAATCCTTGCAATTGAAAGCAGCAAAATTGAAGTTAAGGGCACTGCCGGTGATACACATCTCGGGGGAGAGGATTTTGACGCCCGATTGGTGGATCACTTTATTAAGGTATTCAGTAGAAAGCACAATAAGGATATCAATGGAAATCCTAAATCAATCAGGAGATTAAGAACGGCTTGTGAAAGGGCCAAAAGGATCCTTTCTTCTTCTGCCGAGACGCGAATTGACATCGACTCCCTGTTTGAAGGCATTGACTTCTCAGCAACTATTACCCGACCCAAATTCGAGGAGCTAAACTCGGATTTATTTCTCAAGTGCATCGGAACAGTTGAAAAGTGTTTGACGGATTCCCAAATGAATAAGAACACTATAGATGATGTTGTCATGGTAGGCGGTTCGAGCCGAATCCCAAAAGTTCAACAAATGTTACAAGACTTGTTAGACGGGAAAAAGGTTTGCAGAGACATAAATCCTGATGAAGCTGTTGCTTATGGTGCAGCCATTCAAGCTGCAATGCTGAGTGGCCAGGATAACAAGAAGATGAAGCAGCTTGAGCTTGTGGAAATTACACCGCTCTCCTTGGGTATTGAAACCTCAGGCCAAACCATGGATGTTGTGATTCCTAGAAACACCATCATCCCTGCCAGAGGAGTTCATGAATTAACGACCATCATCGATAACCAGAGTTGCGCGAGAGTCAAAGTGTTCGAAGGCGAGAGAGTAAGATCAATAGACAACAAATTCTTAGGCGAATTTTTACTTCCGGCCATTCAAATGGCCCCTAGGGGTGTCCCAAAAATCGACATCTATTTCGACTTGGAAGCCAATGGTCTCCTGACCGTAACTGTTAAGGAAGTAGATACAGGTCATGAGAAGAGCTTCAATGTGACATGTGGAAGATTATCCAGAGATGAAATTGATTCTGTGATCAAGGAAGCTAACAAGAACCAAGTTGAGGACAAAGAGTACAGGAAGAGGTCTGATGCTCGGAGTGTTTTCGAGAGGTTTACTTGTGATATGAGGGATCATATAAACAAAAGTAACATGTCTTCTGCAGAGAAAAAGAAGGCTGAAGATGCAACTAAGAATGCCTTTCAATGGTTGGACGAAACTCATGATCAGCTTGCCGAGGTTCGCGATTATGAAGAGAAAACAAAGGAACTAGCGCGCGTTTGTAACCCGGGTAGGCCTTCGCCATTCCGAAAATTGATCAAATTGATTGGCCGGAATCGAGGTCACCAACGGAAGTGAAATTCCAGCTTCCTGTATGTACAAGATATGGTGTAATTGAAATGTGTAACAAGTTGCTCTAATATGTATGGCATGAAAGATTGGCAAACTGCTGATTAAAGGAGGACAAAAAAAAGTTGTTGTACTTAGAAAAGATAAATAAATAAAAGAAGCCCATGTGGTTTGGACATTGGTGGCATGGGAACTTGGTAAACAACCTTTACAAATTGTGTGAAGAGACATAATTCAAGTGGCGCCTGTGGCGTGGTATTAGGCTTTTTACTTTTTTTTTTATTTAATTTCTTCTTTAATAGTTGTATTTTCTAATGTAAATAAACAGAATCTATTTTATTAAAATTAATTTCGTTCAATTGTAAGGAGAAAGACGGTAAAGACGTTTTGACTTTTTTACTTACCTTATTATTGAATAATGTTGGTAAACTACCTGAACAAAACAATCACAAAAGTAGAGAAAGATGGTAAAACTCGTTATGATCCAATTATTAGAAGGATAATATAGTACATCAACGGGCTGGCATTAGGTCCTGTATTTTTGTCCCTAAACGGGCTAATTATATCTGTGAAATAACTTCTGTGGTCCCCAATCCGTGCCTTATAATTAGGAATGGAGGGACTATATTAGACTTGTCGCCAAGGAAAAGTATTAATTACATATATTAGGGTTCCAGTGCAATTGGAGTTCCACGATTAGGATTTAGGGTTAAAGGACCGGAAACAAAAGTACTGATAAATCCCAGTTTTTGTAATTTATCATGGATCAAACTAATGGTTTTCCGATTCGAGCTACTAGCCGCACCAAAAGGTATGAAGTTGGACACGGCAAGGAAGAGCTGCTTTCAAACCGTTTCATCAGCAAGACCAAATCGGAGGCAAAGCCGTGCCAGCTCTTCATGGAAGGAGCATGCCTATTTGGTTCAAAGTGCCGTTTTCTCCATAATAATCATGTCAAAGAAGTTTTGCCATCAAAGGAAGCATCTTCTACTCCACCAAAGGTTTTGCCTCCACCAACTAATTAAGCCAGTAGAAAGCCGGCTTGCCCACAGCTTCTTGATCCCTTCAAATAAAAATTGGAGTCCCCTGGACGATGGTATCGAGATTACTAGGCTGCCCAGTTCCGGCAACAAAACTCCCACAAGGGAAGAGGTTGATGCCCACATAAACTCGGTTCTCCATGGCCCTTCCGTGAAGAAAGACTATCAGTTTTCACTGCATTTTACCCGGAGTAGATTGTAGACCTTACCAATGGAAGTAGATAGATGGTAGATTGTGGTTACATATATAATTGAGCCTATCACTTAGATAACTAGACGTGTGCAGAAAGGCATGATCAGGTTTTACTCAACCTTTGAGAAATTGCCATGGGATCTAAGTGAATAGTCAATAGTTGCATTGGTTTTGAGATGAAAACCAATCATTAATCTTATACATCAAAAGTATGCGTATAGAAATAATCCGTCTGACATTCTGTTGGTGTGTAAAAAGTCTTCCATAGTTTGGTTTGATTTTCTTCTTCACGCTTCTTGATATTTGTTTGATGCAGCACATTGAATATTTATTTTGATTTCCTATCTGGCCGATAAGCATGAGTTTTTATGTTGACCCAGAAGTGTTGAATTATTTTAAAATGACTTGGCAGCAAAGTCCATGTGGAGTATATGACTCTTTAAATGAAGTTGTCTTCATTTAGTGTTTTGGAGATGTCGCCCTCTTTACTTTTATAAAAAAAAAGAGTTATTAGTATATACAAAAACCCATTCAAGCGAAGTGTTCCTCCTACAAAAATATATTCTCTCCGTTCTAATTCAAATTTGTGTCTTACAATCAAAATTAGATGGAGTACCACATAAAAGATTAATTTTAGGTCCAGCGCTGGACATCCTTGTTGCAAGTGTTGTTTGGTAGAATGTGTGCTAAAGAACGTATGGGTCAAAATAAAAGTAAAAAAAAGAAAAGATAGTTTCCTTGTTCCTGACAAAGCTTGTGGTTCTAGTTTAACAGTGAAACTTCGATTAGAGTTTGCCTACAAAACAGAGACTTGGGAGTCTTTTGGTGGTAGACACTCTACTGCTTAAGTCAGAAATAGGGTTATAGAAAAGTGTATGTGTGGTAATTGGAGCTAGAGATAGCGTACCTGTATTATGGTGTAATCAACCCTATTTATAGGCATGGAATCACCCTGAGGGACGTCGAATCCCACAAGATTTCAGATTTCGGAACTGCCTCTATAAGGTTGGTTGGACCATACTTGGTAGATGGGCCGGTCCGGTAATCCTCGGTGGATATGGACTCGTCAGTTCCCTCAAAATCAGATGTTGAAGGGGACATGGTATAAAGTATTTTATCTTTCCGTGTGGGAAAATCCATTTCGGATTATAGAAATCGATTGGAAAATTTTTACAACTTCGAAGTTTCTTTTTTTTTTAAAGGAAAATTGTGCAAGACGGATAAATTTCAGGGCTGTTGATTCTAGGTAATTCTATAAATTATTGGATCACTACCTACCCAATAATTTGTAAAGTTAGCTGAATTTATGAGGAAGATACATCGTTGACCAAATACTGCTGCCTGTACATAACTTGAAATCCTTTCTTGTAGCTTTATGCTTCTCTCGACTTTGAAAAACATCGCTCTCTCCAACTGATTTGAATTTTCATCAATCAAACATTCATCATAACGTTGCAATGGGCAGCAAAGCCAGGAGTCCAGCAATCGGAATCGACTTGGGGACAACATATTCGTGTGTGGGTTTCTGGAAACATAATCGAGTTGAGATCATAGCAAATGATCAAGGCAATAGGACAACCCCATCTTATGTTGCATTCACTGAAAATGAACGTCCAATTGGTGATGCTGCTTACAACCAAGTTGGCTTCAATCTAGTCAACACTATCTTCGGTAAGATTCTTAATCATTAATCCTGTAATAGAATTATTTTTCTTATTTCTTTTTTCTTGATACATGCAGGAGAAAGAAAGAAATATGTCGGAATCTTTAGTTACTAGTTAATGTTTCTTTTCCTGATGTTGAAATCTTTGGATTAATTATAGATGCAAAGAGGTTGATTGGTCGGAGATTTACCGACAAGTTAGTACAGAGCGACATGAAGCTCTGGCCATTTAAAGTCATTTCTGGTACTAATGATAGGCCAATGATTGTTGTCACCTACAAAGGTAAGGAAAAACATTTTGCAGCTGAAGAAATCTCTGCCATGGTTCTAACCAAGATGAAGCAGATTGCGGAGGCCTATATTGGGTCGGAAGTGAAGGATGCAGTTGTGACCATCCCTGCCTATTTCGATCATTCACAACGTCAAGCCACAATGGATGACAAGGAAATTGCAGGCATCAATATTCTGCGTTTAATCAACGAGCCAACGGCTACCGCTCTCGCTTATGGTCTAGATAATAGTTCTAACATCACGGGGAAGAAAAATGTTCTTGTTTTTGATCTCGGAGGTGGTACTTTTGATGTCTCGGTTCTCACAATTAATAGAAAAGGCAACATTGAAGTCAAGGCTATTGCTGATAATACTCATCTTGGAGGGGAGGATTTTGATAATCGAATGGTGAATCATTTCCGTAAGGAATTTAAGAGGAAGCATCGTAAGGATATCAGCGAAAATCCTAAATCAATGAGGAGACTAAGAACAGGTTGCGAGAAGGCAAAAAGGATCCTTTCATCTTGTTCCGAGACAAGGATCGATATCGACTCCCTGTTTGAAGGCATAGACTTCTCAGCAGCAATCACCCGACCCAAATTCGAGGAGTTGAACTCCGATTTATTCGTCAAATGCATTGAGATGGTTGAAAAGTGTTTGGCAGATGCCAAAATGAATAAGAAAGCCTTAGACGAAGTTGTCCTGGTGGGCGGTTCAAGCAGGATTCCCAAGGTTCAACAAATGCTACAAGATTTGCTCAACAAAAAGGAGCTTTGCAGAAGCATCAAGCCAGATGAAGCTGTTGCTTATGGTTCAGCTGTTCGAGCCGCGGTCTTGACCGGAAATCAAGGCAATGAGAAACTCCAAGACTTTGTACTAATAGAAGTTATCCCATTATCTCTTGGTCTTAAACTTACAGGGGAAGTCATGAAATTTCTGATTCCAAGGAATACTCTCCTGCCCACAAGGGTAACAATGAAATTCACCACTTCAAATACGGTGGACGAAAAATCTTGTCAGCGAATTAAAGTGTTTGAGGGCGAAAGAGCGAGAACAACCGACAACAATTTCTTAGGCGAATTTGAGCTTGAGGGCATTAAAAAAGCCCCTAGGGGAACTCCTAGAATCGAGTTGTGCTTTGATTTGCAAGTCAATGGCATTTTGAATGTATCCGCTCGAGATATGAATACCGGTCGAAAAAAAAGCATCAGAATCAACAGCGGGAGATTATCGAGAGATGAAATAAATAGGATGATAAAGGAAGCCAACAAGTTTAAGGCCATGGACGAAAAGCGAAGGGAGAAGTATGAAGCAAGGTATAATTTTGAGTGGTACGTGTATTGGATGAGGGATCTGACAAGGAACAATTACTCCTATTCTTCTACTCAGAAAAACAAGGCAGAGGATGCAATCAACAAGGCCCTTCAATGGTTGGATGAGACAAAAGAGCTTGCCTCAGTTGATGAATATGAAGAGAAGAAGAGGGAACTTAAGCTTCACATGTAGAAAAGAAGTGCTGATCGCAGGCTCCAGCCTGGAATGTTTACATGGTACATATTTTGTTTTTACCATTTGAATCTTTCACTTATTGCTCTTAATGATTCTTTTAGTTGAACTTTGATTATTAGAGATGAGTTCAGAATGAGATTGGTAAACGCACTCTGAAAAATGGTAAAACTACATTTTATTTGTTTCAATTGTACGTACCTAGTTTCCCCTTTTGCAGCTAGTTGTAAAACAATATTGTTCTGAAACTGCAGATATGTGTAGTACAGACAAACTCAATTCTCAACTTCAGTTATTCCCCTGAAAGTTAAACTGAAACAAATGTTGTAACTAAGAATTAATTAGGAAAAAAATTTCAAGTTCATCGCTTTCCTATAAATAAAAAAAAATAAAATAAAGGCGAAGTGATTTGCATTTTGTACAATATCTTTTATTGACTTATCTCTGTTTGTATTTTCAAAGATGTGAAATCAGCTGCGGAAGAACTTTTTTTTTCAGTTCCGTGAGAGAATACACTTGGGTGAAAATGACCTAGAGAGAGTACATAACTAACCATTAAGTAATTTCGCCTATTTCTGCTTTTTTCTTCATTATCAGATTTTTATTTTTATTTTTATTTTTTTTTGGTTCGGTTTCAGCTTCACTATGCTTCTAACATTTTATTATACTTTTCTTATCCCGTAATGACTAGACCAGTTTAAATTTTTATTTTTAATACAAATTGTATTAAAAATTAAAGATCCAAACAATACCATTATTTTGGATCTGAAGGAGTAGTTGTTGTACCAAAATATAAAAAATAAAAAAATAAAATTGGGAGAACTACGCAAAATGGATAAACTTAAGGGAGTGTTACATGTAATTAACTTATAAGGAACGCACTAATCGTTTTCTGCACAACTATTATACGGAAATTTCGGTCACTTTCCTAAGAAGGTTCATGGTTGACAATACTGCTGGGGATGACAAAGATCCCCAAGAGGGATACGCTACACTATACATACATACCTCCCTAGCTATCCCAATGAATAAAACTCCGTCGATTTTACTTCATTCATGATCAGTAGCTTCCAAAACTTTAAAGTATTTCTAAATAAGGTTTCCATCAATCAGAAATAACGAAACTATGGATAGCAAAGTACCCAGGGGTCCCGCAGTCGGAATCGACCTGGGAACCACGTACTCGTGCGTGGCTTACCTGAAAGATGATCGAGTTGAGATCATAACCAATGATCAAGGCAATCGAACCACCCCTTCTTACGTTGCTTTCACTGAAACCGAGCGAATGATCGGCGATGCTGCTTACAACCAAGTTGCGCTGAATCCGGTCAACACCGTCTTCGGTGAGTTCCTCATTCCTTACCTTTACTTTATCGGACCTTGTTTTAACTTATTATTGCAAGAGATATATCATATGTGGACTTCTTCTTTTTTTTTTTTTTCCTTTTTTGCGATTTCAGAAGAAGATTGATCATCTTCATAAAAAATTAAGCTTGGCATGTATGTCGAAAAAGAAAAACAAAAAGGATAACTGGCAATGTCATAATCTTCAAACGAACTCTTTTAATTAGTTAGAGAAACTCAGAAACAAATCAAAAGTCAACGGTGCACGAAAGTCCAAGTATTAAGAGCCTGAACCCTATGCATTACCGTGATTTTACGTTTGATTTTTGTGTTTCTCAATTTTTCTTCTGAAATTTGGATTTATGTCATGATATACCTATTAATTTGATTTTGTAGATGTGATCAGATAATAGGAAAAATCAATAATTCAATCCCTCTTGTAAAAATAAGGGTCTATGTTTATGGTTTGAGCAAATAGTTGTACCACAATATTAAATGAAATCCTTGCATTATATGTAGATGCCAAGAGGCTGATCGGTAGGAAGTTTGCGGATGAGTCGGTACAGAGTGATATGAAACTTTGGCCATTTGAAGTTATTTCCGGCATAAATGGTAGGCCGATGATTGTTGTCACCTTCAAAGGTGAGAAGAAGCAATTTGCTCCAGAGGAAATCTCCTCCATGGTTTTAATTAAAATGAAACAAATTGCTGAAACCTACATCGGGTCGGAAGTCAAGGACGCGGTTATCACCGTCCCCGCCTATTTCGATAATTCACAACGCCAGGCCACGATAGATGCCGGAGAAATTGCCGGCATTAATGTCCTGCACATTATCAACGAACCCACGGCTGCTGCCATCGCTTATGGCCTCGACAATCATTTTAGCATAACGGGGACGAGAAATGTCCTTGTTTTCGACATCGGAGGTGGTACTTTTGATATCTCAATCCTCACCATTAAAAATGGTGGCATTGATGTCAAAGCTACCGCTGGTGATACTCATCTTGGCGGGGAAGACTTTGACAATAGGATGTTGAACCACTTCATCGAGGAATTCAAGAGAAGACACAACAATAAAGATATCAGCAAAAATCCTAAATCAATCAGAAGATTGAGAACCGCTTGTGAAAGGGCGAAGAGAATCCTTTCCTCGTCTGTTGAGACACGAATCGATATTGATTACCTATTCGAAGGTATTGACTTCTCAACAATTGTAACCCGGTCCAAATTTAATGAGCTGAATGCAGATTTATTTCTCAAGTGCATCGAGATAGTGGAAAAGTGTTTGACGGATGCCCAGATGAACAAGAACGCGATAGATGATGTTGTCATGATTGGCGGTTGTAGCAGGATTCCAAAACTTCAACAAATGTTACAAGAGTTGTTAAATGGAAAAAATCTGTGCAGAAACATCAATCCAGATGAAGCTGTCGCTTACGGCGCAGCTGTTCAAGCTGCGATCTTGAGTGGGCAGGGGAATGACAGAGTTCAGGACTTCAAAATCGTGGAGGTGACCCCTTTATCTCTAGGTATTGGGCTTAATGGGGACGTCATGAAGGTTTTGATTCCGAGGAATACCACCATTCCTACTAGAGCAACAACATCGCTGACAACAAGCATTGATAACCAAACTAAAATGAGATTGCCAGTGTTGGAGGGTGAGAGAGCAAGATCAACTGATAACAATTTGTTAGCTGAATTTGTGCTCTCGGGGATTCAAATAGCCCGAAGGAGAGTCCCTCAAATAGAGGTTATCTTTGATCTGCAAGCCAATGGCCTCTTGAATGTATCCGCACGTGACAAACTCATGGGCAATGAGAATAGCATTGCTATGAAAAGTGGGAGATTGTCAAGAGATGAGATCGACGAAATGATAAAGAAATCTAACAAGTTTAAGGCCGACGACAAAAAGCATCGGAAAAAGGATAAAGCGAGGCGGGCATTTAAGGATTACATTTGTGTCATTACGGATAGCATAAACGGTCGCGACATGTCTTCTGATGAGAAGAAAAAGAAGGTCGAAGACGGAATAAAGGAAGCATTTCGGTGGTTGGATGCCGCGGAAGAGCCTGCGGAGGTTCATGAATACGAAGAGAGAATGAAGGAAATGAAGCTCATCTGGGAGCCCATCAGTGCTGAATTTTGCAGGGAGAGTGATGTACCTTGCCGCAGGGAAAATTGATGAATTGATTGGCAGAATTTAAACCTTTTACAGTTTAAGCCCAGATGGTTGAGGAATTGTTTGAGGTTGTAAAGTTTTATTTTATTTTAATTTTACAAAGTTGTATGCAAATATAGTGAGCATATTAATGTTTATTTTGTGCATTCAACGTTTATCATATTAAGAAGAAGGAAGTAAATAACGCCTAATGAAATTAATATAGTAAGTTCTTCACTCAGAATCAGGGATAAGTCATTCCTGCTCATGCACCATCATGATTACATCAGGGAAAAGGGATAAGTGTTGTTGCAGACTGAAAACTTATAAATCGTCACAATCTTAATCAGATGAACTTTTACTACTTCTTCTTTTTTATTGGGTAAAAAATTAGCAAGAAATTACTCTTGTACTAATTCAAAATAGAGCGAAAAGCAGTCCCAATATTGTAGTTAGTTGTGCCGTTGACCTGAGTTCTTAATTTTCACCTTGTAAAGTTTCCTCTGGCCGGGTGTTGATATACTGCGATATGCAAGTGAATTACTTTGCGCGGTAATTAAAAAAAAAAAAAAAGAGATTGTGGTAAAATTAATCTTGTCTTGGAGCTGCAGAAAAATATATAAGAATGGGAAGGATACACATTAGTCTCAACATCAGCTAATTTATATATTTTCTGACAATGAAACAAACATTAAAAAACAGTTATTAACAAACTAATCAAACAAACAAATTCAACCGAGCTTTCCGTCACTCAAAACCATGACCTCAACGGTGCCCCCCACCATCATTTTTCTTCTCACTTTTGACATTTTTGCTCATCTCCAATATTACAAATGTTCACTCTATCCTAAAAGCGAATTTTATTAGTCAGATTAAAAATTACTACCTCCATTAGTTTTTTATCAGAAATTTTTGACATGATTTTTTTATTTAGTTTTTATCCATTGCAAATGGAGCTGTAAAAGTCATTATTGACAATTCTTTCAGCTTTGTGCTAATAATGGATTAGATCAAAATGGTTCATTTAAATTCCTACACTTCTTAATTTGGTGAAGTTGACGGAAAGGAATATATCAATGCACCAATACATCTTGGGTCGTACTACTTAAACAGTCTCTGTGTATTGAAATACAAAAGTAAGACTGCGTACATTTTGACCCCCCAAATCCCAACCGAGTTGGGAATATACTGGGTATGTTGTTGTTGTAAGAAATTTCATATATTTTTTTTAAAAAAGTACTAGATGAAAATTTTCAATTATCTACCCTCTCAACTAACTGATTTACGATTGACTTCAACCATTAACATTATTATTGTATGGTTAATTTAAAATTTTCATAACATTTTTTAGACAAATAAATATTTTTATTGATATATAATAAGTTAGTCATTGAAACTTCTAATAAAAAAGAATGGAGATAGTGTATAATATTATATAACTCTTATTATATAACATTGGCTATCCATTGTTTTTTTCTATCTTACAAGGTGCGAAATAGACAAGGGAACTTCAATGTCATTGCCATGGTTGTAGCGTAAGGGAGTGGGTGAAAGTGACGCTCCAACTGTTGAATAATGCGTCCGTAGACATTCCTAATTTGCAAAAACGTCGTCAACAAATAATTTGGTTTGAATTTTTGTTTTGTGTTTCATAGTATAAAACTGAACCGAGTAGATACCAACTCTTGCAAATCAAGCACGTTAACATTTGTTGACCCAAAGACATTGACTTGAGTTTAAAATGACTTGGGGGTTACAATCTAGAGATAATCATGCATTATCTCCGGCCAGTCGTCCTGCTTTCTGTGATAGTCCTTAATAAAATGGTTTCTTCATTTAACTATCTCTATTTTTATGACCTTATGCAACTCGCACCCATTTCATTTCTTTTGAGTGCATAATGAGCTCATATATTTTTAAACTCAATCTCGTTCTCTAGTGATGTGGGAAAATTACTTGTGAAGTTTAATTCATTCAAATATTGATTTGAGGGAAATTGTGCAATTAGGACATGATGATGGTTATATACTACAAACATTAGTCTTCAGGGGGGGATTTTGCAAAATAGGTAAATTTGAGGGGTGTGTCCTTTCCGTCATAATCGGATAGACATCTACAAAACTTTGGTAAACTTCGGTATCGTTTCTGAAGAAGTTACAAGTTTGACAAACAAACATTTCTGCCATGACCAAGACCTGAGATATGGAGATATCAAATACGTATACAATACCCTTGTTAGAGTATATATATATCTATGTATAGGAGGGTATATTAGTGATTGTCATTGTAAATAGGGTTTTACCATAACGCTAAAGCGTATTGTATTTTGTCTATTTAAGCTCGGGATGAGCCGTGTCAATCCAACAGGGATTCGTGAGTCGTAATCCTTTCTTGTCCGTCATCTTTGTAAACCCTCAATTAAACTTTAGCGCAAGAAACAACGACAATCATACTTCTTCATTAGCTTCAAAACCTTCTTTCTCTCTTCTATTGAATTTGATTTTAATTCCTTCGGCCGGTTTGCTATATTGCTATGGGTGTGAAAACTAAGGGTCCGGCCATTGGAATCGACCTCGGCACGACGTACTCATGCGTGGGTTACTGGAAATATGATCGAGTTGAGATTATAACTAATGATCAGGGCAACAGGACAACTCCATCCTACGTTGCTTTTACCGAAAACGAACGTTTGATTGGTGATGCTGCTTACAATCAAGTTGCGTTGAATCCGGTCAACACTGTCTTCGGTAATCAACTCAACTGAACTCCCTTCGTTTCTTCTAAGTACTGCTGCAGTTTTTTACTTTTTTATTCCTTTTTAACTTAATTTTTTTTCCATTTTAGTTGTTTTTATTTATGGACGGCGCCCTTTCTATTGGCACCTTTAGTTCGACATAATCTTGGGTTTTAATAACGTGTTGATCCAAATAGATTCCAATACATTTGGGCTGTAGTTAGTAATTGCATAAGTTGACACTATAACATAAAGCTATTATTGATTCTAAGTATTGGCTATTGTGTTGCAAGAGTAGTTATTTACGGAACATCTATTTGGTGATTCTAGCTAAGCTATGAGAAACTGATTGATTATAATCATAAAAAGAGGCTGGACGTTATTGATGAGTTTAGAGTATTTATATAATCATTGAAGTTAATTGTTACTTATATTTTTCCCTTCTTAAATTCGGTACTATGGTATCTCATTTCATCTGTTCCAGCAAAAGTCAACGGTGAAAAAGTACGATTTTATGAGTTTGGTTACGTTTGATTTTATGTGTCTTTTCTGGGTTTTTTTATTACTTTGAATTAAACCTTTTGACATTCCAACCTCAAAAGACAAAATGATAAAACTTTTTAAAGACTAGAAAATATCGCTGATTTGCTGAGTAGAGAATAATTATGGGATTGGCTCACAATGTATTACTGATAACAGCAGGTTTAAATTTGATAAAAGGTTTCTGAACTTTGAATTTTAACTGCTCGATCCGTTTTCAGCACCAATTTAAAAAAGGGGAAAAGAAAAAGTCTTCCTTGCTAAACTAAAAGGGTACATCCGTGGTTGGAACACGGTACTGATTTCTCACCCATGCAATGTTGTAGTATGAATCCTTAGCGATTAGCCTCTCTTATTGTATTTTTTTTTTAAAAAAAAAAAACAGCTAAAAGGGTACATCAAATATGTACTATTGTTTTAGGACTGAAAAGCATATTTTTGCGCAAGATAAGTTTTCAAAAGGATCTGATGGACGGACTAAAATGGATGTCCTTTGCCATTGCAGATGCCAAGAGGTTGATCGGCAGGAAATTCAACGATGAGACAGTACAGAGCGACATGAAACTCTGGCCATTTAAGGTTGTTTCCGGCACCAATGAAAGGCCGATGATTGTGGTCACCTACAAAGGTGAAAAAAAGCAATTCGCACCGGAAGAAATATCTTCAATGGTTCTAACACAAATGAAACACATTGCCGAAACCTACATTGGGTCAGAGGTGAAAGATGCAGTTGTGACCGTCCCTGCCTATTTCGATCATTCTCAGCGTCAGGCAACCATAGATGCCGGAGAAATCGCCGGCATTAATGTATTGCGCATCATCAACGAACCAACTGCGGCTGCCATTGCCTATGGCCTCGACAATAGTTCCAGCATCACGGGGAAGAGGAATGTTCTTATCTTTGACCTCGGAGGAGGTACTTTTGATATCTCAATTCTCGCCATCAAAATTGGCAACATTGAAGTAAAAGCTACAGCTGGTGACACTCACCTTGGTGGGGAGGATTTCGATAACCGAATGGTGGACCACTTCATCAAAGAATTCAAGAGAAAGCACGGTAAAGATATAAGTGGAAATCCGAAATCAATGAGGAGGTTAAGAACAGCTTGCGAGAGAGCAAAGAGGATCCTTTCATCTTCAGCTGAGACAAGAATCGATATTGATTCCTTGTTCGAAGGGATTGACTTTTCGGCAACCATTACCCGTCCTAAATTTGAGGAATTGAACTCAGATTTGTTCTCCAGGTGCATGGAAACAGTTGAAAAATGCTTGGCAGATGCCAAGATGACTAAGTATTCAGTGGATGATGTTGTCATGGTGGGCGGTTCCAGCCGGATTCCAAAGGTTCAACAGATGTTACAGGAGATGCTGAATGGAAAGGAACTTTGCAGAAACATCAATCCCGATGAGGCTGTAGCCTATGGCGCAGCTGTTCAAGCCGCTATCTTGAGCGGCCAGGGGAATGAGAAGGTTCAGGACCTTGTACTGGTGGAGGTGACTCCATTATCTTTAGGTATCGAAACTACCGGACAAGTTATGGATGTTTTGATTCCTAGGAATACCACTATCCCTACCAAAAGAGTAGGGAATTTCACAACTCGAAAAGACAATCAGACAAGTGTGTTATTTGAAGTGTTTGAGGGTGAAAGGGCAATATCAAGAGACAACAAATTGTTGGGTAAATTCACACTGACAGGGGTTCAAAATGCCCCAAGAGGAGTCCCTAAACTCGAGGTTACCTTTGATCTGCAAGCCAATGGCCTTTTGAATGTATCTGCGCGGGATAAAATCACAGGTCATCAGAAAAGCATCATAATCTCCAGCGGAAGGTTGTCAAGGGATGAGATTGATATGATGATAAAGGAAGCTAACAAGTTTAAGATGGAAGACGAAAAGCACAGGAAGAAGAATGCAGCGAGGTATTCCTTTGAGAACTACATTTTTCAGATGAGGGATCACTTAAACTTCAACCTGATGTCTTCTTCCGAGAGAAAGAAAGCTGAAGAAGCCATGAAGAAGGCCTTCCAATGGTTGGATGCAAGGGAGGAACTAGCCGAGGTTTATGAATACGATGAGAAAAAGAAGGAACTGATGCGCATCTGGAAACCACCAAGTACCGAAGCTGGGGAGAGCGGTAGCGCATCACCACTGCGAAGGTTTATGAGTAAGTTTGGCAAGAGTCGCGGTCGCTGATGGAGCTGAAATTCAGGCTGTATGAGCTATATATTGTGTGTTACATAATTCCTTTAAAGTACATACTGATCTTGTTAATCTTGTTTCCCAAAAAGTTGCTGAAGACCAGTGTTCGAGTGCATTATGAGGGCTCTATGGATCATCAGCTTTACCAATGAATGATTCAGAGAAAAATAAATATACTGTACATTTCAAAGTTTATTTACTTGAAGAATTCTCTCTGTTCTTGTATACTGTATTCCGTGTTCATTCATCGGCTAATTCATACATACATAATTCTTTATTTGCGAATTGAACATCTTATTATATTGTCAAAATTTCTGGTAAGCAAGTTCTAGTTTTAGTAAAAGTGAGGAAAATTCTATCCGTTAATGCATACCGGTTACTTCATCATCAGGGAGCATCAAGATCTTGGTAACTTTCGTAAACATAGACGGTCCTGTATGTCAAGGAAATAAAAAAAAATTAAAAAAAAATTATCAAGAGATTTTGTATATAAAAAAGTGCACCGATTTAAGGAAAATTAACTGTTTTTTAAATTGCAACAATTTAAGGAAAGTTTAAGTTTATATAAAGGACTCATGAGGGGGATAGATGAATCTAGAGAAAAGTTTTTTTGAGTTAGGATTTTGCCATCATAGTTTGTCATTAGCTTCAAAAAATCTTGTTACTTCAAAATTAATGGGTCCAGCAATCGGAATTGACTTGGGCACAACCTACTCGTGCGTGAATTACTGGAAACATGATCGTGTTGAGATTATGGCAAACGATCAAGGCAATCGTACCACTCCATCTTACGTTGCTTTCACCGAACTCGAGCGCCTAATTGGCGATGCCGCTTACAACCAAGTTGCTTTGAATCCGGGTTAACACCGTCTTCGGTAACTAACGAGCCCCCTTGTTTCTTAGTGCTGCCGTTTTTCTTCTTTCTTTTATGTTTTTATTTTCTCTAGTTTGCTTTTCTGCTATTTATAGTTTGTAAAAGTTGAAACTTACTACTAATGAAAGAAAATATTCCGAGATGTTAATTTCTTATGTGGTCATAGTTAGTATTGTAATATTTAGTATATTTCCTATTATGTTCTAGTTTAGGGTTTCTTATTGTCTATATATAGTCTGTATATTGTGTACAATAGATAATGCATCTAATACAATTTTCCTATTCTAAGTTGGTATCGAGCTAGGTTTAAACCTATTTTTTTTTTTTCTTCTTTTCTCTCCCCCGCCGAATCCCTCTTCTTCGGCCGTTCACCCCTCTTCCGCCGTCGTCGGCCGACTCCTGTTTTTTTCCCTCTTCTTCCGCCATCGTCGGCCGAATCCCTCTTCTTCGTCGTCGTCAACAGTTGGCCTCTGTCTTCCTTCGCCGGCGTGTGCTTTCGTCGTCCAAGCTCAGCATCGCCGTCGACGTCCAAGCTCAGCAACAGACCCATTCTTCTTCTCCCCGTCGACAAGCTCAGCATCGCCGGCGTTCTTCCCAGTTTTTTCAATCCGTGGTGCTGCTGCTGCCGCCGGTGTTTCTTCTTTGGCCGCGCGCACTCCCTCTGCCGCCACACACAGCCGCCACACTCAGGTTTCTTCTTCTCTGCTACTCGATCGTCGGCCTCGTCGTTCCTGCTGCTGCCGCCTGCTGCTGCTCGATCGTCGGCCTCGTCGTTCCTGCTGCTGCCGGTGTTGCTCCCCGACGTGTGCTACTGCTTCTTGAGTTTGCTGCCGGTTCCGTGTAATTTCACTTGTTGATCTATGTTTGAAAAAATCCTCCTCCAAAAAAAAAAAAAAGAAATATCATAAATTGGAACACAATTTTTTTTTTTTTTTAAATATTCAACAAAGTGATAAACATGGATGCCGTCTAATTCGATGCCAAGAGGTTGATAGTAAGGAATTTTACAGACGAGACAGTACAGAGCGACATGAAACCCTGGCCGTTTAAGGTTGTTTCCGGTAGTAATCAGAGGCCAATGGTTGTGGTCACCTATAGAGGTGAAAAAAAAGCAATTCGCACCTGAGGAAATATCTTCAATGGTTCTAACAAAAATGAAAAACATTGCCGAAACCTACATTGGATCAGAGGTTAAAGATGCAGTGGTGACCGTCCCTGCCTATTTCGATCATTTGCAGCGTCAGGCAACTATAGACGCCGGAGAAATTGCAGGCATTAATGTATTGCGTATTATCAACGAACCAACAGCTGCTGCCATTGCCTATGGTCTTGACAACAGTTCCAGCATCACGGGGACAAGGAATGTTCTTATTTTTGACCTTGGAGGTGGTACTTTTGATATCTCAATTCTTGCAATTAAAAGTGGCAACATTGAAGTAAAAGCTACAGCTGGTGACACTCACCTTGGCGGGGAGGATTTTGATAATCGGATGGTGGACCACTTCATCAAACAGTTCAAGAGAAAGCACAGCAAAGATATAAGTGGAAATCCGAAGTCAATGAGGAGGTTAAGAACAGCTTGCGAGAGGGCAAAAAGGATACTTTCCTCTTCAGCTGAGACACGGATTGATATTGATTCCTTGTTTGAAGGTATTGACTTTTCGGCCACGGTTACCCGGCCCAAATTCGAGGAGTTGAACTCAGATTTGTTTTCCAAGTGTATGGACACAGTTGAAAAATGCTTGGCAGATGCAGAGATGACTAAGTATTCAGTGGATGATGCAGTTATTATGGTGGGTGGTTCGAGCCGGATTCTGAAAGTTCAGCAAATGTTACGAGATATGCTACTTGGGAAAGAGCTTTGCAGAAACATCAATCCAGATGAGGCCGTTGCTTACGGGGCAGCTGTTCAAGGCGCAAAAATGAGTGGCCAAGGCAATGAGAAAGTCCAAGACCTTGTAGTTGTTGAGGTGACTTCATTATCTCTAGGTGTTGATGTTATTGGAGATGTGATGAAAGTCTTGATCCCTAGACAAAGCGCTAACCCCGCCAGAAGATCAAAAAGGTTTCACGACGTCGAAAGATGCCCAGAATATTGTGGTATTTAATTTGTACGAAGGGGAGAGAACAATAGCAACACAAAACAAGCATATTGGCAAACTTAGGCTGACAGGGATTGAATCAGCCCCTAGGGGAATCCCTAAACTAGAGGCCATATTTGATGTGCAAGAGAATGGCATTTTGAATGTGTCTGCGCGGGATAAAATCACCGGTAATGAGAAAAGCACTACAATCAGAAGTGGAAGATTGTCAAGAGATGAGATTGATGCCATGATAAATGAAGCTAACATTTTCAAGGCCGAAGACGAAAGGCACCAGAATAAGAAGGCAGCAAGGCAGGCCTTTGAGCGTTACCTAATTCAGATGAGGAATAACATAAACAACAACAATATGTCTTCTTCTGAGAGAAAAAAGACTGAAAAGGCCATGAAGATGGGTTTTCAGTGGTTGGATGCAAAGGAGGAGCTCGCCGAAGTTGATATATGAAGAGAAAAAGAAGGAACTGATGCGCATCTTGAACCCAAGTGGTGTTGCTAGACAGAGTTTTGGTTCATCGCCACTGCGCAAACTTAAGAAAATGTTCATCAGCTATAACCGCGGCAGTTAATAAAAATCAAATTCAGGCTTGCAAATAGGAGCTTAATTTAATTAAAGAACATATTGTTGTTGTTGTTTCCCAGAAATTAGTGAGAGTGAAATATAAGTTGAGTTCTTATTATGCGGGCTATATGATTAAAAAAAATATGAGTTGAGTTTTTATTTTTGGTCCCAAACAAATGTTGGTCATAGAGAATTTCCCTAATGATAAAAAAAGAATATAATATTTTATACAAATTAAAGATAATTGAAATGTAAAAAATCATCGATTAATGTATAAAATTTCCAGCATAATTCTTCACTTTACCAAATTGTATAATCAAAAAATACTACCAAAATGTCCATTGGAAAGGGAAAAGTTCATATTTTCAGTATAATTGTGCCAAAATGTGAACATTTTTTTTTTCAATTTTCTTGATTATAAGTATTATGAGTAGATATTAATCAATCGAATTTAAAATAAATTGTTAAACATCATAAGGTAATACCTATTTCAAATTTCCACGATCATTTTTCGCATTTCTTTACCATCCTTTTCATAGCAAATAATATCACTTTTTGTAACTATTTCGCCTATAACATCTATATGGAAAATAATAGATTAAATTATAAAACTCACAAATATTATTCTAAACACCTAAACATCTCGGGTAAGTAAACCCAATTGAACAATGTGTTAATAAACTGGAATTATATTTTTACCAACTGTAATATTAGTCTTAATACTCCCATCAATTTTTTGAACAAATGAAATAAAATGAAATCATGAAAAGATATAAAATCCACATTATTGCAAGATTTGGCAATGATTGTTGGCTTGAAATCTATCTTGTAGGGATGTTCGACAATTTTGTATTTCGCGTTGTTTTCCGGAACTTCAAATTTTGAAAAGAATCCAACTCCACTTTCAACGATGATATTCTAAAATTCTGACATCAAATTCTTCTTCAATGAAGCTTGAATCTTGTTTCTTTGCACAAATACAAAGAGGGTAAAAATATAGAACAATTTCAAAAATATCATTATATGGCAAACTTTAATATTAACGGATAGAAATCTATTGATTTACCTTTTCATCAATGACTATCATTTTAAGAAAAAAGAAATTCTTCGAATCTTTAAACATTGGAGGCTTCCAAATGTGAATGATGCGAACTTCTACACTGCAATTATTTTTCAAAGGGCTCACATTTTCAACGAAATTGTATGAATCTTTTATCCTAAAGACATAAATTAAACTGAAAATACCAATCAACTTAACTTTAAAAATATGAAATTGTAACATGTAATGCATATTATAACAATGGTAATATGATTGACATCTTACTTTTATTTTCTTTTGAAAAAATTTTGTAGCTCAATATTTATGATGAACCTTAATATGTTTAATGGTTAAATATTGCAAAATCCATATTGAAGAAAATGCTAAACATGTTTAACCGTTGCCCAAAACCTTACAACGACAACAGAAATCAATGATAAATGATCATGAAATTGACAAAAATATAAATACTTACATAATTCAAGACTAAATTTACTTGACCTTGAAAACTTTTGCATAAAACGATGACATTTTTTTAATTAAAAATGTGCAGTCAACACTGAAACTAACTATTTCAATAAGTTCAACAATAAATATTGATGAAAAAAGTACATTCAACGTTAGAAATATAATTTTCAAATTTGACTATAAATATTACAGAACGAACAATACAAAAATAGTTTGACCAATTAATCTTGAGTTAGGTTTTAGAGATTAATGTTTTTAGCAAAAAGAGACACTTACTCACAACCTAACTTATTACATTTTGGGGGCAAAACTTTTAACGTGATTTTGACACGTGTACATTTTAGGCGGGAAATTATTTTAGGAGGTTATTATTATAGTAGTATATCTTGATAAAACGAAGAGTAAAAAATCTGGAGTGGAAACGAGATAATTTATTAAAGAGGAAGGTGAACTAAACGAATTGTCAGGAATCCAGAGAAAGTGAAATGGAGGACAGCCAAGGTCCGGGAATTTCAATTTATTTCAGCAAGGGAGGGAAACTATAATAAGGGGAACAGTTATCATAATCTCGGCCGTTGAGGCAAAATAAAAAGCCTGAAGTTGGAGGATGATCAACAACATTTCCCTGAAAATATATCACTGTAAAGCTATTCTAGTATTCTACCACTCCCACAACTGAATACTACTTGGTTGTTCCTGACCAAAAAACACAAACGTAAAATACTCGACGTATCTTCCTAAAACTACTGAAAATTTTACATTTCATTGTTTTTTCCTTGTTTGGAAATTTTACATTCATTTATAGCCCACTGAAACTTGAGACACTTTTAATGGCTTCCTCTTCCAATTGCACTAGCCTTTCACAAAATGCTTCGACGTGGCGAGCCTCTTCTTCGAATGTGATTCGAAATTCCTTCCACTGATACTCAAATGATCCATCATTCCTTAATGGACCAACAATTTTACCCAGCATATCGAAGCCTTTCCGATCTATACGCAGCAGCAAAGCATCCTTCACATGGAAACAGAGATCGTACAATTTGATTATTGATCATCATAAACCGCAGAAACAAGACAAAAAATAAAAAGGGAAACAGTATTAAATTTCCCTTATTATTAACACAGTGCTGATTTTCCAGCAATGCTTTATTAGCCCTTTATGCTCACAAACATTAAATAAACCATATGAAGAGCCATACAAGTTTGCATTCATGAGCAAAATTGAAAGCTCAAACATCAGTCAAGCCTAGGCCTGATACAATATCTTTATCAACGAAACAAACCACTGATGCTTATATTTTTTCAAGCACTGCTTATAACAAACTTGGCATTAGCTACAGCTATTGAAGGCTCAATGCCTTTTTACCTTCAAATTGTTTTTCAGCTGTGTGATACAAAGGAGGATCAGAGCTCTGCGTCTAATCTCACTTCGATTAATTCCATCAATAAGGCTGGCAGAAAACGGTGCTACACAAAAGTACGCAAGGATTTTAAGCATTTGATCAAAAGTAGGACGTGATGCTTGTTGTATATAAAAGCAGAGACCATGGTTTCTTACATAAAGGATCTGCTTTGGATTCTTCAAATTCCTCTAGTTCTACTTCATGAGTGCTTCCATTTCCATCAATGTATGAGCATGAACTGCACACGATCAGAGCAATTTGTGCTTTACATATACAACAGTTTAGAATCTAGGTTTACAGCCATATCTCTGACAATAGCTCAATGAATATTAGTATATTACTAACTTCTGACTTCTGGACCAATAGTTGAAGTTGTCAACTGAGATTGTCATCAATTTTAGCAGAACTATCTACTCACGGCATATGCAGCAAATAAACCCACTGTTTCGTGAGAAAATGATTGACCAATCTCCACTTAAAATGTATCATTTAAAGGCCAAAGCATAAAATGTTTACCTGACATTAAACTTATATATTATATATTGATTATTTCCTTCAAGCAACTCCTTAAGGTTATGGCCTCGAGGCGTAGCACCAAGATGTGATGAACCTAATATGCCAGAAACTGAATAACCGGACTCCTTTACAATCTTTTCTTCTAACGAAACAATTTCTTTTAGACTCTCCGTTGCCGAAGTGATCTGTTGAGACAAGAAAAGGAAAAGTCATACAATATCGAATACAGAAAACGTAATGGTAATTGACTCGACAATCATAAAACAATCACTGTCCAAGAACCAGTCAGTTATTATTACAGGGTAAATTATGAAGCTTGCACAGGTAAGACAGATGTTGACGATCAATCGTAACATGTCCAAATCATAACTCAGAAAGTCGTCCAAACACAGGAAAACTCTGTCAATATTTAACATATTTAGATAGCACATATAGCATTAAGAAGTAGACAATTGTACCTTTTCAAGACGAACAACATCACCAGTCAAAGCAACTCGAGCTGGTAGCTGCATTTGAGCAACTTACTCTTCTTAGATAAAACATTAGGCTTGAAAAAAATTACTACCATACTACAAATACAGATGTAAATGTTAAGACAATGTTTCTTTCACTCACATGAAGACTTGGCTAAATGAGCATATGCAAAAAAAAACTCAATTTCTTAATTATTCTCTTCATAAGGATTTAAAAAAGGGTTTTCACCAAAACCAAAAATATTACTCATATCAAGCAGGTAAAGATAAAATTATTTACGCGAGCACCTTTTTGATGGACTTGAGTAGGTATGCCATTCCTGGAAATGGACTGGAAACAGCAAAAGAACTTCGTTCATCAATGATTGTATTCTGCAATAGAAGAGTGTAACTTACTCAGGAGAAAGGAAAAACACAAAAAAAATAACAATAAAAATAAAAAAAATTACAAAGGATTCAAAGAACATCAAGGAATACAAGTCGAAAGAGGCATCGAATTACACCCCTGAAGCATGAAAATGAAGACACAAGAGTCACCAGAAAGGAAAAGCCAAAACCCAAAACATACCACATTATGCAAGTCGTTCCCTGGAACCCAGATATAAGGCTTTCCTTTCTTAACAAAGTACTTCACTTTTGAGGTGTATATTTCCCCTTTGCTGAGACAAAAACAAAGAGAGTAATCATAAGAAGGTAACCAAAAGTATTGCATTCTCAAGAAAAGAGAGGGGCCTTCAATTAATCCAAGTTTTACCTTCCTTTAGAGTCAGCTTTGATGGTGTTGAGGCTACCTCGCCAATTCGATGCCAATATATTCTGCACCAGCAATTTGATACAAGAGAAAGCAAACACAACCCAAAAAACAAAAAAGTTAGGCAACGTTAAAACTCAAACGTTAGAGACATGAAAACTCCAATGTTAAGATTTATGATGTCCAGAACCTTGCATTTTTCGGCTATTGTTAACACAGATGATTTCCTTCCTTTCATGATCTCTGCGATTTGTTGTAGAAGAATGCACACCACCTGTTTGTTCCTAGTACCAAGAGAGTTCGCTTTCAGTTCGCCCCAGCGGTTCCCGCCGGTTTTGGATCATTCCTCGGGTAGAAGAATTCCGCAGTGCCATAAAGCATAGAACCATTGGGTTTAAAACCAGGCCTATACTCAAAAAACTACCCAGACTTAATTGGGCTTTAAGAGAAAGACTTTACAGAATCCGGCCCAAATTCGCATGTATATATTCTGTAAAGACTTTCTTCTTCCTTTTACTTTCAAGTTACAACAGAGATACACTGGGAAAAAGCAAAGGAACTGGGAGTATGGGTGAGGAGGATGAATATGGGTGGGATTCAGATTCAGAACCACAATACTTTGACAAAGATCGGCACGTTCAGTTCCTGGAGATGATTTTTGAACTGTTGCCCTCCCCATACCAGACCCAAGAAATCAACCGTCTCACTCTCGCCTATTTCGCTATTGTTGGCCTCGACATTCTTGCCTCCCTCGATCGGGTACTTTTTTCTTTTTCTTTTTCTTTTTTTGTTTTCCTTTTCCTGTTAAGAATGCAATTGATTTCCATTAAATTATCAGTGCTTCCAATGGGCTCCAGCGAAACGCAATCTTTGATAGTACTTCTTTTATATGCAATTGCTGCCAATTATTGCTGATTCGGATTTTCTTTGCTTTGGCTGAAGAAATTTGAGCTTATACTGGATAATTTTAAACGAATTCTGAAGATGATAAAGAATTATATAACTGTGAACTTTAGTTTTGCTTATAAAGAATTAATAAGGGGGAAAAAAATGATGTCTTTATTCCTAATCATGAGAGAGTAAAGCAGCATGAGCAAAATATTTTGATTTGCTAATGGAATACTGAACACCACCAGTTAGTGTTCCAAAATCTAAATTTTTTTTAAAATCCGTTGTATGTGTTCTTCGATAGATCAACAAAGACGCTGTGATTGAATGGGTGTTATCTTTCCAAGCTCTTCCAAAGAATGAGGATGAGGTGAACAACGGTAAGGAATCATTCATAACTGTTTTCGAGAAACCTGTTTTCTTGTTAGTTTCTATATGTTACTAAGTCTGATACCTAGGAGTTGGTTGATTTGATCACAACTTCTTGATTTTCATAGGACAATTTTATGGATTCCACGGTTCAAGAAGTTCTCAGTTTCAACATGTTGAAGGGGTATGAGAACAGTTACAAGTCGAGTGAGAATCAGTGTTTAAAAACTTGACTGATGAAAGCTTGAAATTCTTCGTTTCCTTGCATGTGTTGATTGTCAGATTTCGTTAAGAATCAAGTTTCTGTTGCAGGGTTTGGTCCCCAATGGTAGTCATCTTGCAAGCACATATTGCGCCCTAGCCATATTGAAGACTGTTGGATATGACCTTTCACTTCTTGATTCGACATCAATCCTTAAATCAATGAAAAACCTTCAGCAGCCGGATGGGAGGTAAATTCCAATGTGAATTGGATTCACAAATGCCAATGCATCTTTTGTCGGTCACCTGATTAGAAGTTTCTAGGTTCTGGGGTTAGAATGAAATTGATATATTCTCGTGGGGATGTTTTAAATTTTGTTGTATGCTTTACTAGTCTTGCGGTCACTATGATCATTAGTGTTACCACTGACAATATGGTTGCATTATTTGTCAGTTATTCATTATTATTGATGATTGAATGTAACGAATCAAACTTTAATATGAATCTTATTCTGTGTCTTCAGTTTTATGCCTATTCATAGCGGGGCAGAGACAGATCTTCGGTTCGTATTTTGTGCTGGTAAGGATTATGATTTGATGTCAACCGACTAAACATATTTCGTTGTTTGATAAAACTTTTAAATTTTGTTACGTCAGCATCCATCTGTTTGTTGTTGGGCAATTGGTGTGGCATGGACAAGGAGAGAGCAAAGGAGTACATATTAAGATGTCAGGTATATGAAAGCTTTTACAATAAAGTTCTACTTCCTGGATGCAGATCCGTGTTTGTTTAACGTGCTTTAATACTTTTCCGACATGTGCTCACTTTATGTCTTGTTCTTGCAGTCATATGATGGGGGTTTCGGTTTGATTCCTGGTTCAGAATCTCACGGTGTGTGACTTAAGTTGGTATTCTTCCGGTTGTTTTGTTGCATTTTACGTGCATTAAGATCTTTTACCTCCTTGGTTATTTGCCTGCAAAAGCAATAATTTCGTTATCCTTTGGTATTGCTTTTCTGTCTGTCATTGCTCACTCATAATCGGGTCCTATTTGAACTTAGTTTTGAACATTGATTTAAGTATTCTCCTGTTTAGTCTTTTTAAGTTAGCGTATTTGAACTTGACTTTGATCCATCTATACATATCTGTTGAAGCTCAAAGTTGTGTGATTCTTCATAAAAAAGGTTGCATATTTTTGCTACTTTCTATTGAGCTGTGATATTCATACATTTCCTTTCAGTGGTTTTCTATCATGAAGTCTGAGTATTGCATTATTACGTGTACAGATAAAATCAGAACTATTATTATCTGAATTATAGTTTGCATATAAATGACATGTTAGCGGAGCTTTCTCCGATCACTTAATCAATCATTTTTGTCCGTTCCAAGTATGGTTTTATTCTGTTTTCCCTAATCTAGATGATGGTTGAGAGAGTCAATAGAGTCCTAGTACTCTGTTGAATAAATGCTCATGGATAGCATCTTTTAGTGTCACAGGTGGTGCCACATACTGTGCTGTTGCATCCCTACGCTTGATGGGCTACATTGAGGATGATCTAGTGTCTAAAACTGTGTCTCCTTGTGTACTAAATGTGCCCATGCTTTTAGACTGGTGCTTAAAGGTTTGTTTACCTCAGCTGAGGAAATGCTTTTTCCCAAAAAATATCTATATTTGAGTCTTCAAACTCTAGTTTGACACAAAGCCTTTTAGCAAAAGAACTGCGTATAGTTAGTTGTACAGTATTGGTTGCTATAGTTCTTTGAAAATCATTTCACATATCCTTGTTGCAGAGGCAGTCAGATGATGGTGGGTTTCAAGGCAGACTAAACAAGCCCAGTGATACATGTTATGCTTTTTGGTAAGTTCAATATCATATTTCATCAGTCGAGTTTGGTCTTGTTATTTGGCTCACTGGGTATGCACTGATATAGGGTTGGAGGAGTTCTGAGAATTTTAGGAGCTCACAACTTTATTGATGAAGGAGGTTTACGTAGATTTCTATTGACTACCCAGTCTCGGGTACTACTTGTTCCTTGCTTTTAGAATAATTTTTTTGGTTCCTCGCGCTATGTCTTGTAATATTTACCCTCGTATATACCTGATTAGACATAAATCTATTACTGGTGAACAATTTTCGTCTGCTCCTTATTCTTATATAGCCACAGCTTCTTTTCTTTCGTTTCAGTGTATTTTCCTTTTATTTCTGGCTGTGGCGAGGAAAGAATTACGTTTTTAAATAACCTATAACACATACTCTTAACTGTGACTCATCTTGATACGTTCGTCAAAAGAATTTACTTGAGACTTGTTTCTAGTTGCGTTCCTGATCTTCTAGGGCTCTTGGCTGGAAAAGAAAAAAATTTACTCATGATCAGAAAGGGTTACCAGTTTTTATTACGTGTCATAATGAGTCCTTTGAAGATAAACCAGGAACTTCACAATTTAATTCATTCTTTCTGTTTTTTCTTTCAGTATGGAGGTTTCAGTAAATTCCCCGGACAATTACCCGATCTCTACCACTCTTATTATGGATTTTGCGCATTCAGTTTGTTAGAGGAACCCGGCGTAAACCCCGTCTTTGTAAATCTAGGAATGTCCGAAATAGCCACTGTTGGACTTCATCTGTGAATAGAATACAAGGTTTGTGCTATTTAAAGTGCCTTAAATTATTGATTCCTGAATCCAATAGTTGAGTGGACTCGGGAGATTGGAGATGGGATTCGGTTTGAAAGAGAATGTATGGTTCTTTGAGATTAACTCAAGTCAAAAATGCATCTTTAGTTTGTTCCCTTTCTTTCTCTAAATTATACTGAGGGTGCACTTATTTGGATTACCATTGCACTTTATATTATAAAAAGGAAGCACTCTGCCGTTGGCTGCTGCTTGTCGGATTGGCCGGCGCTGTTCCGACTAATGCAATTTGTGGCAATTTGTGGCAATTTATTTTTTAAAAAGATGAAGATAGGGACGGTAATTTAATCAGAGCAAAGATGCACTGTTACTGTGATAAGATTCATTGAATATCAGGTTCCTTGCATTGTGATTGTGGCATCCGAGATACGCACATAATCCATTTGATTACTGCACATTATAGTTATAATAAAAAAAAAAGTGGTAATTAAAAACGTGAAAACAGTTACCCTATTGTTTGTAATTTTAATCCAACGGTAAAGTTTTCTTCCAAGTTAGGTGCAACCCTGTAGAATCAAACTTGAAGTAAAATAAAAGGAAACTTCCTAGTCTCGAAGCAAATGATTTTTACAGTGTACTGCATTGGATAAAATTTTTATCTGGATGTCCCGGGGTCGTCTTCCTCCGGCGATATTAACCTGCGATCCTGATTTGTCTTAAAACCTCTGCTGAATCATATACCCTGTATAAATAGAACCCATACCGGTAGGCATAATTTTGGCGATGTAAAATCACAACGTATCTTGGCGTTTTGGGTTCCGATCTCTGGGTAGTGATCACCTATAATCATGAATGATGATGATGATTAAAAGTGAAAAGCATGGAGGAAATGATGAAACAACCAATACTATCCCACACCCAAAGCTCTTTTATTCTGATTTGTGTGTTTGAATCTTTTGAAGCATGTGATCATCATCTCCAGCCCCATGGGGTTTTTTTTTTTTCCTGATAAATACAGTACTAATATTTTTAACGTTTGGAGAGGGATTAGGGAAAAGTAATTTTCAGAGGTGGGCTTCTTTCGGTCTGCACGCACGGGACCCTGTCACGGCCTCGCGGGGCATGTGTGTTTTATTTTTATTGTTAAGCTCTCTGCAATTTTTTCTGCATTTCTTTTTCTTTGCCCTGTTTTCTAGGTTAATGCCAATATACCAAATACACTTCACCAACCCATCTTCTTCTCCATTTTGGCTTCATTTGCTTCATTCATCAATGTATATTATCAATGAGCAATGAATTTGCAAAGCTTGAAAATGAGGTCTTCATGATTGAATCAAAAATATAAGTTTCGGTTAAACTTTAGAAGTTGGTTTCAACCATCCTCGCATTTGTGGGGTAATAACGTACCAAAAACCATGATTGTGACTCGTAATCTGCTACTAAGTAATGGATTCCAGATTGATTTATACACAAGTTATAAAGACACTCAAAAAAATAATTTTCAGCAGTAAAAATAATTGAAAGTACTAGTAGTATATTTTTTTTACTATTTTACTGGACAAAAGAATATGAGTCTTGGTGAGTGCTGTTTACTTTTGCCTAAAAGTTAGTAAACAGTCAGTCCTACACGATTACACCAATAACTAATTAGTTGATGACAGGAAAACTACAGAGAAAACTGAATAAACAAAGAAATAAGAAATGAGCCCACTAATCCTTCCACAGTTCCACTGGCATCATGGCATCAGACATCTCTCAACATCAGCTTCAGACTTTCTTTGTCTGATAAAGAATGTTGTCTCCCTTGATTATTGTCGATACTTGTAATCTGATTCATTTTACCATGTTGTGTTTTTTTTTTAAAGCATATTTTGCTTCACATTATCCAAGGGTTCTTAGGGAAAAAGAAATTAAAAGAAACAAAAATCGGTAAATTTCCAAGCTAGAGAAAGAAAAAAGAGACACAAGAATTTCATTGCTGAGGAACATTAACTTGAACAAAATGTTAATAGTAATTAGTAAACACTAGTGAATTTAAACAGCCCCTCTTAACTCATGGTGGACTTTGATTTTAATGGTGATGGTGGTGAAGAAGCTAGCGGAAGTACCTGTGAAGTATTCGAGGGACAATGATGAATCACGTTCTTCCCGAGTTGATGTTCATCTTCCTGTTTTTTCTTGTTCACAATGAGAGTAATGAATGATCCCTGTTCTTCATCTTTATTAAAAACTGTTGAACTAGAAGGGACATCAATCTTGCCAATCATCATCTCTTCTGTGGATTTCCTTTTGCACTGTTGTTTGTCACCATCATCAACAACATCCGTAATGAACTTGAACACTGGAGGAGGTGAAGATAGAAACAAATTGAACTCTGCTTCACTAGCTGAACCAAAAAAACCATTAAACCCCGGTTGCATATTTCTGGAGGAAGCCTTGACCGGAGTCAAAGGTGGGGTATAATAAGGTGGTGAAGCCATGGGAGTTAAATAAGGAGTCTCCATTAGATGAAAAAGATCACTTAAGCTTCTACCTCTTGACCCTTTTCTACTCCTATCACCTCTTGATTTTCCATCCTCAGACTCCAAATCTTCCTTAGTTTCTTCTTTGATTGTGAAGAGGAATCTGGGAGGTCCTGATAAGTGTTGCAGTCTTAATAGATCTGCCTCCACACTATCTTCACCAAAAGGCAAATGAGCAGCCCAAGATGATGATGAATCCTTGTTAGAATTTCCCTGATGATTCTGAGCTTGTGGTTCATGGACTAAGATTTCATGGGTTGGACGCTTTTTCCAACAGAACATGTAGAAAAACTCCTTTGCTGTGCCTGTACTAGTGCTGCTGCTATAACCATCTTCAACATCTCTGTTTGTAATCCTCTTTTTCCACCATAACAAATAGTAAACCTCCGCAACAAGAGCCAAGAAAAGACACCCAAAAACGAGACTCAAACCAAGTCCTACACTACTCAAAGACTTCATCTTTACATCTGTACCAACTTCATCTTCATATCTGTCTCATTTCCCAATTGAAATCACTTTGCAAAATCTGCCACCTTTAGACAAGCAATGCTTTGTAGAAGACAGTAACTAAACATGCAATTGTATGAAACTCTGATTTACTTGATAGAAATTGCATATCAGAAAAGAACAACAACAAGAAGAAGAAGAAGCACCCGAGAAAGCAAGGCAAAGAAAAATCGTACAAGGAGCTATCTTTTGTGACTTGTCTCTGTCTTCTTTGAATATTATAGGCCAAAAGGCTAGAACTTAAACAAAGAAAGAAACCCTCTTTATTACAGATAATTAATCACCTCGGAGAATGATGATATGAGATTATAGCTGCAAAGCATATTTAGGATTTATACTATGATGATGAGATTGAGATAGAACACAACAGGTAAGAATAGTTTATAAAAAAAGATTGAAAGTAGACCCAAAAATGTATAAAGTGATTGATTAATGTAAAAAAGAGGAAAATGAGCCACAGATGCCGTGGCTTCTATATTTTACACGGCAATCTTAGTGGGGATGTTTGTGTTGTATTTATCTTAAAGCTACAAATCAATGTATATGTAATCTTCTTCAAAATGCAAGAAGCTAAAAGAAAGGAAGAACCTGAGGAAATATTAGTAACAAGTCAGTAGAGAGCGCGTGGCAAAAGTTGGTGAATTTGTTGTCTGATTTATATAGTTAGAAGGTCCCCCATCCAAACTAGTAGTAGAGATGCTCACATGGTTTATGGTATGCAGAAAAAGAAAAGTAGTAAATAATAATAACTCATCTCCTCCAGCATGTATTTCCCCTTTTTTTTTTGCCTTTTTCTCTTCTTCTTTTGATTCAATGCCCCTTAAATGGAGTTTTCCACTTTTTCCCATTTTTGTTTGGTTTCCAGTGTTACCATATAATAACATGTTATTTTATGATTGGCACAGCTCAGAAAGTTATGTTCTTGATGCGTTTTTCTCATTTATGTATGGCTTAGTTTTGTACTAGTAGTGATTCTCTTTATGACATTTCCAGTTGAATAATGTTTATATTTCTGATCATTACTGTGAGTTATTATCTATCATGGCAGAATATCAGACCACGCCTTACTAATGACTTCCTTGAAACCCAAATTTATTTGTGGCTCTTCTATCTTATGAGTTAGATTTAAGACCACAAATTTCTTATCAGATGGGAAGACAGTTTAGAACCCGTTTGTCCTCTTTGTTTTCGTTAGATTCTGTGAGAAAGCTAACTTTGGAGAATGTACTGAATACTTATAGTACTTACTTAAAGCAACAAACACTAAGACATGTGTCAGCACCAGAATGAAAATTTTCCCTCCAAACGTTTACAGACGTTTACAGTACAAATCCGAAGCAAGGAAAATGAGACACGTGACTTCTTATATTTGCAGGAAATTTTAGTATTGAGATCAGTTACAACAACAACAAATTTTATTGAAAGTTTTAAATTGAAAATCCCTCAAAATAAGCATTAATGGCTAATATTCAGAATATAGAAAATAATAATTAATGGCTAAATCCTGAATGTGTTGCTTTTGATACGCAAATCTTGTAGTTTTAATGTAAATCCCCACAAATCCTTTCTCCAAATAAAAACAAATTTTGAAAAACTCAATTCATATGCCTTTTTTTTCCGCATCTCCATCTTTGTCTTCATCTCCAACTCCATTTCTCCTAATCATTTTCCGAATCACATCAAATCCCCATAATTTCTCCATGAAATTAGTAAATCAAAATTCAAAACTCTTCTCTAGCCTCGCTTCTTCTTCTTCTCTTTTTTTTTTCCCCTCCGCCACTTATAACACAAATCAAGGAGTTCAAAATCGAAATACTCAACTTCCAGATATATCCAATAAAACAAATCCTCCGCATTTTTTTTGTTCCTAAAACACAAATCAAACCAAATTGAACCCCTCAAATTTCCTCCGGATAAATGTATTCCTTAACACAAATTCTTCACCATGCAAAATCAAAATCCCAAAATCAATTCCTTTACCAATTCTTTCACACATAGGTTTTGAAACCAATAAAGCCGATGAAACCAGAATCTTCTCAATTCTTGACGTTCAGTAGAAGATGTCACGGCCAAAGATGCCATACGCGTTGAAGAGGTAAGGACTTCCGGCCTTTCGAGTTTTTGACAACGGGAAAAATTGTTTTGGCCGCAGCTGTCGTTGACACAAGGTAATGACCCGCACCATTGTTTGAATTGTTTGCACAGGAACATCGGATTGAAAATCATGGAAATCAGCCATCACAATTCCTCTTTCAAAGCGACGGCCAGTAGAAGAAGGTAATGACACTTTATTATTTAGGGTTTTTGTTTTTTTTTTCCCTGTTACGCATTTATTTCAATTTTATCCCTTTAATCGATGAATTATTAATTTAAGTTTCAATTCGATCACGCGCAAATGAGCCAATAGTCAAATGGGTTTTATAGAACTAATTATAGATGATGTTTTAGAGTTAACATTCTTCCGTTTTGTGCACGGTGTGGCAAGATCCAAGCAACGTAGGTGACGGTCCGGCAGCATCTTTGATCAGGACATTCTCCCGTTTTCTGTCTTTTAACATTGCAGCAAGAGAAGAAAGCGCGACGTGGGGTTTGCTTTTGATTGATGTTGATTAGGTAGGTCCAAAAGTAGTCTGTTGTTGTTTGGATAATATTTGTCTGACATTTTGATTTTTACATATTTAATGAGATCTTATGTTTAGTTTCAAATTGCATATTACTGGGTTGTTTTACATTATTTAAATTTTGATACTGCTTTTCTGAGTATGTTAAAGATCATTTTCAAAATCTAGAGTACAGTTTAGTGTTGAATTTTTGTGGTCTTTCCAGGGTTTTTAATATTTCACTTAACTTGGGATAGTTGTTCATTTCTGGTAGATTTACTTTAAATTTGTTAAATCAGTTTCTTGAGATGGTTTTCAATAGATTTATGTGTTAAAAACAATCATCAAATTTGTATCTAAGAATTATATTAAAGAGCATGTTTAGAAACAAAATTTACATAGTCGAAGTGTTATATTGCTTTTCTTCCAATAGAGTTTTCAGTTTGATTAATTTCCACTTGAGGGAAGTTGTTCATTTCTGTTTTGTTAACTTCGTGTTTGTTGAATACAGCACCGTCTTCAAAATGCGCCGGGTAGAGATATGTGACTCTGTATTGAAGAGATACATGTTCTTTCTACAGATTGCTATAGGGCCTCTTATGTAAATTCCATCTCCACTTAACTTTGATACCTTTATTATTTGTAACAAAATTCAATTCTCTAGGTTAGAAATACTCATGCAGGTCATAAAGAAAATAATGAGAGAGTTATTAGGGGTCGTTCACTATACAATTCAAATTCGAGACTCTGAATTTTATGTTTTTCTTTGTGCAAGTTTTGAATTCTTTGGGGAAAAAAATTATTCATGTTAAAATATTTGAATTTCTATTTAGGATCGATTTAAGGTGAAAAAGTATATTGATATTTTGATTTGTGTTGAGTCAGTGGCCTCTCCTTATGGGCAAAATTTTAGATCGATTTAAGGTGATGGATTTTTGGTGTGCTCGGAAGTCTCTATCGTCCAATCTTATTTTCAGTGTTTCAATAGGCATTCATAACATCAACAATATAATTAAAAGCGTGTTTGTTGTTCTTTATGTGCTTTCGTGACTTAATTAGAGTGGTTATTTTGTTTTTGGGGCTGAATATAACAGATTTTTAATATTACTATCTGTTGATTGGATTTGACAGAGAACTTGCAATTGGCACGAAAAAGCTAGGTTGCATGCCGCAAACCTCTTCGGATTACCAAGGACAGATGATACTAATCATTTGCATATTAGTTTTGGAAGAATTCCAGAAGCCTCCCAAAAATAGCGGTGGTGTTGTATGCAAGAAGCTAAAGCTTCAGACAAGGTCCAACCTACATATGTTTTTAATACAGTTATGGTCTTAATAGTGGATAAACTGTTATAACTGATCAATAACGTCGGTAAATTGTTCAAATTTCTTTTTGGAATTGATTTAAGATGAAAAGTATATATTGATTTTTGACAAGTTGGTCCTAAAATTAATGGCTGATTTATCAAAATTTTGCAAAAGATAGTAACAAATTGAACTTGAAATGGATGGGAAAAAAAAAAAAAAGTGCATATGATAAAGCATATTCAGTTTGTCTTGGGAAGTAAATTCATAAGGATTGTACTATTTTAAGGAATCAAAAACAAAACTCAATGATAGAAAAGTTAATACAGTAAAGTGGAAAGACAAAAAAGATGTTCCTACAAATAAGAGAATTGGTGGGATGAATGCTATTCTTACTAAGGTTTTTACCAGATAAGAAATTAATTAGGTTCTCTGAATTTCTAGCTGGGATTGATTCTGCTCAAGCTAAGGAACTGTTATAATGTTCCTATATATGCATTTGGTTAGATACTTTCTTACTATTTGAAGCTATAAAGATTGTATTATCGGAAAACTTTTGCTACTTTTTTTTTAAAAGAATAATTTTTACAGCAGTTCTTAGTGACTGGGAATGAAATTTTATATTACTTCTTATGGCCTAAAAAAAAGAGTGTAATTTGAGTTTTGAGTTTTGTACGATTTGGAATAAAAGTGTATTAATATTATCTTAGTTAACCAATTTAAAATACGAGCAAGCGTCAGGGCATTTTGTGTACTAACTAATATACATAAATGTATTTTGCTAAGATAAATTATTTTTTCAATTAATAACAAAATTAATATAGGGAGGGCCGCTCGGGTATTTGCGCGGGTCAAGCATCTAGACTTCTCTATTATTATATCTACAATTTGTACTGAATAATTTTGCTCATGAGTAAGATGACATCGATAACCATCAGCATTGCCTTAGCAGTAGAGTGTTGTGTCTCTATTAATCCGAGGTACATACAATATAACACTCAAATTAATCAACATCGATCTAGACGTATGAGCCTGTCTCGTGTGCGAGCGAACCAAAAAACTTATGGTACGTTTTCTTATATTAAAGAAATTTCTTTTTCCAATTGATGGTTAAAATGTTGGAGAAAGCCCTCCATTCAATTTCATAAAATAGTCAGGTATACATCACACATTTTCCAGCTATTTGTATCATTTTCTATGAGCTGTGATCCCCCGCTTTCATGTGTTGCAATTCCTCGAGCTATCATTCATTCGGCCATGGTGGAATATGAAAGCACAAGTTTGCTACGGGTCTCCTTCAAATTAACCAGTAGTTTGGCCCAAGGAACAAGATGTGGAAGGTTCAAGCCAGTTGGAAAATTTGGCTCGTGGGCCACAAAACTCAAAGAAACGGATAGGTAATTATACTTGATCTATTGGGCCTTTACGCGGTGAAAGAGAGGGCCCAATTCAATTCCCAACCATCCGGATTTTCGTTTCCGAAGATATGGAAATCATTTAACCACCAAAAGAAAATTTGAAATACGTAATTAATTATTATATTTTTTTCGTTTTAAAATAAAAGTGACATTATGAATTACTCCCTCCGTTTCTTATAATAAGTCATTTTAATTTTTCTAAATTATATTCTTCTAAAATAAAAGTGACATTATGAATTACTCCCTCCGTTTCTTATAATAAGTCATTTTAATTTTTCTAAATTATATTCTTCTAATTAAAAAATAAAACTTTAAAAGTAGTTTATAATAATTAAGAGGACACAATAAATATGTAAAATATACTTTTAAAATTTTATTTTCAATTAGAACAAAAAACTAAGTGAAATTTAAGAAAAAATTTAAATGCGTTACAATAAGGACCAGAGGGAGTATGATTTTTGCCTATGTTTAATTTAAAATATGAAACCCTTAAAAGTTAAATTTTAACTGTCCTTTTTAAAAGAAAACTAGATACAATCATTGGGTGGGGTGTAATGATAGTTGTTTGAATCCCACATTGGTGTCGTTTTACACTGGTGCGCGATTTATATGTCCTTGGATTTTTCTCCCTTGCAAGGTAGCTTTGGAGGTAGGCTTCCCACCAAGAGGCATGTCAAGTGGTATCAGAGCTGGTTCCCACCCTTTGTACTGGCCTGTGGAAAGGGCTACCTAGAAGAAGGGCTACCCGAAGTCACGCAGAGTGTGAGCCACCAGAGGAAAGGGCTACCTGCAGAGTGAAGCCGCCACGGAAAGGGCTACCTGAACCAGAGTGAAGTTGTCTAGAGTGCAGCCGCCGAGACGTCGAAACGGAAGTGAGGTAATATGTAATGATAATTGTTTGAATCCCATATTAGTGTCGTATGACACTAGTGCGCGGTTTATATGTCTTTGGGTTCTTCTCCTTACAAACTAGCTTTTGAGGTGGGCTCCCCCAAGAGGCATGACATGAGAAGAAGAAAATCTAAATCGATTAAATAAGTCCGAATGCGTACAAAACAAAGGCAAGGCCCATAATGCTAGTGCAGGCCGCAAAGAGTTGTTATACATACAGTTGTGACAATGATAATCTTGGCATTTTGTAATCATCTATTTTTGTGACTATAATTAAATCAGGGATTTGTTAAGCGGTCAGTGGAGATAATGACATAATCAATTTTTTATGCTTTTGACGCATAAATCCCATTAATAATATCAACGTGAAGCCTACTGAAGAGACAAATGAACGTTTACAAGAAGTCAGCCGAAGGTCAACTACAACAATTATTCTATAACATTTTTTCAAGGGGATGGATTTTTAAAGCCACACCCTTTAGTACTTAAAGCCACCTAAAAAAAATTGGACGATTTTGTCCCTGTCATTTATTACAGTAGAGAGAGAAAGAAAATGAGTAATTCATAGGTGAAAAAAAAAACTTTAAAAAAACCGAATCGGACAAGAAAATCGTCCAGGTTCAACCGGGACGCGTTTGTGGTGAAAAAAAAACTTTAAAAAATCGAACCGGGCAACGTCCCGGTTGAACCGGGAACCCGCAACAAACGCGTCCCGATTAAACCGGAGACGTGCAATAAACGCGTCCGGTTCAATTGCCGGTCGCGCGGCACACGCATCCCGATTGAACCGTGGACGCGCAACAAACGCGTCCGGTTCAATGGCCGGATGCGTTTGTTGCACGTCCCCTGTTCAACCCGGACGCGTGTGTTGAGCGTCCGGCCATTGAACCCGGTCCAATCGAACGGGCCGGTTCGGTGAACACTTTTTTTTAATTTTTTTTAATTTTTTTAATTTTAATTTCATGCATGTTATGTTAATTTAATTAAGTAGGAATATTATTAATTTATTTGTTAATTTAATTAGTTATGTTAAGTAATTTAATTACTTGAATTTTATTTATTTATTGCATGTTATGTTAATTTAATTAAGTAGGAATATTATTATTTTTATTTGTTAATTTAATTAGTTATGTTAAGTAATTTAATTAGTCGAATTTTATTTATTTATTTAGGTTTAATTAATTAGAAATAATATTTATTTCGGGGGGAATTAAATAATTAAAGAATTTTGTGGAATAAGTATTTAATTAAGTATTGGAAATGCAATTAATTAAATATTTAATTAATCGCTAAATTAATGAATTCTAGCTATTTAGGTAGGTATTGGGAAATTTAATTTAGTAAATAATTTTGGATTAGTTGAGTTTTTGTATTTTTTTATAATTAATCTTTTTACTGTAAATGTATGTTTTTTATTATTTATTATGATTTGTATATTTTTTTTAAATGATTGGAATGTGTGTTTAATTTAATTTATTATAATGCAGTTTTTTATTGTGGTAATTTTATGTTTAATTTGTAGGATTCTTTCGAAGATTTTGGTGGCGATAGTGAAGATTAGTATATTGTTTGCTACAGATGAGGAATTTTCGGAAAAGGATGATGCTGTTGCTTGGGTGAAAGGCATGGACATCGCAAATGGTGTTCTGATGAGATGCTGTAAAGGGGGAAAGGTGTCAGTTGATGATGGTAAATACTATGTCACATCAGATTCGAAGACACAAATCACTGGGTGTAAATTTAAGTTATATGTGCACTTAGTTGATAGAAAGTGGCGCATTCGGGTGTAACTAATTTACTATTAACTAAATTAGTTTTAAAATTTAACTAATTTGCATATATTTAAATTAATGTAATCAATTAAAATGATTAACTTTACTAATCTACTAATAATTAAATTAAAAAATAACATAAATACTTTAATAACTACTTAAATTAAGTAATTTAATCAATTAAACTAATTAGATAGTGAACTAATCTACTATTAATTAAATTAGTCTTTTAAACTCAACTAATTTACAAATTAATCAAATTAAATTATTTACACTATTAAACTAAATAACCAACTAATAGAGAATCTCAATATAAATCACAAACTATTAAATAATAAATAACTACATTATAACCCTAATTACATTAAATTAAACATAATTAAACACTAATAATGAATTAAACAAATTAAAAAAAAAAACAAAAAGCATTCTGGCCGCCGGACGGCTAGAGAAGCCATCCGGCGGGGCCCCGGAATCGCGCCACCAGACGCCTTCCATGGCCGTCCAGCAGCCACACAAAATAAAAGAAAAAATAAAACATTTCTACCCGCCGGATATGCATCTACACTACAATACACGTTGCCCTAAAAGCAAAAGGTATGCATAAAGAAAATAAGCCAACTCCAACTTTACTTCCACTAATTTAGTATTAATTCAGTCAAAAGGCTGGAAATATTATCAGATCAACATTTATTATGTGGTTATTAATAATAATAACTAAACATTTATCAAACAACCCCAAAACTTTAACCTGTGGATGTTCTTCTTTCCTTTACTTTCTTAAGATCATTCGCCTATGTATGACTTATCTATATAGTAATTCATATCTTTATCTATATCTACGAAAGAGATGATGTAGGATGATTTTATTGCTTTGGGACAAGAGATGGTTCATTGTAATCTCTGTGTCCTACTAGTTCTTACTTACGGTGACGACGTGATAAATGGTATTCCCTCTGTCCCAAAATTATTGTCCAGTTTGAGATTTCACTTCTAGTATAATTTGAACTAGAAATGAAAATTTAAACTGGACAATAATTATGGGACGGAGGAAGTATAATTCGGGTGAACTTTCTCAATTGGCATGGGTCGTTCTCTCCATAATAATAAGGTTCATGGTTCATATCTTTGCCGTCAATGAGTATGAGTAAATTAAAAACAGACTTTGGTGCGCCAGTTTTTTCCGTTTAAAGTTTAAACAAAATTAGCAAGTGAACCACCCCCATGCCCCCATTAGTAAGTAAAGACATAAGAGCCTATAAGACTTAAGAAGAGGTCATTTTTTATACTCCCTCCGTCCCATAATTACTGTCCAGTTTTACTAAAATGAAAGATTTTATTTTTAGTCAAACTTAATTATATTTTACATTAAACAACCGGATATACCCCTACATAAGTAATTGTTTAACTACTAAGATTTTATGGATAATGTTTTTTACTAAGGACAAATGTGTAACTTGATCCATAAAAAGTCAAATTGGACAATAATTTTGGGACAAAATTTTTTAGACAAAGTGGACAATAATTATGGGACGGAGGGAATAATTTTTAGTTGGCCCTCAAAATCAAAATTCTACAACTTTCTGTTGCCATGACAATGAATACAATTTAACAGAGGAAACATTACAAATCTCTTTGTTTTCCTAGTTATCATTTATAAATCTCTCGTGTCTTAATTTCCTAATAGAAATTGATCAGCAGTACACGTTTCATCAAATTAATGGCGAACTAATGGACTTGGTTACTTCGAAGAAGTACATTCTCAGGGTGAAAACGCACTGCGGGAAATGCGAGAGCAAGCTGAAGAAATATATATTAGGAATTGCAGGAATCAGTTCTGCAAAGATGGATGAGAAGCAAGGAACCATGACTATTTCAGGCAGCCTGGATCCTTTCTTCAACTATATGATGCTAATCGAAAAAGGGTTCGGCCTAAAGACCGAACTTTTGTGGGAGCAAAAAAAACCTCCTCCCTCAACAAATAATGGGGGCAGCAACTCTTCACAAGATGAGGTTAATGCAGCTAAATCAAGAAAGCTTGATGATCATCATGATCCGCGAGTCATTGTTGTGATAGCCCAACAGGAAAATCTCTCAGGGACCAAAGTGTTGGAATCGGTTGAAATCAAGTTGAGTTTCAAATCCCACAACGGTGATATGATCGGTAACAAGAATGTGGAGCTAATAATTAATCAGAAAGAGGTTGACAATAATTCTGACCACCATCAAAAGGCTAAAACCTCCGTTAATACCGCTTCCGCCGCGGCCGGCGGCGGGCTTTGTGGTGCATCTACTTCTTGTTGTGGCAATCATCATCATCACCACCGTGTTGTGGATGTGGATCAGAATCCGAACAAGGGATTTGTTTGTGGTTTCTGTGGGAATCATGCGGCTACAGGTTATCCCATCTTTTACATGGGGCCGAATGGTGGTGGATTTGTTACTCCGCCGGGGCCGCCACCGCCGTGGTACGGTGGTTATAGTCCATCGGCCCCTCCTATGGGTGGGTCTGGATACTATGATTATTATTACCCACATCCTCCTCCTCCGGGAAGCGACACTTCATTTTTTAATCATTTCAGTGATGAATATCCTTCCGGCAGCTGCCACATTATTTAAGGAATTTACCTTCATCGCCTAGATTTTGATTTTTCTCCGGGTGGCTTGCGTGCATGTATTTCTGTTTTCGCACTCTGTGCAATTAATTGATGTAAGGTTGTTTCTTCATCTTTGTTTGCCCAATAATTAATGTTGATTTGTTCAGATCCTTTATTTGATTTAAACGGTCCCCCACTTCTTTATTTGGTTTGAATCAGACGCTCTACAATTATTACTCCCTCCTTTCCAAAATAAGTGTAGTTTTAACAAAATGAAGAAATTTTAAAATAAGTGTCGTTCTCACATTTTAATGCACTTTTTGTCCAAAGTTTCCAAAATTACACTCGAAATAATTAATACTACTGGTGGACATTTTTTTAGTGGGGTTGGTTGAGGATATTCAAGTAATTTTATTACCCTATTTAAGAGTTTCTTAAACTATGTGCAAAGTATAGAATGACACTTATTTTGGAATGTATGGAGTATTAATCATCTATATTGTTTTTGAAGATGATTTGTCAACTATATGATTTAAAAAAAAAAATTGTTCACTTCAGTTTGCATGCATGAATCGAATAATAGGTAATCAAACTTTACTAGCACCTTGAATTTAATAATCTTTCATGATTTATTTAGTTGAATTACTCAAAATATTACTTTTATGCATTTTTTTTTATATAAAGAAAAGCAAAAGAGAAATTAAAACCCATCTTTTCTCTTCATCTTCATCCCGTACATTAATCATATCCTCTATCATTATCCTTTCACTATTATCACGTACATTGTTGGTTGGGTAAATGTTATGCACAAAGAAGTTATGCACAAAGAAGTAAAGGATTAAAACAGGTAACTATTGATGTAGAGGACCAAAATGTGCCAATAACCTAATGTAAAGGATCAATTTTAGATTTTAATCTTCTTTAAATGAGGAGACTTAAAAACAGATTGTGAGAAAAGCGTAAGAAATCATTTCCTCTGCTCGTAAAATAAAAAGCTGAAATTATCCCATTTTCAAACTAGTTGACCGTATAAACAAAACCAACTTGGTCAACCTCAACAATTTCATTGGTTATTTCCCAGAAATGTATGATACAGATATCAGGTTGACAAATGCTGCTTCGGAACTACTCTTTCCCTGATTTAAACCTTTTTTACAACTTTCTCCTAATTCCATCACAATGATCAGTATGAAATCCGGGAAGGGGAGAACTCCGGCAATCGGAATCGACCTGGGAACCACGTACTCATGTGTTGGGTATTGGAGACACGACCGTGTTGAAATCATTGTAAATGATCAAGGTAACCGCACAACTCCGTCCTATGTAGCTTTCACCGATACAGAGCGCCTGATTGGTGACGCCGCCTTCAATCAAGTGGCCTTCAATCCCACCAACACCATCTTCGGTAGGTCATTTTTAACTAAAACCCCTTGTTTATTTCTCTGTTTTCTTACATATTATTTTGTTTTCCTTCCCCTTTTTGGTGTCTGTCCAAATGAAATGACGATAAAAATAAGTCCTTTAGATACTACCTAGACTTTGCATAAGACTTTGGGTTGACTTTGATGAACTGGTAATTGATTGCTATAGCTACTGCTAGCAAACATCTATATTTTTCTGTTATCAGAACTCTGAATTGATTGATGTTTCTGCCGGAGGTAGGGACATTTTTTTTTTTGGGCTTATCTGAGAACAGGATTCATCATCTTCCTTAAAAGAAAAAACGAATGGAACTACTAAAGATTTTTTACCTGAGAATGTATACCACAATAAACTTCCAAAAGGACAAACTGGTTACATTGGCCGGTCATCAATTTCAGTTTCCAATATGCTATATTTATATTGAGGAACATTGTTTAATATAGCTATTTCCAATATGCTATATCAATTTCAGTGATTATTTATTTGATGCCGGAATCTTTGCATTGTAGATGCTAAGAGGTTGATCGGTAGGAGATTTAGTGGTGAGACCGTACATAGTGATATGAAGGTCTGGCCATTTAAGGTCATTTCTGGTGTTAATGATAGGCCGATGATTGTTGTCACCTACAAAGGTGAGGAAAAACATTTCGCAGCTGAGGAAATCTCCGCCATGGTTCTAACCAAGATGAAGCAGATTGCCGAGGCCTACATTGGATCAGAAGTGAAGGATGCAATTGTGACCATCCCTGCCTATTTCGATCATTCACAGCGTCAAGCCACAATGGATGCAGGGAAAATTGCAGGCATCAATATTCTGCGTTTAATCAACGAGCCAACGGCTGCCGCTATCGCTTATGGTCTAGAAAATAGTTCTAACATCACGAGGAAGAAAAATGTTCTTGTTTTTGATCTCGGAGGTGGTACTTTTGATGTCTCGGTTCTCACGATTAATAGAAAAGGCAACATTAAAGTCAAGGCTATTGCTGGTGATACTCATCTTGGAGGGGAGGATTTTGACAATCGAATGATGAATCATTTTCTTAAGGAATTTAAGAGGAAGCATCGTAAGGATATCAGCGGAAATCCTAAATCAATGAGGAGACTAAGAACAGGTTGCGAGAAGGCAAAAAGGATCCTTTCATCTTGTTCCGAGACAAGGATCGATATCGACTCCCTGTTTGAAGGCATAGACTTCTCAGCAGCAATCACCCGGCCCAAATTCGAGGAGTTGAACTCCGATTTATTCGTCAAATGCATTGAGACGGTTGAAAAGTGTTTGGCAGATGCCAAAATGAATAAGAAAGCTTTAGACGAAGTTGTCCTGGTTGGCGGTTCAAGCAGGATTCCCAAGGTTCAGCAAATGCTACAAGATTTGCTCAACAAAAAGGAGCTTTGCAGAAGCATCAACCCAGATGAAGCTGTTGCTTATGGTGCAGCTGTTCAAGCCGCGGTCTTGACCGGAAATCACAGCAATGAGAAACTCCAAGACTTTGTACTAATGGAAGTCACCCCATTATCTCTTGGTCTTGAACTTACAGGGGAAGTCATGAAAGTTCTGATTCCAAGGAATACTGTCCTGCCCACAAGGGTAACAATGAAATTTACCACTTCAAATACGGTGGACGAAAAATCTTGCCTGCGAATTAAAGTGTTTGAGGGCGAAAGAGCGAGAACAACCGACAACCATTTCTTAGGCGAATTTGAGCTTGAGGGCATTAAAAAAGCCCCCAGGGGAACTCCTAGAATCGAGTTGTGCTTTGATTTGCAAGTCAATGGCATTTTGAATGTGTCCGCTCGAGATATGAATACCGATCAAAAGAAAAGCATCAGAATCAACAGCGGAAGATTATCGAGAGATGAAATAAATAGGATGATAAAGGAAGCCAACAAGTTTAAGGCCATGGACGAAAAGCGAAGGGAGAAGTATGAAGCAAGGTATAATTTTGAGTGGTACGTGTATTGGATGAGGGATCTGACAAGGAACAATTACTCCTATTCTTCTACTCAGAAAAACAAGGCTGAGGATGCAATCAACAAGGCCCTTCAATGGTTGGATGAGAAAAAAGAGCTTGCCTCAGTTGATGAATATGAAGAGAAGAAGAGGGAACTTAAGCTTCACATGTAGAAAAGAAGTGCTGACCGCAGGCTCCAGCCTGGAATGTTTTCTATGTTCAAAGATTTACATTGTACAGAATTTGTTTTTACCATTTGAATCTTTCACTTATTGCTCTCAATGATCCTTTTAGTTGAACTATGATTATTAGAGATGAGTTTAGAATGAGATTGGTAAACGCACTCTGAAAAATGGTGGAACTAAATTTTATATGTTTCAATTGTACGTACCTAGTTTCCCCTTTTACAGCTAGTTGTAAAACAATATTGTTCCGGAACTGCAGAAATGTGTAGTACAGACAAACTCAATTCTCAACTTCAGTTATTCCCCTGAAAGTTAAACTGAAACAAATGTTGTAACTAATTTAAGCAATTAATTAGGAAAAAACTTTCAAGTTCATCGCTTTCATATAAAATAAATAAATAAAGGCGAAGTGATTTATATTTTGTACAATATCGATATTGTACAAAATGTAAATCACTTCGCCTTTAATTAGTTATATTGACTTATCTCTATTTGGTATTTTCAAAGATGTGAAATCAGCTGCGAAAGAACTTTTTTTTTCAGTACCGTGAGAGAATGCACTTGGGTGAAAATGACCTAAAGAGAGTACATAACTAATCATTAAGTAATTTCGCCTATTTCTGCTTTTTTCTTTATTATCAGATTTTTTATTTTTTTATTTTTTTTGGTTCGGTTTCAGCTTCACTATGCTTCTAACATTTTATTATACTTTTCTTATCCCGTAATGACTAGACCAGTTTAAATTTTTAGTTTTAATACAAATTGTATTAAAAATTAAAGATCCAAACAATGCCATTATTTTGGATCAGAAGGAGTAGTTGTTGTACCAAAATATAAAAAATAAAAATAAAATAAAATTGGGAGAACCACGCAAAATAGATAAACTTAAGGGGTTGTTACATGTAATTAACTTATAAGGAACGCACTAATTGTTTTCTGCACAATTATTATAGGGAAATTTCGCTCACTTTCCTAAGAAGGTTCATGGTTGACAATACTGCTGGGGATGACAAAGATCCCCAAGAGGGATACGCTACACTATACATACATACCTCCCTAGCTATCCCAACGAATTAAACTCCGTCGATTTTACTTCATTCATGATCAGTAGCTTCCAAAACTTTATAGTATTTCTAAATAAGATTTCCATCAATCAGAAATAAGGAAACTATGGATAGCAAAGTACTCAGGGCCTGGGAACCACGTACTCGTGCGTGGCTTACCTGAAAGATGATCGAGTTGAGATCATAACCAATGATCAAGGCAATCGAACCACCCCTTCTTACGTTGCTTTCACTGAAACCGAGCGTATGATCGGCGATGCTGCTTACAACCAAGTTGCGCTGAATCCGGTAAACACCGTCTTCGGTGAGTTCCTCATTCCTTACCTCCACTTTATCAGACCTTGTTTTAACTTATTATTGCAAGAGATATATCATATGTGGACTTCTTTTTTTTTCTTTTCTTTTTCTTTTTATTTTTGCGATTTCAGAAGAAGATTGATCATCTTCATAAAAAATTAAGCTTGGCATGTATGTCGAAAAAGAAAAACAAAAAGGATAACTGGCAATGTCATAATCTTCAAACGAACTCTTTTAATTAGTTAGAGAAACTCAGAAACAAATCAAAAGTCAACGGTGCACGAAAGTCCAAGTATTAAGAGCCTGAACCCTATGCATTACCGTGATTTTACGTTTGATTTTTGTGTTTCTCAATTTTTCTTCTGAAATTTGGATTTATGTCATGATATACCTATTAATTTGATTTTGTAGATGTGATCAGATAATAGGAAAAAATCCATAATTCAATCCCTCTTGTAAAAATAAGGGTCTATGTTTATGGTTTGAGCAAATAGTTGTACCACAATATTAAATGAAATCCTTGCATTATATGTAGATGCCAAGAGGCTGATCGGTAGGAAGTTTGCGGATGAGTCGGTACAGAGTGATATGAAACTTTGGCCATTTGAAGTTATTTCCGGCATAAATGGTAGGCCGATGATTGTTGTCACCTTCAAAGGTGAGAAGAAGCAATTTGCTCCAGAGGAAATCTCCTCCATGGTTTTAATTAAAATGAAACAAATTGCTGAAACCTACATCGGGTCGGAAGTCAAGGACGCGGTTATCACCGTCCCCGCCTATTTCGATAATTCACAACGCCAGGCCACGATAGATGCCGGAGAAATTGCCGGCATTAATGTCCTGCACATTATCAACGAACCCACGGCTGCTGCCATCGCTTATGGCCTCGACAATCATTTTAGCATAACAGGGACGAGAAATGTCCTTGTTTTCGACATCGGAGGTGGTACTTTTGATATCTCAATCCTCACCATTAAAAATGGTGGCATTGATGTCAAAGCTACCGCTGGTGATACTCATCTTGGCGGGGAAGACTTTGACAATAGGATGTTGAACCACTTCATCGAGGAATTCAAGAGAAGACACAACAATAAAGATATCAGCAAAATCCTAAATCAATCAGAAGATTGAGAACCGCTTGTGAAAGGGCGAAGAGAATCCTTTCCTCGTCTGTTGAGACACGAATCGATATTGATTACCTATTCGAAGGTATTGACTTCTCAACAATTGTAACCCGGTCCAAATTTAATGAGCTGAATGCAGATTTATTTCTCAAGTGCATCGAGATAGTGGAAAAGTGTTTGACGGATGCCCAGATGAACAAGAACGCGATAGATGATGTTGTCATGATTGGCGGTTGTAGCAGGATTCCAAAACTTCAACAAATGTTACAAGAGTTGTTAAATGGAAAAAATCTGTGCAGAAACATCAATCCAGATGAAGCTGTCGCTTACGGCGCAGCTGTTCAAGCTGCGATCTTGAGTGGGCAAGGGAATGACAGAGTTCAGGACTTCAAAATCGTGGAGGTGACCCCTTTATCTTTAGGTATTGGGATTAATGGGGACGTCATGAAGGTTTTGATATGCATCTACACTACAATACACGTTGCCCTGAAAGTAGTCTGTTGTTGTTTGGATAATATTTGTCTGACATTTTGATTTTTACATATTTAATGAGATCTTATGTTTAGTTTCAAATTGCATATTGCTGGGTTGTTTTACATTATTTAAATTTTGATACTGCTTTTCTGAGTATGTTAAAGATCATTTTCAAAATCTAGTGTACAGTTTAGTGTTGAATTTTTGTGGTCTTTCCAGGGTTTTTAATATTTCACTTAACTTGGGATAGTTGTTCATTTCTGGTAGATCTACTTTAAATTTGTTGAATCAGTTTCTTGAGATGGTTTTCAATAGATTTATGTGTTAAAAACAATCATCAAATTTGTATCTAAGAATTATATTAAAGAGCATGTTTAGAACCAAAATTTACATAGTCGAAGTGTTATATTGCTTTTCTTCCAATAGAGTTTTCAGTTTGATTAATTTCCACTTGAGGGAAGTTGTTCATTTCTGTTTTGTTAACTTCATGTTTGTTGAATACAGCACCGTCTTCAAAATGCGCCGGGTAGAGATATGTGACTCTGTATTGAAGAGATACATGTTCTTTCTACAGTTGCTATAGGGCCTCTTATGTAAATTCCATCTCCACTTAACTTTGATACCTTTATTATTTGTAACAAAATTCAGTTCTCTAGGTTAGAAATACTCATGCAGGTCATAAAGAAAATAATGAGAGAGTTATTAGGGGTCGTTCACTATACAATTCAAATTCGAGACTCTGAATTTTATGTTTTTCTTTGTGCAAGTTTTGAATTCTTTGGGGAAAAAAATTATTCATGTTAAAATATTTGAATTTCTATTTAGGATCGATTTAAGGTGAAAAAGTATATTGATATTTTGATTTGTGTTGAGTCAGTGGCCTCTCCTTATGGGCAAAATTTTAGATCGATTTAAGGTGATGGATTTTTGGTGTGCTCGGAAGTCTCTATCGTCCAATCTTATTTTCAGTGTTTCAATAGGCATTCATAACATCAACAATATAATTAAAAGCGTGTTTGTTGTTCTTTATGTGCTTTCGTGACTTAATTAGAGTGGTTATTTTGTTTTTGGGGCTGAATATAACAGATTTTTAATATTACTATCTGTTGATTGGATTTGACAGAGAACTTGCAATTGGCACGAAAAAGCTAGGTTGCATGCCGCAAACCTCTTCGGATTACCAAGGATAGATGATACTAATCATTTGCATATTAGTTTTGGAAGAATTCCAGAAGCCTCCCAAAAATAGCGGTGGTGTTGTATGCAAGAAGCTAAAGCTTCAGACAAGGTCCAACCTACATATGTTTTAATACAGTTATGGTCTTAATAGTGGATAAACTGTTATAACTGATCAATAACGTCGGTAAATTGTTCAAATTTCTTTTTGGAATTGATTTAAGATGAAAAGTATATATTGATTTTTGACAAGTTGGTCCTAAAATTAATGGCTGATTTATCAAAATTTTGCAAAAGATAGCAACAAATTGAACTTGAAATGGATGGGAAAAAAAAAAAAGTGCATATGATAAAGCATATTCAGTTTGTCTTGGGAAGTAAATTCATAAGGATTGTACTATTTTAAGGAATTAAAAACAAAACTCAATGATAGAAAAGTTAATACAGTAAAGTGGAAAGACAAAAAAGATGTTCCTACAAATAAGAGAATTGGTGGGATGAATGCTATTCTTACTAAGGTTTTTACCAGATAAGAAATTAATTAGGTTCTCTGAATTTCTAGCTGGGATTGATTCTGCTCAAGCTAAGGAACTGTTATAATGTTCCTATATATGCATTTGGTTAGATACTTTCTTACTATTTGAAGCTATAAAGATTGTATTATCGGAAAACTTTTGCTACTTTTTTTTTAAAGAATAATTTTTACAGCAGTTCTTAGTGACTGGGAATGAAATTTTATATTACTTCTTATGGCCTAAAAAAAAGAGTGTAATTTGAGTTTTGAGTTTTGTACGATTTGGAATAAAAAGTGTATTAATATTATCTTAGTTAACCAATTTAAAATACAGGCAAGCGTCCAGGCATTTTGTGTACTAACTAATATACATAAATGTATTTTGCTAAGATAAATTATTTTTTCAATTAATAACAAAATTAATATAGGGAGGGCCGCTCGGGTATTTGCGCGGGTCAAGCATCTAGACTTCTCTATTATTATATCTACAATTTGTACTGAATAATTTTGCTCATGAGTAAGATGACATCGATAACCATCAGCATTGCCTTAGCAGTAGAGTGTTGTGTCTCTATTAATCCGAGGTACATACAATATAACACTCAAATTAATCAACATCGATCTAGACGTATGAGCCTGTCTCGTGTGCGAGCGAACCAAAAAACTTATGGTACGTTTTCTTATATTAAAGAAATTTCTTTTCCAATTGATGGTTAAAATGTTGGAGAAAGCCCTCCATTCAATTTCATAAAATAGTCAGGTATACATCACACATTTTCCAGCTATTTGTATCATTTTCTATGAGCTGTGATCCCCCGCTTTCATGTGTTGCAATTCCTCGAGCTATCATTCATTCGGCCATGGTGGAATATGAAAGCACAAGTTTGCTACGGGTCTCCTTCAAATTAACCAGTAGTTTGGCCCAAGGAACAAGATGTGGAAGGTTCAAGCCAGTTGGAAAATTTGGCTCGTGGGCCACAAAACTCAAAGAAACGGATAGGTAATTATACTTGATCTATTGGGCCTTTACGCGGTGAAAGAGAGGGCCCAATTCAATTCCCAACCATCCGGATTTTCGTTTCCGAAGATATGGAAATCATTTAACCACCAAAAGAAAATTTGAAATACGTAATTAATTATTATATTTTTTTCGTTTTAAAATAAAAGTGACATTATGAATTACTCCCTCCGTTTCTTATAATAAGTCATTTTAATTTTTCTAAATTATATTCTTCTAAAATAAAAGTGACATTATGAATTACTCCCTCCGTTTCTTATAATAAGTCATTTTAATTTTTCTAAATTATATTCTTCTAATTAAAAATAAAACTTTAAAAGTAGTTTATAATAATTAAGAGGACACAATAAATATGTAAAATACACTTTTAAAATTTTATTTTCAATTAGAACAAAAAACTAAGTGAAATTTAAGAAAAAATTTAAATGCGTTACAATAAGGACCAGAGGGAGTATGATTTTTGCCTATGTTTAATTTAACATATGAAACCCTTAAAAGTTAAATTTTAACTGTCCTTTTTAAAAGAAAACTAGATACAATCATTGGGTGGGGTGTAATGATAGTTGTTTGAATCCCACATTGGTGTCGTTTGACACTGGTGCGCGATTTATATGTCCTTGGATTTTTCTCCCTTGCAAGGTAGCTTTGGAGGTAGGCTTCCCACCAAGAGGCATGTCAAGTGGTATCAGAGCTAGTTCCCACCCTTTGTACTGGCCTGTGAAAAGGGCTACCTAGAAGAAGGGCTACCCGAAGTCACGCAGAGTGTGAGCCACCAGAGGAAAGGGCTACCTGCAGAGTGAAGCCGCCACGGAAAGGGCTACCTGTACCAGAGTGAAGTTGTCTAGAGTGCAGCCGCCGAGACGTCGAAACGGAAGTGAGGTAATATGTAATAATAATTGTTTGAATCCCATATTAGTGTCGTATGACACTAGTGCGCGGTTTATATGTCTTTGGGTTCTTCTCCTTACAAACTAGCTTTTGAGGTGGGCTCCCCCAAGAGGCATGACATGAGAAGAAGAAAATCTAAATCGATTAAATAAGTCCGAATGCGTACAAAACAAAGGCAAGGCCCATAATGCTAGTGCAGGCCGCAAAGAGTTGTTATACATACAGTTGTGACAATGATAATCTTGGCATTTTGTAATCATCTATTTTTGTGACTATAATTAAATCAGGGATTTGTTAAGCGGTCAGTGGAGATAATGACATAATCAATTTTTTATGCCTTTGACGCATAAATCCCATTAATAATATCAACGTGAAGCCTACTGAAGAGACAAATGAACGTTTACAAGAAGTCAGCCGAAGGTCAACTACAACAATTATTCTATAACATTTTTTCAAGGGGATGGATTTTTAAAGCCACACCCTTTAGTACTTAAAGCCACCTAAAAAAAATTGGACGATTTTGTCCCTGTCATTTATTACAGTAGAGAGAGAAAGAAAATGAGTAATTCATAGGTGAAAAAAAAAACTTTAAAAAAACCGAATCGGACAAGAAAATCGTCCAGGTTCAACCGGGACGCGTTTGTGGTGAAAAAAAAACTTTAAAAAATCGAACCGGGCAAGAAAACCGTCCCGGTTGAACCGGGAACCCGCAACAAACGCGTCCCGATTAAACCGGAGACGTGCAATAAACGCGTCCGGTTCAATGGCCGGTTGCGCGGCACACGCGTCCCGATTGAACCGTGGACGCGCAACAAACGCGTCCGGTTCAATGGCCGGATGCGTTTGTTGCGCGTCCCCGGTTCAACCCGGACGCGTGTGTTGAGCGTCCGGCCATTGAACCCGGTCCAATCGAACGGGCCGGTTCGGTGAACACTTTTTTTTAATTTTTTTTAATTTTTTTAATTTTAATTTCATGCATGTTATGTTAATTTAATTAAGTAGGAATATTATTAATTTATTTGTTAATTTAATTAGTTATGTTAAGTAATTTAATTACTTGAATTTTATTTATTTATTGCATGTTATGTTAATTTAATTAAGTAGGAATATTATTATTTTTATTTGTTAATTTAATTAGTTATGTTAAGTAATTTAATTAGTCGAATTTTATTTATTTATTTAGGTTTAATTAATTAGAAATAATATTTATTTCGGGAATTAAATAATTAAAGAATTTTGTGGAATAAGTATTTAATTAAGTATTGGAAATGCAATTAATTAAATATTTAATTAATCGCTAAATTAATGAATTCTAGCTATTTAGGTAGGTATTGGGAAATTTAATTTAGTAAATAATTTTGGATTAGTTGAGTTTTTGTATTTTTTTATAATTAATCTTTTTACTGTAAATGTATGTTTTTTATTATTTATTATGATTTGTATATTTTTTTTAAATGATTGGAATGTGTGTTTAATTTAATTTATTATAATGCAGTTTTTTATTGTGGTAATTTTATGTTTAATTTGCAGGATTCTTTCGAAGATTTTGGTGGCGATAGTGAAGATTATAGTATATTGTTTGCTACAGATGAGGAATTTTCGGAAAAGGATGATGCTGTTGCTTGGGTGAAAGGCATGGACATCGCAAATGGTATGATAATAAATGTAGTTTCTAGCAAGAGGAAGAATGGTGTTCTGATGAGATGCTGTAAAGGGGGAAAGGTGTCAGTTGATGATGGTAAATACTATGTCACATCAGATTCGAAGACACAAATCACTGGGTGTAAATTTAAGTTATATGTGCACTTAGTTGATAGAAAGTGGCGCATTCGGGTGTAACTAATTTACTATTAACTAAATTAGTTTTAAAATTTAACTAATTTGCATACTATTTAAATTAATGTAATCAATTAAAATGATTAACTTTACTAATTTACTAATAATTAAATTAAAAAAATAACATAAATACTTTAATAACTACTTAAATTAAGTAATTTAATCAATTAAACTAATTAGATAGTGAACTAATCTACTATTAATTAAATTAGTCTTTTAAACTCAACTAATTTACAAATTAATCAAATTAAATTATTTACACTATTAAACTAAATAACCAACTAATAGAGAATCTCAATATAAATCACAAACTATTAAATAATAAATAACTACATTATAACCCTAATTACATTAAATTAAACATAATTAAACACTAATAATGAATTAAACAAATTAAAAAAAAAAACAAAAAGCATTCTGGCCACCGGACGGCTAGAGAAGCCGTCCGGCGGGGCGACCGGGACGCGCAAGAAACGCGTCCTGGTTCAACCCGGAATCGCGCCACCAGACGCCTTCCATGGCCGTCCAGCGGCCACACAAAATAAAATAAAAAATAAAAAATTTCTACCCGCCGGATGGGCATGGAAGCCGTCCGGCGGCTTGACCGGGACGCGCAAGAAACGCGTCTCGGTTCAATCCGGAACGGGCGTTCTGATCATTCGGGGTTGAACGCGCCGCCGGACGGCCTCCTTGACCGTTCCGGCGGCCAGAATTTTTTTTTCTTTTTCTACAATTCACAAATTTTTTTTTTAAAAAAATGTATTCGTGATGAGATCAGCTCTTTCCCGCTTTGATTCTCCCGTGTTGCCATCAATTTTGGATCAAATTAGACTTCAAATTGGGGTTTAGAAGGGAGGTGGCTTCAAGTTTTCTCTCTGTTTTCCTTTGGTGGAAGTTTGAAATGTCAGGAGCAAAATGGTCTTTTTTTTAAAGTGGCTTTAAGTAGTAAAGATGGTGGCTTAAAAAACTAACACCCTTTTTCAAAATTGGGGTGCATTTGTTTTCAAGACAAGGTGTTCCCTAGTCTTCTCTCTGGCCACAAATAATTAATTTAGGGCTTGTTTAGTAATACTATTCATTGCTTAAGTTTATTTAATTAAATATTTTTTCCATTTTGACATGTTTGATTAAAAAAAAAACTGAACATCTTATAATAAATTAAATACTAAAATGTCCAAATGGTCCCTTACATTTGGCCCTACTTGAATTTACGTTTCTAACATTAACATTTCAATATCGTGGTCCCAAATATTATGTTTTCAAACTTTTTTAGTCCTATTTCACTATTTCAGTCACTTTTCCGTCCAGCTCGATGTTGACCGGCCATTGACATACCGGAATCAGGGATATTTTTGTCTTTTCATTTAATTTGAACTTCCACTAAAATTTAAATCATTAAAAATATTATGAAATTTACATTTCATTATTTAATTATTAAAATATTATTTTATCTATTAATAATAAATAAATATTATTTCCCAACTTCCTCTCAAACTCAACAACCCCAACCCCATCAAATTTTCCACCGTCCCCAAAGTCTCCGCCACCATCGCCGTCGGCGACAAGCTCCCCGACGCCACCCTCGCCTATTTGGATTCATCCAACGAAGTCCAGACTGTTTTCATAGGTATAGAGGATCAATCTTAGATCCATAACCAGAATTTTTGAAGGAGTACTTGTTCTGGAAAATCGAGATGCAACTCAAGCTGGTTCCCAGAAACTCTGCCGGAACTGTAACCGCCTATTATCTGTCCTCTCAAGGACCGACCCACGACGAAATCGACTTCAAATTCCTTGAAAATCTCAGTGGCAATCCTTATACTCTGCATACAAATGTGTTCAGCCAGGGGAAAGGCGGCAGGGAGCAGCAATTACATCTCTGGTTCGACCCGACTGCAGATTTCCATACTTACTCCATCCTCTGGAACCCACAAAGAATCGTAGTTTCTGTGGACGGGACTCCAATCAGAGAATTCAAGAATCCAGAGACAATTGGGGTGGCTTAGTCCAAGAATCAACCCATGAGGATTTACTCCAGTTTGTGGGATGCAGATGAATGGGCAACCCGAGGTGGGCTCGTGAAAACGGATTAGAGCAGAGCCCCATTCACCGCTTCTTACCGGAATTTCAATGACGACAAAGCTTGTGTTTGGTCCTCTGCTTTTTCTTCATCTTCTTGCAGCAGCAGCTCAATCAGTGGGCAATCATGGCTGAATGAGGAGTTGGATAACGCTAGCCAAGAAAAGTTCAAATGGGTGAAACAGAAGTATATGGCTTATGATTATTGCTCTGATTCCAAGCGATTCCCTTCAGGGTTTCCTCCTGAATTTACATTTGAAAGCTTTTAATTATATACAAAGGGAGAAAGAGACTAGAAAGATTAGATTTTGATCTTGAGTGGCAGTATTGAATTAGGAATTTATCAATCCATCAACGAGCAAACTCAATAATAAGACCATGTCGACTAATTACTTTTTTGTGATTCCACGTGGGACTACGCATTACTAGCACAATGCCAATAAGTCAGCAGCAGCTTCTTTGTTATCCGCGTTTGAAAGTTCGATCTAAGACCGTTTCTGAGAGCAAGTAGGGGTGAAAGCACCGGAGACGGCAAAGAGGATGGCTTTTTTTTTATTGGCAGTGAGGTTGGAGATGGAAACGGTCTGGACTTCGTCGGAGAGGGTGGCGTCAGGGAGCTTGTCGCCGACGGAGATGGTGGCGGAGACTTTGGGGAGTGGAAAATTTGATGGGGTTGGGTGGTGGCGGAGGTTGTGGAGTTTGAGAGGAGGTTGGGAAATAATATTTATTTATTATTAATAATTAAATAATATTTTAACAATTAAATGATGAAATGTGAATTTTATATTTTTAATGATTTAAATTTTAATAGAAATTCAAATAAAATGAAAAGACAAAAATACCCCTGATTCCGGCATGTTAACGGCCGGTCAACATCGAGCTAGACGGAAAAGCGGCCGAAACAGTGAAATGGGACAAAAAATGTTTGAAAACATAATGTTTGGAATTACGATATTGAAATGTTAATATTAGAGACGTAAATTCAAGTAAGCCCAAATGCAAAGGACCATTTGGACATTTTAGTCTAAATTAAATAATGTTAATATTATTGTACAAAATATAATCAATAAAAATTAACATATTATTTGTTTTCTTTTTAATGAAAAAGGGAGATACCAATAGTCACCCGTCAGGGATAAGATACCCGATGACATATTGTCATCTTGGTACAACCAAGATTGGACTCATGAGAGATACCATCCAGTCGAACTAGGCCTCCTGGATTTGACTCCGCAAGTATAGCTAAAAAGTCTGCAGCAAAATGATTTGTTCTTTAATTGCCCAATAGATTTCACATTTGTATTCAAAATTAAGCACTAAATTTAGTACTTATTTCAAATTTAAATATTATATTTATGAACGATGAATACTATACAGGGTTACATATCACCTAAGGAAATGTGATCATTTTCAGTTTCGAGTTCAGAGTTTCAGACCAACCATACACAATAAGAACACCCGCCACAAGTACCAAGTTTAGGAAACGGGGGTGGAATCATGCAACAGTTCTAATAAAAATTGTCTATTTTCGCATAACAAAATTGTCTATTTTCGTATCCTGGATTTGACTCCGCAAGTATAGCTAAAAAGTCCGCAGCAAAATGATTTGTTCTTTAATTGCCCGATGAATTTCACATTTGTATTCAAAATTAAGCACTAAATTTAGTACTTATTTCAAATTTAAATATTATATTTATGAACGATGAATACTATACCAGGGTTACATATCACATAAGGAAATGTGATCATTTTCAGTTTCCCAGGGAACGACATCATAGAGTTCAGAGTTTCAGACCAACCATACACAATAAGAACACCCGCCACAAGTACCAAGTTTAGGAAACGGGAATGAGAAATTGTCTAATAAAAATTGTCTATTTTCGCATAAAAAAATTGTCTATTTTCGTATGGGAATGAGAAAGAAAGAAAACGGAAAAAAAAAAAAGCCTAAAAATGCTGAATACTGCAAATTTCGTACGCTGCCGGCTGCCCTGCCCCAATCTCCATTTAGACAATCTGAGCAGTCGGAAACTGAGAATCACGCTGCTGGTGGCTCGGCCGGGAATGGGGAGAAGGCGTTTCGGCGGCGTTAGAATCCAACAAGTGCATCAGTATCTGCGGGGAAGGCGCGGCGTCGGTGCGGCACATGGGGCAATTGGAGTGCGAATAGAACCACATATCAATGCAGTCCCTGTGAAACGAATGCACACATTCCGGCAAAGTCCGCAACTCCTCGCCTTCTTCGAACTCCGACAAACAAACCGGGCACATCCCCCCGTGTTCGGAAACCAAACCCGACCCCTTTTGGTACTTGTGGGACGGGATGAGTTCCGCCAAGGAATTCTCCATGCTCATGCTGTTCTGGACCGGGTCCACCAGCTGTTGCTGATGATGATGGGCTCTTAGTTGCCACGTATGGCCTCCGGTGCGTAAACGGAGTATGGCCCGGATGTGGCCCGTTGTGACACAGTGGTAGATCGTGACTACTACGGCTGCGGAGGCTGCTGCTACCAGGCAAATGATCAACCTCGGAAGCAAGGTTGACCCATCGTCCTCCCCATCCGCCATCAATAATAATATTAATGAACAAAAAGAAAATTTACAACAAAGATCAACTGTGATAATATGGTTGTAATAATAGAACAATGATGATGATTAATTGTATGAAGAACATGACGAAGGAGTTGGCCGGAGTTTACGAGAGGCTAATTACGATAATATTAACATTTTTACACTTTTTAATTTCTACGTGCGCATAATTTTTGTCTGGACTGATGTGTTTAACTTGTAGAGTTTAATCTATCAATCTGGTCAAGGTTGGACTTCGGACTTTTGGACTTTACTTTTTGTCTTTTGTTTTTTGAAAATTTTTTCAATCGGAACATGTACATATTATTATTATTATTATTATTATTATTATTATATACTACATCCGCCCAAAAAATAGTTCATATTGAGTTTTCAAATTTGTATTGTACAACACTTAAAAGCCAATGTAAACTAGTTTTTTGGGACGGAGGGAGTATATATATTGGAAAAGTCGAAATTTAAGTTACAAAAACAACTCATCGGCGGTGAATTGAACTAGGACAGTCTAGCAATATTTTCTCTAAGGTTGCAGCGGGAGGCTTGACAAAACATGCAACCCCGACTATACTTGAAACCTAATTTGGCTAATGAATTGGCTGATTCATTGCGGGATGTTCTTATATGTGAGACTCCTATCACCCATTGACGATTTAAAAGCTTTTTTATTCTACTGAGCACATTACTTGAGATAATATTTGGGCTTTCATCATTATTAAGGGTCGTAAAATAAGTGTCGGCCACTTGTTGGGTCGTAAAAGTCTCCAACTAAAACAGAAGAAAAACCACTATTTTTGGGCCTAATATTCAGCCTAGGCAGTTCGGGATTGGAAAAACAGGCTGGGTCTGGTTTTGCTCAGATCATTGCATATACAAATGTGAAAAAGAAAAAAAAAGAAAGCTCGTACCAGGAGTGGTGTGTTTGTTTCCTTTTTTTTATGGTATTTTCAAATTAAATTATCATTACATAGTTCATTCCAATATATTTTTTACATTTTTAATACGTTTTTTTATATTTTCAATAAAAAAATACCTAAGAACATACAAGAAACAAACAAACTGCCGTTCTTGAGTTTTTCATTGTCTATTCTAATAGATGCTTCTGTTTTGATGTTTGAGTGTTATCATGACTCCACCATAATACTATGAGGGTAATTTTCTCGTCTAATACAATCTCATTAGTGTTTTAGGTGTTATATATACCTCTTTCATTATTTCTCTTATTTTCTCAACTTTTTTTTAAACTTTATTTCAGAAGTTAGAAAACGCCACTTTCACTATTTGTGGCAAAACAAATGGGTAGATTTGTACTCTAGAGTCTCGATACAAATCATTGTTACACATAGGTGAATATCAATATATCGGATATAGCTTTTATATATTCTGACCTGATGGCACAACTCAACAATTGTATAATGAACTCAAGATTTGAATCTTTAAAACAAATAATAATTCACACGGTACAATTGCATATATTGTCCATACATTCTACGATGTACATTCTACGGTTCTAGGAGTATTCATTTTCAATTTGACAAGTCAAGTTATGCGGTAAAAATACTATGCTATTCTCAATTTTTGTAATATTGTCCACAAATTACAATGTGAAAGAAATATATTTTTGAGATGCATTCCTACGCTTAAACTCTAAACGATAATATTTGAAAAGCTAAACAAATTGAGCGAAGAAATATACAATCAACTACCCCATCAATTTGTTGTCATCGAATACGATCTCCACCGTTGTGAGATAAGGTTATAGCCGATCGAGGTGCCTTACGCATGAATTGTCATCGAATACGATCTCCACCGTTGTGAGATAAGGTTATAGCCGATCGAGATGCCTTACGCATGAATTCGGTGAAGGATATACACAACTCTTTCGGCATTAATTCGATAATGCACGAATTCGAAAGCATATCGACAATGATTATATCAAATGCCGAAATAGTTGTTATCGTTTTAAACTTTTTGTAGTTGCGGAGTTAGTTGAGTATGAACGAATAATTGCTAAACATTTTTTCTAATATTTGCATGATATTTACAGTCGACCATAGTAATAAATATCGCACTATACATATCAAAATCAAAGATTTCAATGCGTATCATAATGTGTATTGCAATTATTTGTGTATCGTCGATTATCGAAACAAATATCGTACGATACATACGATACATGATACGATTATGTATCGTACAATATAAAAACATAGGCAAAATATTTTTTTTCTTGAAAGAATTCAAATTTTTGTTTCATAATGACCATTTAAATTTTAAATTAAGAGTGAATTCCATTTACAATTGTTTTAAATAGATACTTTTAATTTATTTCATTTATAAACACAATTTTTCTCAATTGACGATAAAATTGCTTATAAATTACTGTAGTTTAAAAAATAAAATTATAAAATTTATTATTCTACTCATAATATCATTTTTTAAATCAAGTATAACTAAAAGCATGTTGAATAAATGCAATACATATTTATATTAATTTTCTCACTATTAAATTTATGGCTATAATAACAACTACTATGAAAAGTAATATTTATTGTATAGATTTTACTACCATTATTCATGTAATTAATGAGTAATTTTCGTAACTTTTAAATATTTTTGAATCCAACTAAGCAATTTATTTGTTTATAACTGAAAAACAAATAAATATATATCAATTGCATGTGGAGTTCATGATATTTATTATTTATTTTATATATGTTATTATATTAAAACGTATCTTACGATACGATACGCGTATTATAACTTTGGTTTCCGATACACGATATATATTACGATTTGATAACTATATAGTCGATAACAATAACTAATATTGATCATTGAATTATAGGCATTTCAACATGTAAGATAAATAATTAAAAAATTTAAGATTGTGAATATAGCGATGTAAAAACCCTCGACGTAAGGTTAAATGATTTTTATCACTTTACATTGAGAGAGAAATATTACTATCTTCGTCTCACAAAAATAGTCCACATTGAATTTTCAAATTTTTACTAAAAACAATACAAAACTCAAAACTCAATGTGGATTATTTTTGTGAGACGGAGGGAGTAACATTTAAAATCAAGAAGAATTAGCTAGCCTGCATGCATTATGTTTCCGTTTGATATTTTCTTATTAGTTTAGTGCCAAAAAAAAAAAAAAAAAAACTCTTCATTGATTGAAATATATTATTATATTTTTTGCTATTTTTTTTTTTAAAAAAACAAATGATATGGTAAGATGGTGACCCCAATTTCACCACATCCAAACCTGCTTTCTGCGGATTAATGCTCTTTTAGCCTAGATTCCAATTTGCTTTTTTTGTTTAGCTTGCTTAATCTCAATCTTGATGTTAGCTAAGGTGTCGAAGCTGCATGCATGCGAACATATGGCATCTCCACTTTTTATGGGTTTATACGGTTCTTTTATATGTTGAATCATGAGGCGCTGGTTGCTGCGTAATTGTAAACCAATAATAATAATAATAATAATTAGTTGTCATAGGATGCAGGTGATATCTGATGCATAATCCAAACAATTTGTACCTTAAAGCATAGATAAATTAATTAGTAACCAGAGGGTTAATATAATCAATAATGCATATCCGCTTTTTTAAATAATCAATCCTGGTCGTGTCTTGAAACGACAGAATGAATTATAGCTAGCTTCTCATATCAAAGTGGAGAAACGCTTTTTCTTTTTCTTTTTTTTTTTAATCAGAGAGGATTAGCGGATTTAACTAGGCCAACAATTTATTAAAAGAATTAGTCGTTGTTGTAGTATATACACCCAATTATATATATATATATATATATATATTGAAAGAAATCAGTAGAGTGCTGGTGAAATGATTAATGAAAAAGGATGACATTGAATGTGGAACAAGAGTACTAAGATACCGTATATGGTTGAGCAATCGACTTCTTCTAAAGGGTTTTAATAGATAAGTTTAATAAAATATGGAAAAAGCTATATATGCTTAATCATGTCTTTGGACTGCATAATATAATCTATAAAGGTTGAAGAAACCAGGAGGAGGTAGCACCTGAACCGGGGGAACCAAAACCTAGATGAGAACTAGTACTTCTTATAATTGATGATAGACTGAGGAGGTTATTACCTCTTTCTTCCCAAGTCAACATATTAGCCGATCGAGATCCGTCGACTGCACCATAAAAAATTCATAATAAGGGACATCGAATTTTAATAATCTTTGGGAATATAATAAACTCCTCTTAAAATAATAGTAATAATTTGTGCAAAGACTAAAGAGTTTGAATCGAAATTGTCTCCCGAAAAGAGAGTTAGGTTTGAAGTTTGAATAACAGTTGAAAAACGGGAAAATGTTAACAAAAATTATGTTTGTTGCTTTATTTAGAAAAAGTAAAAATAACAGATGGAAGATCGGAGTTGCACAAAACAAGTAAAAAGAAAATGTAGTAAATACGAGGAAGTGGATGGGGGAGATAGAGAAGAGTGTACAAACAAACAACGTGGGAAGTGTTGGTGGGAAGGTGCAAGGAAAGTACGTAGGAGTGAGTACCAAATTGGTATAAGAAGGTGAAATAGCGCAAATGTTGACACAATAGCCGATGAAAGCCATATGGGGGGGTTCCAGTTTAGTGTGGGGGATATCATTATCTGGGGTAGCTTTTATCAACAGCTAACCCAGAATTCTCTGTATCCAAAACCCTTTTTAATTCAATTATACAAAACTGGGAGATTTACTTGTTATATGTAATAATTATTAAAAATTCTGAAAGGTTAAGTTTGATCCATTCTTCAAGACACCCTCTTCTTTTAATCTGACCGATCCAGAATTGTTCTTTCACATTTGGTTATTACCAATTTGAGGTAGGGCTTATCACACCCTTTGTTTATCTACTTAACGTAAACGCCTGCCGTTACCACCCCGTTGGTATTTCTGTCTGGTTCTCTTCGTCAAACCCAGTATTATTACTTTTTTTGGGGGACAATTTTTTAAAAATTACTTGCTAACTTACAACAGCAAGTGACAATGGTAATGAATAATTAGAATGATGTGATTAGGAATCAACATTATCGGCGAATTGATTGGAGAAACTAGAGAGTTGTTCGGTAGAAGCTGGAAAATGAAATTAACACATGATCCCGGTGTTTTAACATTTGAAATTTTGAACGATCATTTTTTTAAAATCTCGGAATAGGTTCATTTGATGATTTAGAATTAGATTGTTGACTCTTTAACTGCACTATAAAGAAAAATTAATTTAGCTGAGATAATTAAAAAAAAATTTAATTTGAATAATGTTGCAATTTTTATTAAAACAGGAGAAGAAAGATAGTAGTATATCATTTGTGAAATTACACAAAGATAAGAGGATAATCACTGTGCCAAACTTTTCAATATTCCTAAATCAAATAGTCGCAGGGAAAGCTGTTACAAAATGATATTTTGACCACTGTTGCTTTTATAATTCCATGAGGAAGATCTTTTTCAAAACCATGTTCCCATGTCTCCAAAGTCTTATGGTCTGCGAGCAATAATATCTACTAGTAACTAAAAAAAGAAGGAAGACTAGAGAGATAGATAACCACGTTTAACATTCGAAAGGATAAAAATCGGTTATATTGTCATTTGTCAATCGCGTGGACCATCCATCCCCACTCCCAACCCAAAGGGGGTCTAAAAACAAAAATCAGGAGAAAAGACCATCAAATACAATCACGTCATTTCTCCAATTCGTTAACAATATAAAGTTCCGTCCGCCTACTACCACTTCAACTTCCGCGTAGGTGGATATGAATTTTAATCAGAGGTGGTACGGGTATCAAGTTCGGTGTAAACAATATATTTGGTTAATAAAAATCTATATTGAATAATTATTTTAAGACGGAAAAAATAATACGACTTATGTATTTTTATGCTATACATATATAAACCTTTATATAAGTTCCTCGCATGTTCAATTAAAGAGTGTTGATTTCTTTATATAGAATATTGCCTAATTAAATACTCTTTTCTTTTTTTAAAAAAAAATAGTACAAATCTGCAAAAACTCAATTTAGATTATTTTTTTACAGACTCATCGTAATATTATTATTATTATTTATTATATCATCATCCAAATGGATCTTGTTACTATTATTTATTAGCAAAGATGATACTTCTGTATATAAATACTGACTGACAAAACAATTTAATTTAGCAACTTTTGTGTCTTCTCTCATCATATTTCCATTTTCCACCCATTTCATATTATTTTGTGAAACATATGCAAAAACTATTTACTGCCGAACAATAAGATTTTGTATCATTCCGTGTATTATGTTTTCACTACTTTTTCTTGATAGCAAGTCTTTTTAAAAAAATTTTTGACCACGCTGGTTGCTGGACCACCCAAATGACCCACCCGCATTAACAATAAGGCGTAGGAATCAGGACTACTACTTATTATCAACAGCTGTGGGGGATGGTTGCTTTTGGCCTCTACTATTACTAGTGTATTTCTTTTCTTTTCTTTGATCGGCCGACCACTTCTTTGATGAGAGAGAACGAGTTAGCTGTCCGTTTCTTCCTGATAAGTGATAAGCACCACTCGCCACTTGCCCAACTCTCCCTTTTCATCTTTCTTACGTTTTCCTTAGCCCCTTTTCTTTTTACATGTTTTTTCCTTTACATGTTCGTTACACTTGTTCCTTCCTCCATCATTGCCTTCTTCTTCCCACTTGCGCCCAGAATTTTTTTTTACCTCTTATGAAATACAACTACTAACAATATTTTCTCAAGATCCAAATAATTAAATGATGGAGTAAAAAACAAAAGATCCATGACCATCATTTACAAACAAGGACCAGCTCATACGTTTATACTCTCTGAAGACATTTTGATTTGTCTGTTTCACTTAATATTAATTGAAAAAGATTTAAAAATATAATTTTAGATTCATTGTATTTTCTTAATTATTAGAAAATATTTTTAAGATTTTGTTTTAATCGAAAAAATATATTATGTGAAATTTATGACAAATCAAAATAACTTATATTAAGAATCGACGGAAATACTATTAACCACCTCTGTCTCAAAAAATAATCCATATCTAATTTTAATTGTATTGTTTTAGTAATGTAAACGTTTTTTTTCCCTTTTTTTTGGACAACGATAGTATTAAATTTCCTTATATTACACAACAATAGCTCACATTCTTGAAGTAATATTTCAGATTTTATCTCGAAGAAAAAAAAACTGAGAATAATATACACATCACAGAGGTAGAAAAAAATTATGAAGTTAACTTATTTCTTCTAAAATGATTTTCATGTTTGAATTTTCATTTTTAACGTAATATCGAGACAGGTAGTAATAATTTGGTCATTGAAAAAAAATTTGTGAACTATTCTCAAATGATTTCCGAATTTTATTTTTAACTAATTTGTAATAAAAACAAAACTTTGAACAGAAAAATGATTTCAGAATGAAAAAAGAAAATAATAATTTGGTCATTGAAAAAGAACTCGAAGAAAGAAATCCAAAAGATTATCAATTTGCTGTAGGTAAACATAGATGTGATTTCTTATTACGTACCCCACAAAAAGCATACAATTATTAAAAAATAGTAATACTTAATTAAAATAACATAACAGGTGTGTATATAAATTAAAGAATTGGGACTACTAAAACAAGCAACAATAAGTCAGACGCCTTTTTGACCATCCTATTTCACCCCCCTCTCTCTCTCTATCTTATCATCATCAGTTCATCACCGTTACCTAACGGCGTCTGCTCTCCACACGACGGCCTTATGTGGTGCAGGTCTTTCTCAGCCGTCTCGACTCTTCCGTTCCACACCTCCGTCCCTTTAAAACACCCCTCTTTTCTTCCCTTTTCTCTTTCCCATCTCTTTTGTTTTTGCTGAGGGGGATTCAATATTTCAATAGGCTTTTTTCATTTACAAGGTAACCCTGTGCTCTTCTCTTCTTTTATCTCATCCTATATCATCCTTGCTATTTGATTTTTGTTGGGCTTTAGTTCTGATCATACAGATTCGTTGAGATTCAAATGCGTTCTAATGCACTATGATTTCTTAAGTTGTGGGGGGATATTTGATTGGTGTTGAGTAAATTATATAGATGGGTTTTTGATATTTTTTTCCCCTGTATGTTACTTCTGGGGAAGGCGTGAATAAAAATGAATTTTTTATGCCTTTGGATTCGTTGGAGTTGTTGCCGATCCTGGTTTGAGGATGTTTTGTGATTCTGGGTCTTTTGTGGCTTTGATTTGTTATATGAATATCAATATGTTTGTGAAGTGCTGCTCATGTTGTTGATTGTTGGCCGTGGTGGGAAAACTGATTCCACCCCCTTGAAAAATAAACGCCCACTGAGGAAAAAATGGGTGAAGATCTTCTCACAAGTTTATGCATGGAAAGTAACCGCTTGTCTACTCTTTTGACCATGGATTCTAGCTCATCCAGTCACGATGAAGCTGATAGGGAGTTGAATCGGGCTGTTAATCTCTTGCAGCCCCCGCCAGATATCAATCTCCCACTTTCATCCGAGCCAAGCCCTCCTCCGTCCCTGTGGAATGATACTTGTGAATTGTTGGATGTTGGTATTGGCCCCCAGCATTATGAGGTGGAGGCCAATATTAATGTCACTAAAGTTGGAAAGAAATGTGCTAAAAGGTTGGATAGCATGTGGGGTGCTTGGCTTTTCTTCAGCTTCTATTTCAAACCTGTCTTGAATGAGAAATCAAAGAATAAGGTCACTTGGGAGAGTAGTGGTATCAATGGGTATGATAAGTCTGATTTGAAGCTGGATACTTTCCTTGTTCAGCATGATATGGAGAATATGTATATGTGGGTTTTCAAGGACAGGCCTGAAAATGCTCTGGGTAAGATGCAGTTAAGGAGTTACATGAATGGGCATTCGCGGCAAGGGGAGCGGCCTTTCCCCTTTAGTGTGGAGAAGGGTTTCGTGCGATCTCATAGGATGCAGAGGAAGCATTACAAGGGCCTTTCAAATCCTCAGTGTGTTCATGGTATTGAGATTGTCCGGACTCCCAATCTTAATGTCCTTGATGATGAAGAGAGGAAGAAGTGGATGGAGCTTACAGGGAGGGATTTGAACTTCTCTATTCCCCCTGAAGCCAGTGATTTTGGGTCATGGAGACATCTCCCAAGCACTGATTTTGAGCTGGAGAGGCCTCCACCAGCCTTGAAGAGTAACCCAAGTTCCCAAGCTAAAAGATTGCTGAATGGCTCTAGTCTAAATCTATCCACCCAGGCATTCAATAATGCAAATGGTGAAGGGATGGAGCTTTTATCTATTGCCAACAAGCGGAAGAGGAACTTCTTCGCCAACGGAAATGAGGATGATTTCTGTTTGCCTCTCGCTACAAACCAAGAGAGAGTCTTGGACATTCATGCTATTGAGCCGTCGTGGTTGGGTGAGTTTACAGGAGTTATGAGGAGTGCATATGGACCTGTAACAGCTGCAAAAACTATATATGAGGACGACCTGGGGTTTTTGATTATCGTGAGCATGCCTTTTGCTGATCTTGAAAGGGTGAAAGTGACATGGAGAAACACTCCGTCGCATGGAATTGTGAAGATATCTTGTGTGAGTACTGGTTGTGTGCCGATTATTAAGAGGCAGGACAGGACATTTAAGCTAACAGATCCAGCACCAGAGCACTGCCCTCAAGGAGAATTCATTCGCGAAATTCCCCTTCGAACTCGCATACCAGAAGATGCTAAATTAGAAGCATTTGGTGATCCTACAGGAACCATGCTTGAAATTCTTGTTCCCAAGCATCGGGTAGGACCAGAAGAGCACGAAGTTCGCGTCTGTCTCCGCCCGTCTCCTTGGAGCGAGCGTACATACGTCGACTTGACAGAGGCTTTGGTGTGAGGATTGTAAGGATTAGTTTAGAAATGGGTCATTTGCTCTTTAGTTTTACTAATCAATTCAATAGTTGGAAATTGTTAATTAGATTTGATTTCTGTTCTATTAGCCTACTCCTTCAGCACAAAGGAATTTCTTTAATATTTCTGTAGTAGTATTGTTGATTCTCACTGAATACCACAACATAGTATTCGGAGGATCATTACAGTTTTATGTTCCTTTTCTGTGTCCCTTCAGAACAGTAGAAGGAACTACAGGCTCTCATGAATTTATACGAATCCTGTAGTTTTATTTGTATTCTAGAACTGAAACATCATTAATGGATAGATCCAGAAACCAGCAGTTTCTCCCTGTTATATATTGTACTTTTATAGCTGATATGAAAAATCTTGCGTGATAGTGCTTTAAGTAGATAATGGGTTATGATGAAAATGGTTTCAGCCTGTTACCATTCACTTCTTGCTTCTACGAAGTGTATGAATCTTGCTTCGCTTAAATTAGATGGTCGTTTCTATGCGTTTTCTGCTCATTTATGAACTTCCGATGGAGTCCCATGGTAACCTCACAGTCTCACTACGCACGTGGACAGAATATCGTTGGTTGAACACAGCGGGTCAACAGTCAACTCGCGACAGATTCTTGACTTTTGGTGCAATTTGCAGCCAAGACGCAAAGCTGTATCCAGTACAATGTTGCCTAGTGCCCACGTTGAACGGACTTAGGTCCCACCCGCTGTTTGGCCAAGTTAGTTTGTCAAATTGTGCTGGTCAGTCTATCAGGGAATTGGAAGTTTACTTTGTTAGAAAAGGACTTGGAAGTTGCTATGTAGCACCACCACTATTCTCCTGGATATATACATATAACTTTGCCGTTGCACAAAACGTTACTCGAGTTTAAATGTTGAATCAACCGGCGTTATCATCCAATTTTAAGGCTTTAGTATCAAGGGGAAGATGAACCATGAAAAGAATGGCGTAAACAATTTTTTAAGGCAGGACACAGAAGCAAGAGAAAGATAAATTCCGCAGATAAAAACTAGCAAAAGGCTTGAAGCACTTCTCAAGATGATCTTCTGAGCAGCGCTCAGCAGAGGAGTGATTTACATAGTAGAACGAACTAAAGCATAATTGCATAAAACATCCATTACTAAAAGAGTTCTAAAATTCTAAACACCATAAAAGGCCATAGTTTCGAGATATTTTTCACTTCCAGGAGTGACCTGAAACATGCCACTTCCCCCCAAGACCACCAAAAAAAACCAGCATCACTGTCTCACTGACAGCTTAATCAACTTCCTCAATCTTAGGACCTGCACCAGAACCGCCACTGCCACCACCCGAGGGCATGTCATCGTCCATCCCTCCAGGCATATCCGCGCCGCCAGCTCCCTGGTACATTTTAGCAATGATGGGATTGCAGATGCCCTCCAACTCTTTCATCTTGTCATCAAACTCTTCAGCCTCCGCTAGCTGATTCCCATCCAGCCACTGAATAGCAGATTCAATGGCATCCTCGATCTTCTTCTTGTCCTCTTCAGAAAGCTTGGAGCTGATCTTCTCATCCTTGATCGTGTTCCTCATGTTGTATGCATAATTCTCAAGGGAATTCTTGGATTCAACTTTCTTCTTATGCTCTTCATCTTCAGCTTTGTACTTCTCGGCTTCCTGCACCATCTTCTCAATTTCTTCCTTTGACAACCTTCCCTTGTCGTTGGTAATGGTAATCTTGTTCTTTTGGCCAGTTGTCTTGTCTTCAGCAGATACATTTAGAATACCATTGGCATCAATGTCAAAGCATACATTGATTTGAGGAACACCTCTTGGAGCTGGGGGAATGCCGGAAAGTTCGAATTTCCCAAGCAAATTGTTGTCCCTTGTTCTGGTTCTTTCACCCTCATAGACTTGAATCAAAACTCCAGGCTGATTGTCAGAGTAGGTTGAGAACACCTGCTCCTTCTTGGTTGGTATGGTAGTATTTCTGGGAATCAAAACAGTCATCACACCTCCGGCAGTCTCCAGGCCAAGTGACAGAGGAGTCACATCCAGGAGAAGCAGGTCTTGCACCTTTTGATTGCCTTCCCCACTTAGGATAGCAGCCTGCACTGCAGCACCATATGCAACAGCCTCATCAGGATTGATACTCTTGCAGAGCTCCTTGCCATTGAAGAAGTCCTGCAAAAGTTGCTGAACTCTAGGAATTCTGGTTGACCCACCAACAAGCACAACATCATGGACACTGCTCTTATCCATTTTAGCATCTCTCAAGCACTTCTCAACTGGCTCCATACATTTCCTGAACAAGTCCATGTTCAACTCTTCAAACCTTGCCCGAGTTATAGTGGTGTAAAAATCAATCCCCTCATAAAGAGAATCAATCTCAATTGTGGTCTGGGCAGTGGATGACAGAGTCCTCTTTGCTCTTTCACAAGCTGTCCTCAATCTCCTAAGAGCCCTTGGATTCCCGCTAATATCTTTCTTGTTTTTCCTCTTGAACTCCTGGACAAAATGGTTAACCATTCTATTATCAAAGTCCTCTCCACCGAGGTGAGTATCTCCAGCAGTGGCCTTCACCTCAAAAATGCCCTCTTCAATGGTAAGCAAAGACACATCAAATGTACCACCTCCAAGGTCGAAAATAAGCACATTCTTCTCACCGGTGCTGCTGGCTTTCTTGTCAAGACCGTAAGCAATGGCAGCAGCAGTAGGTTCATTGATAATTCGCATCACATTAAGGCCAGAGATGACCCCTGCATCCTTGGTAGCCTGTCTCTGTGAATCGTTAAAGTAAGCAGGGACAGTAACCACCGCATTTTTAATGGTAGACCCAAGATACGCCTCAGCAATCTCTTTCATCTTGGTGAGAACCATGGAAGAGATTTCCTCTGCAGCAAACTGCTTCTCCTCTCCCTTGTGGGTAACCACAATCATGGGTTTGTCACCAGGACCAGCGATGACTTTGAATGGCCAGTGTTTCATGTCGCTCTGGACAGACGGATCACTGAATCTTCTACCAATCAGTCGTTTGGCATCTGTTAAATAAAAGTTCATCATACATAATTAGAAACAGATTTATCAATACAAACCCAAACTAGGAAACAATATACCAATACTACGCACTGATAAATTCGTGACCAGATAAAGCTTAAACACCAGGCACGTGAAGATGTAAAACAAGTTCTCCTTTGTTGTCGTAAAACAAACCCATGCCAACATATAATTTTGAGAAGATATGATACATGGAAAAAAGTTGTCCCACAATTTCCCCTGCCTATCATGAATTTAGCAAGCACATCACCAATAACTGAACTCAAATCTGGGAGTGAAATCATTGCCCACCCCCGCACCCACACAGCAAAGGAACACGGCAAAATAGAAAGCAATTCGAATCAACATTAAGTATTACAACTGGATAATATCGAATCAAACACTCTGTAGTCCATGCATCAGGCGAACTCAAAATTAAACCACTCATAGTTCGTAACAACAAAGGGTAAATTCAAAAGCATATAATCCTAGCAGGATAAGCTTCACATCCACCGCCTTAAAAAAAAGGATTGGAAGTAAGAAGCTTACCAAAGACGGTGTTGACGGGGTTCATGGCGACCTGATTCTTAGCAGCATCTCCGATTAGACGTTCCGTATCGGTAAAAGCAACATAAGACGGCGTCGTCCTGTTGCCTTGATCATTAGCGATGATCTCAACACGGTCATGCTGCCAAACTCCGACGCATGAATACGTCGTACCGAGATCAATCCCAATTGCAGGGCCTTCACCTTTTCCGGCCATCTTCGTAGAATCACCAAGCTAAAATGAACACAATACCAAAGAAAAAAAATTCGACTACCAAATAGAAGTAATCAAAGAAAGGGGTATGAAATCAACTCGGAAAACAACTTCTCTCTGCGATACGATGAAGAGGAAAGGGGGATTGCTGGGTGGACTTTAAATAGTAGAGGTGGTGGAAGCTGAATTCTAGAATATTCGGTGGAAGATTTAAGGCCGTTGGATCATAGAACGTGGACGGCGTGACAGAGATTTTGTGCACCGATTTCGTCGTTTGGTTCTTTCTTGATTTTAGATTGGTCCTTTACATAGGCAACTTTTCCAGGGCTCTTTACGTTTTTGGGTGCTTCTCGTTTCTTCCAGGCTATTCTATGGTTTGGACTAATTAATACTCCTACTGTATTTGTTTTAGGCTAATTAAGTACTACTGCCGGTTTAGTTAGTACTTAATCGTTGCTCTGGACCGTTCTACAGTCCTGTGTTCCAAACCGACTTTGGTTAATCATTTTAGCTTCATCATATATATATATAGTGATGCTTGGTCGCGCAATGCGCGACCCTAGCCCAGTCTATCTGTAGATCTTAGAAATGTTTATATTTGAAAAAAAATAAAATTTTGTATTTGGAGCGATATATTTTAGAAATGTTTGAAGGATTTAGAAATGTTTTATAAGTGTGATCATAGAAATATTTGTATTTCGAAAAAAAAAAATGTATTTCGCCATGTATGTTTTAGAAATATTTTATAAGTGTTACTTATTAAATATAAATAGCCTTAATCGAATATATGTGTTGAATTAAATGTTAGATAAAATATAAAAGCATCCTAATAAATTTAAATATTAGTAAGATGATTTATTGATGTTCTCCATTGGTCGTACCAAATCAATACTTAGTTTTGGAGATTTTTAATAGCTTTGTAATAAGCTTCATCCGAAGGGTATACGCTTAAAACAAAATTGACACTTTGTAACAAAAAACCTAATTAATCAATTTAATTTAAAAAACCACTCTAGTTGAATGAAACATAAAGAAAAAATTAAAAAAAAAAACGTATCACGTAAAGTGCAAAGGGAGATTTAGTAATTTAGTTATGGTTAAACAAAAGGGCAATTTAGTATTTTCTAGATGCCACGTGGCAATCATATGAGGTGTTTGAAAGGGAGGTTTTTGTTTCTAATATAGTAGGATATATATATATATATATATATTTTGGTAGTACTCTTTAAAATATACTTCATCTGTCCCAAAATTATTGTCCAATTTGAGATTTCACTTCTAGTACAATTTGAAATAGGAAATGAAAACCCAAACTGGACAATAATTATGGGACGGAAGGAGTAATTATCAAGTTCATTTTTTTTCCTTCCCAAATGGTTATGTTTCTTTGTTTTCTTTTTCATTCCCTCTACTCTTAAATGATTACTCCATGATTAATTATATCTGTTTATTTTTTTTCATCCCCACTACTTTTAGATGATTATTCTATTGAAATACGCATTTTAGCTATTCATTTTGTTCTTATAATGATTATATTACTATCATAAATTTGCCAAATCATTAATATTTAATAACGTAACTGATATTTTTTAATTATTAAATTTTATTCTTTTATATAACTTATATTATATTATTATATGTACGCGTGAAGAGCGTCTAATCTATCTAATTTTAACTTTTTTTAGCCGGCTTTACATGGTGGACTTAACTATTATTAGAAATTTAATTTAACACCTACTAAGTACCAACAAAGCAAAGAAAATAAAAGCCTGAATATATGAAATGACCTTTTTTTAAAAAAAAATAAATAATAAAATATTACTAAAATTTATAAACTCCACTCCAATAAAAATTGAGGAGTCAGCTCTCATCTTGCCTATTGGCACTTTTAGGGGTTTATTATGACTAATCTATTAATAAACTCTCAATTTCGCACCCGAACTTGTCACTCCGGATTTACCTGGGATGGTTTACCTCTCACTCTAATTTACAGGTTATTGCAGTGGGCGTGAATTTTCCCATCGCTGGTGGGGTTCTGGCGTTACCAAAATTTTTTTATAAATTCTTCAAAATACAGTATCTGAATTCACTTTATTAACCATTAGTTATAATGACCTAAGAAGTAAGAAGTAATTTTGTGGCCTGTAACAATATATAAGAGCCCAATCATATATAAGAGACCTTTGAATCCGGCCCAAAATTAAAAGTCGGCCTCCATAATAACCATTCTAAATTTCCCAAGGTATCGTCATCACAATTTACTGACTCTTCTTTATTTTTCAGGAATATTGTTTCTGTATCACTTTTTCTCTTTTTTTTTTTCCCTGTAGTACTTAGTTAACAAAATATTTGAGATAATTGTCAATGACTTAAATCATTTAGATTACATTTTTCATTCATATAATAATTATTATAGTTTTTCAATGCTATTCAATCTAACATTTAAGTCAGGTAGCTCTGAAATTTATGAGAATTTTTTTTTTCAATTTCAGAGCTGCCTGAAGAATTTTGTTCATTCAATGCACAAGTCAATTACTTTGACATTCTTTGATTACTGATTTAGCAAAAGAGACATTCAATCGGCCGAGAAAAAAAAAATGCTGTTCAAACGAAAGGCCCAAGGATCTCAAGCTGTCTAAATATGCACCGCAAGCTGTACCTTTATATCAAAATGCTTCTTCCAAACCATCGAGCTGTGGATATGAGGAAGAATCAGTGTTTCACATCTTGTTGGAATGTTCTAGATCGCGTTGTATCTGGCGATTTTCGATGCTAGGCTTTGACTTTAGCACAGGACCCCATACTCCTTTTAACGTTTGGTTTGTGGAGTGGTTCCAATCAGCTCCGGATGACTCTTTACGAGGTTTGTCTCTTTATATTCTATGGGCGATCTGGAAAGATCGGAATAAGATCCTTTGGTCCTCTGAAACACCAGTTGATCCTGGAGTTGTGGTTAGACAAGCTACCATGGAATGGGCCTCATATAAGGCGGATGTTTCTCCACCTCTCTCCTCTGTTTCTGATCATGTGAGGGCTGTGGCGCCCTCCCCTGGGCGTCGTCGGCTGGTCGTGGATGGAGCTTTTCATGCTAATACTAATAACGCTGCCGCTGGTTGGGTTTTGTACAATTCCATCGGTGGGACTATTGACTTTGGCAGCACTAGGTTTCAAGCTACTTCTTCTTTGCAGGCCGAGGCACGTGCATGCTTGGTAGCTCTTGTCGCTCTCGCGTTTGGGGACTGGAGGAGTTTCTGAAGCGCATGTTTTGGCAACTCAAGCAGCTTCAACGGTTGTATCTGTTTAACTTTATTCTCAATGCAATTTGCGGTTATCAAAAAAAAAAAAAAAAAAAAACCATCAATAATGAATAATGCTAGGCAATTAGGCATTAAAAAATGTTGAATAGTCCAAAGAAATATCAAAATGGCAAAACTAGGAGCCGATATTTGCCATTTGTGATTTGATAGATAACATGTTTTGTTGTTTGCTAAATGGTGTAAAATGGATAGCATTCTCTTTCTCTCCTTAATTCTATGGATCTTGCGATTGTTGAATTATATTCATCCCTCCTCAAATAAAACTCTCACAGTATTTGTTAACTGTGAAAATTAATTATTGTTACATTTCATTGCTGAGCGGGTGAAGAGGGCAGCAAGGGTTCGTTCCCTTCCCTTTAAATAATTTACTCTATGCCCAAAAAATATATACTGTTTTTATAAAATAAAAATCCTTAATGTAGATTACTTTTTGAGACAAAATAATTAATGAGTACCTTTTGAAAAACACAAAATTGAGTATGAATGTAAAAAAAATTGTTTTTTATCCCCAGCGGCATTTTTTAATTAAAAAAAAAATATAGACCCTAACTTATAACTTCGTTACTGAACTATATATTATTATTCGAATATAGTAACATCAACTCAACAAATACAATTTGAGGAGTTTATTGTAAAACATGATACTCCTCCATTTCAAAATATAAATCACTTTAAACTTTGTATGTAAACTAAGAAGACAATCATTCAACAATTAATTTGTGTTAAATATGTGTTTTATCCCTCGTTAATTACACTGGAACTATAAGTAATACTAAATAAAAAATAGATTGACATCTTGAGGGTAAAGTTAGAAAACTAGTCATTAATTTGCCTAGAAATGCTAAAACGACTTATATTTTGAAAATTTTCTCCAAACCTAAAACGACTTACATTTTGAAATGGAGGGAGTATGTGAGTTTACCGCTCTCCAATAATACGGTCACACATTCAACGTGATTTTGAGCCGGTTGAGATTCTTTTCTTTTGTTGTTCTTTGTCATAAGCAGGGTTTTTATAGAGTTTTTAAATTATAACTAAAAAATGCAACGAGATTATTATAGTATGGTATTTTATTCTTAAAAATACTCATCTCACCCAAAAGAAAATAACAAAGATTACGCTATAAATTACATTATTTTTAGTATAATTTACAATTCATAATGGACTGTTTTTATAGGATATATAGATATATTATACTAGATGCTTGGCCCAGGCAGATGCTCGGGCGCCCCTCTACTTTAAATTTGTGTTAATAGATAAATAAATTCATGATTTGGAAAAAATAAAATAGCTACACATTTGGTTTTTTTTAGTTTTTTTCTTTTTTTTAGTTAAAAATAAAAATAAAAATAAAAAATCATCTGTCAAAGCAAAAAAATATTAAAAAGTACAACGATGTAGAAATCATACAAATGAATGTAGAGTAATAAAGGGGATAAGTTTATAGACAAATTTAAATGCTATTTTAATTTGATTGATAAATGATAAATGTTAGGTGTTAAAATTGTGTAGTTATTTTTGTAAAGTAGCTTTATTTCTCGGGATAAGATTTTTTTTTTCTTTTAAAAGGGGATGACACGTGGCAGAATGGTCAATGTAATATGGTGCATTTGGAGCCAAAAAGTTTTAATAAGAAGTTGCCACATCAACATTCCGTATTCTACTTTAATAGGGTAAAAGGGATTATACTAGATGCTTGGCCCAGGCAGATGCTCGGGCGCCCCTCTACTTTAAATTTGTGTTAATAGATAAATAAATTCATGATTTGGAAAAAATAAATTAGCTACACATTTGGTTTTTTTAGTTTTTTTTCTTTTTTTTAGTTAAAAATAAAAATAAAAATAAAAAATCATCTATCAAAGCAAAAAATTATTAAAAAGTACAACGATGTAGAAATCATACAAATGAATGTGGAGTAATAAATGGGATAAGTTTATAGACAAATTTAAATGCTATTTTAATTTGATTGATAAATGATAAATGTTGGGTGTTAAAATTGTGTAGTTATTTTTGTAAAGTAGCTTTATTTCTCGGGATAAGATTTTTTTTTTCTTTTAAAAGGGGATGACACGTGGCAGAATGGTCAATGTAATATGGTGCATTTGGAGCCAAAAAGTTTTAATAAAAAGTTGCCACATCAACATTCCGTATTCTACTTTAATAGGGTAAAAGGGATATGTATTATCAGTATTTTCTAATTTAAATTGACAACAAACAAGACAATTTTTAAAATTAAGTGAGAACAATTAGAGACTTTGATTTCAATTAGTTTTCTCTTAAATTGAATAAATTTGGTCGTTTAATATATCATTGATTTGTTTTGCGTGTATTATATGTCAGTATATTTTGATTTACCAATTGTTAGTAGTTTATCAATAGATCTCATTCTATTGTGATTGTGGTTGGTCATTGGTTTTGTCTATAACTTTATTGTTATGGTCCATACATGGTTTATGTTCGAGTATTTATAGTCAAAATAGTGCTATATTTTAGATTTATATTTTGGGCTTTTCATACGAGATCAGAATTTTTTTTCTTTTGTATGTAATATTTCAAAAAAGTATTTGTGGGTGCTATGGAAGGATTTGTGGTTTGTTCGTCCGCACCGAAGATGTTCAGTTGACTCTTTGATATAGAATTATAATTGATCAGGGCTTGTTTGGCCAACATTTTGTTTTTATTTTTGTTTTAGTTTTTTGATTTAATTTTGAGATGTGATTTAAAATGAGAAAAAATTTTAAAAATTGTTTGGGTGATATTTTAAATAAAATGATAATATTTTTAGACCACCATCGGACCACCTCCACCACCGACATCGTCGCCGGCAGGCGACCGGCCAGTTGGATTCCGGCCAAATTCTGAGCAAGTCGTCGAGATCCGGGGGGAATCGACCTGCCAATCGCTGGGTTAGGGCACAATTTATAAACTACTAGAATCGTATATAATTGAATCACATATAACATTTAGTTTTAAGTAATGTTTTGTTTTGAAATAACAAACTATATAATTTCAGGAATACATTCAAATTAGGGACGAAACCAGGGAGGCGCAAAGGGGGTTGTTGGGTCGGCCGAATTTTTCCAAAAAAATACTTTATAAATTTTAAAACATTTCAGAAATTTTTTTTCTATATATACTCGATTCTATGAATATTCAGAACTAATTTTGTCAATGATTCGGATTCTTCCGAAACTTTATCATTGCAAAGCATATTAAGGAAGAAAGGAACATAATTTCATTGGATCCATCCATTGACACAATAAAGTCCAAATTTTGGATGCCTTGCATTTTGGTGGATATAGCAAGTGTACATATATTGTGAATTACCGAATTATATAGCGAAGAATGTAAAAAGAGTAAAACCGCAATTGCAATTGCAACCACTCCAAGAGGGGTAATTTTATAACGTAAACTTTTACTAGATCTGTCATTTTTTTAAGATTATACAGGTATTTTTTTTTATAGTTAGTTTCATTTTTGTAATAATTTTTATAGATTTTTTAAATTATATTCTTAGAAGATTTTCTCCGTTTCTGAAAAGTCATCATATTCTCTTTGTGCGGCGGTGCGGGGCTGCTACAATCGTAACGTGCTTTGGAATAATTGCCATTGCAATTTGTGTCCCTAAAGTAAAACACCCAACGCTTCAATTATTATTACCACAGTAAAGTAGTAATTTTAAATATCAGAAAAATGTTTACCACCCGCATCATAATCAATGATTTGAAGATGCACGCAACAACGATAACAACCCGAATAGTTTACTCTGCCAAAACAGTGATTCCATAAATTTGCATTGATCCCGCTTGGTGTGGTCACCAGAAAAGGACTAAAGGAGTCCTCTTTAATGGAAGGAATTTAACAGCTCTTATAAAAATTTACTGTTAAAAAAATCTCTTCTTCTGTTTCGGGAAGATATCTTCTTCTTTTCACCAATTTGACACCAAGAAAAGTCCCAAATAAAGAAAGAAGAAGAAGTTAGAGAGAGAATTGGAAAACAAAACAACTCCAGGAAACAGAGGAGATTGAGTCGGATACCCTTTTTTTTTTTTTTTTTTTCTCTTTCCCCTTTATTTCCTATCCCTCTTCTCTTCTTCTCTTCCATATAAATACAGTCGGACGATATTGGAGAACCTTGTCTCTTCATATGACGCCGTACATGATACATTCATCCCAAGATTATTTATTTACGCTAATCTTATAATTTTTTTTCTTCTTTTACTTTTTTTTTAAAAACTTTTTATTTAATTTATTTATTTATATATAACATGGCTATATAAAATTCCCCTGTTACCTTTTCCCTCTCCTCTCTTTTGGCACCCTAGAACCTTCTTTTTTAACTTGCCCCTCCCTTCTCCTCTCTCCATCCATCCTCGCCCTAAATTATTATTTTTTATTTTACATATTTCCCTGTTTAATTTCCATGGCTTCACCATCTCAAGCCAGTCTTCTGTTACAGAAGCAGCTCAGGGGTATTGAGAGATTCTAACCCTTCTATTTTTTTATTTATTTTTTTTGTTTTGTGATCTTAAATTCTGTGAATTAATTTTAGTTTTTTTTCTAAATAAATTTAATTCGGTTACAAGGGGTCAGCTTTTTTGATGTAAAGATCGTTTCTTTTTTTCTTGCAGATCTATGTAAGCATCCCGTGGATGGATTTTCAGCTGGTTTGGTTGACGAGAATAACTTATTTGAATGGAGTGTCACAATTATTGGCCCGCCCGATACTTTATAGTTAGTTCCTATCTCCCTGGTTGGGATTCCCTTGATTTAGTCCCTTTTGATCGATTGATTCGAATGATGGTCGATTTGTTCTGAATTATATGCTGGATTCGTATGGTTGTGGTCGAATTTACTTTTTTGCTAAGGGGTTTTGGGTTTAATGCTTTATTAGGATTCATATTGTTAATTAGGGGGATTTTGTTTGGCTTGTCTGTGTTTGTGTAAATAGTACTTCTGGCAACAGTGCAGTTTTTAATTTCCCCTTCGTGTGTTTGGGGATGTTTTGTTGTAGTGGAGTGAGGGTATTTATTTTTAAAGGACTTTTTGGGGTGCATGTATAGGTATGTGTTGTATCACATCCGTATAACTAGGCCTTGTGATTTATTTGTAGTTCCCGCTTTCAACTTCTTTACTAGAATAGCATCTCAGGGTTATGATTTTCCAGTTATCTTTTTATTTTTTATTTTTTGTTTTTTCGTTTGTTGTGTTTATTTATTAGGATCAGAAGCAGGGTTTTGGGGTAGAGGTTTTGATTGTATGTTTGTTTATTGGTTGCTTTCATTTACTTGGATTTCTTGAGGAGTTGTCACAATTATTCATGTGAAAGGCCAAATTTTTATGATTTGCTACATTAATACACAATGCATATAGAACTGAATACCATCTTAAACTCTATTATACAAACTTTTCAAGATCTTGTAATAGTATGTGCCCCAGGCCTTCAATTAACTGGCCATGCCAATGCATAAAATGATATTAATGGTTGAATATTATGGTCGATTACTGCCTTCCGAAACTGTCTAATGAGTGGAGTTCCTTACATGCAGTGAAGGAGGATTTTTTAATGCTATCATGAGCTTTCCTCAGAATTATCCTATCAGTCCTCCAACAGTGCGGTTTACTTCCGAAATCTGGCATCCCAATGGTATGTGTGTTCTTCAACCTTGGATGGTTATACTTCATTAGTTCATACCCTAATAATAAACATTGTAGTATGAAGTTACTGAGGCTTTGGAATTACTTGCAGTTTATGCTGACGGGAAGGTCTGCATTTCAATACTTCATCCTCCTGGTGATGATCCGAATGGATATGAACTTGCCAGTGAGCGTTGGACACCTGTCCATACGGTGCGCATGCAATTAGCTCTTCCTGTTGGATAGATTTTGTGTGTTTCGTCTATTGCTTGAAATTTTATGTGGGATTTTAGTTTATGACAATACGCTTTGAGGTCTGTAAGCATTATACATGGAAAAGTTTGTGACTTTTATCAACACTAGAGAGCAGAAATAAGTTCTTGTTTTATGTTTTATTTTTATTTTTTATTGTGTTAATATCGCAAACTGTGTAGAGATGGGTCATTATCTGACAGAACTGAATTTGAGTATTTTTGACCATTTTTTTTTTTGCAGAATATACTTGCTTTTCTTGTCTTATTGTTCCCCAGTGTTAGGAAGCAAATTTTATTGTTCTTAATGTCAGTCTCTTTTCCTGCATAGTTTTTTTGGTGGGGCTCGTTCCGACTATCATTGATGCTTGTAAAAATGGGATTGGTTGCATTTTATATACAATGATGATATTGAATTGGATAATTGAATAAGGTGCAAGTTGTTGACTTGATGGTGGATGCTGTCCAATCCCTGTATGAGGGTACCAGGGCCATGAATGTGGAAACTCTTGAATGGTGTAAGTGGAAGATAAATAATTCTTCCACTTTCTTTTTTAATAGGTTGAAGTGGCTAATATGTTCTTACACGGGAGAGAACTATAACTAGTATATATGCAACACACTCATTAGATCAAAACTAGAAGCTTAGTATTAGGGCTGCATTGTGTTTGTAATTGACCAAACTGTATAGCTTAGATTTTGAACCTTTTTATAATTGCTTCTGCATGTACCTCCAGATTTGGAATGTTTTAGTCTTCTCTGTTTTGATGGCATGTATTAGTACAATTTCACATGTCGGAGGGAGCATGGTGTGATAAGGTGTCTTTGTACATGGATTTGAAGTTGACTAATGGTCTTTATGTTCAGGTGGAGAGTATAGTACTGAGCATCATATCAATGCTTTCAAGTCCTAATGACGAGTCTCCTGCCAATGTTGAAGCAGCTGTAAGTCTCAACACGCTTTGATGAGATCATCTCTAGTTTTCAGTCGTTTCCTTATTCCTCATATTTTGTTTGCTGGTTTTTCTGTATGTCCCCACTTTCTGTTCTGCTTATCGTGTTCAATTATAAATTTTAGTGGTAACTTATGGCGAAGATTCTGTGAAGGCCGATCATTTCGGTGCAGCCTTTATGAATACTTCCCTGTAATGCATGTAGTAAAAAGTTCCATCCCCGCCACTTAGTTTGGTTGGCTTATGATTGGGATAATGTTGAATTCCTCCAGTTGTATCCCTGGGAGTTTCTAGATTGTTATTATTATGACTGTATACGCATGAGTTCTCAATCAAAATTTTTGGCCAAGGGAATACTCTTGTTTGTTTTGTTCGGTAGATGATGTTTTCTGTTTCAAATGTAGCAATCTGATATGAAAGGAAGTATAATGAGTAGATTTGTGGGAAAAGTGATGATTGTTTTCTTAGATGCAAAACTGTAGTTAGGGTTCCACAAATCTTTGTGGTTGTTTCTGGTTGTGTCGCTTTGTGAAAGATGAATTGGATGCGATGGTTATTGTTTTCGACAAGATTTACCTCCAGGCGTTTCAGTTAAATTTTCTAGTTAATCATCTGCATTGGTTGCAATATATATGCCATATGAAAAGATGCATCTATAAATGCTGTTGTTTTGTGGAGACTAAATGCCATGACGTTTTACGTGAATCTCAATTGCAGAAGGAATGGAGAGAAAATAGGGAGGGTTTCAAGAAAAAGGTTAGCCGGTGCGTAAGAAGATCACAAGAAATGATGTGAACTTGTACAAATGGTGCAGCAGTCCGATCCAGCTATTTTTCTGAGGGAAAAAGATATTTCACTGAGAAAAGTGGATCGAATCAGGCTTGTATTTGTAGAATTTCTAAGAAGTTCAGTATTTTTTGTTTTGCTGTATTTGGGATAAGTTCTTTTGTTCTTCTTCGTATTTGTAAACTCAAATTTCGTTCTCAATCAGTTGATTTGTTTCTCCTTGAACAAAATCTAACTCGGAATGATTCCCAGCCCTTTAATATTGTTTTGTACGTTCCTGAAATTGTTAATTGAAAAAACCAATTGAAGCAATCACATTGTTGGAAGATTGATGCCTTTTCATTTTTGCTTCTTGAGTTTTTTTTTTTTTTTTTCTTTCTTTTGAGTTTTTTGACGGTTTGTGTGTGTACGCACTTGTACTTTGTTCAAATTGCTGGTTCATGTTTTTTTGTGTTCATTTGGTTCATGTATTCCCAATTATCTGAAGTTAGAGATTGCAACAGAGTTAGTCACAATGTTGCCGAGTAATTTTTTTATTTGGTAGTTGGAAAGCACCAGTTTTGGGGTTGATCTCAGTGTCCATGTAAGGAAGCAGCTTTCTCTCTGTGTTTCTCCTCTTGGATAGCAGCCTAGCAGCAGCAGGGCCAGGGATCCAACGCCCTCATCTCCAATCTTTTTCCTCTCAACCCCTCTATTTTTCTCCTTTCCTAAAGAGAAGAAATCATGTCTATAAAATCTGTGGTTCATGGAGTACTGACAAAGTGGCTTTTGATTTTTGAATAGTTTTCATTGTCAAAGAATAGTTTGTTGAAATTTCAAATAATCTCAAATGGGAAAATGCCACTGGGGGAACCCAATAGTAAAGCGGCATTACCAGGTGAGCCAGCAGGCAGCAGTACATGTAAACTATAGTTCCACCGGTAGGCAATGGCAGTTGCCAGTTGCCCAGTAAATAATACTAATACAACGGGAAAAAAGAAAAGCACTGTGTAGACTTGAAGACATCATCAAAGCAAAGCCGTCAAAATGTGGACTTAGTTTTGTGAAAGCTCAAATCCCCTTTTTCCCCTTTACTTTTTTTTAAGTTTTTAACAACTCTTCTGCTCTTTTTCTTCTTCTTCTTCTTCTTCGTTTCTCGTCCCCCTCTTTGCCATTCTTTTTTACCTCTAGTCTGGTCTGGCCTGGTCTGGGTTGCTGTTCAAATTTCTGCTTCCCCTCTATATTTAAAACCCCCTTTTCTCTCTATTCTCACTTTCACTTTCCCTTCCCTTCGGACTTTTCTTAGTTTCTCTTTTCTTTTTTTTCCCCACTTTACTTTCCCCTCTTGGCTACTGTTTACTAAGTCCTCTTTCTTTCCCAACTTGTGGAAAAAGCTCCCCCTTCCCATCTCTCATCTTCTCTCATGGAACTCATGCCATTTCTCGTGAACTCCCATCTCAATCTCTCTTCCACGTAATCCTCTCTTTTTTTTTCCTCTCTCTCTGGGGCTAATTAATATAACCTCACCTGGCTGGTTGGCTGCTCTGCCTCACCTCCTCTGTTTCTTTGTACTTTGTACATTCTTTTTTTCACACCTCAATTTCCCCCCTCCTTACATCAGGATGATCCTCCTCACCACCTTGTCATTTGATTGTACTAGTTTCGATTAATTGGAGAAAAAAATTACGATGAGGTCTCCTCAGCGTCAGCAGAATCAAACCCAGGAAACGGTGCTCCGCAACGGTGGGATTGAGACCCCTTCTCCTCGCCCAAGAATCCAGGCCCATTTCCATTCCACCGTCTCCGAACAGAAGCTCCGCCGCTTGAACATCCTGATCCTTGTGTTCCGATTCGCCACCCTGTGCTTCTCCCTGGCCGCCGCCATCTTTATGTTCTCCACTACCCGGGCTCGGGGCTCCAAATCCCCCAGCTGGACCGACTTCGAAGCCTTGAGATTCGTCGGGATTGCCAACGCCATTGTCGCCCTTTACTCCCTCTTCGAAGTCGGAGCTTCCGTTTGGGAGATTACCGGCGGGACCACCTTTTTGCCCGAGGTTTTGCAGGTCTGGTTCGACTTCGCTCACGATCAGGTAAATTTCGAATTCACCCCACTTTTTCTATTTTTATTTATTTATATTTACTCCTATCGATTGTATCAAGCAAAGAGAGCCGCCAGTCGTACGGTACGGTCGGAATTCAACGGAAATTAACATTAGTAATAGTAATACTGTTATTCTTATGTGGTGTTTTGTGCTGAAAACGTTGTCGTTTGTTTGTGGTGGGAAAGGTGTTCGCGTATATGCTGCTGTCGGCGGACTCGGCGGGGACGGAGCTGGCACGGTCGCTGAAGGGGAAGGACACGTGTACGGAGAGCAACGCGTTTTGCATACAGTCGGACATATCCATAGCCCTTGGATTCGCCGGGTTTTTGTTCCTGGGCTTATCTGCCTTGCTTTCCGGGTTCCGGGTCGCCAGTTACATCATCAATGGCTCACGTTTTCACCTCTAGTTGTAGTCACAACTTAGAAGTAGTAGTAGGCAATTTTCTTCGATTGTGGCAATGTTATCCTTCTAATTATTCTAATAATAGTACTATTATTATTATAGTATATCATATAATCTGATGATAATTAAATACATATGTTATATTCTCTTTGGTCCTTATTATAAGGTATTTTAACTTGTTCTAAATTTCACTTAAAATGTCTTTTTAATTAAAAAAATCTGAAAAAATATATTTTTACATTCGTTAGGTTGTTTTCTTAATTATTAGGAAATTTTTTAATATTTTAAAGATTTTTATTTCAATTAAAAAGATATCTTAAATGAAATTTAGAACAAATCAAAATATCTTATAATAAGGACCGGGAGTTGGAGCGTGTGAAAGGGTGGGTTATTTATTGTCTTTTGTTCCTCCTACCTACACAGTCGAGTTTCTCGTCACAAATACATGGATAATTGTCGGAATTTTTTTTATTAGTTTTTGTTTTAGGAACCATGCTCTTACTTCAATCGTTTACTTTGTTTGGTCAGAAAACGCAAGTTTTTCAGTTATTCTTAGTATAGTCATCATCCTAGCTGCTGGCTGTTTGTTCAAATTAATGTTATTGCAAGTTTCTTTCACATCTAATAGGCCTTCTGCTCATTTTATTCCATTTCTTCGATGAATGAAAAAGGTTATGTTATGGGATTCATTTTCTAATAAAGCAAGTGAATACGTCTTGCCTTTTTGAAGTTTATTAGTCAAAGATGTTTACAGGTGTAAAGAAGAAATGAAAACTTGACTTTGGGTTTGGAACAAATGGTCCGCTGACAACCAAGAAATTAATAAATTGGCAACGTGGAAACTGGAAAGAGGCAAGGCAACTAGTCCTGCAATGAAGGAACCAAAATAAAGAAGAGGTCAATCCCCCCAGTTCACAAGCTAATCAAATGCTAATGTGCCCCTGGGCAACATAGTGCAATTGCCGCTTTCAATAACTTTTGAGGTTCAGTTGCCGTCAATCAAGCTAACCTTCTTATACTCCCATAAATGTAAATTATGGTTGGCTAGCTGAAGTTTCACCATGTATTCCGTACTAATTACTACTTTTATTACATGCATACAAAAATGGTTAATGCCGCGCTACATCTGAGTAATTAGAAGAAAGAAGAATCTCCCGAGTGCGCCATGATGATCTTATAAATATCATTCAGGAACTCACGGATCCGCGCGCCTAACACTGTAAAATGGTGGTTAGCACACGATGTATTTGGAGTCTGAAATGTTGTTTTATTAGTACTTATGCATTATGCCTCCTTCGTTCCCCGCCCCCCCCCAAAAAAAAAAAAAACGGTTAATGGCATTGGTTTTCCTTACGGCTGGAACACAATTTTTTCTTTTAAAAAAAAAAATTCACAAACACGAAGTTCTTTTTCTGATCCAATATGAAAGTCTTATTCTTCTCCCTATCTTTTTACTCTGCTATGGAATCAGTGCTTCTTAATTCCAAAACGGGGTTTGACTTGGTCCAAAATGAATAGAATAAACAGCAATCCTTATAGCATAAGGATAGTGTCGTCAGTCGTCACTTATAGCAAAACGAAAAACGTCACTGCATCATTTTTTGTTTTTTTTTTTTTTCTTTTGTTTTCAAAAAGCACGAAAATGACTTCTTTCTCTAAAAAATCTCTCTAGAAAATTCCTCTCAATTTGGATGATGTCATCTCTTGAAAACCAAAACCCAGACTGTGTTCCTCCGCCCCCTCTTGACGACAGATCCACCAAAAAAGCCCGCCAGAAAGGAAATGAAACACAAATCCCCCAATCTGAGCCAGCGCCTATACAATCTGGACACCCTCTAGTACCCCCCATGCAAGAAGAACCACTTATGATGAACCCCATACCCCCTGACCCTACGCCGGCGACAGCTCCGCCACCTCCGATGAGCTTTCGGGACAAGATTCTTCAGGGGAAAAGATGGATGGAGAAACCAATGTTCGAAGAGGACCTTGAAATTGTGATGGAAGAGGATGATCTCATCTTTGACAAGAGTGGCCCAATGTCAAGAGTAATTGTATCAGAAAGAGTTGAGGAGCAACTGATTATACCTAGGCAAAATGTTCTTATTGTGAAACCAATGGGGCTTTCCCTCACCTTCAATCAAATCTGATCCCGCCTCTACACCCTTTGGTACAATACAGATGGGTTTGCTGTGATGGATGTGGAGAAGGAGTATGTTATGGTGAAATTTTGGAATCAAGAAGATACCAAGAAAGTGATTCAATCGGGACCATGGATAGTGTCGAATTCGTACTTGCATGTTCAGAAATGGGACAAATCCTTTGATGCAGTGACAAATAAGATTAAGAGGATGGTGGTATGAATCAGATTACCGGGATTACCGGTCCATTATTACAATAAAGATTTTCTCCGCCTCCTTGGCCGACTGATAGGGAAGGTAATCCACATCGATCACCAAAATGCGGTTATTTTCCGGAGAAAATTTGCCTGGATGGCTATAGAAATTGACATGGAGAAACCGATTTGTACCCAATTTGACATGGGAGGCAGAGTTCAAAGGGTGGAGTACGAGAATGTGCCCTTTCTATGCCAAACTTGTGGTATGATTGGCCACCTTACCGGCAAATGTATAACCCATCCAGAAAGCCAGAGGGAGACTGATCCAAAGAGTGATAGAGGGAAAAAGTCGGCAACGGATGGTGGAGCAACAGCCGGCACCGGCGGGAAGGAGGCAACAGGTGGACCCTCAAGGTCATCAGATTGGGTGCCGGTGGGGAGAAAAGGAAAACCACCGAACCCCCAGGCAAAGATCGCTGTGGGCCACCATGGCGAGATCACCATTAACGGATCTCGTTTCTCGAGTCTTCAAGATCTGGACAAGGAAAGCGCCGAATTGCCATCAGTTCCTAGGAATGTCGAATTGTGAAATGGTAAGTGAGGAGGGGGACACATCTCAGCCAAAATTACGGCCTAGGAATGGTTGTTCCCTTGAACGACGACGTCACTCAACCAGCAAGGAAATTGCAAGGGGGAGACAGGAACTACATGTGGACTGCCCGGTTAACCCCACAGGCCTAACAGGTGAAAACCCACAACCCAAATCAATCCCAGCCCAGAACTAAAAAGCTCAAACCAGTACCATCCCTAAAGCCACAAGTCAGAAAAAGCCTGATTCATCAACACTAGAAGAACCTATGGCCCATAATGAAAACCCAGCAAACCAGGAACCTACCATCAATTATAAAATATACCCTGCCCCCACCACCTTGAACTCCCTAAAACACCAGGTAGAATCTTTACACCCCGAGCCCAAACCCAACTTACAAACCCCAAAAACCAACCTCAAGACCAGGATCACACAAACACCACCCCATCATCAGTACAAAAGGAAAAAGTTTGTACTGTGGTTTCACCAGATATTCCCCCTAATGCAGTGACTGTGAAGACACCGGAGAGGGTGGCTGAGCCAATGCCAGAGGATGCTACTGGATTAGAAGATATAGTCATAACGGAGGAACAACTTTGTGAAATGGAGGAGGACACCGAGGCACTTTCGGTGGTCCAAAAATATCTGTAATCAGGTTACTCTCTTTTTGGTGTATATTTTCATGAATATGAATCTAAATATCATGTCATGGAATGTACAAGGAGCTGGCTCTAAGGAATTGCGTGGTGCATTTAAGGAATTGAAAGACAGGTTTTGGCCGGATGTAGTAGCGGTTCTAGAACCAAGAATAAGTGGGGAGAAGGCTGACTTCTTTGTGAAGAAGAGCCGTTTTGATCGTTCATTTAATTGAGGCAGACGGGTTCTCGGGAGGTATATGGCTGCTATGGAACGATGATGTTGGGATCACAATTTTGAAATGTCACAAGCAATTCATCCATACCCGAGTAAGAAAAGGGTCGGTTGAATTGTTAGTGATATTTGTATATGCAAACCCGAACCCAACTCTAAGGAGAGCTCTTTGGGATGTTTTGTCGAAATTAAGGAATAGCATATGTGAACCCTGGCTGGTAGATGGAGATATGAACTGTATTTTGCATATAGTTAAATGCGGGGGACTGTACAAAAAATCTCGACATGATTTGCATACTGTTGGGCCAAAATTCATATGGTTAAATGGGAGGGGACTGTACAAAAAACTCAACAGATTCTTGGTGAATGATGGGTGAATCAACCGGTTTCAAAATGGCTTTGTTGAGAACCTTCTCCGAATGCACTCCGATTATCATCCCTTATTGGTGCAATGTGAAGGCCACCAGCATCAATCCAACTCATGTAAACCTTTCAAGTTCATGGCTTCCTGGTTGTTACATGATCAATTCGATGACTTTTTGAAGGAGAGTTGGGGTTGGAGCTTGGAATTCCCAGTCACTGTAAAAAGAATTTGTTCAAAAGCCAGGGACTGGAACTTCAATACATTTGGCAACATATACAATAGAAATAAGAGGGTATTGGCACGCCTTGGGGGTATTCAAAGAGCAAGGCAACATTACACAAACTTGAAGCTACAGTGGCTGGAGGCAGAACTGTTGGCAGAAATGGATGAGATTCTACAGCAAGAAGAACTGCTTCTCATTCAAAAACGAGTCGGGATTGGATATTCCATGGAGACAAAAACACTAAATGGTATCCTTCTTATGTCAAGAGCTGTTATCGGGGAAATTATAGAGTATCTTTAAAAGCTGATGATGGAAGAGTGGTAGAAGAGTTGAAAGAAATGGCAGCTGCCTCTTTGAAGAACCTGTATATCGGCCCAATGTCTACCCAAACCAAATATGAAGTCCGGGATTGCTTCCGTACCATTTCATTACCGATCTATAATGATATGATGAAGGAAGTCTCAGAGAAAGAAGTGTTGGTGGCAATCAAAGAAATGCATCCTTTAAAGGCCCCTAGAATTGATGGAATCATGCCCTCTTTTACCAAAAGAAATGGCCAATTGTTGGAAGATCGGTTGTCATGATGGTAAAGGACATCCTACATGGAAGCAAAACGGTAAAGGATATCAATCAAACTATGATAGTCCTTACTCCAAAATCTAACAACCCAGGATTTATAAGGAATTTTAGGCCAATTAGCTTGTGTAACGTGAGCTACAAGATTGTCACGAAGATATTAGCTAACCGGGTTAAATTGGCTCTCCCCGACATAATCAATGAGGCACATGTAAGTTTCGTCTCGGGTAGACAAATTACCGACAATATAATTCTTGCGCAAGAGGTAATTCATACAATGAGGTCAAAGACGGGAGTAAATGGTCCCATGGCGATAAAAATTGACCTCGAGAAGGCGTATGATGTGATTCGGTAGGACTTCATAGAGGATACTCTTCATCAAGTGGGCTTCCTGGACATCATTATATCCGCGATCATGAAGTGTGTTACTTCCTCCACAATGCGGGTCCAATAGAATGGAAAAATATCGGATGAATTCAAACCAAACCGTGGAATAAAGTAGGGAGACCCGATTTCTCCCTACCTATTTGTTTTGTGCATTGAACGGCTCGACCATGCGATCAAAGGAGAGGTGTCGGCAGGGAGGTGGAAGCCGCTGAAAATGGGGAGACAATATATCAGTTTACCTTATTTACTCTTCGCCGATGACATTCTATTCTTTCTTGAGGCCACGGATAAACAAGTGGAGGTCCTGCAGTCAGTCATGGGAGATTTTTGTAAAGCATCAGGGATGGGAATAAGCCAACCGAAGACACGTGTTTATTTTTCTGAAAATGTGGAACGACAGAAAGCTCACGTTTTGGCGAGCCGGCTGGGATTTCTTCAAGTTGATGATTTGAGAAAATATCTTGGACCGCTAATTCATGAAAGAATAAGGCAGGTGACATATGCTTATATTGTTGATAATTTGAGGACACGCCTCTCGGGCTTAAAACCAGCTACTCTAACGCTGGCAGGGAGGATAACAATTGTCAAGTCCATACTGAGTACATTGCCGTACTACACCATGCAGTCAAATATGCTTCCAATGAAGATTTGCTCCGAAATTGACAGATTGTGTAGGAAGTTTGTGGGGGGAAAGGGATGAGGAGGCCAGGAAGATGAGTGGGGTTGCGTGGGAAGAGGCTTGTGAACCCAAAGAAGGTTGGAGGGGAGGGGGGCCAGGCTTGAGAAAACCACATATCATGAATAAAGCTTTCATGATGAAACTTGGGTGGGGGTTGCTCGACAATACAGAGGCACTATGGGTCAAAGCCTTTAAACAAAAATATGGACTTCCCCATTTCCCAGGCCCAGATGCTATGAAGACTTTAAATGGATCTACCATTTTCAAATCCATTAAGAAAGTTTGGAGTCCTTTGTTCGAAGAGGTTAGATGGGCTATCAATAACGGGAAGATCATAAAATTCTGGGAAGATGCGTGGGTCGTGGGGTCAAAGCCTTTAAGGGAGATGGCGTTAAGGCCCATTCCTAGGGAGCAATATGGTAAGACAGTCGTTGAGTTTGTGAGCCCAGAGGGTCAATGGGATTGGTCCCAATTTCAATCATGGCTTCCGGCGTCGACAATATTAAGGACTGCCGCAACGATGCCACTGTCCCCTGCAAACAGTGATGATCGTCGAATCTTGCCAGAGTCAGCAGATGGAGGATTCTCCACTAGAGTAGCGTATCGAAGACTGGAAGACATCCACAACGCCCCTCCACCCCACTGTGGAAAGCGATTTGGAATTGGCCGGGATCGGAAAGACTCAAAACATGCCTCTGGCTGGTGGCGAAAGGGAAACTGATGACGAATAAGGAGAGGGTTCGCCGTCACTTTTCCCAATCGGCGATTTGTCCCAGATGTCAACTGGAGGAGGAGTCCATTCTCCATGTCATTCGCGACTATGTTTCATAGGGAAGCATATGGCTCCAATTTGTCCACATAAACCAGCAACAGTAGTTCTTTGTGGTGCAGGAAGAGTCATGGTTCATGAAAAATCTTACGAATCCCGGTTGGTCTCGCACGTTTGGAGTAATATGTTGGCTGATCTGGAATTGGAGGAACGAGCTTGTGTTCGACAACACAAATCCTCCCCTCCACAGGAAGTGCAGCGAAATCTCAAAAAAGTTAAGGGATAGAGGTGGCGGTTGAAGGGGAAAGGAGGCTTAGAGTAGTAAGGGCAGTGCAAATGCAAAGACTAATCACCTGGGAAGCACCGCCGATGGATTGGGTTAAGCTGAACACAGACGGAGCCTATGACCTAGAAACATGGGCAACAACTGCAGGTGGATTATTACGGGATTTGAATGGGAATTTGTTGGGAGGTTTTATGCTCAATATGGGGAACACATCCATCACAGGAGCTGAGCTTTAGAGAATTTATTATGGACTGCAGTTGGGATGGGAATTAGGCCACCGGAGAGTGATGCTAGAATTTGATTGTCTGTGTACTCTTCAATTAATAACTCGAAAGAAGGTGGCTGTAACAGTTCACGACGGGATCATCAGTGGTATTAAAGAGTTATTGAATAAAAATTGGTCTGTACAAATGTCTCATATTTATAGAGAAGTGAATTTTTCTGCTGACTGCCTGGCTGAAAATGCAATTACCTCCTGAGGTTACACGAAGCTCATAGTTCCTCCACCCTGTTATACCATGACTCTCTCATGATCTCATTGGGGTCTCGTATCCCCGATTTGTAATAGAATAGTCCCAGGCATCATGCCTCCATCTCTGGAAAAAAAAAAAAAAAAACGTCACTGCATTACAATTTTGGGGTGCCTGGGCTCAAAGGTTTCATAGTAGACCAGTCAATATATTAGTAGTGGCATACAGCCAGGGACACTGGACAACAACATCGTACTAACTCATCTTCATCAGTGACATAATGAGTCAATCTGGTCAAATGTTCATAAAATTGGTCCGATTGCAACGGTGTTAACAAATCATCTACCGGTTGAATGTTGTCATCACTTTATAATAATAACGAGATATGTGTTGACTGTTGAATAGTGAAAACACAAACATAAATAAATTTATAGGCACTTATAAGAGCTCAAGGGTTAAGAGTTTTTTACACTACTCAGGATGATTCAGGTTAAATTCTTACTAACAGTGTCCAATTATACTGAATATAGTGGGGAAAAAAAACCTTTAAAATGCTGAATAAACAAGCAGGAGAAACGTACACGCGTATTAGTCATTTTGGCAAGATGATTGACTAGTTTTAGTCTGCTTGCATATGTAGTGCAATGGTTTAGATTCATTTCCTCCTTATCCTTCTAACGTCCATTGATAATCCTTACTTTTATAAGAAGTACAAAATAATACCAATATTAGTCTAGGATCCTGTTTAACAAATTGAACGGATAACTCATCTAACTTGAATACATGAAAACATACCAAAGTAAATGATCATATCTCAGATACCAAACGAACTTATATATTTGAATGAATACGCGCAGGGTAAATTCTTTTTTTGTAAAATAAAAGGAAAGTATATTTATGAACTAAGTTGCCATTTTCTCTTTACAAAGAAAAAATAAAAAGAGTTATTTGGATGCGAAAGTGAAGAAAAAAAAAATCATAATTTACAAAGAGGTGAATCTTAATTATTCAGTAACTCTTATATTGAAGAAATCACTAAAAGTATGGTGTAAGTATGGAAAGTTATGATTAATTTCTTTTTAAAAATATGTATAAATGTTTCGAAATAAATCATCATCTATTTTACATTATTAAAAATTATTCCACTACGTAAGAAAAAAATTATTCAATCTTTCTTAGTTCAAAGACCCCAAATAATTGTCAAAACAGAAAAAATTAAAAATGGGCCTGCAACACCCATCATAATACAGTAACGTTTAGGTGGTGAGGCCCAAAAACTATGGCCCAATAACAACCCAAATGGGGGAGAAGAAGGAGGAAAGAAAAAAAAGGCGCAGGTGCGAGTCTCGTGAGGATTCCCTCCATTAACAGTCCTTTTCTTTTCCCATACGATGATGTTTTTTTTTTTTTTTTTGTGCAAAAACAGCCAACTCTCTAGTCTTACTCTTTCCCCTTATCCCTCTCTCTCCCTCTCTCTCTCCTCTGATGATATGAAATCAAATTACGAAACCGAAAAACATTACTCCCTTTAGGCCGCCCTTTTTTTTCCCCTGACTCCCTAAACCCTCCTCACCCACCAACCCTTTCTTTTTTTCTTTTTTTTTTCTTTTGGTTTTGTTTGCCGCTTAACAATCTGATCACTGTATGTTTTTAATCATGAATTTCTATTCAGAATTTATGATGGAGTTGTTGTTTTCGTGATCATTTTTTTTTTAATTTTTGGGACTCTCTTGTCGGTGCTTTAACAACTCACTCTCCTCTGATCCCAGGTAATTTGGGTTTTCAATTTTTCTTTTTTCACTTTGTGATTAGAGTAATTCTGTTCGGTGTATGAACGTCGTTAAAATTGTGATGTGGGTTTCAGTGAGATGATTGAGCTCTTGACTTTCTGATGCATGTGGGGTTTTTTTTTTTTTTGTCTCATTGCTATGTATTTCGGTTTATCAATCCGGGGTATTTCATTTAGTGCTCTTTAAGAGGAGTGTTTTTCAGTAAGTTCTTTGTTTGAGAACTTTTTCATTGAACCCGCTTTTAAAATGGTGATCTTTAAGAGTGATTCCTGACTGATAAGCTATTATTTACTATTTGTGGGTTGAATTTTGATACCAGGGTTTGCTGAAGTACCAGAATGGGAGACTCTTTATCCGGACCTAATTCAAATATGTTACCAGAAGTAAGGGTTAGTTGTAGGAAGAAGCAATCAATAACTTACCTGGCTGCCTCTGCCTCGAAGGTTTTGTCACAGAAGACTGTTCAATCCATCACTTCTGCAAAACAGCACTTACAGGGTAGTGGAGTTGTTGGCGACCTGGTGCTGTTTTTAGCGATGACCGCCGCACTGGAGGTTGTGAGAAGGTTTTCAAAGGCCAAGTGCCCTTTTGTTTGGCGAGCTCTTCAGACATTGCAAGCTATTCACTTTCCTCCATTCAAGTGGTTTCAGAGATGGCTTCCATTTAAGGGGCTAGCTAAAAGCACTGAGGTTGGTTTGCTAGAGATGTAATAAAGAACCTGTGTGCATTTGTGGATCCTATCCCTGTATAAAGAGTTTCTTATAGTTGTCATAGATTGAAGTAAAACTAGTCGGAGTAGCATTGACCCTGAAATATCTTGCGCATTACCATCAGTTTTACGGTTGGCTATCATTTGCACCATGCACACTTATCTTTGTTGTTGTTGATGATTGAGGTCCTGAACTGCATCTACGCTCTTCAAGTGTAGTGGAATCGGTATCTAATAATTGAAATTTTGTGATACCACTTATATATCATTTTTTAAAGTTGATTTCAAAGTGGGGAAGTTGCCGCCTTGTGATAGGGTGTTTTCTGAAGAAGATGGCGGGTAGTATAATTTGAACAAGAAAGAAGAAGAAAGAAGCGATACGGCTTCCTATCATAAATAGTGGGCCAGAAGTACTAGAAGTCCTAGCTCTAGCTCCGCTCGGCTAATTAGCGGTTCTAGCGGCGCTTGTTGCATTTTATTGTCTTTTAAAATGAAAATTTCTTTCACGTGTGCTAATCTCATACGCCACTCATAATTTCGTTATTACAAATACTTTACACGTGTTACTTGTTCCAATTTCCTCATACTTTTAAAGTAACTTGTGTGGTTTTGCATTTACTGTTCCTTCCAAATTCATTTATCAATAAATTCAGTACTGACACACTGTCCGTTTTACTAGAAATTGTCGAGGCCCATGCTAGTTCTCTCAATTGCAACATTGTTCTCTGATGAAGCTGGATACTCACCTGGAAACTCAGATGGTGCTACTCATTCTCAAGATTCTTCTAGTCCTGGAGCAGGATCATCTTCCCAGACATCGAGGCCAGAGATTGGGTAATGGAGATACAATCTGTTAAATGGTTGAAATTTCATTATGCTTAATTTGCTGCAGAGAGTGTGTATGATTAATTTCTGCTTTGGTCTGGAGTTTATCCTTTATTAAACGCATTGATGAGCTCTGTGTCGTCAGCTTGTCATTGAGCCCGCGGCGGTATCTCCCCAGTCTAGTAGCAACTACTTTAACCCCTTGTTTTTGTTCATTATATTCTGGTTTGGATGATTCTTGAACACATTCCAGCACAAAATTAGTACCATCAATATAGACTGTCTTTGGGTTTTTCCTTGAATTCTGGTTGGATACCTAGAGTAAGCCCTCATGTCGAGAAGATCCACCTTTGCTCTAGTCCCTGCTAAGCTGAACTTCCCCATCTGATATAAGCAGCATAATGATGAAAATGATTGAAATGCTTTGTAATCCCACCTTTTGTTTGCTGTGTTGTCTCTTATTGATACATTTTAGATAGTAGTTATCTTCCTGATCTGGCCGATGCTGTATCCTGAGTATGTTGTGTCTTTGTATTCATAGAATGCTAATGGTGTTTATACTTTATAGGGCTAGCACGTCAGAGAATTGGTTGCTGCAACTCGATGAGGAGCTCAAAAAGCAGGGAATAGAACGCCCTGAGAGGTAAGGTCACCATTTTTTTAATTTTCTAATACACTTGAATGAACATGCTAAATACTTCTTAAATTGGGTAGTGAATGTGAATGCTCCCTCAAGAACATTTGTTGTTTATGAGCCAGACTGTCCTGGTTTAGTCTATCTTTGTGTATGAAAATCGGGTTGCTACTATTTTCATATGCATATGTTCTGGTGTATAACAGGCTCGGCAGGGATGAGCTCCTCCGGTTCTATGCAGCTGTTCATGGTGATTTTCAGAAATTGATTGCGGCAGTCAAGAAGACAATCAACTGGAGGCAGAGTTATGAGCTTCTTCGGCCTCAGGAACTCCGAGCTTGGTCACATTTGATATTTTGGCATGGACATGACACAAGGCAGCGTCCCTGCCTCATCCTTCGCCTAGGACTTGCTTGCTCCACTCTGCAATCTTCTGACATGCCTCTCCTTGTAAAGGCAGTTGGTATAAACTTTATCTTTCTTGTTATTGTTCAGATATGATCAGCTATGATGATAAGCCTCTATATCTGTTGGTTTAGGAAATGATAATTTTCTCTTGTATTTGTTTTTGCTGTATTATTTGAGAGTTACTGTTTATTTCTTTTTCATCTTCTCAGAGATGAATGATGCTACGGTTCTTTTGTCAGGCCAGCATATTATATTAGAGTAGGCATACATGACAATACTACATCCAGTATGTATGCATGTTATGGTTAGAACCCTGTTTGCACTGCGGAATGTATAGCAAGTTAGTTGTCTTTCGGTGGATAGTCACACTTAAAGAGGAAAAGAAGTAGAATGCTAGTTTGATTTCTGTTATAACTTTCTATCATTTGATTTTGATCTTTGGCATTGGGACTTTTAAATTAACTGTTGGTGGTTTTATTCGTTTCACATTTCAGTTTCCCAAATAGAACATGGCGTTCTAAACCTGGTGAAGGTGGAGCAACCTCAAATTATGGTTTTGATGGACTGTCTTGGTCTTTCTCCACTTGGATTTCCCATAAACATGATGAGATCCTGTGCTACTCTTCTGCAAGACCATTATCCAAACAGGCTGGGGTCTTTGATGATAGTGAGGCTTCCGCACCTTGCACGAGTTGTTACACAAACTCTGTTCCAGGTAAACCCCAATCTTCTACTGCTTGAGGAAAATAATTGCTCCTGTGGCGGGGTTGATAATGCAACGATGATTTGTTTTCCTCTCCTCTCAGAGAATTAGTTTTTAACTGACTACCATGTCATCTTTGTAATTGTTGTCATTTTCTGTGTGGGTCAATCGCATCCATGTGTCTGTCTATTGTTTTTTGTGACTACTTAAAGGTAGAATATTCACCACAGAGCCCAGCTCATCCTTGTGTGTATTTCTGTTTTTTTCTCAGTCGCTATGGTAACCTTGCTTTCTTGATGTTTTCCTGTTATGTCGGAATGGTTGATTTCCTCTTAACAAATTCCTTAGATGATCACTGGACCTATTTGACTTGGACATATGCTCTCTTTACGTCCATGGGTACTGCTTTTTGCTATGTTACAAAATGTTCCATAAATTAAAAACTGTATGTAGGTTCTCAAACCATCCACACGACGCAAAGTGAGAACTCTTGGGGGGAACTATCTGGAGATCCTGTCTGAATGCCTTGAATCACTCCCTCCTTTCCTTGGTGGTAACTGTACGTGCTCAATATGTTTGACCATGGGTGCTGGTCAGGATGGGAATGGAGAAACATCTTCAGCTCAACAAGAAGCTGAACCTGTAGATGATCGGAGTGTACATGAGCAACTTGTTGAGCTCATTATTGATGATGAGGACGGGCAGGACTTTAAGAAGACCATCACTATTGCCATGATGGTTTTGTGCGTGATTTTTTTGTTATGTCTGAGCATCCGTCTGCGAGAAACTCTCTCTGTTATTGTGTTGGAAAAGCTCATGTAGAGGTCAGTTTCGTAGGTCATACAACAACATAGGAGTTGGCAGATCTGTAAGCTGTAAAGTGTATACTAATTGATAGGTTTTTATGCGGATCTCAAATTAAATTGAGCACATAACGATTCATGAACCTTTTTTTGTAAATGTTTCAAAGTGAATCGAATAGGGTTTATCCGAATCTGTCATTTATCCGAATCGAAATTGAACCCTGGTAAGCTTGGAAGCACCTCCAGCTTCGAGCACGATGATCAGGCCTCTGAAACTCATAAGCACTTCTGGAGTGAAAATTCGGACTGTGAGCTCTTTAATGTGGCAAAGATTGATTTGATTTGGTGATGAACATTTTTACAGGAGCTTCTTGAGGAGTTAAAGGAGAAAATTATGGGACTGATGCCTTCAAATATAGTTTAAAAACCATAACCGGTTCCGGTGGGGGAGAGCAAAACGGTCTGAGTCTGAGACTTACACCATGAATCTCATAGAAATGTATAAAGGAAAAAAAGGCCGATACTACCAAAGCAACCTATTAGTTGCTTGCATACTTCGGCTCGGCCATAACATAATGGTAAGCAATGGCCATGACAAAAACTAACACACCAAGAAAGCTGGCAAAGAATCCCAAATCCACATCATCCATCCCTGCAATGTTGTCAGGTGATCAAGTTATTGGCATATCTCAAGGAAAACAATCACAATAAATTGATATAAAAAAAATTTTAAAAAAAGAGAGGGATAGATAACCACAGTAATGTCATACAATACAAGATGCTTAATTGTTCAGCGACCCAAGGAAAGTATCAACCAAAAAAAAAAAACATTCATTAAAGAGTTAGCTCCTGCATCTTCCCTGGCAGCATTTGAAGCTTCCAAAAGCTTCTTTTAACGTTCAGAATATTACTAGTTGTGACCAGGAAGACAAACAATAGGTGGCAAAGATTTCTTGTGTTTCACATTGGTATTTCAATTTTCAACTGCAACTGGTGAGAATAGAACAACCAGGTGGGCTAGTGCAAAGGAAACTGGGACATTCTTCAAACTGTTTTCACTTTTGCATGATCAACCATTTGCACTGAAAAATCAGTAAGTTCCTTTTCAAGCTAAATTAGATGATCTGATTCCCCTGACTAAGAAAAGGTGGAGGTGGAGTGGTTGTCAACCTGTCTAGCCTAATTGCAGATTAACAATACACACCTAAAAACCTTGCTTCATGAATCAGCATTTCTGGCAAAAAAAACAAATCAAAGACTACATGGAGGAATGCGATCGCAGTGGGATTCGAACCCACGACCTTTAGATCCGGAGTCTAACGCGATATCCACTCCGCTATGCGATCGTTTTTGGTCAACCAAAGCAAGTGGTTGATGTTGTGTGCCTTCTACTGCAATTCCTCGTGGCCGTAAAAGTAAAGGTAGAAGACAAAAGAAGACCCGAAAGTAGTAGGCAGGGGGGTTTTCCAGATTCAACATTCAGTGTCTCCAATGCATACAAAAACAACAACTGAATAAACTGGTCCCAAATCTCAAAATGTAAAAATTGAATGCAAAAGCTTCCAAATCTGTGAATTTGTCTCATAAAAACATAAAGCACAACACATCTCCTAAAACTTCAACAAGGTTTTGATTTCGTTTCTTTCAAAATAAGAAAAATAATCCATCGCAAGCACAAAATACAACAGATCGATGCTTACCTCCACGCGACGATCAAAATCGGCGAAGAATCCAACTTTCAGTATACCAGTTTTGCTGGGAAGAAGACGCGAAAAAACTAATGAGAGATTGAGAACGACAGTTTTTGCCACATGGGAGGAGTCAAAAAAGTGGGTGAAGACGTAAAGTGAGAGAGGAAGATCTGGCGACTGGAGTTATTCACAAGGTTACTTCCGGAATTGCAAACAAAAAGAGGGTTATTTCTGGAATATGAAAATAAAATCAAGGTTGGGGGGGGGGGGGAACTATGTTTATTAGGCACAAAAAAAGGGATTGTGGCTGCTGGGATTCGAGCCCAGGTCTCCACGGCCACAACGTGGAATTCTTACCACTAAACTACAGCCACTAGATGGTAAGAACAATTTGAAAAATTAAATTAATCATGAGATTCGTAGTGTTACTCATGTTAATATTAATCAAAATTAGTCAGAATCAAGGAACGTTTTAAGTTAAAATAAATAGTTTTTCCCACAAGTGTTGCATATATTCTTCTTAAATAAAAATCTTTACAACGTGTAAATGCCGTATAAGATAAACATTAAACTACCATTTTCATGAACCTTTTATGAAATTGGTACTAAAATCTGGGTGATTTCCTTAAAGTTAAAGGATATACTCAACTACCATATCAATCAGGCCAAGTCGGAGTTGTCGTAATCGAAACGCTTGGATCTCATCACGATTGCGATGTCCCCGTGAATCATCATGATCCCATCCCCACATCTAGCCTTCCTTCCTTCCTTCAACCCAAATCATGGACTCAACAGTCAACCCAACCAACAAATATGACAATTTGTCACAATGTCTTAATACTATTTTTTAGATTATGACATATTGTATATATATGTGTATAATAATTTCTTCGATTTGATATGAACAAATAAAATAGTGTAATTAGGACGGTAACATAAACTAACTAAAAAATTATTAGATACAACTGATGTATCCTGGTTTTTAGTGTAGTAAGTACTAGCATCCCCTAACTCTTGCACTGAATAATTTTCAAACTAGTGACATGGATCTTAATTAGTTAGCTAATTTTCTAGTCTAAATTCATTTTTTTCTATCATTGTTATATATTTGTTTAAACAAAAAGAAAAAACACACACAAATTATTTAACCTCATGCTTTGAATACTACTGTTTTAAAAAGAGAAGGTAATAAAAATCATTAACCTCAACGATCAATTTGATCATTATCTCTCTTTGATCATTATCTCTTGTGATCTAAGGTAACCTCATTGCAAATTGACCACTTTATCACTCTCTCATCTTGGCAGTCTCCATATTGATATAGGTAACCTGTTACGACATGTTTCGCTAAGTATTTAAATTACTTGAGATATCGAAGTTCACAATCCGACTTGACAAGTTTGAAACAGAAAACGGTGAGTAGGGATCATCTAATCTTACTCACTTCGCATTCTATCATTTTCGATCTCTACGTGAACAATTTTTTACTGGGATTTTTTTTTTATATATATATTTTTTTATGATTGTCTTTCTCTTTCCGTATTCATTTTTAATCAATAGGGGTTGTGTTTTCATGAGATTTGGATCTGAATTCTCAGAGACAAAGAGTTCGGGTGTGGGTCTACACATTGCTCTTTTCAATTGAAGCTTTGTGATCACTCTTCTGTTTGTTCTGCCGCTGATTTGGTGAATTTTTTTTTTTATTTTAAGATTTCTTTCTCTTTCTGTCTCCCTATACTCTCTGAGGTTGCTGCGGTTCGATGTGAATCGGACTACTTTCTACATATTATCATCACATTTGTTAGTTGCTTTTGGGGAAGAATTTTGATTTCTTTGGTTATTTAAGCTTAAAGTCCAAGTCTTTCGTTAACTGAATTGCTGCAGATTGGCATTACAGCTTTCTTCAGAAATCTTTGTTGTTTCGAAGTACGTGTAAAGATTATGTTCTTTTCTTCCTGGGGGGTGATCAAAGTGTCAGTTTCTGCTGTATGAACCAGTTTGTTTGCAATTCTTTCCCCCCATTAAAAGGGTTAATGTGTATGTGATGAAGGGCATTATCCTTTTTGTGCATTGTAATTGTGGATAACTGGTAATAATTGTTGTTGCTATCCCGCTCTTAGTGACATGCTTTCGGTTTTAAGTCATAATCTTTCTTGTTTGTGAGACAATTTAGCCTGTAATCTTGTTGGATCACTTTTTGATAAGTTCCTTAGATAAATTGGTTGGATTAGTTCCCATGTTCACTCTGATTTGGTTGGCCACTTAGCTGTCTGTGCATATGGTTTCAGAAACTATAGGAGATAATCAGGATGGCCAAGGAAGCTTCGAATGGAGAGGGACATGTGTCCTCAAAACCACCTCCATCGCCTTCACCTTTAAGAAATGCTAAATTTTTCCAGGTAAAACAATATTCTACTGATCAGTAAAATCCTATGAAATTGTTTTTTCTTCCTCGGTCTTGTTTAAATTTAGTAGGACTACTCATACTGAACCTATTTTTGCACGTTAACAGGCGAACATGAGAATTTTGGTTACTGGAGGGGCTGGATTCATTGGCTCTCACCTGGTTGATAAGTTGATGCAAAATGAAAAAAATGAGGTACTTTCGCTTATGGAATATTTCTGTTTAGGTTTTTTTCCCAAATTGTAATGTGGTAATTAAATATGTAATGAAATGTGCAGTTGGCATTTTGCATTTTCTTACATTTCTTTTAGTAACCTACATGAATATCTGTAGGTGATCGTTGTGGATAACTTCTTTACTGGCTCAAAAGATAACTTAAGGCAATGGATTGGTCATCCAAGGTTTGAGCTTATTCGTCATGGTATGTTCCGTTGAGTTTTTCTTTTTCCCCCTTTCAAAGGACAGTTTGGTTGTATTTCAAATGCATCAGGTTACTCTTTTATCATTTGCAGATGTTACTGAGACATTGCTTGTTGAGGTTGATCAAATATACCATCTTGCTTGTCCTGCTTCACCCATCTTTTACAAATATAATCCTGTCAAGGTATGCATATTATGTTCGTCTTTGATTAAATAAGAATTGTAGATTGAGGAAGTTTCATAATCTGGTTGAGTTGGAATGTATTTACTATGATCATTATTTTACTTTTTGTTTCTGTCAGTCGATTTGTAGTTAACACAGTTTTGCTGCATGTATATGATGTTCTTGGATTGATAGACAATCAAGACTAATGTCATCGGGACATTGAACATGTTGGGTCTTGCTAAGCGTGTTGGTGCCAGGTACTTTTCTACAACTCCTCGTCTCTCAAACTTGTTGCATGGATCAACTAATAACTTTGGTGTTGTTTCAAAGGATTTTGCTGACATCAACTTCGGAGGTCTATGGAGATCCTCTTGTCCATCCTCAGGATGAGAGCTACTGGGGCAATGTCAACCCTATTGGTAAAACTTATCAGCACATGTTTAAGTTTATGATGATTGGATTATGTGTTGTGCTATTAATGGAAGACATGTCATATTGTGTGATCATTTGCTTGCAAACTGATCTTTTACAAAGTGGAGACCTCTTGGTTGGTTCAGTATTTTCAAAATTAGCTGCAAGAATAACCGCCATACTGAGATCTAGTCGCAGTCCTTACTTTTCTTGTGAAGTTTAATTTTACTTAAGCTTTAGATATTATTTCCCTGGGTAAGATTTCAGTAGAAGTTCCTTCAAATCTGATACTATTATGAGCATGTGAAGAAGCATATGTTGACGTTGGCTTTATGTTTATTGCAGGAGTGAGGAGTTGTTATGATGAAGGTAAAAGGGTTGCTGAAACTTTGATGTTTGATTACCACAGGCAACATGGTATAGGTAAGACTACATATCCCTACATGCTTTAAGTTCTGAAATTTCTAAAGGGCTTTTCAGATTTTTGCCACTGCTAATGTCTCATTTGTTTAAAAATAAAGCAACACCACTTTTTTGTGAACTTTTCTTAAATGACGGAACTTCTGACTATCCTCCAGAAATAAGAATTGCTAGGATCTTCAATACTTATGGACCTCGCATGAACATTGATGATGGTAGGGTGGTCAGCAATTTCATAGCACAAGCAATTCGGTATGATATTATGCTCCTTTGTTTGGCTTCTTGACTGAATAACTTTCAGTAATTCAAATGTGTATACCTTTAGTTTTCTGTGCTCTTTGTCCATTCCCGTCTATGTTATTTGTTTCCTCCAAAATAGAAATTTCCAAGCTTAACTCACCAGAATGGCTGGCTTCCCCTTTTCTTGATGCACAGTGATGAACCATTGACTGTCCAGTTGCCTGGCACCCAAACTCGAAGCTTTTGTTATGTGTCTGACATGGTATGCAAATATAGTATCTCGCCCAACTTATATTTTCAAGGTTGACTCATAGTAATTTTGACGTTTGATCACATCTTCCTCTAAACCATGAAGGTTGATGGCCTGATTCGTTTGATGGAAGGAGAGCATACAGGGCCAATCAATATTGGCAATCCAGGTTAAATAACTACTATATATTTCTCTTTAAAGTTTGAAGTAATAATAATTTCTGCTAGCCTGCTAGATCCAAGAAGGAAATGATTCCATTTTCTGTTGATCTCTGAAGATATTCTCAAGGCCACTGCTAACTCTTCTCATTTTCACATATAGGTGAATTCACAATGCTTGAGCTTGCAGAAAATGTGAAGGAGGTATGTTTACCTGGAATACAAGCTGAATATTCTTATCAATTTGCTGTATTTGCTACATTGAACATTTGGCTAAACTGGCACTTAAACGGATACTGCAAGCCATAGGGTGTTGATTGATATTTTGGGTTCTTGTGCAGCTTATTAATCCGGATGTGAAGATTATAACAGTTGAAAATACACCGGATGATCCTCGTCAGCGAAAACCGGATATCACAAAAGCTAAGGAGCTGTTAGGTTGGGAGCCAAAGGTCAAGCTGCGTGATGGCCTTCCACTCATGGAAGATGATTTCCGCAAGAGACTTGGAATCTCGAGGAAAAATTGAGTCGGGAAAGGAATTCATTATACTTGAAAGTTTACCTCATTACAGCTATCCTTTTGGACTTTTTCGGTTGTATTATAAACTCCAGCTAATAATAAGTCTTGTTGAACATTTTTTTTATATATCATGTTAGACTACTATCAGAGAAAGAAAATGACATCTAGTATATTGAAACTTCGGAGGTAAAGGATGTGCTTCATCAAATATACAACAATTATACCATGGTCGTCCATGCTAGTCATGATTAGTTAACAAATTTAAGCTTTCTTACGCTTGCTTGTTCCAGATGGAACAAGAAACCAGAAACAGCAAGAGCATGGAAAAGAAAGAATACATCTATGGCTCTAAATCTTCACATAGCCCAACCCATCTACCTGCTTCCCCCGAATATAATTTAAATGAGTAGAGAAAAGCCCCAGGCCAACACTACGAATTCTCCATACACTCTTAAGAAATTCAGGGCAATACACCTTTACATTACTTCTCCATTCTAGCGCTTCAATTCTACTACCTCTTGTTTATGGTCCTCAATCCTGGAAAAAACAGGCCTCGGTTGTGCCATAACCTGACCACCCTTAAGCCCGCCCCACTTGGTGTCACTCTGCAGGAAATCGGAACTAGTCAAGTACAATGGCTTTTAAGCCAGGATAGGGGTTAGTATATATTCTTTGGTGTTGTGTGTGTGTGTGTGTGAGAGAGAGAGAGAGAGAGACCCAAGTAATAGTGTTGAAGTGGTCATCCGAGTAGCCAAGCTGATTGTATATTCTCAAAGACAAGCTCGGAGTAACTGGGGACAAGGCAACTGCTAGAATTCGCACTGCTTCCAGTATAATTACAAGATCCTATCAGCAAGAGAGAGAGAGAGAGAGAGAGAGAGAGAGAGAGAGAGAAACTAAGCAAATTTGCTACAATTGCAATAATATCCTTCACAGGATAAAAGCTTAATTCATGTAAATGCCCTTCAGGAAGGATGAAATTCCCAGCAATTTTTCCAGGTTACTGATCATCACTGTAGCAATGTTATAGCAGATGAGGAACATCATGCAAAGCCATTGTGATCAGGTTACTAAGATGTAACACAGAAGCATTTATCAATGATTAGTCCAGTAACTTTCCTCTGGGAGGGCATATGCTGGAAAATTAAGTCCCGTGTCATACAAACTGAAATCATAATATGAAGTTTGCGATAAATGAATCAACTTATTTTGTTAAGCAAAAAACCAAGAGCAAAGCTTCCAAGTTTTATATCAATGTCTCCTTAAAGTAAATGATCAGGATTCAGGAACATTTTAGTTAAGAAAAGGAACCTTGGCTGCAGATTCAGAAGCAGCGCCTCCTTGTTTAAAGAGAGACCATGGCGCTTGTTCATTTATATACAAATTTCCAGCATTACCGATCTCCAGCACAGTTTCACAAGCTGCTGAGAGGGCAAGGTTTTCGTAATGAGTTTTGGCGCTCTGGACCTTCAACAAAAGTAAAGCATGGATCAACACAGTGAGAATGAAATTGTCGATCAAAACAAATTGAATGTTAACTTCAACGGTACGATAAGAGATAAAGCATAAACCATGTCAAGATTGGCTGAAACTAAACGCCATTTATCGGCCAATTTATTGACTTCTAAAACCTTCCAATAAACTTTGGCAAAAAATTATTGTATCTTGAAAACTTTTAATTTAGTTTGACCAGTTTGTAAGGATACTTAATATTTGTTTTCGGCATTTGTAAGTTATGGGTAGAATGTTCGAAATATTTTGTGATGTGCATATTTTACCAGTTTCTCCACTGTATCCTTTAATACATTTCCTTCAGCAGCAACAACTGAATCAACCGCCAACATTGATTGGCAATTTTTCTTAAGGAGTCCAAGCGTACGGTTAAGAAGATTCCCTGCAATGATGTCCAAGAAATTAGCTTTGGGGATACCATCCAGCATTTAAAGAAGAATGTCCAAAAGATATTCAAATTTGGAAGTTACCAATTGTATTGGCAAGATGTGCGTTGACAATACTGATAAATCGGCTCTCTGAGTAATCCCCGTCACTTCCAAACTCCACCTCCTTGAGGAAGAAGTACCTGACCGCATCTGGTCCATAACTAAGCACCAATTCAGTTGGTTCAATCGTATTTCCAAGTGACTTGCCCATCTTCATGCCATCCTGAAATTCAGACATAGAAAGCATTCCTACATGAAAACTAAAGCATGACTTACAATTCCTTCCTTTGATATCAGTTTAAAATGTTTATATTTTATCAGGAGGGTAGTGATTTGATTATTTCTCTTGATTATAACACCCAACCATGTATAAATTATATAGATGGCAAAAGCTTCAAAAGTTTATTCAATGAACCCAACAGGATGAACCAGATACCTAATATACTTGAGGGAAAGGAATTATCATCCGTATCAACTACATCTAAATTGAACATCAGAATTAGACAGGATTTCAATTAAGCACCTTTGTCAAGAAGCCATGGCCAAAGACCATCTTAGGTAGTGGCAATCCAGCCGATATGAGCATAGCTGGCCAATAAACTGCATGAAATCGTAAAATGTCCTGCATGGAAGCATCAAATATAGACATGACAAATTCATCGTAATAAGGGGAAAACATTTGTGATAATTTCCAATCATATGATAGAACAATTAAAACTACAACTACATATCTTTTATGTTTCCCTCACCTGTGTGTTTAAAAGGTCCACATAATATATCTAGAGGATCTTATAAAATGAAATTCCAAATTTAAAATCACAAAAAGGAAAGGCAAAAGCAAATGGAAAAACCAAATAAATAGAAAAGGGGAGGAAATCATACCTTGCCGATTAAATGAAGTGAAGCTGGCCAACCTGCCGAGACTGCTGCTTGTAAGTTAAACTCCTCCCCCTCATCCAAAAGAGCAGATATGTATCTACTCATAAAAAATATAGAAACATTGAAGAGGGGGGCGTGTGTTCATCTTCTGTACTTCAAAAAGCATAGTAATTGTAGATTCAATATCAGAAGTGAACTATAATTACTCACCCTAATAAAGCATCAAACCAAACATAGATAGTTTGTTTGGCATCGTTTGGGACCTCTATGCCCCAATCTACTGATGCACGTGATATAGAGAAATCTCTTAACCCACTTTTAATCCAGCTTTGCACCTAAAGAGAAGTCTGCATCAGAGATTACAAATTGGAAACTGCAAATTACAGATTTTGGAGGATAAGATTCTTAAAATAATCAGAATAATACTCGGACCTCAATCACTTCCTTCAAGAAAAGGTAAAGATAAATGCATGATGTTTGACATACTTTCTATCCGCATGTAATAAACTGATAATATTTTATGTCTGTGATCCTCCCTAAACCTCATAAATATAGGATTATAGTTCACCAAAACTACATTCATATTAAAGAAAAAATGTTCGAGCATGATTCTCCTAAACGAGATGCTGCAGTAGTTAATAGAACTCAGCAAGAGCAACTTGAAATCAGTTATGATCTGTCATCCTAGTCATCTCGATCATTTTAACGCAAAATCAAAGAGGCATTTGAGGACTATACAGAGGATACACAAAGTTAATGTAACAACATCCACGCGGACCTCCACGTCTACCTTTCTTAAGATTATGAGTTATGCAGATAAGATACTGAAGCAGTTGAAATACAGAAAGAAACAGACATCGAGCCACATAGAGGCTTAAGAGATTAAGCCAATATCTTACTGCACCGACATCCTAAACTAATATCAGCTTACAATGAGATAAATGGGTGTAAAGCAGATATTGCATCTCCAACACAATGAAGATTGCATTGTCATACCTCATTAAAACGGAAAGAAGGCTGCACAAAATCTGGATTTTCACTTAACAACTTTTCCAGGAATTGCTGATACTTTGATAGAGCAAAGAAATAATTATCTTCTTTCCTTGCAGCACAAGGTTTTAGGTGAATGGGACAACAGTTGTTTGCAAGCAATTCCTTCTCATCCTGAAACGGGGGAAAGTTCGCTTAAATTTAGTAAAATATGGGATAAGTAGTTTATTGCCTACGTCAAACAGACCCATAAAAAGATGCAAAGCTGTCACTGTGAGATGGAAACTGAGGTCTGGCCAATATACAGCATCCTAAATCCTACTGGCTTCGCCAGCAGCTCAAGAAATGTGATACCAACAAAAATAATTTCAGTATTATCTACTGACCTTGTACTCTTCACAATTGATACAATATAGTCCTTCATAATCCGCACGATAAATGTCACCACTTGCCAAAACCTTCGCATAGAATTCCTTGACAACAGCTTCATGCTTAGGATCAGTGGTCCGGATGAACTTGTCATATGATATGCCTAACTGCATCCACATCATAATCAATTTAGTCTTGAAAGAAACTTCACAATTGAAGGTAATCTTGTCTTTTACAAAAAAAAAAAAAAAAAAGAGGTAATCGTGTAGTAGAGGAGTATACATCTCTCCAAAGTGACCGGTAAGCTTGTGACACTGAATCACAGTGTTGAGCTGGGCTAGAACCAGAGGCAGCCGCAGCCATTGCAATCTTTTCTCCATGCTCATCCGTACCAGTAACAAATATAACCTTCTTTCCATTAAGCCTCTGCGCTGACAAGACGTATCAACTAAGATGAAAACGTTTATCCCAGACTAAACTGGTCTCCAAGAATCTCTGAGAATGGGATTAACTAGCAAGGAAAAGTTTGTGTAACACCAAATGCTCAAAAATTACTATGCCAAAAACATTCATTATCTTTTGCCATAAATTCTAGCGGAAATTTTGTCTTAAACCAAACTACTATCCAAATTCCAAATTGGCCTTTCAAAGAGGTTCCAAAGAATTGGGACATAAAATCAGAATCTTCAATTCTCACAAGAAACCCAAATGGAATAAATTGAAGCAAGGCAAGCAATATTGAGGCGGCAGACCTGAAAACGAGCAATGGCGTCGGCGGCAATGGTTGTATAGGCGCTGCCCATGTGAGGTGGAGCATTCACATAGTAAAGTGGGGTTGTAATCACAAAAGACTCAGAACTTGCGCTGCCATTTATACTGCTGCTGCTGCTAGCGTTGCACCTACAGCAACGATTTCCTCTGGAAGAAATCGACAGCGGCGACGTCCTGCGGAAACGGCTTTCTCTGGGAAGATGGGTCGTCGTAAAACGGACCGAATTCTGCAGAGAAGGTGATGATGCTGAGGTCGACGGGAAGCACATGGTACTCTGAACGGAAGGTAGAACTCTGCAAACCATTTTTCTTCCAGTTGATCTTGTTATGAACTTCACATTGACTTGACAATCTTATTTATTCAGAACCAGAGGATTTGAGTCTGAGTAGAAGCAAATTTGGTTCGGAGAAGTTTTATTTGGAAAAAGAAGAGGCTCATTTTAGGCGCCCAAAAACTAGGATAAGGTCAATGGGATATGGGAGGAATGTTTTTCTAGCTAGCTTAAAGAGGCTTAGAGTTTATTCTGGTTCACGGTTTATCAAATATAGCGGATTAGAACGTGAAATTTGATTTGCGGCTTCTCCAGGAAACATTGTTTAATTTTGCCATAGGAAAGAAAGAATGCATATCGCTTTGTTAAATTTTACTTCGGAATTTAGCAGTTAGCACCTGGCATCTATTAGCCTTGGCCAAGTTCCTCCAGTTAGACTTTTGGTTAACTCCTCACCCATGACCAAGAACAAATACATGGCAAGACATCCAATTCCCCACCAATTTGCTTAACTGCAAATTCACAGCTTCAAGCTAAACTCAAAGTTTGAACATTTTTGGCAATGGATTACACCAAAATGGGCTTATTAACAAGAATATCATGCGACAAAACACGCCATATCTGAACCCTTCAACCAATGTACCCTCAATTTCAACGTTGTAGTTCCAGTGAACAATGAACTCAAGCTATGTTTCAACCTAAAAAACATTAGGTGAAAATTATGTGGTCAGACCAACACATGTGGCATTCTTAACAATCCCCAAATAAAAAAGTTACAAAGGAAGAATAAGCAGCAGCAGCATCAAAGAAACACTTTTGTTCATTCAGAGTCTTCATCTATCAGGTAAAGTAGCACCTAAAGAATCTCACCTGCAAATGTGTACAAAATAATGTCAGCACAAGGTAAATGGGCAAATAGGAAATTTGAGAAGTAAGTTCAATCATCAAGGACTGGTGTTGCTATCCAAATAAATTCATCAACAGAACTCTAGGCTACATGGGTAATTACGCATTGCGATGAACTCTACTCAAAGCTACATCTGACCACCACCATTCAACATTTCAGCAAACGTTAGTTTCGAGTTCTTTTAAAAGAAAGTAGTCATCAGCACCTAAGCAAAAAGACAATTCTGCATTCTCACTAACTCTTATTTGCCTATGCTTTTGCCATTCACCAATATGGGATGTATTAGGTCCCCCACCCCTAAGATACCAGTTTTGACTTCTTAACGGATCATTACACGTATAGCTTCCCCAGGCACATCAATTTAACTTTATTGGTTGTACGTAAATAAACACAGCCCACGTAAAGTCAGGATTTCTCCAAGACCCATAAGAGACGCCTTACTGCAACAATACATCAATGAGCAATCGAATTCATTTTGAAGTTGCATTTCATGGAAGTAAAAAGCTCTTGCCAAAATTCCCTTTGAGCATATAGTTTCAGAAATAACATTCAGCACAGGTATAAGAAAGCAAACCTCATCCGAAGCTTCTAGTTCTAGGCCAACAAAGAACAAGTTTTCACTAACTTCACATTTATGAGCATAACATGAATAATGTGGTAAGAGCTAAGAGCTTAGTGCTGTAAAGCACAGACCCCCAGCAGAAATGAAATAACTGGTACATATTTGAACTCAGATCCTACTCGTAGACCAAAGTGATAGGCCTAGTTTCATAAACCTAAATGCTAAGTTGCTAACAATCAAGGAGAGAGTTTCCATACAATGAACATCATTTTAGCAGACAGTTTGCATATAATGAGCAATATCCAACCCCCAAATAATATATGTGACAAGTAATGTCTGCATAATGCTACCAAGTAATTATCTTCCATTTGGGGAATTAAGAATAACATGAAAAAATTGTAAAGAACGGAAGCATCAGAATCATGTCGAAAAATGTCATGTGGTAAACCACCAATCGACCACCCCCCCCAAAAAAAACCTAACAAATTGTTCACCAACAAGTAACAACGTAAAATTCGATTGTGGTGACTGGTGAGGGGAGCTTGCGCTCGATCAAACGAAAAATTCCAACCAGTGTACGGCTGTATGCCCGCATATAACCAGAATAAAAATTAGATCTAGAAATTTTCAATAAATAGTAAACTCACTTCATCAGTGTTTCTTGTGCCTTTGCGCAAAAGGAGAGTTCTTAGCATCCTCCTCTGCAGATCAAACAACCGGAAATGAATACGAGATAAACAAAATAGCAAACAGATTGGAAGAATAGTCATTCAAGATTAAATTAACATTAAAAAAAAAAAAGTAAAGGAATTATCAGACAAAAAGAAATCTAACCAGTGAGGCCGAGGGAGAACTTGGTGATGATGGTGCCGGTGACGGCGAAACCAACGAGGAAAGGCCAATTCCGGCTCCATTCCCTGCGGAAAAACACCGGCCACGGATCAAATTTCCTCATTTTCTTGCTTTTGGTAATCTCAAGAGGTCAGTCAGGCGACTATCCAGTGACAATGAGGGTCTTCAGCAGCGACCAGCGGATCTGTAGAAGCGAAGTTCTCTCTATTTTATTGGGCTACTCAGCAGTATAGCAAGTTTGAGTTTTACGGGCTTCATCATGGGCTTAATTATGGGCTGGCCTGGAATGTCCTAACATTAACCGACGTGGATGCCTGTCATTTTTTTAATAATTAAATCAATCTTCTTCTTTTAGGTTGGGTTTTTGAGGCATAAGTTACAACTTCTCCTCAAAACAAAAGCCAAAAACAAAAAAGAAAGAAAGAAAGAAAGAAATAAACAAGAGAGAATCATGTCCTTATTATAAGTCATTTTGATTTTGTCCTATGTTATATCTGTGATGTATTTTTAATTGAAATAAAAATTTTAAAAATATTTTGTAATAATTAGGAGAACACAACAAATGTTAAAATATATTTTTAAGTTTTTTTTCTAATTAAAAAAATATTTTAGGTAAAATCTAGGACGAAATCAAAATGCCTTATAATAAAAATCGGAGAAGTATATTACAACATTTTGTGTAAGCTGTAATTGTAATTTTTATACGCTTTTGTTGATGACATTATGATCCTAAGTAACAATAGGCATTGGTATTCCGTCATCATTTCCACAAGAATAATGGCAATAAAAAACAATCTTTCCTCATGAAAAGTTGAATATTTTAAATTTTAATAATTCATAATTTATGATTCTCACTTTTCAGTAGCAAACTATTCTCACATGACGTATTATTTTTGCATTCTAGAGACCAAGGGGTGGAATTGTAACGTATAATATAGTAAATTGTTGCACCACCTTTCTATGACCTACTATTGTACTCCTTGTTCTTATTATAAAACGTTTGATTTATCCTAAATTTGTATTTTAATATTTTTTAATTAAAAATAAAATTTTAAAAATGTATTCCATATTATGGCACAGTGTATATTAGAAGAATATATTAAAAAAATTAAACAAATCAAAATATCTTATAATAAAAATCGGAGGGAGTAAATAATAAAGATCATCAACGGCAAAATTAATGTATTACACTCTATTTTTAACATGACATGATAGTAAACCTTCACGGCCTAAATTTTGGTGCAATCTGAGAAAACCTGTTGAAAGATTAACTATTGAATCTAAAATTGATGAATGCATAAAAGTTGTATTGCTTACTATTAGTATGCCGAGTGTTCGATTCTTATAGGGGCTATGCAATTTATTTTTTTATTTTTTATTTTTAAAAAAGTTACAATGGTAAATCCATTTATTTATCTTACTAATGTAAAAGTTATTGTGTAATTTTTTTGTTTTTAATTTTCTAATAAACTATTTTCGTTGTTTTCATCTCCCATTTAGCAAAATCGACAACAAAGTCGATGAAAGTCAAAATTTATTATAAATCATTTCATATTTTATTGATGGTTTTGTTTTTTGGTTATTTATCAATATTAAATTTTAAAATTTCGAACATTATATTATTTTTATTACAAAAAAATAATACACCTTAAATTTTGAGATATGTACTAAAATTAATCAAAATTTTAAAACTCAATGTAAATTATTTATTGAGACATGTAGTGTATAATATTTAAACTATATTCTTGACCCGTGCGTTGCACGGGTTTGGTTTGAAGCTTTAGTATTAAAAACTTATATTCATTGCTACCAAAGTATGAATAGAGGAGAAAAATAATTCATTAAACGTGTCAGGTTATCGTCCGGGCCTATATAAATATTTAAATTAATTGAAAAAATTTTAACAAATAATTTAATAATAGTGTACCATTACTGTCCCAAAAAAATAGTTAACATTGAATTTAGAAATTTGTACTATTTTTAATATAAGTCACAATTCTCATTGTGAATTATTTTTTGGGATAGAGGGAAGTTTATCTATATATATATATATATATAATCTATTTTTGAGATAGAAAATATATTAAGATGTATTTGTAATATGAAAGGCTAGATATTACTTATGATATATAAATCCTCACTAATTATAATTCATAATAATAACATATAATTTTTCAAAAATGAGTATTATTAATATGGAAATTTTTTCATAAATATTTTTAATTGGTTAAAATACTATTGTATGTAATGTATCACTTGAAAGCATCTGTTCATTATTGGAGTATGTAGTAGTAGTAGTTAGTTTTTTTAAGGGAATTTAGAATGTTATCATAAAACATTACATTATACGGGGCCATTTAAGTAGAACACTTATTTGACTTGGACAAGGTTCAGTAACACTTAGGCCCATCATTGTAACCCACTAATAATGCTTCAATATTTTAAAATGATTCAAGAGTAGTATTTACCGACAATTTGGACAAAAATGAAAAAGAAAAAAGTCGGCCACCGTTCAAACTTTTGAGTAGCTCGTTTTACTCGAAGAAATACACAAGAATAAAAACCAATCAAATGTGGGAGAATGAAATAGTATAAGGTTCATTTCTTGGTCCGGATCATTTTTAGGAATGTTCCAGAATCTTGCTCCTTTTTTTTTTTTTTTGCTTGATTTTCTGCATTTTGAGTTTGAAAGAACAAAAAAATTGATGATGG